GGGGGGGATGTGCAACGGCAAATCGGGAGGCGGTCAGCGATTTGGGATGTAGAAAAAAAAGAAAGGAAACGGCCCGTGGTGGTGGGATGGCATCGGGAAAAAAGGACAAGAGGGAGCAGAGCAAACCGGATGGGCGCTCCCGGACAGGTATGGGAGTGGTAGAGGGTGCACGGCAGACACGAGGTGGCTGCGCGAACGGCGGGATGATATCGGACGATTTGATGGGCTTGATGCAGGGCAGCTTGGTGTTTCAAGTCGCCTTGTATCCTTTACTATCCGTGATAATCGGTGTTAATGTATGTCCGAAAGAGCATTCCGTAGCTGTGCCGGCCACTTACACTTTGGGTTCTGGGGACTTGCATTGCCGTGGTCAAGTTGAGATTCTCAGCAAAGCGCAATTTCTTCAACAAACTTGTAAAGAAAATCCCGCGAAGAGAAAAAAAAATTAGGAGATAAGAAAAGATGAAGATCTACATCACGACTGCGGTATATGTGGTGTAGGAGTGGCCTATGATTGGTGACGGATTACAAGTACAGTACAAGCTGTGGCTCGTGCCGTGGCGGGGTAGCTTTCTGTGGCGGACAGCGGGGTTGAAGCTCTCCAACGTCTCCCAACGTCTCCCTGCCCACCACCTACCCCTACAACTATCTCTTTGCATCCTCAACAAATACTCTGTCCGTTCCTCACCTCCTCACAGCATCGATCAATTGAAGCGTCCTCATCTCGCCAGTCACCAGCAAGACTCCATACCCATCGATCCAGCACCTACACTCCCCGCGCCCACCCGCCATGCAGGTCCCCCTCATCCGCCTCCAGTGCGGCGTCAACTCGTACGAATGGGGCAAGAAGGGCAGCGACTCTGCCGCCGCCAAATTTGCTGCTGCGACGCCCGCCACCGACTTTTCCGTGCAACAGGACAAGCCCTACGCTGAAGTTCGTGTCCCTCCCCCCCTTCCCCCTCCTCTCTCCTTTGCTCCCGTTGGCTAACCTGGGTGCCCGCCTTGAACAGCTCTGGATGGGCACCCACCCCTCCAACCCGTCCCGCGACCTCCACACCGGCCGCACCCTCCTTGAGCTCGTCGCCGAGAACAAAGCCCTCCTGTCTCCGACCGTCGCTGCCCGCTTCGGCGACAAGCTGCCCTTCCTCTTCAAGGTCCTCTCCATCAACAATGCCCTCTCCATCCAGGCCCACCCCAACAAGAGCCTGGCCGAGCAGCTGCACGCCCGCGATGCCAAGAACTACCCCGACGACAACCACAAGCCCGAGATGGCCATTGCCATCACCCCGTTCGAGGGCCTCTGCGGCTTCCGCCCACTGCACGAGATTGCGCACTTCCTGAGCGTCCTGCCCCCGCTGCGCCGCCTCGTCGGCGAGGACAATGCTGCTCAGTTCGAGAAGCTGGCCAGGGAGGACCCCGAGGGCCCCGTGTCGGATACCAAGAAGCAGGCGCTAAAGAAGGCGTTTGCCGGTCTCATGGGAGCATCGCAAGAGTCGGTAGCTGCCCAAGTCAAGATCCTGGTTGACCTGGCCAAGAAGGACAAAGACCAGTTCGCCGCTGGCGGTGTGCAGTCTACGTCCGGCGAGACCCTTTCTGAGCTCGTTATCCGCCTTGACAGCCAGTTTGAAGACGACATCGGTCTATTCGTGCTCTTCTTCCTCAACTTCATCAAGATGCAGGTCGGCGAGGCCCTCTTCCTGGTTGCCGATGACATCCACGCCTACGTCTCGGGCGACATTATCGAGTGCATGGCCGCCTCCGACAATGTCGTTCGCGCCGGCTTCACGCCCAAGTTCAAGGACGTCTCCACCCTCGTCGACATGCTCACGTACAACTACGCGCCCATAGACGAGCAAAAGATGACGCCTACCGAGTATCCCTACGCCACCCTCAACCGCACCGGCTACAGCAGCGGCTCCGCCGTCCTGCTCTACGACCCGCCCATTGACGAGTTTGCCGTAGTCCGCAGCGTCCTGCGCGGGCCCGGCGCCAAGGCGACCTTTGAGCCGCTCGACGGCCCGAGTATCGTCATCTGCACAAATGGCACCGGCACCATCTCCGTCGGTCCCACCACCTATGAGATGAAGGAGGGCTACGTCTTCTTCGTCGGCTCCACGGCCGAGCTGGTGCTCGAGTCGACGACGGGTGAGGATGAGGAGTTTACGACGTTCAAGGCATTCTGCGAGGTGGACGACGGGCAGAGCAAGGAAAAGTTGTGAGAAAGTATGATTGGTAATATGTGAAAAAATGAACACGGCGGAATAGCACGAAACTTTTAATTTTATTTCATCTAGGCTTTCTGCTCCCTCTACGTTTGACCTTGCGCCAGCTCCTTGTGCCGCTTCTCTATCGTTGCAAACTTGTCTTCCAGGGACTTGGCCGTGACCGGCCGCGCGCGGATCCTCGCCAGCCACGCCTCGACGTGGGGGAACTCGGCGAGCTTGACCTCGTCCGCGAACGTGCCCTTGCCCGCCTTGTCATACCACGGAAAGTAGGCGACCGCGAACCACGGCAGGAACGCGAGGTCCGCGTAGCTGTAACGGCCGCCGACCAGATACTCGCGGCCGTCGGCGAGGGCGCTCTCAATCACGCCGGTGACGCGGCGGACCTCGCCGACGTAGCGCTCCACGGCGGTGGGCAGGCGCTCCGGGTGGTGGCGGGCGAACCAGACGGCCTGGCCAAAGTACGGTCCCTGGCCGGAGACCTGGAAGTGCAGCCACTGCCTGGCCAGGAAGTGGTCCTGGGTGCCGGGGGGGAACGACAGCCGGCGGTCGTGGTCGTAGGTCTCGAGGAGGTACTCGAGGATGGCGCCAGACTCCCATAGCACCAAGTCGGCGTTGTTGGGGTCCTGAAGGGCGGGCACGCGGCCGTTGACGCAGAGGGCGGTGAAGGCGGGGGACTTGGTGGCGGCGAAGTCGAGGATGCGGTGGTCGTAGGGCAGCGAGAGCTCGTCGAGGGCGAAGGCGACCTTCCACGGGTTGGGGCCGTGCTCGACGCCCCAGAGGACGAGGGGCTTGAGGGGAGGCGAGGGGGACATTGTAGGGGAGGTAGGTAAGTGTGATTGACGAGGATGGGAGTGAGGAAGAGGGACGAGGATGGGATGGGAGTGAGGAAGAGGGACGAGGATGGGATGGGAGTGAGGAAGAGGGACATGGGATGGGAGATGGGATGGGAGTGAGGAAGAGGAATCAGGATAAGTTGTGCCGTCTTTGTAGGTAGTTGGACCGTTGGCCCGGAGGTTGGATCGATCGCCGCTAGCATGAGATGGTGTCGCCGCGGATGAACGTGGATGCACCTCACCTAAGGGTACCTCAGTGAGTTGAGCTGAGGGACCCTGCCCTCGGATGAGGTCGCCCTACTAATTCTCAATGTACACTGTACATTTCAAAATAACGAATATACGCAAGAACGCTAGGTTCCCGCCCTCCGTCGCCTACGCCGGCTGCGCCGAGCGCGGCCGTAGTATGAATCAATTCCTCGTACATTTTCAATCAATTGCTAATCAATTGCAGCTTGCCCTGGCCAGGTCCGCCACCACGACTGCGACATATAGGCCGCGTATAGTAACAGCATTATTTTGATTTAATTAAGAATCAGTTATAAACTAGTTCCTATTTAATAGGAACGCAATTAGTTGTGAGTTAATTCCCATTTAACAGTAGGAATCAATTTAGGATTAGTTTACTAGGTAAAAAATGGCGTTCGTTAGAGAAAATAGACTGTTTTAACCAGATAATGAATTAAGAATGAATTCCTAACGTGTACAATTGATTATGAAGCAATTCCCCGGATACAAACATAGTATATCGTTATATTAAAATGTACAGTGTACATTGAGAATTAGTAGGGTGACCTCATCCGAGGGTAGGGTCCCTCAGCTCAACTCACTGAGGTACCCTTAGGTGAGGTCCTACCTCCGGATGAACCGACATTCGCGGCGGCTTTATTACAAATCAAGGAGAGGGAGAGACTTGTCATGATTTGTGATGCAAAGGCGATTGATGTTGGCGATCGCCTTGTTGCGGCCTCGCTCGGAAATGAACCCACGACGAGAGAAACAGGGACGCTGCCGTTGCCAAGTCGCGGCATTACCAATCGACGCCGTCTGCTTACACTGACCTCTCTACAACTGGCATGGAGAGTCGTGGTGTTTTCAGTTGCCTGCAAAACAATGCCGTCTCGGTGAGGCTCTAGGATCGTCTCCAAGTCGTCGATGCAGAGGTGACATATCGCATTGCCACGAATCGCATCAAGTACACCTCGGACCCCTCGGACCAACTCGGCCCGGAGTCATTGACTTCCGTTTCTGCGCCCACAGCTCCCCGTGCCTCGAGCCTCTTGGCGTAAATGGAGCATTGCAGAAATTATCGAACCCAAAATACCATCAAAAGAAGAGCGTTTCCATGTCGTCGGTGACGGCGGTCATCTTGGCGCCGCCACTGTCACGGCCGGCCGGGTCGGCGCGGGCCTTCCCTGCCATGGTGGCACTCCGGGGGGCGTGTGGGTACGGCCAAGAGTTCGCCGACGCCAAGTCATGAGCTGTAGGTGCCGGCTCGTGAAAGTCAGTATTTTTGCTGACTGCATACAGTCGTTCGATGCGTGCTTCAGTACTGACTCCCAAGCTGCATGCCGCCGGCAATAAACTGCATGCGGCCCGGCGTCTGCTGCATGAGATATGGACCGCGAACGGGGTCCTGCACGGAGATTGAACGGGCACAACGGTCGAGGCTCGCCGAAGCAATGAAAACTTTTGTCTTTGAATTGATTTCATGCTTCCTGACGTCGTACGATGACACCTCAAGCCCCGTTTCGACATGGCTCGTGGCCTCATGCTCGCATCGCGCTCGGGTCGGGCCGGCCGCGTCTACACGAGCTTGCATAGCATTCTATAGCAGGTCTCATATCTCAATGAGAGCTCAGAAGAGAGAATCGCGAACGAGATCAAGTATAAAGCAAGCAAGTCTCCCAACTCTAGACAGTCAATCCACTTCTCACAGTCAGCACCAGCATCCTCAAGTCAACAGCTCATCAAGAGCCACACCTCCTTCAAGCTTCTCTTCTTCTTCCCACTCTCCCAAGCCAACCATCGAAATGAAGACCTCCGTCGCCGCCGCCCTCGTCTCCCTCGGCGCCGTCCTGGCCTCGCCCGCGCGCACTCCCCTGCCCGCCCTGCCCGCCGGCGACGGGCTGTACCTCGGGCGCGTCGACTCCGCCGGCACCTTCACCTGGCTCTTCCATGAATCCTCCTCCTCCTCCTCCTCCACCGTCGTCGTCACCGAGTTGGCCGCCCCCGCCGAGAAGCGCGACGGCGCGTACTGCGAGGGCTTCGCGGCCGGCCCCGTCGGCGACGTCAACGCGGCGGTGGCGGCCATCACGGAGGGCTGCCACGACACCTACTTCCACAGCGCGATCGCGTTCCAGCGCGGCGGCGCGGTCGCTTACGGCTGCGCGTACGGCGGCGCGGGCGAGCGTTGCAACGGGTACGGCCTGGGGCCGGTGTTCAGCAGCATCGCGGCGGGATGCGGGCCGGGAAACGCGGGGTACTACGAGCTGGACGTGGACGGGTACGAGGCGCGCTTCGGCTACACCCGGGCCGGCAACGGATTCTGCTAGACGGCACGAAAGGGGGAGGGGGGGCTGGTGGAAGGGTCCTTGGGCAGAGGAGCAAGTCTTGCTACCATTGGTTCCGCTAGGATGTTGTGGGTGGCTCTCGAGGTCGCCGTAGCCTAGATCCCAATTTGATATTCGGGTTGCAAACGGATTGAGTAATTTGCTGTGTTAAATGTAATTTGTTTTTTCTAGTCACCAACAATGAGTAGCAAAACGCCTGCCTAGAGGTGGACAAGCCTCGCGATGGTGAAACTCGGTTGCCTAGTCGGCTGAGTTGTCGTCAGTGTCTCTCCGAGGCTCACGGCCGGGGCCAACGTCGTCCCTGTCTCCAAATTGAACATCGATTAGTCGTGTGTTGGAAATAGAGCTGCCTAGACGCTTCTCCTAGGTTGTCGAAACCAATTCTCGCAGCCGTCCTCTCCGCCACCACCTCACGCTGGTACATGGACACACCTCTGACGCGGTTTTCACGGTTGGAACCCGGGCATACCGCCGCATGTGCAAAATTCTGCTGCCTAGATGACTACTATGCCCCAGGGAGCCTCCCTTCCTGCATTACGAGCGTGTCACTGAGCAAGGTTGCCTCCCTCCACCTCCGTTTCTGACATGAAGCTCTTACATCTTCCACCCCACCAGACACCCAGCGCATTTGACAAGCAAGGAAGCAAACAATGCCAGTACAACCCCCGGAGGCCACCGACGAGCAGTCCGCGACGTCGTCATTCCCATTTGACCGCCTCCCGCCCGAGATCCAGCTGCTCGTGCTGGAAGCCGCCCTGCCCTCGCAGCGCATCTTCCACGTCTCCGGCGAGCGACGCCACGGTGGCGGCGGTAGCTTCACCTTTCACGTCCGACACGCGCCGCCCGCCGTGCTGTCCGTATGCCGCGCCGCCCGCACCACCGTGCTCCGCCGCGGGCTGTTCCTCGACGGCGCGCACGGCGCCTTCTTCCTGCCCGCCGTCGACATGCTCTACCTCGACCGGAGCCACCGGCGGCACCTGCAGAGGCCCGCCGCCGACGACGCTTGGGCAGCGGTCGTCCAGCACGTCGGGGTCGAGTGGCGCGCGCTGTTCGGGGCGGCCTGACGTGGGGCCGGGAGCCGTACGGTGCGCAGCGGCACAGCCCGCGGCTGGTGCCACTGCCGGAGGAGGCGCGCGTGCCGTGGGGCGACTCGCTCGTCATGCACGAGCTGCCGCCGCCGCGATCTACGAGGGGGGCGACGCTGTCGCTGGCGGAGCTGCTGGCGGACGCTCGCAAGAGCTACCTGGTGCCGTGGGGCCAGATGAGGAGGATGATTGAGGATGCGCGCCGCGGAGAGGAGGCCGCGGGTGGGAAGCAGCACGGCGGGGACTGGAGGGAGCTGGATTTGAGGGGCTTCTGGCTGTTGCGAGCGGATGCCGTGTATGCGGAGGATGTGACGTCGTTCTGGAGCTAACAGTGACTGCGATTGCAACGGTGGTGGGCAAAAGAGTAACTTTATATTTGAAGGGTATATTGCTGACAAACACACACACACACACACACACACACACACACACACACACATCTACCTCTGCTTGGGCATCTTCTTCTCCTCCAGCTCCTCAATGTCCTTCTTCTTGTGAAAGTGCGGCGCCAGCTCCGCCAGCCAGCCAGCCTCGATGGGCATAACGCTGCGCATGTACTCCTTGGTCGTCTGGACGAGCTCAAAGTAGACGACCATGCGCTCCGGCGGGTCGACGGCCATGAGCACGCTGCTAGGGTGCACCCACACGGTCGCGTTGCTCTTGACGGTGCGGTAGCTGTCGCCGCTGCGCTGCAGGCGCGCCGCGTTGGGGAAGAAGCCGGCCGTGATGGCGCGCTTGATCGGTCGGAGGTTGGCCGCGCCGCACGACGAGGGCGCCACCTCGACGCGCTCGCACAGCTTGGCCAGCTGGTCGCGCACGTCGCGCGCCCGCGTCAGCGACCGCTGCTGCAGGAAGTTCTCCTTGGACCAGATGGGCGAGTAGTCGCTGTCTACCCATTGGTTCCACACGTTGAGCAGCGTGACGTGGTCGCCGCCGTCCTTGACCGTGAACCGGTTGCGCGCGCTGTCCGCGTGGATCTTCTTGTCCTTGGGCCGGAAGAAGAGCGCCGACGCCTCGCCCAGCATCGACACGATCGACAGCACCTCCTCCACGCAACCCTCCTTGTCCGCCGCGATTACGGCCTTGGCCAGCATCGGGTCTGTCGGGAACTCGGCCATCTGCCGCCCCAGCTTGGTCAGCTCGCCCTTGTGGTTGAGGCCCTGCAGGGCAAACAGCTGGTTGAGGGCGCCGATGAGGGCCTCGGTCGGCGGCGGGTCCATAAACTCAAAGTCCAGCAGCTCGTTAATGCCCAGTGACTTGAGCTGTAGCACCACGCTGTTGAGGTTGGTGCGCTGGATCTCGGGTGTCGTCGACTCGTCCATCTCGTTCATGTAGGCGAACTTGGTGTACAGTCGGAAACACTTGCCGGGGCCGACACGTCCGGCACGACCGCTGCGCTGGTTGGCCGAGGCGCGTGAGCAGGGCACCACGATGAGGTTGGACATGCCCGTGGCGGGGTTGTAGATGTTCTCCTTGACGTAGCCGGGGTCGATGACGTAGACAATGCCGTCAATGGTCAGACTCGTCTCCGCGATGTTGGTCGCGAGCACGACCTTGCGGGCCCCAGCCGGCGTCGGCTCAAAGATCTTGGTCTGCAGTTCCGAGGGCAAGTTTGCGTAGATGGGACAAATGACTAGCTCCTTGATGCGACTCCCAAGCTTCTTGGCCGTTTCGGCGATTTCCTGCTCCGCCGCCTCGATTTCGTCTTGACCGGTCAGGAAAATGAGAATGTCGCCCTTGTCCTGGGTGGTGTGTATTTGGAAGACGGTGGTGATGGCGGCGGCGAGATAGTTGGCCTCGGGGGCGGGGGTGTAGTAGATGTCGACGGGGTAGCGACGACCGGGAATGTTGAAGATGGGACAGTCATCAAAGTAGGACGCAAACTTCTCAGCATTCATGGTGGCTGAGGAAATGAGTAGCTTCAGGTCCCTGCGCTCACGCGAAAGATCCTTGAGCAAGGCTAGCAGGATATCCGTGTGGACGGTACGCTCGTGGGCCTCGTCAATCATGAGGGCGGAATAGCCCGCCAAATCCGGCTCCGTCATGAATTCTCGCAGCAGCATACCATCTGTCATGTACTTGAGGATGGTCTTGTCGCTGGTGCAGTCTTCGAAACGAACCGAGTAACCAACTTCGTTGCCGACCTTGACGCCGACTTCTTCAGCGACACGAGTCGCGACACTCATAGCTGCGACTCGGCGAGGCTGCGTGCAGCCGACTTTGAAGCCATTCTTGGTATACCCAGCCTCGTGGAGATATTGGGGCAGTTGTGTTGTTTTACCACTACCAGTTTCACCGACAATAACGAGGATCTGGTACTGTTCCAGGGCAGCCAGGAACTCGTCTCGGTATTGGTAGATTGGCAGGCTCTTTCGAGTTTCTTGAATGGTCAGGGCCTTCTTTTCGGCAGCGTCAAGCTGTTGCTCCAGGAACCGCTGCTCGGCCGTCATACTATCTCGCTCACCAGCCATACGCGAGTCCAGACTCCACTTGATGTATTGGGTGTCGTCCATGACATAGTCGTATTCTGTGTTTTCGAGCTCCGGCCGAGAAATCTGCGCCTTGGCTTTGAGTGTCTGTTCGCGCTCCCACTCCTCGTGCTCGGTGACAAACTTTTCCTGGCCATATTCGTCTTTCTCGACGTAGCGTTTGTATAGCGCCTCTTCTTTCTTCTTCCTGTCCAATTTGCCCTTTTCTGTCAGGTAGTCTTCCGGCATTACGTAGCCGTCGCGGTGGTCGTCAATTTTGAGCCGTTCTTCGGCTAGGCGCAGAATTTCTCGGTTCTTTGCAAAGTCGGCCCGTTCTCTGTCAGAGAGTCGTACACCACTCTGAAGCTCAGCTGTTTCTTCGGCGACTTGTTTGCGCAGAAGTGCGAGGCGTTCTGCCTCTCGCTTCTTGAGGTATTCCTGTCGCGACCGTTGTCGCAGGTCCGGGAGAGCGGCGTCTCGTGCAGCAGCATCGTCACCTAGGCGCCGTCGTGCCGTGGCCTCACCATCGCGATAACCCTTTTTGGCGCGGGAGTCATCTTTCTCCTTGAGACGTTTCGAGAACGCTTCTTTTTCTTCTTGGTCGCGCCGTCGTTCACGCTCTTCTTTGGCGCCGTCGGAGAGGTCTTCGTCGGCGGGTTCTTGGTGTTGGAACTTCACTCGCTTGCTGGTTGATTCCTCAAACTCGGGTGTTGGTTCCTCTTGGTCAGGATCGTCCGAGGGAGGCGCCTCATCGGCCCAGCGGTCGTCGAAATCGACGTTGTCATCGCGATTGCGGTAGGACTTTACTCGGTCATTGTGGGAGCGACGGGGGGATCTAGAGCGGCTGCGATGACGATGCCTGGAGGACTTGGAAGATCTGTCGTCACGGTCTCTGTGTCGGTCGTGATCGCGGTCTTTGCGGTGACTGCGATGCTTCTTTTCCTTTGTCACTTTTTGAGGGCCGACTTCGCCATCGTCCATGGGGAGGAAGGCATATTTTTTGGAGCTCATGGTGGCTGGACGGCGCCAGCGAGGCCCTAGCGAGTTCGATGATGGTTCAAAAAGCTCTGAGGAGAAAAAAGAGAGCCAACTAGACTGAATGACGGTTTTTGGGGGGGAGAAACAAAGTAGACTAGACAATTGGTTGATGGTTGAAAAAAGTCTCGACGGCTAAGCTGTAGCCTAGCTGTTGGCGATAGCCCCACTAGGCAACCAGAAGTTGCCTTTTTATAGAGGCGCGCTGCAGTTGAGGAGGGGTGGCCATGAATACAGGAAAGTCAATAAATATGAATATTTATACATAAGTGCAATCGAAGGGGTTTTAAGAAATAGAATACTTTTCGTTGTCATTGAGGAATCCCTTTCTCTTGGTCTGGCAACTTTGCTCAGGTGTGTCGCCTGGTGATGGTGTTGGACGACGTGATTCAGGTAACCAGCGAGCATAAAAGCAAGGCTGCTCACCTACGGCCAGAACAGTATCTTCTATAAAAGTAGCAGAATTTAGCATGGATGCAGTCTCGAGTAATGCCAGTGATGCAAGCCGAGACGGATGTTGAAGTCATCACTTGGCGGGGCTCACCGGAATTCTAGCGCCCAACGGAGTCCCGAAGCAGCGGTTACAGCAGCCACAGACAGTGGGGTGAGCGCTACATCGGCACCGAGTCAGGTCGTTGGCCCCTGTAAGCCGCTACAGGTTTGCCAATCAATTCACCGCATGGCCGCTGAAGCCACTAAAACTCGCCGCTCCGGTCCAGCACACAGCACGCCTTGCCCCGATACAGCCAAGTGTCCGGCTGTCCCCCAATGCCAATCCAGTCCAGTCAGTCCAGTCCAAGTCCAACAACGCCCCGGCTCGACGACGCCCCGACATTCCCAACGCTGACAGCTCCCCCCTCAAAACTTCAACCACACCCGCGTCGTCCTGTCCTCCGTTTCCGCATCCCCATCCCCGCGACCATCTCCCATTCGCTGCGCATGCACCTCTTTCCGCACTGCCCTGCAGCCTCGAATTCCTCCATCCCTCCCTCTTCTTCCCCCAGACCTCTTGTTGAATTGACTCGGCTGCGCGACCACAACAACAACCGGCCGGAAAACATCGCCAGCCGTCGTCGTCGGCACAACCCGGTCCAGACCCAGAGAGGCATCCGCGCGCCGCAGCGACACGCCACATCGCCTCCTGTCTGTCTGCCCGGGCGCACCTTGTAACATCGCCACCGGAAACCTCGCAAAGACCATAGAGAAGAGGAAAAAACACAAATCATAGTCACTCCCTCCAGCGCGCCAACGCCCCCGCCCACATCTTGTACATTTTGTCCTCCGCTCCGTCGGCCCATGGCTGGTCGCCCCTAAGCCAACCATGAACTCGCTCAACATCATCACCTCGCGCGTATCGCCCGCCTCCAGCGCCTCCCCCTCCCGCACCAACAGCCTCACCTCCATGAGCCTAGAACTGCCCGGAATCGACGAGAAGCTCCACGACGCCCACCAAGGCGAGAGTAAGGATGACACCGAGCCCTTTCCCGACACCTTTGAGGGATCCCACAACGAAAAGCCTGGCCCCTCGGAGCAGACACCGCTATTGTCCGAAGGCAAGGACGCGTCAGAGCCGTGGCACACCTCACGTGCGCAATGGCTGCCCCGGCGCATGCTGGCGAGCGTCATCAACTCCCTCCGCTGGTTCCTTTCAACGCTCGCCTCTCCCGGCGTCTATTTGATTGCCTGCTTCTATGACGACGATGATGTATTTGCCCCCATGTCGCAGCTTAAGAAGTTGTTCGGCGTGTATCCCAACTCGCGGCGCAAAGAGGCCTACGGCAATAGTGAGGCCCATAGCAACGGTGACTCGTCCGACTACAACAAGCTGCTGGCGCCACCTGCCAACGCGCGACCAGGCACCTCATCTTCCATGTCCTCCGAATCCGAATCCGACCACTCCCTAACCCCGTCTACCCACAGCCGCCACACCCGATCTAAATCGCTGCAGCCCTCCGAGGAAGGCGGGCCATCGCGCCGCTCGATACGAATCAAGCTCAACAACGACGAAGCCACCCGCGAACGCAAGCAGCACCGTAAGACGCAGTCCGCCGCGCCGCGCACCAAGCCGAGCGAGTACGGGCAGGAGCTCTCTGCCCATCTCAAGTCGCCCACCTCCCCCCACGTCGCCCTGACCAAGTACCCCAAGGCGCCCGCGCCGCCGCGACCGCTGATCCCCCGCCGACAACCCTCGTACATCAACTTTGAGCCCTCGCGCAAGCAGCAGAAGACGCTCATCCTCGACCTCGACGAGACGCTGATCCACAGCATGTCCAAGGGTGGGCGCCTCAACAGCGGCCACATGGTTGAGGTGCGGCTCAACACAGCGTCGCTGGGGCTCGGCGGCGGCGGCAGCGGCAACGCCGGCATGGCGGCGCAGCACCCGATCCTGTACTGGGTCAACAAGCGGCCGTACTGCGACGAGTTCCTGCGGCGCGTCTGCAAGTGGTACAACCTCGTGGTGTTCACGGCGTCGGTGCAGGAGTACGCCGACCCTGTCATCGACTGGCTCGAGTCGGAGCGCAAGTTCTTCTCGGCCCGCTACTACCGGCAACACTGCACGTATCGACAGGGGGCATACATCAAGGACCTGAGCTCGGTAGAGCCTGACCTGAGCAAGGTCATGATTCTGGATAATAGCCCGCTGAGCTATCTGTTTCACGAGGGTGGGTGCAATCACTGTTGACATTTTGGTGCCCGACTTTTATGTGCTAATTGACAATTTCAGACAATGCCATTCCGATCCAAGGCTGGATCAACGATCCGACGGATAATGACTTGATGCACCTGGTGCCGATGCTCGAGGGCCTGCAGTACGTGCACGACGTGCGCGCGCTCCTGGCGCTTCGCGGAGGCGAAGACAGCCAATCCATGGCCTAGCCCCCCCCCCCCCCCCCCCCCCCGAACATGCCGATGTGCTCAACCACTGTCGGCCCGCCCTCCACGAGGCTTTGGGTGCTGTGTGTTATTTTCTTGCATTTGGGGTGAAGTGGTGTTTATACGGCTCGACTGGGCTTCCCTGTACACATGGAGTTGCGGTGTTTTTTGTATGCTTTTCATCTTTTCAAGTGCCAGCTGCATGCAGAAAAGTTGGTACCTTGTTATATAAATTTGCAAACTTCTGCGTTGCTACTTTTGACTTTGGACTGGCATTTCAATGGCATTGTTATCATTTCTAGTTCTTTTTAGTTGATGCTCGGTTCTAGTGTGGCAAGCAGGGGGGCAGCGTTGAATCGAGACGAAGAGCGAAGTCTAATTCCTTTCCTTCTTTTTTTTGCCTTGAACTAGCATGCGAGTTCATAGGTCGCTGTGAGGAAGATGCCGACGTTAATGACGGAATACCCTCGCCTGTTGCTCGTGCCTCTGCTCCACGTACATGTATCCCGGTGCTCTACAGTTATTGAGTGGATAAATAAGAACGAAACAAGGTAGTTATCGAGGGCTGTGACTCGGGAGTGAGACTGGGTGACGGTTCGGAGGATACCGCTGAGCCACATCGGAAACGAGGAACTCGATATAAGCACATGTAGATGGACGTCACATCAGCCACCCATGGCAGAGAAGGCGGACCGAGGAAAACCATGGAAAACCAAGGAAGTGGCACCACGGGTTAGAAGAAATTGCATGACTACAGTGTCCGTTTTGAGCGGTCATAGTCGGGTCCAAGAGGTAAATGGCAGTTATTGGGTTAGATCTTTGCTAGTGTGGCTTAGAGCTTTGGCGCGAAAGCAGTTTGTTGGGTTGTGGCGCAACTTTCGGGGGCGAGGGAGTGGTGACATCATCACCCTAGTAACTGCGGGCATGCGAGAATGGCCGCTGCAGCAGAGCAGCAACTTGACTGTGTTGTGGTGAGAAAAGAGCAAAGAAAGAAGTGAGAGAAAAAGCGCAAAAATCACAGAATTAAAGATGTGCTTTTGTATGCTGTGTTATCCCGCATACTTATCCTGTCTGCTAATACAGACTCGGACCTGCTGTTGCTGCATTGCGCCAGAATGACAACATCCAACTGACACAGAAGGGAGAAGCAAGTAAAGTCGCATTGAAAGTACCCAGTACAAGGCCTAGAACCAGTTTGGCCTCCCCGCAGTGGACATGGGTTCAACGTTCCAGCTTCCAACTAGCTGAGCGCAGACCAAATACCTGATTCCGACAGTGGGCCGCTCTCTCTGGCGATCGCGATCGTGGGTGTAAATCCAGCACCCAAGCTCCAAGGTACCTGCTACATGCCCTCCCTCTGGCCTTGATCAAATGGGAAGGAAGCTGGCCCCCTCAGATTGGAGCTAAATAGAGTTGAGCTGTTGGAGACTCACGACATGAGGAAGAGAGGGGGAGGGGGGAGACACCAATAAATCTCGGCCTTGTCCCTCCTCCCCTTCCTCTTCTTCCCTCCCACACCACACCCTTCACCACCAGATCCAATACACCTTCACACCCATAACATTTATCAATATCGACGTCTCGTCTTCAACAATCCACTCACAATGTCTCTGCAGTGTAAGTGCCTCTCATATGCCAGGCAGCCTGACCTTGCGCGCCGTTGTTGCTGCTCCCGGCGCAAACGTCATGATGAAGCCATTTCCTGGACCTCTTGATCGCAGCTGCGGAAGCAAGCCCGACGAGCTTCTCGCATCGCCGAGTCCAGCCCATTGAAGCTGCGCATTCCACTACAATCAATGCCATCATCGACCCCTCCTTTCGCTACCATCTCCCCTCACCTGTTCATCATCCTCTAACGCCTCACCCCCAGACCTCCCCTCCGTCAAGCCATCGGCCATTGCCCTCGGCCTCGCCTTCAACCACGGCATTGAGCTCGCCGTCCTGTCGCCCCTGTTCGGCCAGACCTACCAGCGCGCCAAGTCGGCCAACACCAAGGAGGAGTTCATCAAGTCCAAGGAGGCCGCCGGAGCCGCCGCCGCCTGGGGCACCTCGTTTGTCGGCGCTGGCCTGCAGTCCTACGGCGTCGCTGCCCTCATCAACGCCACCGGTACCCTCTCCTACAAGGGCGCCGCTTACCTCGGCGGCCTCATCTTTGCTGCCACTGCTGCTCCCGGTGTAAGTTGTTTGCCTCCCTAACGAAATCGCCGTTCATTTCTAGCTGCTTCCTGGGCCCTTAGAGGCAATGCGCTGACGAATATCTTTGCAGTTCCTCGCCCAGGTCTTCACTGAAAAGCGTCCCCTCGACACCGTCGGTGCCAGCGTCGTCGCCAAACTCTTCGAGACGGTCGGCCTCTCTCTAGTCCTCACCTGGTGGGGAACGCGTTCCAACCCTTTCAACTAAGGGAAGGGTTGTAGCTGCGTGAGCAGCATCCGTGTGTGCGTTGCGGAGGACTGGGGGATCCCGATGACTTGGGCCTTTTCTTCACTTCCGTTAGAGCCACGGATGTCTGGAGGAGACGTTTGTGGCTCAACCTCGCTACGAGACTGTTTCCTTGCTGTAACTGTAGTTGAATAATAATTGACATTACTCAAGCATTTTTTTTGGGTGCGTGTATTGATATCAGAGTGAATTTGATGAATGATAGTCCACCCGCGTGCTTGTAAGGACTGTCTGTTGGGCCATCCCAGCTCTGCCACCCGACATTTCGATCCGATATTCGAGTTTATCTGCCCAATTCGCCATTGATGCATCATGCGAGCCAACAGATCACGGACACCACATTGATGGAGATGAATTCCAAAACATTAACTGTATGCAGTCAAAACAAAACGTAAATGTACACCGTAAACGCCGCCATGCCCATCTGGCCAGTGTTACCCAGCGACTGGCCAAGTAATCCGAAGCAAGCCATACACGAATCCAACACCCCCCTTTTTCCTTCCACTCCATCATATTCTCTTCCCTTGCAGCGGCCACTCACGCCTTGGACTCGCCCTTGGCCCAGAAACTTTGCTTCTGGTACTCCTTCTGCACGTACTTTGCCAGCGCCGCGTACGCCTCCGCAAACTCCTCCCCGTCCTCCTCCTCCTCCCCGTCCTTCTCGGCAGCCTTCTTCTTCTTGTCCTGCTGCTTCGCCATGATCATGACCACCGAGGTCGGGCGCTTCGTGCGGGCGGCGGCGCCGAGCTCGGCGCGCGAGGTGACGAAGATGAAGGGCACGTCGTGGTCCTCGCACAGCACGGGGATGTGCGAGATGACGTCGGCCGGGGAGATGTCGCCGGCGATGACGACGATGCCGGGGAAGGCGGTGGTCTTGTTGGAGGGCCCGCCGGCGGGGGACTTGCGGAGCGTCTTGACGACCTCCTTGACGCCGCGCTTGAGGGTGCCGTTCTTGGCGGCTGTTGGACTGTGTCAGCACGGTATCTTGTAAAGCAACAAGACGAAGAAGAGAAGAGAGGTTGGTGGCGGAGGGGGGGGGGACGTACACTTGCGAATCGTCTTGTACACCTTCTTCATGCCCTTCTCGTCCGCGACGGGCACGGCAAAGGACACCACCGTGCGCTCGAGGGGCAGCTCCGCAGCCTTGTCGCTGTCCTCCATGTCCGAGTCCGAGTCGTCCGCAGCGGCAGCAGCGGCCGCGGCGGCCTTCTTGGCCTTCTTGTCCTCCTTGGTCTGCTTGGCCGCGTCCTGCTGGATCTTGTCCTCGAGCGCCGCGGCGAGCTTCTCCTTCTTGTCCTTCTTGTCCTTCTTATCCTTCTTATCCTTCTTCACGCCCGACTCCTCGCTCGCGCGCTTCTCCTTCTTGTCCTTCTTCTCCTTCTTGTCGGGGCGTTCGGCGGCCATCTTTTGAGCTGTGTGCGGTACGAGGCGAGAGGAAATATTGATGCTGAGTAAGAAAAAGCAATATCTGATGTCTGTCAATTTTGATTCAAAAAGGATGCATCAAAGAACAAGTCAAAAAAGAAAACCAATTGGGATTTTGAATGTTGATTGAAGTTTGGCTTCTTCGCCCTGGTCCCTCTAAATTTTTTTGGCCCAGGACCAGAACTTTTTTTGGCGGCCATAAAATTTCGGCGCTTCGTGCTGCCGTTTCCGAAAGGTCACGTGAGTCATGGTCGAGGCTGGGCGAATGGCGTTGCTGGCATTTTGGATGACAGTGATTGATGATTGGATTGATAAGAGAAATCCAGACAAAATGAAGGGAAAAAATAATCAAATAGCGTAGATCTGTAATTCAACTCAAACCATTACGGTGCTGCTCAGCCAGCCAATTAGTGCGGGCTAAAGGAACATCAATGCCTTGGTCGCCACGACCCAACATCGCTTCATGAACACATGCCGCGGTTCTTGTGACAAAGTAAATTGATGCGGACTATTCCGCTATAGTGGCAGAACCACGTCTATTCCTGCATCTCTGATGTACAAAGGCGCCCGCAGGCGTACACAAATACAACGCCCGGTTTATCGTTCTCCCCCCTTCATCGCCGTCCCTTTTTTGCTTTATGGTCGTATTTACTCCTCGGAGCCGGCAAACTCGGCACGGCCGGCCTTGGAGTTGAGGTACTCGTTGCTAGCAATTTCCAATTAGCTTTCCCAGTCTTATGCTTCTGTCAAAGGCGCATCATCGCCGGGGGTCCGCGGCTTACCGCTCGGTGGCCCAGTGCATCAGGTAGTAGCCAGCCATCAGGGAAGGCAGCCAGAAGAAGATCTGGGACTTGGTACGGCGGAAGGTGTTGAAGATGGCGTCGTGAGCGGCACCGGCAAAGGGGTTCTGACGGTTGGCGGCGACGCCGTAGGTGATGATGCCCTTGACCTTGCCAGCGCCACCTGTGTCCAGTTAGCTTTCTCGTCTTTCCAGTACTTCTTTCCGATGCGTTTCGAATTTTCCGTCTCTTTCTCGTTCAATTCCTCCCAATTGAAGCGGGATTACAGGCATTCGTGGCGCCAATGGTTCGAATCGGTCGAGCGTCGCTGCACCACGGGCCCGTTTTCCTTTCCAGATCCCGCCAACGCATCGTTCCAAATCGTCTCACGTACCGAAAGCACCGAAGTCGTGGCCAAGCCAGCTGCAGAAGAGTCGAGTTAGCATCAATTAACCTTTGGCTTTCCGCCGCCAGTCGTCGGTCGCGGGAGCTGGATGATAGCCGTGGAAAAGCCGCAGCGCATCCGCCTCCTCGAGCCGTGGCAGATTGGAGCCAGCACTTACTTGCCGACCTTCCAGTTAGGGCCGCTGAGCATTCTCTGAGTCGGTCTCATCTTGTCTGGATCGTTTCGCGACGGAATGGGAGATTCAGGTTCGATTGGGGGGGTAGGAGAGGGAGGTTCAAGGTAATCTTTCGGAAAGGCGAAGTCTGCAGAGCAGCAGCCGGGCCAAACTCCACCAAGTGCCACAACGGGACTAGCGCCTATGTCGAGAACCTCACTGCTCAGGCAACTCCATTTGCAAGCTCTCCTCCATCCCATCCGGCCGTTCGTCTTTCAATTGATCATCCCCGAATCGCCATCCCGCCCTGTACTTACCCGCCGATCGAGGATCACCAGCTCCTCCCTCCTCTACCCAGGAAACTCGTTGAAGGAGCAACTCAATTCGGACGACGATCTCCGTTGAATCAAAGATGGCAGCGAGGGCGCTCAATTCCATGTACCGGCTGGCGGTGCCCGCATCCATCGTCGCCATGGCTGCCTCGCAGTCTCTGTTCGACGTCAAGGGCGGCACGCGCGCCGTCATCTTCGACCGCGTGTCCGGCGTCAAGGAGGACGTCATCAACGAGGGCACCCACTTCCTGATCCCCTGGCTGCAGCGCGCCATCGTCTTCGACGTGCGCACCAAGCCGCGCAACATCGCCACCACCACCGGCTCCAAGGACCTGCAGATGGTCAGCCTGACCCTGCGCGTGCTTCACCGCCCCGTCGTGAAGCAGCTCCCCAAGATTTACCAGGTTAGCTCCCCCCCCCCCCCCCCTCTAACAAAAAGAACAGAACCTCGGCGCAGACTACGACGAGCGCGTGCTTCCCTCCATCGGCAACGAGGTCCTCAAGGCCATCGTCGCGCAGTTCGACGCCGCCGAGCTCATCACCCAGCGCGAGGCCGTCTCGCAGCGCATCCGCGACGAGCTGACCCGCCGCGCCGCCGAGTTCAACATTGCCCTCGAGGACGTCTCCATCACCCACATGACCTTTGGCCGCGAGTTCACAAAGGCCGTCGAGCAGAAGCAGATCGCCCAGCAGGACGCCGAGCGCGCCCGCTTCATCGTCGAGCGCGCCGAGCAGGAGCGCCAGGCCAACGTCATCCGCGCCGAGGGCGAGGCCGAGTCCGCCGAGACCATCTCGCGCGCCATTGCCAAGGCCGGCGACGGCCTGGTCCAGATCCGCCGCATCGAGGCGTCCCGCGACATCGCGGCCACGCTCGCGGCGAACCCCAACGTCGCGTACCTGCCGAGCGGCGGCAAGAACGGCGGCGGCGGCCAGTACCTGCTGTCCGTGGGCAGGGCGTAGAAGGAGGGCGTAGGATGAAGGTGGAGGAAATGGGAGTTTTTAGGAGAAGGTTATGGAATCTCCGCTTTCAAATGGTCTCAAGAATAAGATCGTCTGCGTGGGCGCAAACATCTACGCATCATGTAAACCCCCTCTTGTAACAATACAAATCATCACTGAAGCAAATACGTTTACAAAAAAAAGAAAGGAACGCCCGCCGACGTTCCAGTGTATTCTGTCGTAGAGCAAGGGTACCTACTAACTAATAAGAGGGCGAAGATAACCAAATCCAACCCGTGTTCTTCCAACGCCTCCCTCGGATACTGCAATAGTCCTCCGCCCGGCTGTTTACCCTGAAGCTCCAATGCTGTTTCTGTTTTATTATAAAAAAGCCAAGCTTCATCACTTTTCTTTTTCTTTTTCTTTTCGTTGTTAGATATGTTAGTCGCTGCGCTTCCATCAATCTGCAGTCATCTGTTTATCCCCTTCGATGAACGCCTCTGTCAAGGCACCACCGCCGCCACCACCCTCGCTGTTGTTAGAAGATCTGCCCTCACCACTACCGGCCGCAGCCGGCGGCGCCACGAGCTCGCCATCGACGACCTTCCAGCCGCGGCGCTTCATGTCCGCCCACTCCTTGGCGACGCGGAAGCGCACCAACTCGCCGGCGGCGCGCGCGTCCTCGGCGGAGTCGTGGCCTTCCATCTTGGGGCCGTGCTGGACCTGGATCTGGCGGTTGAGGTGCGTGCTCATGAGCTGCTTCAGGCCCTGTCGGTACGGCAGGCCGTTCTTGTGCGGGAACGTGAGCACCGTGTCGATGAGCGTCGGGTGGATGACGCGCACCGCGTTGAGGTCGTTCTCCAGCCCGTGGCCGATGAGCGGGGTCGACGGCGCGATGAGAGAAAACAGCAGATCCCGCGCCACAGCGGGAGACGGCACGATCTTGAGTTTTCTCCGGGAGACCTGGGCGTCCTCGCTGCCGGAGACGTACGTCGAGCCCGTGACGCTGCCCTCGGGGGGCGGGACGAGAGGGTCGCCGGGGTGCCAGGCCTCAGCGAGCGCAATATCGTTGGGCCAGACGCCCGAGAAGCGCGAGTTGAGATCGAGGATCTCGCCAAAGGGTCTCACGAGGACGTCGAGGATCTCAGCACCGTCCGGCCAGGACGTGGCCGTGAGTCGGATGAGCTCCATGCCGTGGACCGTGTAGCCCATTTCGCAGTCAAAGCATACGGCACGGTCCGCGGGTACCGCGGCATTCTCCGGCGTGGCCATAAAGTTGAGCAGAACCGCCAGCCGCTTCGAGTCGGACACTTTGAAGACGTGATTTGGATGCGAAATGCAGCCGACAGAGTCGCCCACCTGCTCGCTGCAGCAGAGGTAGTGTTTCGCTTGCTTGCCGCGTTCGCTTGTGCTGCTCTTCTCAGGGAAGTAAGTCTTGCCCCAGTGGAAGTTGCACGCGCCGCCCGACGCGAGGGCGCCGTCCCCTTCGCGTCGGCCGGCAAACACCTCGAAGCGCTGGTTGCAGCGGTCACACTGCTCCCAACCATGGGCTGCGGCAAGACCGTCCTTGCTTTTGGCAATTGCCTCATCGCTGGGAGTCTCTGGGGTGTAGCCATATTCGCCCAGGTCGTCAATGGGCGTGCGGAGGCGATGAAGAAGCTGAACTTCCTGAGCAGACGTCAGCCCAGTCTGAACGATGACGACATTACCTTCCATAACGTCACGCTGGCGCTTCTTGCTCGCCGGCATCTCCTTTTCACGCTCCTTGATCCAATCGGCGAGTCTAAACCGTTTGTACTTCATGACGGTGTTCTTCATGACATTGCTGTACACGGCTTTCTTCTCAATGGCCACAGCTTCTTCCTCGTCAAGGACACGTTTGATCATTGCCTGATCAGAGAGGATGAGCCGATGATGTGCAATATCGGAGTCCTGCCTAACTTTATCATTAAGTCGCTTGTATTCGGTGTGAAGCATTTTGGACAGCTTCAGCCGCAGTTCATGAGTGGCGGGCGACTCCTTGAGGAGCCGAGGGTTGAGTGATTCTTGCTTCGCAGGTTCGGCCGGGGTCGAAGAATTCGTGGCTTGTATAATATCAACGGCTCGCCTGTTGGGCGGCGGCGAAATTGGCCTCCGGATCGAGTGAAGAAGCGACGAAGCTGGATTGCGCTCGCCACCTGGTGGTACCGGTCGGCTCGTGGACGGGTTGAGTGCGTTCCTAGAAGTGGTCTGCCGAGGCGAATCCAGCCTGCGGGCTTTCCAAGGGCCAGTAGTATCTGAATCATTGCCAGACAGGCCGACTTCATCTTTGTAAACGGCTCCTGCTGCTGACGACGCCGGGCCGTCGTTGTCTCCTGGATGGCCGCCAAAGAGGCACTTGTAGGCCGAGCAGTTGGCCCCAGCCGGGCAGGGTATATGCTTAAGCGAGATGCTCATGGCTGACAGCGTATCGTGCGTCGCACAAAGGTTGTAAGGTCGAAGTTGCTGTGAACCTGGCGGCAGCGCGCGTACGGCACTTGCGACCTAATTATAGCAGTCGTGCCAAAGGGGCCAAGGACCGCGCAGCTGCACGTGGGCAGCCCATAGAATGGCAAAGACTGGGGACGGAAGAAAACGCATGAATAATAGGGCGAGGTGCACAAAAATGGCTAGTCGGTGCAAATGAATAGTGTGCGTAGCACCATGTCTGTGGAAGATGGAATTGGTATTGAATGGAGTGCGGCTCAACGATGATGGATGGCGGTTGGAACCCCTGCAAACCGATTTGGCGGGCCGTTTTTAGGTGCTAAGGTGGTGCAGGAAATTAGTGGGGTGCTGCGTCGCTCGTTGTGCTAAGGTATGTACGTACTGTATGTACATATGTATGGGTATGTATGTACTGTATGTGCCTGCAGCCGCCACTGTAGATGGCCCCCGCCACAGTTTCATTCGGCTGTGGCACCGCACAATCCATTATCTGTTGGCGCTGTGGTACAATAATACAATCGTACAATGAATAAATTCTCCAGAGAGTGTACCGTGGTTGGTTGGTTCTAGAGACTTAACGGTGAGACCCATGGATTTTCATTGTGTCTGTGTGTTCATATGCTTCTCTCTCGCAAGCTGCTCCTGGCCAGTGCGCTCCATGAATAAAGACGGCCGGCTTATGCATGCCATTCTTGCTGTATCATCAAAATTTCGAGCTCAAAATCTGCAATGGTAAACAAGGCTCGTCATCATTGTGTACCGTCTTGTCGCTGCGGTGCAACGCCAGCCAAAACATGTGGCTGCAACTGCCGGGGCTGACTTTGGCAGTCATGGTTCCCGATCAGGCTAACTTGAAGGCTCACAAATATGGAAGAGTGAAAACAGTTATTGTCCATCATACTAGCGTCGATTCATTCCCAAGCGGTAGACTGTTGGGGGCCGGTGCTTGCAAAAAATCTATTTTTCTTCGCTTCAATTGTGACATCGGGTCCCAGAATCAAGCATGCACTCGATGGCCTTGCTCAGATTGGGAAACAAGTGGGAGGATTTCTATCGGCCGGGCATATTAAAACCAAATCAGTCCTCCCCAGTTTTGAATCAGCAAAAACAAAAGTTCGTCCTACTCGTAGAGGTGTACCAGTAACGCAAACCAATTCGCAACCTTGCGCGCACGCACAAAGACCTCCAGGTCCTACCAAGTGTACCAATGTTCAATTCACCGCCATGAATTCACCCAATGAAGATAAGGTCGGTCCCGCTCGCCTACTCGAACGTCTTTTGCTTTCATTTTCCATTCCGGGAAACCTTCGCAGTCTCCTTTGTGTCATGAAAGAGCCCCTCAACAAGCGCAGTCGTGCAGCCGCAGTAAAGAAATACGGCGCCAGCAAATGCTTCTGCTCGACAGCAGTGCATTTTCAATCAGTAGTCGTTGCCTCGGGCACCAGCTGCTATGTCCGGCACCGTGGCTGACCCGAATAGAAAGCTGGGCAGCGACTCGATGTACGGCTCCGCTTCCGTCTGCAACCAAGTATGGGCGGTCTCGGCAGCCTACCTCCACCAGCTTGGCTAGGCGTACTGTGTAGCAAAGACGGGACTCGATCGTCAGCAGATGAGTCCAAGACTGGATATGCTGTGTTGTTGGCTTCCAGTCTGCCTCGATGGCGTCGGTGGTGCTTCACTGGACTTCTGGGCTGGAGGCGCAGCTACTTTGTGCTGGAGTCTGGCCTCGACGCTCCGCCTGCACCTGCGCCTGTTGCATCCTGGCCATCCGAAGCGCTGCATTGCCCGGCCGCACCACTTGAAAGCCTTCCTCTTTGGGTTTCGGCTGTGTCAGCGCTGACATCTTCGCCCAGGTCGTATGGACTGCGGAGCGCCACGATGGGGTCTTCTTGCCCGACGCCGTCCCCTCATCTGCTTCCGTCTTCATTGTAGGTCTGTATGACGTGTCCCCAGCCGCGACTGCCGGGTCCGCTACACCGTTCGTGGACATGTCATTGACGGGCATGCCGTAGAAGAGATCTGCTTCCCTGAAGGAATAGTCCACCTGGGGTCGGATTTCGGAGAGGACGTCAAGGCCATGCAATGGCGGCTGCACAGATAGCTGCGGCGGTACCAAAGCCTGCTCAGACTCCGATTCTTGTGATGGTGAGGGTGAGGGCGAGATTCTGCACTCGCCCGAGCTGGAACTCTGACTTGGAGACGTTGAACCGTGCCGAATGTCCGGAGTGCTGGGTCGGGCTCGTGGTTTGCGATAGAAGTCACGCGTCTGACTGACGTGTCGATGGTCTCGGGTCGTGGATGGCGCTACTGCCAAGTGAGAGTGGCGTCGAGTTTGGTGATGAAGGCTGGAAGCCTCGGCTGGTGAAACTCGGCCTGTTGGTGTGGGAGTGCGATTTGAAAACACGGAGAGTCGATCCGATTCATAAAGTCTGTCATACGCACTGTTGCGTGTCGTGAAGGGTCTATGGGCATTGAGGTCGTCGAGATTCACCTGCTTTGTGTTAGCAATCAAATAAGACGAATGATCTAAAAAAGAGAAAGGAATTACCGATTGAGCATTCGGTCGTCCGTCACTGTGCCCTGCTGGGGAGAGTCCGTTCCCATAGCGACCTGTCCGAAAGACATGGTACAGCCTCCAAATGGACGGGCCAAGAAACCCAGGAAAGATAACAATGCCATGCAAGCAAATTATCACATATCCCATCCACTGCTTTGCAGCCTCCTCTGTGAGAAGTGCCGTGGCAATGAGCAGAGATACGGTCATGAGTCGGCATGCGCAGAGCAAGGCCGTTTCGTACCGAGAAAACCGGAAGGTTGCGTATTTACTGACGGCCGTGTGGACGAGGATGGCAACCTCGGCGACAAAAAGAACGATCGTCTGCACATAGCCCCAGTCCTGCAGAGCGCCAACGGCCAAGGCTTGAAGGAGCGGCATGAAGTGAGGGATGTAGAATGATAGGGACTGCAGTGCCCCGCGAATGCCAGAGGTGTGACGACTGTTACGCAGAGAGCCGCTGGGGAGTTTTGTTGGGCTCTTTGGACGCAGGAACGGCCTTGTGATGAGGAAATGGACGTAGAGAAGGACCAGCATTGTCAGGGCGATCAAGGTGACGCGGTAGTGTGGCAGGTAGCCCAGAAGCATCAGGTCATTGCTCATGTATGCCAAGAGAGGCATGCTGAAGAGTGAAAGGCAGACCTCGACACTCATGTAGCCCAGTTTCCGAGTGCGGAAGCTGGATGCGGAATTCTGCGGATTCAACCTCGAGGCGAGCATGTGGACAGCGCACAGAATCGCGAGCAGGGCAGCTACAAGTATAGCCAAGTTGAGGAAGGCATCAAACATGAAGTCCATTATGCGAGGGAAACCGAGCATGCGGACCATGTAGTCCATGCCAAACGTCGCGTTGCTGACGTACATGCCCTGCTCGACGCCGGGCCAGGTGAGGCCCCCATCGTAGGGCCCTCGCCAGAACATGAGCGAGGACCAGGCGAGGTTGCTCGCAATTGGCGGTAGAAACCCCGGGTACTCGATCGACAGCGACGAGGAGAGGAATGCGAACTGGAGGTAGCGCAGGTAGACGCCGGCGTCCATGATGGTGTCCCAGACGGGGCCCTGGTGGCTGACGAGGGCCGAGGAGAAGTCGACGTAGCGGTCAACGCCGCCGATTGCAGCGGCGGCATACGTCTGCCACGAGGCGGCGCCAACGACGGCCATGACTCCGGCGGGCACCAGGGCCAGGGCGACGGCGGACGACGTGCCGATGTACGGGGTGATCTTGACCGCGGCGCAGTCGAGCGTCCGCCCACCGCTACCGCGCGTGGTGCGGAACTGGTACTCGGCAGCAAGCGTTTGCAGCCGGTGAGCGTGCTCGAGCTGGTAGTCGACGTGGAAGGCGGAGAAGCGGAACCCTTCGATCCTGGAAACGTGGAACGAGGCAATCAGTCACGGTCAAGGGGGGCTTGAAAAGGGTGGATTGACTCACGGAGTAAGACTGGGCGTGATTGGTAACGGACAGGTGCTGTTGAAGCGGACGACCTGCGCCACGTCCTTGCCCAGCACCTGCAGCCGCAGCGAGCGCTCGAGAGCCGCGAGGTCAATGTCATCGCAGCCAAACATGCTAGTGTCGTGCACCGCGAGCATCGACAGTGAGAGCCGCGCTGACCCGTCGTCACGGCTGTCGAGATGGCCGCGCAGACTGTCAACCCAAAACGGCGTAACGCCAAAGGTCACGTTCGTCCACGGATGGCCGTCGCACCGGTGCTTTCTGATCCAGGCATCCCGGACCCATTGGCCGGCGACCAGAGGCGCGAGGCAGAGCAGGACGACGAAGGCGCTCAGCAGCCGAAGCGGTGACGACGACGCCGCTGGTGGAAACATGGTGCGTCGTCTTGGTCGATGGAGGAAGACATTTCACAACGAGAAAGGTCGAGTGATGATGGGCTTGGCGTGTGAGGTTGAAGAGCCATCGGGTTTTCTGTCAAAGACCCTGGACAAGGGGCCATGACGGTACACAGCCGGCCTTCCCTCCACGGAGTGCCTGGTCGTTCTGAGTGGTCAGGCCTCCCACGGACGGTGGACGGTGGGTTGCAAATTCCACATTTTAGTTGCAAGGGCCCCTCTCCCACGTTCTGGCAGACACGAATGAAGTCCTGACAAGAGTGGGCTGGTTGTGGGAAGGCTCCTATTCTAGTGTAGTCTGTCCCCCGTTGTGGGTTCATGCGACGTCAGCTCTCTATCTCCTGTTCGTTACCGACCGCAATACAATGGAAGGAACGTGTGAAGGTAAAAGAGCAGTACACATGTCACTGCGTTACACATCCAATAAAACCAGACTTGACAATTGCTTGAGAGCAATCAATCACGCTCGAGAGGGTGGGGGAGAATTGACGAGGGAAGGGTTTTGAAACATGTCGAAAATTGGCGTTGCCAAATCGGCAAGGGTTATTATTTGGCGCTTATTGCCAGTTACATAGGTAACGAGCTTTATATTTTCTACTTCCACGCTAATTATAGCCACAGCCCCTTCGTATGTAAAGCCGCGCTTCCTGTTATTAGAACGAGTTATGAAACCATTCTCAGGCTACTGGTAGCCAGCATAACAATTTATTCCCATCTTAGACCTAGTAGGTTTGGCAATGAATGAATGAATGAATGAATGAATGTGAATGGCCGCCAAACCTCCTTCTCGAGGCTTGCGTGGACGCCAAGCCAGGCCCAGGGTAGGCTTCTTGTCCGTGTGCCACATATTCCCTGTGGAGTCGGACAAGACCGAAGCTAGATCCTTCACCACGTATTCAAAGGGTAACCAGTCAGAAGCGAGCATGACCCAAGTCCAGTTCCTCAAGCATGTCTGCACTGCCATTCCTCGATTACAAATCCTCCGTCGAGCGCTTATGCGTTTTTCGGCATAATAAACGAGGCCAACAGGGAACTGTCCGCATCTCACCGAACTGGTTAGGCATGGCTGTTAGCCTCCTGGCATTCGCTTGTTCAGGACGCTCGGTCCTTTGACACAAAGTAAATTCATAAAACCGAGTATTTTCTCGCCTAGTAAAACGAAGTTACATTTTGGCGGCCGATCACCGTTGGTCTACCGTTGCAGTTTTACCCTTCCTATCGCGGGCCCAGCTTCTCCAACACCCGGGGGCCTTGCTCATCCCACTCCGCCTTTGTTACCCACATGCTCTCCTTGTCCGCCATGATGTTGGCCAGCACCGCGCCGCCCAGGAACACCATGTGTCTTCTCCTCGGAGGATCTTCTATGCGCACCTTGAACTTGCTCAGGCGCTCTGGGTTGCCCTGCAGCGCCCGCGTGAGCCACAGCTGCTTCAGCTCCTTCTCCAGACGCGACGGCAGCCCGGGATACATGCTGCTGCCTCCGGACAGGACAATGGCCTTGAACAGGGATGCCCGAATATCCACGTCGGCAGCTTGGATGGTATTGAACAGGAATTCGCCGAGGCCGGGCGACTCGTTGTCGACCAGGTGAGGCTGGAAGAGGCACTCGGGTGCCTCGAATCGCTCGCTTCCTACACGGATGACGCGGCCGTCGGGGAGAGTGTAATTTTCCACTAGAACCGTCGTGTCCTCGCTAAGAGCCTTGTCTAGCTCTAGATCATATGATACGTAGCAGAGCTTCTCCTTGATCTGGCGCACAGTCTCAAAATCGGCGGTTCGGTTAAGCGCGTAGCCTCGGCGGAGGAGCAGTTTGATAAGATTACGCGTCACGTCGCGACCAGCAACGTCGAGTCGCTTCGTAAGATGGTTAAGAACGACAGATTCGTAAACAGGGACGATGTGGGTGACACCATCGCCGGAGTCGACGACAACCCCGGAGCTTAGGCCTGGGTATTTGTTAGCGGGAAGCTCTCGTATAGGGTCACATTAGAACGCACCCTGAGCATATAGGGCTAGAACGGCCTGGATGGCGACGTACACGCCTCCAAACCCATATCTATCAAACATAACCTCGCACATCTGCTCGCGATTCTTGAGCGGATTCATCGGAGGTTCTGTGAGGAGAATCTTCTGGCCCTTCGGGTCGATCTGAAGCTTCTCGTAGAAGGTATAGTCCCACAGGTGCTGCATGTCATCCCACCTCTTGACGATGCCATTCTCCATGGGGTAGCTTATTTGCAGCATCGTGCGGGCGGCCGCCGCCTCGTCACCGCACATGATGTCCTTGATTACTATGTCATTGTCCGTCTTCTCCTCCGAACGCAAGATCGGCCGGCCGACGATGGAAGGGAACTGATGTTCGGGAAAGTTTTGCGCGGCGTAGCCGACCTTGAGGAAACCGGTGCCGCCGTCGAGCACTGGGAAAAGGAGGGGGTTGTATACGTCAGCGAACGAACTTGCAGGGAGGAGACGTGGGCGCCAAGGCGAGCGGTTTTGCTGGAAATTATCGACAACGTACCGATGGGTGGAGGATTGGCCATCTTTGCGACAGCTTAACGAGTTTTATTCGACGGGGGAGAGGCGAGATGCTGCACGAGGTGACGTTGGTGTTGAGATGGCAGCGCCCTTGGGAGCTTCTAGCTGGGCCAGAAATGGTGGGGTCGAACCAACGTCAGAGGGTGGCTGATGCGTCACGTGAATCCCCGCGACTGAGCGGAAAGAGCACCGGAGCTGCCCGGCGCGGGCCGGCTGTTAGTGGTGTTGTGGTGTTGTGACTTTCATCTTTACAGATCATTGTTGGCGATCCAGCTTTTTACCTTGTCAGTTGAAACCAGATATTGTTCCTGTCGATTTCTTTCTTTTCTTCTCGAAAATGGCGACCCCTCCCAAGTTCAAGATCCTCATCGTGAACCCCAACAGCTCCAAAGCGATGACGGAGGGGATGATCTCGGCCATCTCCAACACGACACTTAGCGAGGTATTTTGCAATTGCGTCACTAAACATTGCGAAATTTCCTAGAATTGATTTTCTTTTCTTTTTTAGAATTTAGAAATTTCTGCGTATACCGCCCCAAGCATTGCTCCCGCCAGTATCGACGACGACGCGGGGATACGAGACAGCACCCAAGCCGTGCTGATAGACATTATGGCCGGGAAATTTCACTTAACAAGCTACGACTCCATTCTTGTTGCATGCTTCAGCGTCCACATTCTCGTCGAAAAACTTTCCGCTCTCACCAGGGCTCCCGTTACTGGCATTTTCGAGGCTAGCATACTTACATCGCTCTCCCTCACTACATCAGCCGAGTCCTGGGGCATCGTCACTACAGGGGCGTTCTGGGAGAGGCATCTGGGCGACGGCGTCAACGCATTCTTGGGGCAGACGGTCGGACAGACAAATGCCAGATTTGCGGGGACTTTCTCCAGCGGATTGACAGCAGGCGACTTTCACACTGTGTCGCCAGAACAAGTCCAGGCCAAGCTAAAGGACGCCACAGTCCGGCTTTTACAAGCTTCCAAAGTTCGCTGTGTTGTCATGGGATGTGGTGGAATGGCCGGTCTGGAGAGCATCATCCGAGGCGCTGCTGTCGAAGTGTATGGGAAGCAGCGAGGCGAGTCTGTCTACATAGTTGACGGTGTCCGGGCGGGTGTGCTGCAGTTGCACCAAACGATGCTCAGCAGACGCGAGTTTGCATAAAGTAGCTTTATAGTACAATCATAAGAGTAGAACGCTTAATCAAGACGACGAGTACGGCCCCAGACTTCATCTGCATCCTTCTTGCCTTGACTTTCAGGGATCCTCCAAGCGATAAAGAGGGCGGCACCGGCGGCCACCGCAGCGAAAACAAAGTAGACCCAGCCACCATGGCCGCCAAAGGCCTTGTTTAGAGCAGTGTTGAGAATGGGGAAGAACTGAGCAACCATAAAAGTCGAGACGTAGGCTCCAGCGAGAGCCCAGCTCTGTGCGGCGCCAACTGCTTCCTGGCCCACCAGCTCCGAAGCGAGGATAAAAGGCACCGGGCCGAGGCCAACAGCAAAGAAGGCGACAAAGAAGACGACGGCAAACGCGGACAGGATCTGGAGGCCAGAGACAATCGACAATGCCAGAGCGAGCGAGCTGCATCCTTGGCCAATGACGGAGATCATGAGGCAAGTCTTGCGGCCAATGCGGTCAGGCAACGGCGAGCAGGCGATGGTCATTGCCAGGTTCACGACCGACACCAGGATCGTAAGAAGAACCGACGAGATGGGTAGAAGATCCTGTAGGAGGGAGACGGAATACATAATGATGCTGTTGATTCCGCAAAATTGCTGCGCAAACGAAGCTCCAACCACGGCGACAATGGCTGGTCGATACAAAGGATCCTTGACGACCTGCAAGAAGCCCAGATGATTCGGTGCAGTAGCGGCGCCGGAGACCATGCCTTCTTCCGACTGCGACAGCAGGCCCTGCGCCTCTCCTGCAACGCCAGCACCTCCCCACGCGCTCGTCTCGCTCTCGATGTCGACCTTGCGGCCGCGAATCTTCTGCAGGATCCTCCTCGCGCCCGCCGCATCGCCGCGATGCGCCGCGACCCACGCCGGGCTCTCCGGGACCGCCAGCAGCAGCCCTAGCGCCTGCGCCACGCTGAGGCACGCCGCGGCGCCCAAGATGACCCTCCACGCGCCGCCGTGGCTGAAAAAGTACCCCAGGACCTGCGCGGCCAGGATGCCGACGTTGATGGACACCTGCGTCATGACGCCGAATAGGCCGCGGCGGTCGGGCGGCGCGACCTCGCTAATGTACAGCGGGACGACGACGGTGGCGGCGCCGGCGCCGATGCCGGCGAGGAAGCGACCGAGCGAGAAGACGGCGACGCTGCCGGCGACAGTCTCGACGAGGGAGCCCAGCGCGAAGAGCAGCGCGGTCAGCCGCATGGCGGGCAGCCGGCCGCGTTTAGAGGAGACGTCGCCGGCACTGAGCGCACCGAGGAGTCCGCCGACGGTGAAGGCCGAGGACACAAAGGCGAAGGCGGCCTCGTTCATGGGGATGCACGCGGGCACCCAGCTTCTGCCGCCATTGTCCTCATCGAGAGCACGGGCGGCTAGCCTCACGAGAGAGGCGATGGAGTTCTTCTTGCAGGTGATGACATCCTGGGGCGCGTTGAGCTCGGCCTGTGTCGGCGCTGCTTGTTAGCTGTTCTGCCGTTCGACGGAGTCGCACAAAAAGGGGGGGCGGACGGGAGGGAATGGGTTCGGAGCTTACGAGATGGAACCCGAATTGTAGGGGGCCGAGGGTCGCGATGACAAGCAGCGAGATGAGATGAAACGTAATGTCTCGGAGTCCTCGTCCCGTGGCTTCTTCGCCGGCCATTTCCGCGACAGCCGGTATTTCGGGATGTCCTGCGTTTTGTTGATGTTATTTATTGGGAGTATGCAAACGAGACAAGAGCCGCAGCCTCACTGTGGAGGACAGCTTGAGCTTGTTAGTGTACTGCGGGGGGGATCAACTTAAGGTACTGTAGGTGCCCCACTGTGCCTTTCCTTGTACCCGTCGGATAGCGCCGGTCTAGGTTGATTAACAAGCACCGTTTTTGAAATAGGAAACTTATCCCGATTGTGTCATTCCACATCGCCCAGTGCATCTATATAAAGTGAATCTCAGTTCTCCCACTGTACCTGCCTCTTAAACTTCTTTTCATAGCATTTTTTGCTTTCTCAATAGCTAGTTGATCTACACTCCTTCCACAATGAGTCGAATCTTCATGTATAGCGCCTTCCCCCGCCATGGACCCCTCTCCCCCAGCACCAGCTAACACGGCTCCTCCAGCACCGGCGCAACGGGCTTTATCGGCGGCGAGGTCCTACACGGCCTCGCCAGCAACTCGCGCCTGGCCGCCAAGACGGTCGCGCTCGTCCGGAGCGAGGCGCGCGCCGCCCAAATCACCGCCAAGTACCCGGCCGTCGAGCCGCTCATCGCCGACCTCGACGCCAGCGACGCCATCGCTTCGGCCGCGGCTCAGGCGGACGTAGTTCTTCGTGAGTCATGCGTGCCGTCTTGTTCGCATCGCGCTGCTAAACAACCGTTCTTTCTTTAAAAAGACCTGGCGAGTTCGAACCACGTCGGTAGCGCAGAAGCTATTTCCCAGGGTCTCGGAAAATCGCAGAGCAAGAACCCAGGGAAGTCGTTCTCCATCTGCCAACATCCATCTGCTAGCAAACATACTAAACGGACGAGGTAGTCTGGATCCAAATCTCTGGCGCAAGCGTTCTCTCTGGTCCCGAGATCGCCAACCACTCCTACGGAAATGCCAGCTCCAGAGTGTACAGCGACGTGGAGGACATTGCCGAGCTGCACAGAATCGTCGCCTCGTCGCCGAAGCGCATCGTCGACCGGCTCGTGACCAACCTGGCCTCCGGTCAGCCCCGCGTGCGGACCGCCATCGTCTACGGGCCCATCATATACGGCCTGGGTGCCGGTCCCGTGAACCGCCGCAGCATCCAGATCCCGGGCCTCGCCCGGGCGACGCTGCGCAACGGGTACGCGCCGCACGTCGGCAAGGGTCTGAGCGCGTGGAGCAACGTGCACGTCTCCGATATTGCGCAGCTGATCCTGAAGCTCGTCGCAGCGTCGCAGGACGGCAGCGGCAGCGAGCCGAAACCGTTGTGGAACAAGGACGGTGTCTACTTTGCGGACGCTGGAAAGATTGTAAGTCGCCCCGTGCTGTCCGCCTGACACGTACCGCTCTGTTATTCATCCTGACATGCTGCGTAGCCTTTTGGGGAAATTGCCCGCAAAATAGCTACCGTTGCGGCTGACAAGGGGCTCATCGAGTCACCCGCCGTCAAGGAAGTAGACGCCGAGGCCGCCGAATCCATCACGGCGCATGCCGCCGTGCTGCTCGGGACCAATGCCCAGACAAAGGGCGATCGGGCTCGCACCTGGCTCGGATGGGAGCCGCAAGGTCCAAGCTTAGAGGAGGAGATTGAACGAGCCGTGTTGGAGGAAGCTGCCAGCAGCGCAAGACCAAACATTTAGAGACACCCGAGTCTATTGTACTTTCTTGGCTTCTTTGCCACTCATAGCGCCACGATGGGACATCTCCCCAGGCTCGTCACATCAAACCAGCTCAGAGTGTAATCCTGCTTCTCCTCTCTCAGTGCCCACAGCTGCCTCGCCAGCTCCGCCACCGTGTCGAATACTGGGATCTTAGCTTTCTCTTCCATGTCACTAAGCCAATCGCTGAGGCCTTGACGAAGTGGCGTGTCAATAGCCTCGCATGCCGCGAGAAATGCAGGGAAGAGCAAGGACGCCGCTTCATGCGTTTCATCCGCCGCGGACAAGCCGTCTAGTACTTTTCGCACCCTGTCCTGTAGCATCAACCCATTGATGTTCTGCACACGTCGGTAGTAGAATAGGATGACAGCTTGGTGGAACGTCGTAGTCAAACTCGGGCTGAGCTGGCCACCCGAGTCTCTTGCAGGACTCTCGTCCACTGAAAGGCCAGGATTCCGTCTCTGGGTACCCTCACCCGGCATCTTCCAAGAAAGAATGTTGTGTTCCAGGACCTTTGTCCGTCGGTACAGGTTCGCCACCATGCTCGCGTCGATCTCGACATCACGCTGCAGCAGCTCCTGCTCATTCGCCAACCGGATCGTCTGCGATAGCAGACCTAAGAGGCTCTCGGGCAGCCCGTACAGCTGCGGGAATAGCGAACCCTTCCAATCACCCATCACTTCGAGGTGTATGTCGTCGAGTGCCGCCGGGGCGCGCTTCTCAACGTCCATGCGCAAGTCTGTCTCGGTGCTCTGGTCCGCAACACGGAAGCTTCGCAGCGTGTGTCGAGACTCCCCGGTAACGAGAGTGTACCGCGACCCAGGTTTCGCGGGGCAAATGTTTCGTAGGATGCAGCCGCAGGTGCTCTCGGTCAGGATGCGCAGGTAGGTGTATACGTGATGGAGCGTGCGCAACGTGGTAGAGTCGCGGGATGCGGGCAGCCCTCGAGTGCGAATGAGATATTCGGCTTCTAGTAGAAGGTATTCTGCTTCGTTGTACTTGGCGCACAATATCTAAGATAGGGGACAGGGTGAGTTTGGTGTCTCGAGTTGAGCAAATAGACCAGCAAGGGGACACACAGACCTCGAGAAGGGTCATGGATAGAAGCGCCATGAGAAGTTCTTCGTAATTTGCTTGCGCCAGCGAGAGAATGTCTTCTTGTATGGCGATTTCTAGGTGCAGATGGGCCTCTTGCTTATAATTCTTCCCCAGGTCTGCCCATCGGCCAGTGGATGTCGTGTCCCGAGGGGCGAGATGGAAGCAGCTCGCCGCCAGGAGGGAGTGCAGTAGGGAAAGCCCGGTAGGCGCAGGCGTTTCATGCGAAAGTAGCTTTTGGTATGTCTCTTCTGCGGTGGTTAGATGTATGTGTTGCCAAGGGCAGATGGTCGCATTATGCCTCGCGGCGTAGGAGAAGGAAACATGGCTCTTGAACTGTTGAAGAAGATAAGGAGCCCACTTCAAATTATTATGAGGCTCTTCTGGTTCTGTGACCTCTGATCCGTCAAGACGTTGAGACATTGTCGATACGCGAGTCGAATTCGACGACATTGTTCCGTCCCCGGCATCCACGCAGTAACTTTGGCCATCTGGGTTCTTAGCAGATGATTCGACTGGTAAGTATAGAACACCAAATGGCCCACGGAAACTTTCCTTAGGTAATGTTCCAGGCGGAGGCGCCTCAGACCATTCCGCTCCGTCGGCGTCCAGCCTATCCAAAGCTTTGCCGACACTCAGGCGCCCAATACTGGCTACCATGGCCTGCGTCATGGCCTTTTGCTGCGGTTCTAGTCCTCAAGTCAGCTTTCTGCTCTCTATGTGCTCCTTCATCCGGGATACATGCCCTCAAACATGGCCCGACGGACCGTTGCATCGTCAAGCCCTGCCTGGTCGTTTGCCCACTTGAGCTGTGGGCGGTACCCGGGACACGACGCGCCAATGGCCTGGCACATGCGGCATGTCGGCCGCGTCTCATCACATTTAATATGGCGCTGCCGACAGGTTCCGCAGCCTGTTAGCGAGCGAGTCCGCTTCGCTTTTTTTGCTTTGCCAGCCATGTCCTGCGGTTGAGGGGCAGAAGGCGTTTTCCGCTACGCTGGATCCCATGCATTTCGAGGTGGATACACCTCACCTGAGGGTGCCTCAGTGAGTTCACCAGAGGTGCTACCCTCAGATGAGGTAGCCCCACATTTACTAAATGTACACTATACAATTCAATATAGTGCGCTATTTAGGCCGCCTATAGTAATAAAACGGTTAAGAAGCAGTTAGGAATTAGGTTACTAAGTAAAAAAATAACACTAACTAGAGAATAGACTATATGATAATAAATTAAGAATAAAATTTCCCCTAAAGAATTAGTTATAAAATAATTAGTAGTGCGTTGTAGTTAGGGAAGTAATTATACAGTAATTCCCTATATTAAAAATATTGCTCTACTGAATTGTATAGTGTACATTAAAAAAAGGTGGGGCGACCTCATCTAAGGGTAGGCACCCTCCGCTGAACTCACTGAGGCACCCTCAGGTGAGATCCTACCTCCATTTCGAGCCACTGGATTTGTCAGCCACCTTACAGCTCCACGACCTACGTACGGATAGAAGGGCCGCCAATGAAGGTGTTATGATGCTCTGCAAACTCAACATCAATGAATGCTATAATTGTTTTTTTTTGTAAAGATTTATATCATAATTGGGTAGCTAGACTAAGAATATTGAGAATAAAAAAACCATATAAACTGATCAGCAACATCCCGTGTAGTCATTGTCTGACATCGTGGGGAGAGATGATGTACCTCTCTCTTTGCGGAATAATTGCTTTAGTTATTTCCCATATTAGTTCCATTTAATCCGCACCTCTATCAATATTCCCACATCGTTGCGAGTCTCTCCACAGCCTCTAGTTCCCCAGATTTACCATATTACTACATCGTGCCGAGCAGCCCCTCCTCCAGCCAGCCACCTTGACACTTCCCTAGCTAAAAAGGCGCGCCCATACATCCACTTCCATCACCATACATACAACACCCGCGCGCCCTTTGCTTCTCTTCTCACATTGCTTCCCCCTTCTGTCCCTAATAAACCCCGTCATCGCCCGCTTTAGCTCGTAAATGGCCTCTCGCATCGCCGCAACCGCAAAGCATCTCATCCGCGCAATGTCCACCTCCTCCACCCCCGCCAAGTTTGAGTTCCTCGTCATCGTCCCCGACAAGCCCGGCACGCTGCAGAAGCGCCTTGAAGTTCGCGCGTACGTGCCTTTCCTCATTTTTTGTTATCTCTTGTATCCCGCTGACGTTCTACCAGGACACACCTGGCAAATGTCAAGCCCCTCGTTGCCAATGGCACGTACAAGATGGGAGGTGAGTCTCTGTCCCCCCGTTACCATGAAGGCTGGAGGATGCTGACTCTGGAAATGCAACCAGGCGCCGTCCTGAACAGCGTCCCCGAAGGCGCGGACCCATCCGCTTTTGACTTTCACGGCAGCTCCCTGGTCGCCGTGGCCGAGTCCAAGGAGGCCGTCCTCGAGCAGCTCAAGAACGACATCTACGTCACCAGCGGTGTCTGGGACCTGGAAAAGGCACAGATCTTTCCCTTCATCTGTGCCTTCCGGACCGCCAAGGAATAAAAGAGACACGCCCGGCCAAGCATGCACCATGTATCACAAGAAGAATCTAGCACCAGAATGGAGTTGTCTTTTGTATTCCAACAAGATTTGGCTCGGTTGATTTGATCACCGGCTAGAGCGGTACTGTAAAGCAATTATTCCAGCCATTGACCATCGTAAAACAAACAATAAAAGGTGCCATGAATGCAGCCTAGAGCAGATAGCCCTGGTGCACTCCCATTGCTGGATAGCCTCCCCAAAGTCTTAAAAACAGTCTCTGTGACGTGACGTCCCCATCCCCGTTGAAAATAGAAATCATGTCTCTGAAGTAAAGCTAAAGAGAGCCCTGTTACACATAAAAGCAGAACACAGCATTCTGCAGACCAAACAATAACGAAAAAAAAAGGCAACGTCGCTCGGGTTTACGAAATGGTGTCGCACTGCGCTGTGCTGGAAACGTCTTCGTCCGCAGCCACTCGCAGGTCGTAGTTCAAGTCGAAACACTCAGCAAGAAGTTCAGAAACACTGCTTTGTCCCTCGGGGATATCGCCATTTACGACGAATTTGCCATCTACGCGCATATTATCCAAGGAAGCGAGCTATCAGCGGTTAGTCATCATGTTCACAAGCCAATATTATGGTCAGACGAACCTTCATGCTATAAGGATAGAGCTCCCGAACAGACGACACGCCGCCGTTGTTCTTGACCTCAATTAAGCAGCGCTTCAGAGTCTGGAGCTGGTTGTAGACGGGCAAGAGCGCCTCAGAGACCGGCTCTGACGACAGGATGAAGGAGTAGATATAAGCGTAGCTTCGTCGAATCAAGTACAGCATAGTGCGCTGCGTCCACAGATCGGCGGGGCGCTCCTTGTGGTCGAAAAAGTTACCATTTTGCCGACTTTCATCAATTTTGTCGAGTTTGCGCTGAAAGTCGTACAGGTCCGTCTCGCGCAGCGACCAGGCTTGTGTGAGGGAGAGCTTCTCCAGCTCATTGCGAATGCCGACGAGTGTGCGGTATGTTTCACGAAAGGTTTCGGGAACATCGCCCTTTCTGCATGGACTGTTAGAAATCAATCTTTTGTCTCTGAAACGGGATACATGCCGTTCTAGCACGATTTCGGACCATCGAGAGCATTTATCATAAACCTCTTGCATTGTTGCTGCCCCTGGCGACTCGGAGCCGGCAATGCAGAACTTTCCGCCGTTGTTCTTCTCGCCAATCTCGTGCAACTGCTTCTGCAGCTTCTGAACTTCGCTTGGGGAGAACTATTCAATATTAGTGTTGTTCTCATCCGGTATGCGCCGGCGACTTGACGCACCTTGGATCGGGTATTAGCGTAGGAAATAGAACGGAGGATGGAAATCATCTTTTCGTATGTGGGGAGTGAGGCATCGTCGAGGGTGCTGAGGCGTTTCTGCAGTTTGGCCAGTGTCGCACTGCATCGCTCGACACGCTTCGACAGAAGCTCCAGCAGGTATGGTGAGTGCTGAGGGCCCGGGGTGTCATCTCTGCTCGAGCGGATAATGTTGGTGGATAGTTGCTCGAGTGTCGCTTGGAGGCTCTCAAGGTCCTTAGCCGAGTACAGGTTGGCCTCCATGAGGTGGTCGAGTAGTCTCTTGATCGTTGACGTAAGGGCATATGTAGCGGGGGCCTCTTCGTTGCGGCCGATTGTGAGGTAGAAGAGTGAGAGGAGCTGGAAGCAGCCCTCGAGCACTTTGTCCACTGCAGAAGGGTCTGAGTTAGCATGCGTGATTAGCGAGGATTGGTAGCGCGCGAAAGTTACCTCTGTTCTCATCCGTTGCGCCCGTCTCTGCACGGATGGCATTGAGTTCTTTGACCTGGGCAATGGTCTGGTCGTAGAGAGGTATGATATCTTGGCTGCGGATATATGTGGTTCTGTCTTGCTTGAGGAGGAGAAGCTGGTCACGAATCTCGGCGAGGCGCTGGAGAATGGCGAGCTCGCCGGCATCGCGCGGCATGGGTACCGCGGGGGTGTCCATTTTGCGACTGTCCAGGAGCAGCTGGTTGCTGGGTCGGGCAGTTATGACGATGTATGCATAAAAGTCGCAGACCGATAGGCGACGAAGAAGAAGTGAAGAAGTGGTGGATGATCTGACTGGGAAGGGGAAAGGGCGACGCGGCGGGATGATGTTGACAGAAGGATCTGGAAAAGGTTCCTGCGTTTCCGAGGAGGATAGATAGAGGTGGCGTGGGGTAAAATAGGCTTGGGGATGGCGGAGGGGCAAGCGAGAGTCTAGCGCGGCGTGATAACAGAGTTGTTGTATTTCGGGTTGGGATGCCCAAGATTGATGCGAAGAACAGAAGATCAGGAAATGGCCGATTTCAATCTGGAGTGCGCTGCCGAGCTGTGCAGATGCGCCTAAGCGTCAATGGTTGAGCGGAACCGAATTGGTCAAGTCTACAAGAATTCCTGGCGCAAGCAGCGGATGATGCAACTCGGGGCCGCAGATGCCGCTGTTACTCAGTACAGCGGGGAGAACCAGTGGAGCAGCCTCTGCATCCTGTCTTGGCCTGCAGGTAACCTGCCATTCGACTTTCCTCTACAAAGAGTAAAATGTTATAGAAATACTGAAGTTCCAGAACAAACTAGAATCATAAAATCAGTTTCAATATAATAATTGATGCGTAATGAGCCATCTTATCCTGCATAGCTGACACTTAGCAGGCTGGTCTCTGCGCTGAAAGCATCCATCGGAGCAATGCAATGGACCCAGTTCTTTAAAAGCCGATGTTGATTGGCTCTACCGCACTGACCAATCAAGCACATTTACTCACCAAGGGTGGAGACTTCGAGTTTGACAGAGCAAAGCCACATTGCCGGACGCAGCCACAGTTGTCTGTGGCTTCTCGTCATGGGCACCACGGAAAAACTATTCTTGCCCTCCGCCCACATTTAGGTCTTTGAAGCCCTTTTAGTGGGCATCAGTGCCCGTGAATTTTTTCTTGTGGCCCTAGCCCGCTCTACAGGCGAGGAAAGCCACTCCACACCCAAACTTCGAAGCCCACCAACGCAGACGCTCGACCTTGGAGGAACTTCCCTTTCCACGTTCAACTACACATCACCACACACAACCGTCACAATGTCTAACGCCGAGCTCGCTTCTTCCTACGCGGCCCTCATCCTCGCCGACGATGGCCTTGAGATCACCGTACGTCTTTCTCCGTCCGCGGAAATGATTGGTTTCGCTGGTTCAGGCCCAACAAGATTCTGTCCGCCATGAGTTGGGAGAAGAGACGAGGCCAAAAGTCGGATCTGGGACTCGTCTTGGAGAAGAATGGACGAAGTCGACGATTTGACAGCATTTCTTTTCGCGCGACCAATTGTCGAACCCGTTTCCAGCTCACGGCTCCGTCTCTTCCCCCGATTCGTATGCGACGCAGAAGTTGCAGACCGCGAACAAAAACCGCATGCCGCCTCGTCGTGACAACCTCTATATACTAACTTTCTCCAGGCCGACAAGCTCCAGGCTCTGATCAAGGCCGCCAACGTCGAGGTTGAGCCCATCTGGACTTCCATCTTCGCCAAGGTACGACGTTCCGAATCACCCCGCGCCGCTCAGCGCCCGATGGGAAACCAGACTATAGTTCACCGACCGAGGAAACGAGAAACATGGTGGCTAACCGGGTTTCACTGCAACAGGCTCTTGAGGGCAAGGACGTCAAGGACCTGCTCGTCAACGTCGGCTCTGGTGGTGGTGCCGCCCCCGCTGCCGGTGGCGCTGCCCCTGCCGCCGGTGCTGCCGCCGACGCCCCCGCCGAGGAGGCCAAGGAGGAGGGTAAGAATCATCTTCCCGATCCAATAAACGGTACCCCGCGACAAGTACTAACGGATGTGAATTTTACAGAGAAGGAGGAGTCCGACGAGGATATGGGTTTCGGTCTGTTCGACTAAGCGGTCAAATCAAAAGAAATCCTTCAACGAAAAAAAAGAGCCTACGACGACGAAACCTGTTTTCTTTACTTCCTTTTGTAACAAATTTCTTTTTTCCCACTGCATGGCTTCGGACACCAATCCTTCTTCGGAATCGATCATACAGGGGTTTTTGGGAAAAAGAGAAAAGGGCACATCACAACGACATATCCTGCGGCGGTCCTTGGGGCAGAGTGAGCTGTTTTTCTTCCTGATGCGATGGAAATGGCTTCTTTGAATTCTTTAATGGAGTTTATTTACGCGCGCGTGGGGGGTTAGAACATCAAGATACAGAATTGGTCTGTTTTTGACAACAAAAATGGCACTGCGAAAAAAAAAAGTGAAGAAAAGAAGTCATGTTTCTGATTTGCCATGATGTGATGTGTGATGTCTATTTCCAGCCATGCGAGATATTGCAGGCATTGCTTCCGAACTGCCTGCCACCTACTCTGGCTTTTCTACTCCCCGACTCCAGCCCGATTCTCGCCCCTCCCAACGCCTGCCACATGCTTGCTTAAATGAAGAAGAAGAAGAAAAAAGCAGCCTGGCCAACAGAACATGGCCATTCGTCCCCCGTCTACTTGACAATCAAAGCAGCATTGGGGACAAGGCCAGCCTCCTTGAGCGTCTTGCCCATGTCAATGTCGCCCTGAAATGTCTTGCGAGGGAACGTAGTCGAGAAGCTGGTGACGACGGTGCCCGTCTCGCTCTGCACGGCCTGGGCCAGCTCAAACAACGTCGTCTCGGCAGGCAGCGTCTTCATGATGTTGCCGGTCGGTGTCTGCAGTCGGAGGCGGGCCTCGGTGTGGTTCGCCTTTGGTTTCGGTGCGGCCGGGGCGGTGGCGGCGGCCGACGGCGCAGCTGCTGCCTCTGGTGCTCTACCTTCACGCGCAGCTTTGGCTTCGTCGGCCTTGCGCTTGCGCTCAGCCCTGTCAGCTTCGATCTTGGCCTTGATGCGCTTCTTGGCCTCGATATCGTCGAGCTTCTCTTGGCGCTTGCGGGCGGCCTCTTTGATCTGCTCCTTGCGCTGCAGCTCCTCCTTCGCGTCATGCGTTTCTTTTGTAGACTTTTGGCGAATTTGCTAATAGTTTTTGCCTCTGTCAGTCGGGGTATCCGTGAGCGCGTTCGGTGCTGGGGTCTTATCGCCTACCTCATTCCGCTTATGGTCCTCCTTATCCTTGATGGCTTGGTTGGCGCGCTTGGCCTGCAGCCGCTCTCGGAGCTCCTGCAGCTTCGCCTTCTTCTCCTCTTCGGTCAGAGGGGCAATCTCTTCTGTGGACTCGGAGAAGTCGGTATGTTCGCTGTCGATTGGGCGAGTTAGCACTGGCGAGAGATAAATGGCACAGAAGTAGTAGGACTTACGTTTTACTGGCATGAAAGCTAGCGAGATCAGGATTTCGGAACTTCTTGCCGCACTCGTTGCAGACTAGCGACTTTGCGGTGCCGGTCTCAAGGGCAGCAATTTCGGCTTTGGTATCATCGTCGTCCTCCGCGTCATCAACAACCTTGGCTGCAGCTTCAGCTTGAATTTCCTCGATTGACTTGTCCTGGTTATCTTCAAGCCATTGCAGGGCGCCCTGGACTGCATGTCAAGTGTTAGCTCTCGCCAATGGGGGTAGGGTGCGGCTAGCATACGTCCTCCTGACTTTTTTACGGCGATCTCGGCACGAGTCTTGTCGAAGCCCATATCGAGCAGTTGATCTAGATCGGAAGGCATTGTGACGGTAAATTCTTGGTGTGAAAGTTGAGTGGTGTTTCGTGAACGTGGCAAGCTGAAGTTGAAAGGCTAGTGGGGTAAGACAAGTCGTTAGCAGAGGGGCCAAATCAGTGACGTTGTGTGGAGTGAATGCGCTAAAGGTTTGTTAGGCAGCGGAAGTGACGTGAATTGACACGTTAGTAACTGAAGGGCATTTTTACGGCTCAGCTAAGTTTTTTATGGTATGTAGAATAAACTCGGGGCGAATATTGTGCTTTGGCAAAAGTATAACTGGTTGTTTGGAGTGCCAGGCAGCCGATGTGAATTACCGGTTTGTAAATACTTTGCAACCAACAAGAGCTTTCACTGTGAGCAGAAGCACTGATTACTGCATCCTGCGTGACGGGAAAGAGACATTGATATCAGAAAGAACATGCGGCTTGCTCAGTTGTTAGCCAAGTTGGGTTGAGCAGGGACCAATGCCTTATTGTAACTGAGGACAAAGAGGACGGGTGCTACTCATGGCTGGTAAATTTTTCCAAGAGCACAGCTATAAATGCAAGCTCAAGACAAGTTTATTATTAGCCAAGACCTGGCAACAGGGCTGCACTGCAGACTGCATTGCACAATGGAAGCGCAAGGAATACCAGCAGCAATGCGCCTAGAAACATGTGATGAGGTCACCATTGATCCGGACGCCACTACCAGTGCCTGGTGGTCGGGACAGCGGCGATCAGTGAGGCCGTTGGGTTACTTCACACTGAAGACAGTAAGGAAATCACAAAAAGAAAAAACACTCATTGCTAGGGAGTCTGTTAAAGTTACCCTAAAGATTTAGGATCTCAGTACCCAATGAATAAACCGCAATCCAAGTACATGGCCACTGAAGTAGGCATGTACCTTGGCAGGCATCTCCTTTAAAGTTCAGGCACTCGAGATAGTTGCAAGGCCACTGTGGCGCCCGCTGTAGTGCAGCTGCCAGGGAAGAATCATGCTCGGCTACCTCCTTGCAGGAGGTTGTTTGCATACAACTCGGGTACCGAGATAGGTACCTTGGGTATGGAGGTCAGCTAATGTAGATACCCAAAAGTGAAAGAAAGCAGGGAAGCAGCGACGTGTTGAACTGCTATTTGACTTGAATTGCTTGACGTGATGCGATCCATCCACCCACCCATGTCCAGGTCAAAAAAGACAAAAAGACGCGCCGAGGTCCCTCGTCGTTCCCCATACAGGTGCTACTAAAGCGACCGACCTAACATGATCTGCCTTGCCTGACCAAGCAAGTACACGCATGGCACTCCGTCCGACGACAAACGCCTCCGGCCCCAAACACTGCACTCACTGCTTCCCCTCCTCCTCCCATCTACCCTTTTAATCCTCACCAAACTGTTATCATATTCCTGCAGTTCCACACCACTCACCATTGCTCGCTCTATTGCGTTCGCTTTCTCCTTGTCGTCGCCGCCTGCAACCTCTCACGGTCTGCCCCACGAGCTTCGTGTCCTCCACTGACTCCGTACTGATACCTGCCTACAATCCACCTAACCGACGACCACGCTATCGATCCTCCCACCACCCCGGCTAACCACCTGTCCTCGGTCGCTTCGTCATCCCGTCCCAAACACCTTGCATCGCAACCCGACACCAACCGCCCATCATGTCTATCGATGTCGAGCCCCTCGAGCTGAACTTTCGGCGTATGATGCCCGCAATCCTATTCTATCTCTGCTCGGCCTCGTTGACGCCCTGCTAACCTCACACTCCATCCCCAGGCCCCTTTACCGTCGAGGTGTCGCAGACCCTCACCATCAGGAATACCAGCGCAGCGCCATTGGCTTTCAAGGTACGATGTGATACTCTTACGCGCATTCCGCCAGCCTCTTGCAGCTACTCGTGCTCTTTCTTCCCCATTCTCTCGACGCTAACTAGTGTTTCACTCGCAGGTGAAAACCACTGCTCCCAGACAGTACGGCACCGCCCCCCTCCTTCGCGACACCCTCAACCCCTCATTAACAAGTCTTCAGATACTGCGTTCGACCCAATGCCGGCCGTATCGAGCCTGGCCAGTCTTTCGATGTGTCCGGTACGTGCCACGGCTGCGCGCTTCCCTCTTTTCACCCCCCTCGTACTAACATGCCGCCACAGTCCTCCTTCAGGCCATGAAGGCCGATCCCACACCCGACACCAAGTGCCGCGACAAGTTCCTCGTCCAGTCCGCCCCTATCACTGGAGATAAAGAGTTCACTAGCATTGCCGAGGTGGTGAGTGGTGTCTGTGCCGGCGCAAGCGGCTGATGGTGGCCCGCTAACAAGAGCAGCTCGACAACACGGACAAGGGCCTGAAGGAAGAGCGAAAGATCCGCGTAAACTGGCTTCCTGCGCACGGCGAGGCTGACCCGAGCACTGCCCTCATGACTCCTAGCAAGAAGCTTGTCAACGGCGTATGCAACTTGTTCCCGCCTGCCCTGTCTCTGCGCTAACCACGTGCATTAGAATACGGACACGCCAGACATTTCGCACAACTTTTCCTCGCCCAGTGCTGGCGCTCCTCCACCATATAACGACGACGCCGATGCCCCCGAAATCGACGAGAAGGCCCCGATAGAAACCCCCGCCGCCCTAGCCAGCCGCGCCATCCCCGCCGTCAAGGACGCGGGCAGCGAGACGCTCGAGGCGCTCAAGGCCAAGCTGGCTGCCGCGCAAGCCGAGATTGCCGGCTTTAAGGACAGTGGCCTCCGCCAGCGCAACGTCAAGGTCGGCGAGAGCGAGAGCAAGGCCCCGAGCGAGCTGTCGCAGGCAGTGAAGCAAAATGCCGATGGTGTCTCGGTGCAAGTTGTGGCCATCCTGTGCCTCCTGAGCTTTCTGCTGGCATACTTTTTCTTTTAAACAGCACGTATGCTGGTCTATAATTTAAAATGCATTGGCTGTAGAGGGGTAGCAGAAGGAAGCGGAGAGGGGAGAGGGAAAAGGATGCTTGAAGGAGTTTGTACTGTGTGTTTCGTTTCACTTTTTATTTGTTTTTCTTTTCTTTTTGCTTTATGAAATTGCACATTGCTGGAAAATCTGCACTTGCTTTCAGATTCGCACATTTCTTTAGATATCTGCACCATAGCTGGGCTACTACGCTGCTTGTCCAGCAGAGCGACAGATGGAGAGAGAGCGCGAGGGACGCTCACCGGCGGATGCACAAGAGGTGTGGAAGGCGGAGGCTTGATGATGACAACGACGGAAGTGATTGAAGATGCTAGATTTTTTTTTGGCTCGAGCTTTTTTTTGCGGCTCGGTGTGGTCTTGACTAGTTTTGTTCCTTCCTTCTTTTTCTTCTTTTTTTCCCCTTCAGCTCTCTCTTTGGGTTTGGTTTCTCCTTGGACCTTGCTTTCCCGTTTCCCTGTGTATCATTGGTATGAAACTAGTATTATAATTATCACGTCACAAGTCGCATTGAGGTTGCCTAGTGACAACTCTGACCATCACAATCACGCTCACCTCTTGGGATAATTGATACTTTGTATGGATCCTATCATGTCTAATCATATACCATCTACTACCGGTACCGCGAGAAAATGATTAAAAAGGGGTCTAAACGGACATTATCGAGAAGAAGAGAGAATGAACGCCTGCAGCAAAAGAAAAGGGATACAAAAAGAAAGAGGAGAAGAAAAGTCGCTTTTGAAGTTTATCTATGCTTGAATTTCAGTCTCCTTCCAGCTCACGGCGCCGCCAACCACGCGGCCGCCATTCTGGCGCTTGACGCGGCAGTTCATGCCCACGCTGTCGTCCCAGATGAAACGCCAGATGGCGTAGACCCAGCTCTCGTGGCGGGGGAGGTCGTCGTAGAACTCGCTGGCGATGCGGTTGACCTTGTGGAGGCGTGTCCACGGGATCGCGGGAAAGTCATGGTGCTCGTTGTGCAGGCCGACGTTGTAGGTGACCCAGTTGAGGGGGCCGTAGTAGGAGAAGGTCTCGGGGACGGGGATATTGTTGGCAGGGTCGCGCTGGGCGGGGGTGACGGTCTCGTACACGTAGTGCTCGGCGATGAAGTGGCCGGCGACGGGGTGCAGGCTGCCAGCGAGGAAGGAGGAGAGGACGAGGTAGAGCAGGGCGCGGTGCGAGGCAGCGCGGACGAGGACGACGTCGAAGGCGACCTGCACGGCGATGTTGAGCGCGTGGACGCGCGTGAGGGGGATGCGGTAGACGGTCATGGGCCGGATGGCGTAGAAGAAGATCTGAAAGGTGCAGAAGAAGGCCTTGCCAAAGATGGAGTCGAGGAAGAAGGCCTCGAGGGCGGTGGGCAGGTCGGTGTCGAGGCCGTCGACGCCGAGGGACTTGTGGTGCGTCAGGTGGTAGGGCTATGCGCGCGGTAGACGTTAGCATTAGCAGTCATCGGAGCAGAGGCTTGGGGAGTTGATGATTTCATACTCGGAAGGAAGCGCTGTAGGGGATGCCGATGGGAAGGTTGGCAAAGATGGCGAGGAGGCGGTTGGCGGTGCCGTTCTTGAAGGCCAGGTTGTGGGAGATTTCGTGGATGGCGAGGAAGAGGTTTTGGTTGGCCGTGGCGCCGATAATGTAGGCAATGGTCCAGAATTTGAAAGACCAAAAGGGCGTCGATTGGAGATAGACGGCGAGGGCGACCTGAAGGGCGACGACGCCAGCGACGACGTATTTGGTCAGCGGCTCGGGGCCACAGAGCTTTGTGATCTGGGGTCAGGCAAGTGTCAGCAGGTAGGTAGGTATAAATTCTTGTAGTTTTCCGGAACAACCATGGCAGTGCGCGCCGGCGCGCGGCTGTCCAGGCTTCTGGGATCGTACCTCGGGGTGCTTCTTGATTATCTCGAGACGTCTCGTCCGGTGCGGCTCTTCGGTGTAGGTCCAGAAAAAGTCCTTGGGCCCATTGACGTCCGTCTTGGTCTCGGCAGCGGGCTTCTGGGGCTCGGCCTTGTTGCCAGCGGCTGTCTTGGACATTGTCCTCGTCGATACGGCCATGGTGGTGGTTGTGTAGAACAGAGTCGTGGCAGGTTGAGGGGTTCCCTGATTTTTGGCTGAGGGGAGAGGGGAGTTTGTAGGTTCACAGTTTAGCTCTGTGTGCTAATTTTAGCCTCTGAGCCAGGAACTGTTGAAACGGGTATGGTATTCGGGAACCTGGATGGCGGTTGCAGGAACGAATGTGTGGTAGATAACAGTGCAGGGATGGCTGTTTTGGCGAAGAAGCAGAAAGAATTCGGGATGTAAGGACGGATGGGATTGGGATTGGGGTTGAAAAGGAGGAATATTAAAGTGGTAAAGCCGCTAGGCGGTGCTCTGGGGTGAAGTGGCGTGGTGCGTAGTGGAGGTGCTGCTGTTGAGAAAAGGTTGGTGGGGAATTCAGGGACGCACTGGAAGGGGCCGGTGCCGTGCCTGGGAGCGCTTACTTTATTAACGTTGGTTATAGTAACCACTCTGTTGAGCCACTAATAAAAGCAGAGATATTAAATCAAGTCAGGCTAGTTGGCTACTTGCTTGCCTGATTTTCTGCTTGATCCTTGGCAAGCCTGTTTTTCTTGATTGCTTGATGCCACGTCGATTTACCCGTCTGCTATAATTGGACAGTTCACTAGGCAGTACCTTCTATTTGCTGATCCTGTAGCCTATCAGTCCCAATCGCTGTTGTAGCCTTGTTTAAAACTCCCACAATAACTATTCATGTCAACACGAATGTACTTTAAAGCGGTCAGTTCTCCTGTGAATTTGACCCAGCCGAAGCCGTCTATGTTAATACAGCGCGAGCCTCGAGATTCGTCTCCGACGGATGGGTAGCCCACGTAGCTGACCGTCAGTTTCCTCAAGGAACTCCCGTGAGAGTCCCTAATGGCTGCCAATGTCTCTGTAGGGGGTATATGATGCTCTGCTCGACCTTCGTCGCTCTCCTCTAGCATATCTATCTCTATGTCGTATGGTACCCAGACAAATTCGGTCAGTGCATTTATTCGGGCAAAGCACCGCCGAGCAACGGGCCATTCTACTGGATCCATGTCGTCTGGATCATATATATGCAGCAACGGCCAAATCTCCTTCTACGTTCCAAATCGACGATGTCTGAAGTCCGTGTATATGATAGTGTCACGAAGATGAAGCGGCTCGGGTTGGTAGGTGACTCCAGCCGCAAGAACAATGATTTCGCCAAGAATTTCGTTGGGCAGGTCAAGCAGGGACTGCATATTCAAAGCAGCTTGAACGATTCAAAGCGTGATGAAGCTGTTTCCAAGGTGACGAAGAAATTGATGGAAGAGCAAAAATGAAATGATTTGCTGCCTAGGTAACCGTAACCCAGGGTACATACTTATCCTGCCAAGCCCCCACCTTCTCGGGGCGCGTCTTTATCTACTCAGTCCGGGATCGTGAATATTGCCGGACTGTTCTGCTTCCAACCGAGTGGGAGTATGAACGTGAGGAACATGAGGAAACTTTCTTAGTGCCGTGCTAGAATACTGTGTTGCCAGCAGCTCGTTGCCGTCCTCGACCTTGAGACAGATATCCTCCCGTTTCGCTCGGCTTTAAGTAAGAGTCAGGTTTGCCATCTTACAGTACTCCTCGCAAAGTAGCCTTGGCTCCTGCCCCTGACTCGAAGTTCCGTCATTCTGAGTCTGCAAGTTTAATCCCGATACAACCTGGATCTCATCGACGAGATCGGCTATCTTAGGATAGTGGCCGTTCCAACAATTACTGATAATGCGATCGATCGGGTCTTGTGGGTCGGTCGTGGGGAAGATGCCGTCGAGCAAGCGGTCGACTTGCTCATGCCCTTCAAGCTCAGAGTACAGCTCGGTTCCGCGCGTCATGTACCAAAAGACCGACCCGAGAGCGAACTGCTCAGTGGCCGGGCCGGCAACTCCATATTGACCACCCTTCGGCTCTCTGAAATTTCGAACGTAGGGCTCGTAGCCGACATAAAGCCCATCGCCGACCTTGAGCGAGTGGTCAAAATCAATGAGCTTGACCTGGTCATTGTCGTCGAGCAGGATGTTTATCGGGTTGATGTCACCATGGGCGTAGCCTATCGCTTCCAAGCACGCGGCTGCGTGCGACAACTGCAGCATCCAGGCCAAAACGGGTCGAGGTTTGGCAGTGTGCATGCGATCATGAAGGATGCCGTTTGCTATGAGCTCGAGGAAGCTTACGTCCGAAGCGTGGAGATGGCATCGGACAAGGTGTGGGCAGTTGGACTCGGCAAGCAACTCGAATAATGCCTGCTCGTTACGCAGACGCTCGTCGCCTGCCTTCAGGGACACCTTGGCCACTATAGTAGGGGAGATGCGGAGCACGACAGAGTGGCCGCCAATGCTGAAGATAGAGGAGCCGGGACAAGTCGAGAGAAGTCGTTCTATGATGGGATTTAACACAAATTGTTCAAACGTTGGGTGGGCATAGTAGTCGGCGAGCTTCTCAAATGTCCAATTTAGACCAGCCATTTTGCGCGGTGTTTGGCCCCGGTTTGTAGGAAGGAGAAGGGAGTTGCGTGTATTTAAGTATGTATGTATGCATGTATGTATGCATGTATGTATGTGCCTATGGCAGGAGAACTAGGTGCCTTTTAGTACCTTAAGGTAAGGTAGTTAGTTTCCTGAGTGTTCCACGCTCCAGATACCTACATAAGTAGGTACAGGTACGGAGTATGTGGACCTAAGAACTGGTCGTGGCCTCCTGGAATCCAGCGCCCAAGAGCAATACAATCATCGCAAGGGATCCTCATTCTGGTAGATGCCAAATAATTCATCTTAGGAACGCCACCAGTCACACATGGTCCTGCCCGCAAGGTCGAAGCTCAAGAGGCTTATCCGGTCCGGGGTGACCACAATGCATTTTGACGGGGGCAATCTCGTAGAAGCACATGTCTAAAGGAGTCAACAATGAGCCTCCTAATAGGGAGGACTGGGCGCCATACCGAGATATGTTTTTAGATCGGTGAGGCAGAACGGACAAGACTAAGTAGCTGAGATGATTTTACTATGCTGATTTCGACTTGTACTGAAGCGCCCTCGCAAATATTTATACTCCCAACTAGCCAGCAGGCAGCTAATACTAGTATGGCCGACCCAGTGAGAAGGAATGGATTTTGATGCAAGCTGTAGTTGCCTTGAGTTACTCACATATGATGCTAGCGACCGTGGGGCATGATCCTTCCACTGTGCTGCGGGTTAACTGGTCAACAGGAGCTGTGAATATGTCTTTGTGTTCCCGTGCATAGTGAGTGTATCAACCCGTCACCAAACTAGAGGGCTCAGCTCAACAGAAACCTTTTCAATTAGTGCCAGTGATTGGCAGATAAATTATGGCTTGTCAAGGTATCAATCATATGCAGTGATGCTGGGAGCGCAAGGACCAGCAATTGTGGTTAGGGTCATCACGATATCCCGTTCATGGCTCTTCAAGGGATCGGATGCAGTGATGCCGGGTGCGCAAGGATCACAACTTGTGGTTGATATTGATCACTTTAATATCACATTCATGGATGGCTGACGGCGCGGGGGGCAGGGATCACAACTTGTGGTAGTGCCGACCCACACAGGAAGGGAGAAGGGCAAGCATTTTGCCGAAAAGTACACGCTGACTTGCTCTGCTCTGGTGGTTTTCACCAAAACATTGGATTCCGCCAACAGAAGTCTACCCCCTCCCCGATCTTGGTACTTGAGTGACAGACGTTAGGAAGCAGTACTGAGACGTAGACCCAACGAATTGTGCGTCCCGATTACGTAGCAAGTCCAAAAGTGGCCACCAACCGTTACGACCCTCCGCAGGTCGGGCAGGAATAGCCTTTCACCTGTTTTGTGTCGCGACACGTTTCGCAATCGTAATTCATAGCGATCCGTTGTGGATTTCAAAAGGTTGTTGGTTTGTGATCTACTAAAGTGGCGCTATGCCCTGCGGGAGGATCTGGCTGTTGTTATACAGAGTTGGCTCGTTGGTACCTGACGAGTCCATTTCAGGTATTAGGCGCCACGTGATTGCTCCGCAACGCACCTACCTCGGTCGTGATCTCGAAGTTGACGAAAGCCTGTTAAATTCTAATTAGGTTAGCAATGCTCCACAGCCAACGATGGAGAGCGATTTCTCGCCATATCCCCCCGATGTACTTGTTCTGCTGTGTTTCTGAGAGTCCGAGCGCTGGACGCACATTTGGGAGAGAACAAGGTATATATTGAATAACGTTGCACTTCACCGCTAACGATGGTAGTCCCTTGAAGAGTATATTTTTTAACTCGACTCGAAATATGTAAGGGTCATGCGAGAGCGAACGACGTTGGCGAATCGGCGGATGAGAATGCCGATGACTCCAGAATATAAAGTCAAGATGTGGGCCGGCACTCGTGCCCTGTCAGAGGCTGCGAACGGATGGTAAAGCCATTTAACAACCGCCAAAGGCTACGAAGACACTACGAGCAGCGTACGCGTCGGCAATGCCCACTACGAACTAGTGTTAACAGTATTACCAGATGTTAAATGCGAAGAAATTTGTGTCTGCTGTCATTGGATAATGCCATTTGTGAGAGATTTTATACGACATGCGGAACGACACCAAGTCACAAGCAGAACGAAACTATCATATATCCATAACATGTGTGCGGAGCTGCGGACTCGTGCTAGTGAAGAGTTGGAAACTATGGAGCAATCTCACCGATCAAGTCAACAGAGTGGAGTAAAGAACAGAACGCATGGAATTTTAGAACTCGACCCCCAAGCTCGCCGGTTTAAACGTAAGCGTGACGAAACGGAACAAACGGGGCATAGCACCTAACACCCTTATAGCGACGGTATTCGGCTCTCCAATACAAATTACAACGTATGGAACACCTTCGATGCAAATTCTGAAAATTCTGGCGCAGGGCCGATGCCGGGCTTTGATCAGCTTTCTTAACATATTACTGCGGCATTGAGTATCGATGATGGGACAAACACTCTTGCAGGTACCCAGGTCGGCGTACTGATCCCCAATCCGGTACAAGCAACCAACGCAATATTTAACGAACTCGATTTCGATGCCCGTGTGAACAACATCATGAATGTGCCGGACTTTCTGAACTTGTGGCAAGTGTAGGGTTGGAAGAATTCTCCTACGCTGCCAGTCATGCCGAGTATCTCTAGTGGCGGGATCTTTAAATGCAAAATTAAGGCGAATACCTAGTAAGTGCATGGCTGCAACCTTCTCAACTAGACCTGAAGTGTTTAGCAACATCATTTTTAGCCACCGGTCAGGTCGCTCTATAATGTCGATGGTAGTAAATTCGAATGTGATAGCATAGCCTTCCTTGAGTTCAAACGAAACACGGGCGTCAAATACGGCTCTGTAAGGGAATCAGCTTGATGATTCATAACAATCTGGTATCGACTTACAACCCACCATCGAGGAACCTCTTCCTCAACATGTTCACAGCCAGCAGCAAGGAGATCGCTTTCTTCTATTTCGTACAGCAGTCTTTCCCCAGTACCAGTCGGCAGATCATGCTTGTGAGCATGTTTCCAATATGCGACTTTCGATCCCTTGCTGAGAAGCTGGACCACAAGCCTTCGGCGACCAGCCCTCGGACCCCCTCTTCTAAAGCAAAGAATATGGCCGGGTTACTTTTTATATCTCAGCCAATGCGCGAGAACGCATTCATCGTGTTGGAAAAAGCTGGCGACAATAGGGCGGATTCGCTAGAATTATTAGTCGCTGGCAAAAAGTCATCCTTTTTGCACAAACCTCGTTGAGAACATGCTGCTCGCAAAATTCGAGTCCGAACTCGGTATGGTACGGGAAATATCTTCTCTCCATCTCCGCAATATCTTCTCCTATATTAGTATCTCTTGCCACAAAACACCCATCTTGGAGGAGATTTTTCTCAGCATCTTGGAAAACGGCCATCATCGTTGTGAACAACTTGCTTATTGTACCTTCCACCACAAATCTCGCAAACAGAGATGGCAGTCGCTGCAGGGAAAGAATATTCCGGCAGTCGCTTACTGCCTAGCGAACTACAGGGTAGTGTTTGGTTAACAAACCACGGTCGTCACCAAGGCGGGGTATCTTTCGTGAAGCAAGACTTGCGTTCTTCCCATGGAGTACCATGCAATTGAGCTGCTTGCTCCTCCTCCACAGTCAAAGGGGTAGGGCTAACCAAGCTTAGGTACCGACAATGGTCCCTGGTAGATTCGAATCTTGCACGGCCAACCTATGTTGCGCCTGGGAATCGTGTACGCTGCGGCCCACTGCCGCTTGCTCTATCTGCTTGCCAGGCTACTTCCATGGCACTGAGTATTCACAATCATACAATCTCCATCCTGAAAAGGACGGAATGCGACAAAGATATTCACAAAAATGACCAACGCTCCGGCCTTTCACCTCACGAGCCGTTGCTAGCACATGAGAAAACGCCCGCCACCTCGTGCGCTTCAAACGAGTCAATGATGCCCTGGACACTGGCATACGTTCCCACCGTCAGAAACATGATGCCGATCAGAATGATAAGCACATTGAGGGCGTTCGAGAGGAAGTCAATGACCTTGTTCTCCTTCTTTCCGTCTTGACGATCCACATGGCGCATCCGGAAGTAGGCCACACCCCAAAAGATAAAGCCGAACCAGCTGTCAAACAACGAAGACATGACCGATAAAACTGTGTTGCCAGGTTAATTTTTATCCATCAAATAGTACTTCTCTCCAGAGAAAAAGGAAAAGCTTACGTGACGAGAAGAAGGGAATCACCTGCGAGATGAAGAATGCAGCGATCCAAGTGACGAGCAGAATACCAGCCCACGAGCTCCATCCCACAACGGTGTGGTCGTTGAGATGCCGAGAATTGCGGAAGAGGCGGAAGAAGACGAACCGACAGGTCACCGACGCGTACAGGCAGCCCAGGAATATAAGTGTGGGTATCATGAACGAGAAAGAAATCTTTTTGTACAAGTCTTGCAGAGATCCGAACGCTGGTGCAGTCATGTAATTGTTACCAACAAAAACATACATCACTGCGCCAACTACGCAAAAGACAATAATCTCGGCAATGGTACAAGCCCACAGCGACTTGGGAAACTCGCTATATATTGTTAGCAACGAAGACACCACCGTAATAGCCAATGTTGCTTACCGAGGGTCGCGCATTTCCGCAATGAAGCTGGGCAGAGTGATTTGTCCGATAAAGGTGTAACTGATGTTAAGGAAAGCCGCCATGCCTTGAACGAAAGTAGTGCTCGCATTTGGGAACAGGTCGTACACGATGTCGCCGCTGCCAGCCTTGGCGGGAGGACCGCTCTGGACGCCTGCAAAGATTGCCGCCAGGACCACAGAGATGAAGGTGAAGCCAGCAGATGCGGTGCCAAGCTTGGACATCATCTCAAATGTGCGGGGGAGGGAGCCGACCCAGCAGATGAAGGTCACCAGGACAGAGAATTCCACTGTTCGGCACCCGCCAATCGTGTCGCTCTCTGTCATGGTGTTGATGTACTTGGCTCCCACCAGGACGTGAAGAGCCTGGATAAAGGTGTTGTTGAGGATGAACATGACGGCGGTTCCCCACCATGCCCATTTCTTACCCCAGAACAGGGTCTGGCCCAGATCGCAGACATCGCGAATCTCTGGGTGGCGGAGGCAGAACTTCCACATTATCAGACTGGTGTAAAGGACGAACGCGGCGACAACGACGGTCAGGATGAGTCCGGGAATGAGGCCAAGATAGCGGTACGACCATGGGAAACTCATGATGGCGAGGCAAATGTACTCGCTGAACAACAGAGCGGCTGTTTTTTGCCACGAGCAGGTGCGGTACTGGATGGCAGCACCATCCTCCGCTGCCAGCTGCCGGTCTAGAATCTCAGAAGCAGTCTCGAGATGATCGCTGTCGTCGGTTTTAAGGTATTCTGGCATCGGCGCAATGCGCGAGCCAACAACAACATCCTTGCCGCCAAATATAGAGGCCCATCTGGACGAACCGGTTGTAATGGCCGTGCTTGTGGCTTCAAGATCCGCAGGGGAGGACCCTTTGTATGACTTATCGGACATTGTAATTGGGATGAATTGTCGCCTTGTTCGGTCCGTGTTGCTGAGGAGAGTGGGCAAGCTGTCGCGACTGCCAATCAATTAAAAAACCCGGGGCATTCGCGACTTTGGTGACCGACGACGGGGGGGCGCAAGAGGAATATCTTGGTAGATCTTAAAGATGTAAAAGAGGTAAAGGCGACAGGATGGGGATAGTCCGCATGAACAATGGTGTTTTATTGAATTGCGATGCGTACAAAAGGGCCGGACCTGGGGTGAGACCGTAAGCGGTGCGTCAGGGAATGAAAACGGAATTGCAAGACAACGAACTTTGTGTGTCGACCAAACCGGGGCGGCCTAAGTTTAAAAGTAGCCCTTGTCAACCGTCGACTGCATTCCACAGATAGGAATCGCCGCCGTCTCACTCCCACGGCAGCAGGAGTGCTGCAACTAATGACAGCAAGCGGCCTTTGGTGGTTGACTAGGCCCGGCCAGCCCATCCAGCCAGCGAATGATGAAGCCGTGCAGTGCAGAGCTGCAATGACGTCTTGAGTTGCCCCTGTAAATATGCCCCAAGTACCCCCCACAGTGGGCGGCGCCATGTGGACATGGCGTCGCCGGAGTGGCTGCTGAGGCTTGGGCAAAGTTTTCTATACAGTGCATCTGGTTCGCTGCTTTTCGCTGGTTTTGCTCCAGCTTTTGTCTTGGCTGTGGTGGTTTGCCAGTTTCAGCGCCTCGCCAAGTCGCTTCGTCCCGGATGCGTTCTCGATGTGCCTGCTTGGCGAAGCCGAGGCGGCGACATGTTTTTGTGGTATAGCACGAGATGTCTGTAGCCCGAGCAGTTACTGGAGACCATGATTTGTCTGTTCAATGCTCCCATCAGATTCAGGGCAGCCAGCACAGTGTCAATTGCGTGCTGCCCAGACACCAAAAGTGGCGGCTCGGCTGCTGGAGCCACGCAGGCAGGGCGGGCTGGCAAGCAAGATAGACACAAAGTTTAGTGAGATGCGTACCAGCGTAGCGCATAATTTTCGAAACAGCTCGTGAGTTCCCGGGGGGGTGGGGGGCAGCAACGAACGGCCCACTGATGTTTTTGTTACCCAGGTCGGCTAGGCCGTTCTTTCGTCGTCAGTCAAATACCAATAGAAAGCGGCACTGTATTGACGAGATGGATGACATTGACGCTGGAGATGGCTCGTTTCATTTGTCGTTATGACGGAAGAATGGAGATGGAGGATGGAGAACCCCCGTTGTAAAACTGAAATTTCAAAGTTGGGTGGGCAGACAGATGTGTTGCACTTTTCCTTTTCAATTGCTCCTGGCACAGAACCGCCACCTAGCAGCTGGCGCTTGACAGCTGGCAGGCGAAATAGCAACCCAACCGGCATAACTCGACAAACGGGCAACAATAAGTAGTTAAATCATGATATCCAGAATCTTACTTCAGCACACCACCAGACATGCGACTGCACCCTTGATCAGAATACCAACCCGTCAAAGACAGCCAGCATGAACTTGGCAACAGGTCACGCAACCAACCCAAAAATCTAGTTATTAGTCGCCGACAGCCGTCAGATTTCGGGACCGCCGTCGCGAGGCTTCGATCACGCAATCCGTCAAACAAGGCTTCTTATCAGCGCAGGCATCAATCAGCAAGCGCCGCGCATAGCCAATACTTTGAGCATCACAAAGTTAGCTCCGCAGCACCAGAGCACGCCATAGTCTGGAGCGGTCGCCCGTCGGGGTCGGGAGTCGGATTTCTGCTGCTTCATTTTGACCTTGCGGTAGTATCATCCGTTTTTATGCGATGCAATTGCGTGTACGCGCGCAGGTCGTGCGGTGTGCTCTAGTTATTGTTCCATTGCTTGAACAATGGTTGCTCCCTGGGCCGCTGGAATGGCGATTCCGCATTCCCATGTTTCCCCGCATGCGGAATCCGGGTTATTAATAAGCATGCGCATGTGAAATATCGATAAAGGACCAACACAGACTTCAACAAGAAGCTACACTCTATGGCCTGTCTTCACGGTACGTAGGGAAATGTTCTTAGATGTCATTACAAGACCGGTGGGTTCGCAATTTGTAACAAGTGGTGTTTTGGGCGAATTTCCCTGCCCATATTATGGCACTGTAAACACCTTGTAGGCCACTGAGTGTGATGTAGCACAAAGACTGCACAGTGGCTACATAGGTACCAGGGCATCGCAGCTTTTCTGGCTCCAGGCTGCAGCTTCAGTCACAACGACGCCCTGAGATATATTGCAACAACACTGTCGGCCACGTCAACCTGCCCTCCTATGCGATTCTAGATAACGAAATCGATGAAGTCACTTTGGATATGGTGTTCTTTGCCTTGCTGAGCTCATTAGTTGGCTCAGCTGCACCCGGCTCGGACTGCGTAGGACGACTCATCTCGGCGGCTTTTATCTGGCAGCTAACATACCTCGAATTATGTGCAACGATGGCGGATTCTCTCACTTTCGGAAGTGCTGCCTGGATGAGTGGGGAGGAATATGGAGGCGAATACGCCGTGCGCATCAAGCAATTCATCAATAAAATTGACGAAAAAGCTCTACTCTCTTACGCCTCGTCGCTTCGGGGGGAACAACCATGCACCATTTCTCCTGAGTTTTCCGTAGGAAGTTTCAACCTTGTGCACAAGATTCAGTTCAACGATGGCGTTGAGTGGGTTGCGAGACTACAGATGCCTCCGATCCGGGACGGGGGCAGCGTGATGGTCTCTCCTGCCACCCAGGAGAGGATGATCTTAGATATGCAGTCGGAACTTGCCACGATGGAGTTTGTGCGGTAAGCTGGCTGCATATAATTTTCTCATGGTGCTAAGCCTTTCGCAGCCAGAACACGGGCATCACAATCCCAAGAGTCTACGCCTATGATCTGAATGGCCAAAACGATGTTGGATGCCCCTTCTCCATTATCGAATACGTCGATGGCAACACCGCAGAGGAGGTGTCTCGAAACTACCCTGGCGAGCATGAAGGCATCCCAGCGCAGTTTGAGGAGAAAGTCAGCAGGTGCTCAGGTCATAATCCGGCTTGCCTCGATCCGGCTACCAAAAATCGGCTCTATCATCCGAGACGGCTCGGACTCGTTTGTTGTGGGACAGCTAGTCGAAACAGGCACAGGGCCGCACAATACTGCTGCCGAGTTCTACGCGGACTACCCTCTGGCACTGAGTAGAAGCCTCGGAGAGCAGCCGGTCAGCGGACAAGACGAGTTGATGCAAGCATTCCGCTCCCTCGCCGCTTCCTTTCCGTCAGATGGCTCCGGAGAGGGGTTTGGCCTGGCTAACTACGATCTCAATCTGAACAACATCCTTGTCGATCGGGAGTTCAACGTACTCACCGTCATTGACTGGGACTTCGTTGTCTCGGTGCCCGATGCGGCGCTCTACCGCTTTCCGTTTCTGATGGGCGTCAGCTGCGCCGTCCCTGGGGTTGTTGACGCACACTCCAAAGTTATAAAACAGGAGCAGCTCAGGCGGCGATTTGCTGAGGTTGTCGAAGAAGTGGCACAGCAGCAAGCGGGTAAAGACTGCGAAGGTGCGAACAAGTTGCACAAGCACCTTTTTACGAGATCAGGGTTCTTCTCCAAGGAGGCGGTGGCGTTCCGCTCTCTGATCCGCGTCAAAATGCGCCAGGACTGGGTCAACGACACATGGCTTCGCGGTCTAAAATGGTTGAGCCAGCACGATGAAATGCAGGTTGCGCAGTTTTATCTTCCAGGCTGAGATCTATCTATCTTCGAGGAGGAGAGGGTTAACAACGACAGTCGGATGACTTCGGTCATCCAGTAGGCAGTGACGCATTCCCTGAAGGCAGCCACAATACTCGCTTATTGCTGGTGAAGAATGGGCATTGTGACTGAAGCTTCTGATTCGGCGTCAGCCAACATGCGGGAAGTCAGTCGCAGCGGCGTATCGCCTCGGCTCTATGTGAATCTGAGATTGTAAGGAAGTTTTAAGCTAGAATCGACATCTTGGCGACACGCCATGTAGAAACGATATTAGGACTTTTAGTGCTATCAATTTCCGCAGATTTTCGTCGCGCATCAGTTGGATGATTCAGTTGAAATCCTTAAAAAGTCTCCGAAAATCAAGACGGTCGATGGTGCTGGCCAGTCTAGGGCCGGGCTATCTTCAGACCAACAGCCACTAACGCCGACTTCCATCCTCCACCAGCACGGCATGGCACCACTTGAACCCGAAGAAAAGGCACGACTCGTCGCCTCTATTTCACACGAGCTCGCAAGTACTCCGTATGCATGTACAGATCTTGAGCCGTTGCTCAGCGGAACCACCAATTTCACCTTTCGCGGACGCCTCATCGCCGCCCTGCCCGAAACCGAGGAACAGACTGTCATTGTCAAGCACACGACAAGCTATGTAGCCCTCAACAAGGATTTTGCCATTGACATTTCCCGTTGCGTGCGTTTGTCTTCCCACTGCAATTTTCTACCAGTCACTTACCAATCACCATTACAGCTATTTGAAGTATACGCTTTGGAAGCCCTGAATGGCTTTCCCGCCATAGAACCTGCCTCGGGTGACTCATTCTCCGCGCTGTCCCCCCAGCTCTACTACTTCTGCCGCACCGCGAAAATCCAGGTGCTGCAGGACATCCGAGGCGTGCTAGATTTGAGGGCGATTCTCGATACGCCGGGTGCCGATTCCAAGGTATCTCAGGCGCAGGTCGCGGACGTCGGGCGCGCCGCCGGCGCCTGGCTGCGCCGCTTCCACACCTGGACGGCAGAGCCAGCACAGCGGCCGCTTGCGCAGCAGGTGGCCGAAAACGACGGTATGCGTGAGCTCAAGGCCCGCGTCACTTGCGACGCCTTCATCGAGGTGCTGGAGAATTTCCCAGACATCTACGAGCGCCATGCAGCGACACTCGGCCTCGTGAGGGGCATGGCCAGGCAAGAGTTCCAGCGAAGCCCAGGCCAATGCGATCAAGAAGACGGCTGGGGGGTCATCCATGGTGATTTCTGGTCCGGAAAGTGAGCTCTTCCCGTTGCTTTTGCTCGGCTTCCATGCGTGCCGCCCATATCCTTGGTACTTCGCTTACATGTCGTCTAGTATTCTTGTTCCATCCAGCATACTCACCCCGTGCGGCGTTGAAGGCAACGACAAGCGCGTTGCCATTATTGACTGGGAATCCTGTCAATTCGGGCCTCGCGCGTTCGACATTGGCGGCATGCTCGGCGACATGTGCGAGAGGAACCACTTCAAGGGCGTCCGGGCGGCCCTATCCGCCATGGAGGGCTTCATCGCGGGGTACGGCCCCGTCAGCGATACGCTCGCGTTTCGGGTGGCAATGCACGCGGGTATTTTCCTAATTACGTGGTATAATCGACGCTCGCCGGGGAGTCCTCTACCCGCGCCGCTCCAAGTTGCACGAGAGGCCATGGCGCTCGGCGTCCAGCTCATTGTCCGAGGGTGGAAACAGGACAGAGAATGGTTCAAGCAGAGCATTATTGCATCTCTGTTCGCCAACTAGATTGAATCGCTCAGACGCACTAGTACTTTTATGATGAATGATGAATGATGAATGATGCAAAAGAGAATTTCGTGGTACACTTTCATGTGCCGGCACCCATCTTGTATACTGCGCTCCGCAAGGGTTCTGTGCGGTTAGCCAGAACAACGACAGTGCACTTTGCAATATTCACGCACACGCACCAGCCTAATGCAACCATATGAGATGAAGATGCAGAGATCCATCGGCAGGCTACCAACCAGAAGCTAGATGGGCCAGCAACCAGGCATGCGGAGAGCAAACGCGTCGTGTGGCTTTGTTGTTGTGGCTCATGCAAGGTGAGGAACTGGTGTGGCTCATAATGCTCCCCCATTTTGCCCGTCGCGTCGCCCAGCGGTCACGCGATGAACCCAGCGGTACCTGCCGGGGGACACGCTAAAACAAGTACCTGAATGTACACGGACCCGCACTCTTTCAGCTGCTCAGGCACCTTTGGGCGCCCATCGGCGTCGCCTCTAGCCGCTGGTCAGCTGGATAGGAGCTACCAAGAGGTACATTGAGGTACATGACGCGACCCATGCTTCCAGGGAAGAACCAGACAGCTTGTTCATCAGCTGAAGCTGCCCACTTGCCTGCCACCTGCACCTTATCAGCGAGCACCTTGATCAGCAGCCCAGCTCGATGAGATTATTATCAGCTAACAACGTTAGCACGGTGTCCTCTTGTTACCACAGGTAGACAGACCGCCCATCAACAAGTCTACCTCCACCAAAGATTCCTGGCTGCCACCACCTTGGCCTGTCAACACGCCATCATCTCGACGCTCCTCATCCTCTTCTCCTCCCTCCTTCCCCCCCTCATCTCCATCTACGACGACGAACCCACCACAAACGCCGATTTTCCCTCGAGAACTTCGCCCTACCTCGACCACCAAACGATCGCAGAACGACCACAGGCTTAGCTGCAGCTCCAACCCTAGGTGCCCTATCTCCTGAGCTCCGCCAAAAAATCTCCAAGCTTGTGATCGGTGGTGGACCCTTGCAAAAGGCACAAGCAACAACGAGCGAAGAAGAGAAAAAAAAAAGGAAAAATACTCCGAAAAAGCACCTACACACCTCGACGACGAAGCACAACGATTACAAAAACAATTATCCCATAGCACGCCCCCCATCCGTTGGGCGGCTCCCTCTGTCGCTCCGATGTGGTGGACATTCAGCGTGCTCTTCAGCGCCGTCTTCCTCTTCACCATTGTCCTCTCCATACCCGTCGCCTTCGACGTCGGCGGCCGGGACTCGGGCCTCGCCTACAGCCTCGCCCTCTTCGTCTACTACTTCGCCTACTCGTGCCTCCGCATCGCCGTCCCTGAGCGCTCCCGCTTCGCCTGGTCCGTCCACGCCTTCCTCCGCCTCTCCCAGTGGGTGGTGATCCCGTCCCTGCTCATCTGGGCCCTCGGCCAGTTCGCCGTCGACGCCCCCAGCTCCGCCGGCTGGGTCGAGCGCACCCTGGGCAGCGTCCTGCACCAGACCCGCGCCGCCGCCGGAGCCTCCGTCACCTGGTCCGACTACTTCTTCGGCAAGAATGGCCTGCTCGAGACCGTCACCCTCGGCGTCTGGGACAGCATCCTCCTCTACTCCGGCCCCGTCTTCCAGCTGCTCGAGGGCTTCTGCACCCTGCTCGTCATCCAGGCCGCCGGCCAAATCACCCGCTGGCTGGTGAACCGCGGACGCAGTGACACCTGGGTGGTCAGTATACTCCACGTCGTGTTGCATCGTCGAAAGACTAACCCATAATATCCAGATCGTTCTCCTCGTCTTCTCTGCATCCATCATCGCCAGCGCCGTCTACTTTCTCTGGCGAGTCGCCCAATTCCCGCAAATCAGCAACTTTGACGCCACCCTCATCGGTGTCACCATGACCACGGCTGTCTTTCTCTGCGCCTACGGAATTGGGAGTGGACGCGGTAGCCCCGTAGAGTCGTCGCTGCTCTTTGCCTACGTCGTTCTCTGCGTTTACCAAATCTTCACCGACTACATGCCCTCCGACCCGGCCGTCAACCCCGATGACATCGGCGTCGCTCAGCCAGAGTTCCCGCCTCTGCCACCCATAATCATGGCCTCGTACTCGACCCTCGTGCACCTCGTCAGCTCCTTGCCCAGCGCGATGCACTCGTCGCTCGCCTTTCTCTACGCCGCGTTCCAGACCATCACTCCGTCCGTCATCATCTCGCTCACATACAGACTCCTCGTCTTCTACTGCGCGACCCGCATCATCCCGTCAGTGCGCGATCTCGGCGCGAGAGCACTCCTGCGGGACCCCGACTTTGACGATACCGAGGCTTCCAACGTCTTTCTTGGCATCCTCAGCTGGTTCTCCCCGTCGATCCTCGTGTCCGTCTACACCAGCTTGTTGCTCCAGCACTTTTCTGCCAGTGAAGGGCCCGACGGTTGGACGTTACGGGCCGGCGACGCGGGAAGCAGCAACTGGCGCTGGATCAACGTCGGCCTCACCATGGGCCTGTACGGTGTCGAGCTCTACCTCGGCTCTGAGCAACAAGATCACTGGAAGGTGGACTAACTGCGCGCTCTTCTCTTCGTTTGCTTTCATTTTTTCCGCAAGATACCAAACTGCCTTTGTCAATGAACCGGTTCTGGGCACTTTCTTCCAGCTCAGCCCAACACCTTATCGTTCTCCCACACAGATGTCGTTGACACCCCCAACGTTAACTACATCATCCAGAACGGTCACATCAAAGTTTAGAGCGCATCCCAAGGGATGGTGATTGTTTTTTCCACACTTTTCTTTTCCTTCATCAACAGCACATAGTACAAGCTTTTTGTCTTCTTTGAAAAACATTGGGTCTGGGAACGGTGGTATGGAAAATGTGATTTGGAGATTCTTGAATCTTCTTCTTTCTTCTTTGAATCGGGCTTTCTAGAAGCTTCAGAGTGGCGTTAATCACGGTTATAGGAACTTTTTCTTCTTGTTCTTTTTCATGTAGTCTTTTTCTCCAGAGCATGGCGACGGTGATATATGTCTTTCTGTTCTTTGTTCTACTGCTTCTTCTTTGTCTTCTTTCGGTCTTCTGTTCATTCTTGGAACCATGTCAATAATGTTCTTTTTCAGATGAGTTGGGAAAGCGATGAATGCTGAATTAGGAAATCAATGGTTCCAATATAGTGCTGGCTTTGTGAAAGGAACGATGTCTGATCATCCTTTACCCCACTAAGAACGCCGAACGCAACCCACTCCCACCTCCGACCTCGCCGAGCTATAGACACTCTTACATCTCACACATATCTCACAGGCCTTAAGTTGCTATCTGCGAGAGGGGGCGAATTCGTATCAAATTAGCCATCCGCCGAGTTTCAGAACCCGACCGGCCTCGTGGTCATCCGTCACCAAACATACTCGACCTCGGCACGGCTACGCTACATTGTCTTCTTCCGAGGCTCATACACTCCCCTTCATATCACACAGATCACAACAGCTTGATTTACACCGTCTACATCCAGGGAACCAGTAAATCCCGCACACCATGCCCGAGAACATCGCACCATACCAAACACGGGGCCTCCCACCCATGCCTTCCGTCTCACGGCACACCCTGCCCATGGCCGGACTCCTCGTCGACGTCTACGGCCTCGACGAGCTGTCCTCCCAGCGCTCCTCGCTGCCCACCACCTGCCTGTGGCTGCTGCACCCGCGCACGCGCAACCGCGGCGTCGTGGCCGACATCGCCTCGCGCGCGCTCGCCCGCTGGCACGCCTCCGCGGCCAGCAAGGCGCGGAACCTGGTGGCGCTGGCGTTCGACATGCCCAACCACGGGTCGCGGCTCGTCAGCGCCACGGCCAACGAGGCCTGGGACGGCGGCAACGCGACGCACGCGGTCGACATGCTCGGCGCGGTGCGCGGCGCCGTCGCGGACGTGCAGCTCCTCATGGACCTCGTCGACGGGTACCTGGGCGTGCGTGCGGACGCGCACGCCTGCCTGGGCTGGAGCCTGGGCGGGCACAGCGCGTGGCAGGCGTGGTTGGGCGAGGAGCGCGTAGATGCGGCGGTCGTCGTCGTCGGCTGTCCCGACTACATGAGTACGTTTCCCCCCTCCCTCCCTCCCTACAGAAGCGCAAACTAACACGCAGGGGGGGGGGAAGACCTGATGAGCAGCCGCGCCGTCGCGGGCGGCCTGGCCTCCTCGGCGGAGGCCTTCATCGGCGGCCCGCACTTCCCACCGAGCCTGGTCCGCGCGTGCCTCGCGCATGACCCCAAGGTGGTGCTGTTCGGCGGGGCGGAGCGCCCGGTGCCGAGCGTGCCGCTGGGCGAACAGGACAGGGAGCGCGTGCGCGACGCGCTGGACAGACGCCGCGTGGCGGGCAAGCGGCTGCTGCTGTGCTCGGGCGGCCGCGACGCGCTGGTGCCGCCGGCGGTCGGCCGGCCGGTCGTGGACGTGCTGGTGGACGCCGGCCGGTGGTACGACGTGCGCGTGGACAGCAGGGTGTACGAGGGCGTCGGGCACGCGTTCAGCAAGGACATGGTGACGGACGCGGTGGAGTTCCTGGTCGACGCGGTGGCGCGCGGGCCGCGGGAGGGCGGGGAGGGCGGCAGGGCGGCCAAGATGTAGGGAGGATGTGCGATGAAATGGTTATATATTTGTGAGGTAAATTTACATGTGCGAAATTACGCTTTTGTCCCAACCCTGTAAGAAATGGTATAGATAGTGTACAAGATAAGCGGTAAAAGAAAACATGAAGCAGCCACCGCTACGAGAGTCATTGCTTTGGATCATTGTCTCTCTGGTTGGCCTCTTCGGGGAGCCGCGTTTCCGACTGCGGCTCCGCCTCGGGCGCCGAAGCCACCTTCGACTTGCGCCGCGACGGGCCCGGCGGACGCCCGTAAATCTTGGCGTAGCTCATAAACTTCATCTCGGGTATGGCGACCTTGTAGCCCCGCAGCTCGTGCATGGCGCCCTGGTACGCGGCAATGTGCTCGCCCTGGCGCCTGATGAGCTCCTTGACGGTGCTTAGTATGTCCACGCGCTCCGGACCCGGCAGCGGCGTCGCCTCCACTGCCGCCGCCGCCGCCTTACTCTTCTTTCGGTCAGGCACGCCGTTTTCTGTGTCGAGTTCGATGCACTCGATGGCCTGCGCGTAGCGCGCGGCCTGCTTCTGGTGGTAAGCGGCGCAGCGCTGCACGGCGCGCGTCTCCGGGGACACGACGGGGGAGGTGCGTGGCGGCGGCTGCTGCTCGCGGTCGGCGTCGTCGGAGACGAGGGCGTCGCTGCGGATCGGGTTGAGGCGCCAGTGGCGCCGGGCCTGCTTGAACTCGCGCGCCTCGTCGGGCGTGAGCTCGCGCGTCTGCGCGAGCTGCGTGTAGTACCAGAGCTGCGAGCGGCCCGGCCGCATTGTCTTGAAGCGGCGGCGCGTGTGCACGCCCTCGGTGTTGTACAGCTCGCGGATCAGGTACAGGCTTCCCGTGACGATAATGTGCCCGTCCTCGCCGGCCTGGCGACACGCCCACTGCAGCGCGGCGTCGACGCTCGGGTCGCCATCGTAGAGCTGCTGCGAGCTGCTGCCCACGATAGCCTCGGCGATCTCGCGGCCGAGCGGCGCGGGCGCAGCGGCCGGCTCGTTGGGGAGAGGCTGGTACTCGACGAAGGCGAAGCGGTCTTGCGGCCGTACCAGCGTCTCGATGAGAGAAGCAAAGGGCTTTGTCTTGCTCGCAGACAAGCCCATGATCCAGGTTACCGGCTCGTCGCCCCGGCGCATCTGATTGTCGACGTAGGTGGAAAGAGCCTGCACTCCGAGCATGTTGTGGGCGCCGTCGACAAAGACTGGCTGCTCTCGCAGCCCGTTTGTTAGGTCGCGGACAGATATTAGGTCCTTTCGCCCAGGTGGATATGGGCGTTTTGACAGTAGCTTGTTGAGGTCGATTTCCATGTTGGGGAAGAGCTTTTTGAATGCTAATAACGCGCACAGTAGATTCTGCTTCTCGTAATCCTCGAGTTGAAACTTGTCGGTGTCAATCGGGCTCAGCAACTCGGCAGCGTCGTCGGTCAAGTAATATGGTGCACCGATGCTGCGCGCATGGTCCGTGAGCACACGAAGCACCTCGACCGAATTGGTATGATCGATGATGCAAGGAACAAATGGGCGCATGATTCCTGCTTTGACGCTGGCGATTTCTTCAATCGTATTTCCCAGATACTCTTGGTGGTCGAGGCCAATTTTGGATATCACGGTGACGCCTTTCTCATGCATGGCGTTGGTGGCATCTGAGGTGCCGCCCATTCCGACCTCGACAATGCCGTATTTAACGTGCAGCGCGTTGAAGATGCGAAAAGCGACAGCTGTGTCGAGCTCGAAGGGCGTCAGCTCGCCGGGATCCTCGCCGGTCTGAAACGTCCACCCGGAGGCGGCCTTGCGAAACCGGGCCTGCACGTTTCTCATCTCGGACTCGTATAGCCTTTGGTTCGGATACATGCCATTGATTGCGACTCCGTTTCGCGAGCCAAAGAGAGAAGGGGATGTAAAGACGCCATGGCTAACACCGGAAAGCTTAAACATGTAGGAAAGGAGCGTACATATTGAGCCTTTGCCGTTGGTCCCCCCGACATGCACTCCTGTCCACGATTGCTCCTTTTGGATTGCCCTAGTAATTCGTTCTAGGCCGAGACGGATATTACGTCTATCGCCCTCGAGCTTTCTTTGCGCCGGGATGGCCGTCCGGACGCGGTCCAGAGCACGCTTCAAATCCCTGGCGGAAGGCATGGCAGTTGACGCGCTGTAAGACTATGGCGCCTCTGCAGTCAAGATATGACAACCGCAGTGATGAGACAGCTCGGACGCTTCATTGACGCCGTCATAAAGGCGGCCGTTGTCGTGGGAGGTTGAGCAGTGGACAGGTTGAATGGTAGCAAGCCTGATATTTGCAGAGACACAGCTGCGCCACACCTTAAACCTGAATGCGCCACACCGTTGTCGGAAATATAATAGCCCGCTCCGCAAGTAGGCTGATCATTTTTTACAGCCACACTCAGCCACCCCTACTTGCCTACCACTCAGCGTTGAGAAGGAACGGATCTGGTCGCGAGTTCCTGGCACCTCGCCATCCCCCGTTCGACTGGCGGCTCCGTTTTTCGTCTCTCCACCAGTCTTCAATACCTCGATCTTCTGGAGGCCATCACAACGCCGCCACTTCTGTCGCTTCGACTTTGTAGTTGTCTTTTCACGGTGCAGATCATCTGAGCCATTGACTTGGTACTCTTTTTTTACTGATCTTGCCCCGACAATATCGCCACAATGGGTCTTCCGTAAGTTTCAGCATATCTTGTCCAAGCCCTGGTCTGAAGCGCCCTTGTTGGGACTCCAGTTCGTCGCGCGCACGCCTCTGTTTCTATAACTACAACTCTTCTTGTCGCGTACTATCTTGTGTTGGACCGCGTGTTGCGCGTCATCTCCGCAACGATGCCGTGCCGCTGAGGCGCATAGTTGCACAGACAGGCCACCCGCCTAACAAGAATCCATCCGAGCCATTTCAGCTGGCAGAATATCACTAACCGTGGCCGATTGAGTAGGCTCTTTATCGCTCCTGTCGAATCCGATGTGACTCGCAAAACTCCTCATAAAAATAGGACTACGTCCCCTCCGCGTTCCTCGATTCGTCGCGCTGATCGCGCGAGTGAACGGGAGCGCCAGCGCAACGTGGTTCGTCGCGCCGCGGCCCGAATTTATGGTCCCGTGCAGCGCACAGTGAGCACCACAGAGCATCGCCCGCTGCCATGGATCGAGTCGGGCACGCCATCTGAGATTCTCACCGCGGATGCGCGGGACCCGGTGCATTCCTCCCTAAACACTGCATCAGTTGTGGAGGAAGCTCGCACTACCGCACGCCAGCGCATGGAAGCACATATGGCTGAAGTTTTCGGTACTGGCTGGCATAATGTGCCGTATGGCCCTCCCACAGACGAAGAGAACCGCGATAATGACCTTGGGTGGTGGTCCATTGACCCACGAGGACGGGCTCGACACCCGCGCATCGTATGTATGCCGCCAATATTTTAGAAAGAACTGTTACTTATTACCTCAAACAGAGGACTCCGATTTCATCGCGCTTCACTCGCAGCCCTGATACTATGGAAGCAGGGGGTGCGCGTAATTCTTCATCATTGGCTCCGGAGACTCAGCGGCGCTCTCGCTTTCCGCCTGTGCGCTTTGGGAACGGTCCATTTTCCGGGCGCGATAACCAAACAACTCGGCGCGGCACTGGTGTGGATGGTCTTGGTGACCGCGAGCGAAGTCTCAGCCCGGAAGGTTGGGATACCCTGCTCACAACACTGACGCCAGATCCGCAGGCACCAAGCGCTAATACCTCGTTCGCTTCGGGGACCGACATACAGAGCGGCAGCCAATCCGCAGCGCAGCCGTCTGCGGCTGGGTCATCTGCAGCACGACCATCCGCGCAACGGTCATCTGCACAACGGCCACCGTCTGAATGGCCAGCTTCTCTGCAACCACCCACGGGTAGTTCGATTCTGCCAGATGGCTTTGATGATGGGCCGCTGGATCCAGGCTGCGACTCGGCATGTGATCACTCGGACGAGGATGAAGTTGGCCTCGAGGAGGCACGTCGTTCTATTACATCACGAAGCAGAATGGGAGATCATGGGCGAGGATCAAGGGTGCCACGCTACGCGCAATCCGCCAACCGCGAGCGAGAGGCGGCTCGGGAAAGATTCCCCACCTTTGAGCATCCCGACGCCCCAAGCATGGCGGAGCGGCAGGCGTTGAGTCGGGTAGGGGTGCCGGAGCCCGACAGCCAAGAGGCATGGGGCGGGCGGGCCTCAATTAGGGCGGAAGAGCAAGGGAATACAAATCCGGCTAGACGTGCTCGATTAATGACTTTCTCACCTGGAGCAGCACCGGCAGAGGAGGACTGGGACGGGATGCAGCATATTATGCGAAGCCTGGCGCAGCGAGAAGACATTCCAGAAGAATGGTGGGCTGAGGCAGGCCTCAGTCGCACGTTAACCCAAAACGGTACGAACTAAGCATTTTCCAACGTTTCAATTTCAAGCAGGAGTCCGTAAGCGGATTGTGGTTGAGTAGCGAAGGATATCGGGAAAAGCGCAAGTATATCATAAGATCTTATCAATTTTGTTCAGCTCTTTACGCCTCAAGGTTACAGATTGACGATCAGCGTTGTCATTAGCGGTGGGCTACTAGAGGAAGCGAGTCTGGGGTATTGTTGCTGGGCGAAGCAGCTTACTGCATATTGTTTGAACTGAGCGTTGTATTTATAGTCGAGGAGGGCAGCAACCAGTCTGGGTTGGGACAAGGTCAGACGTGCTTGGGTCATGGACAGCATTCAATGGACAAGATTTGCTACCTGCTTTGCACATATATGACTTGCACACTGCCCCCAGGCAGGGAGACTTCTTGTTGTACCAGTAAGATGCCAGTGGTGCCTCTATTAATAGAGTGGACAGAGACTGGTTTGCGGAGTTGGGGATGCAATGCTTGGTGAAACGTTTTCTTCTTCCAATGATTTTCAGTACTCGGTTGGGCAGCGGAGTGGCACGAGGCTTAGCGACGCAACTTGAATCACTAGCTTGCATAATATAAAGCATTATGTTTGTGTGTAGTGTTCTATAGGTGGTGATGATATTACAGCAGAGGGGTGAGTTGTTGGGCACTTGGATAAACTGCCGCATGATGGACGCAGCGGCGGTGGGATGATGCTAGTAAGGTGTCCAAGTTGCAGTTGATCAAGCCAGTGTCTTTTTTCTCGATTTTTCCTCCCTTTCTCTTGCTTTCGTTTTCTAGTTTGTTCTTTTCGGACGGCTGATGCACTACTAGGGCGGCGATGCGACGTGCAAGGATGTGTGTAACCCTTGGTTGGCGAGCGCAAGGGCCAATGGCGGATGAGGCGCGGGCAAAGGTATTAACTAGTTATGCGCCTCGAAAGGTATTGTCGTGAAGGGCGCATCAACAGCGTATTAGAATGCGAGGATGTTCTCGTCTGTTGCGATGGCCCGATGACTGACTGGTATGTGCTACTGCATGTCTTGGAAACACCTCCTACATACCTACAGCCCTGCCCTATCTATCCATCTGATTCTAGGTACCTAAGAAGCTAAGGTACCGTACCAGAGACAGACAATTTATATGCGTCCGTTGGCTTGTATTGTTGCTCCCCTGGCCGCCTTGGGAGGCATTCAGCTCATCTGCATAGATAGTGTCGAAGCCACTGAGGCTGTTGGGCGGCAGTCATGGTGCTTGATGAAGCAGCCACCAGTACAGCCACGAACAGCCACAGAGCCGCGGGTACCTGGCTGCTTACTGGACAGGCACGAGGGGTACCTACCGAATTAGCTGGGCATCTCGTGCTTTCGGACAGGGAATAGACGGGGGATTTTCAATCAATCAATATATTACGTTGGATAGTTTTTGACAATCCCCTTTGATAAGTGGATAGGTACGGATACCCAATGTGCAAGTTAGGTACCTTTAGCAGGGAATTGTTGCCCGCCAAGGCCCCCTCGGAAGCAGGTACCGTGCCACCTTTCCCAGGTACGCAGGTACTTGCTCCTCCTCTCCACTCCCTTGCTTCGGTTGTCACAGCGGCACCCATCGACGTGACGCACCACCACCACAGGCATGACAACCACCAAAATCAACAACCACAACATTTTCCTACCGACCATTCGCTTTATTCTTTCTCCTCGACCTCTCCCTTGCTGCTACTCTGCAGCCACTCAGTTCAGCTGTCCCTGCTGCTTCAACCACCACGCACCATTCCTCTCACCATACGGGTACATCCAAGCCCTCTCAAATCGCAAACAGACAACCACCACCACCACCACCACTACCATTACACAGTCCAGGCTCGCGATAGCCCCGGTTGCCTGCCTCGCCGTGCGTTTTTCCTCTTAACAGAATCACCCTCCGATCCTCCGTCCTCACGATTATCCGATCCTCCTCACGCCGCACCGCACAGCGCCCGCCCTTGGCCATCTAGCTGCATTATAATTCCTTTCTGCCGCCTGCTTGAGCTTCGCCCACCGCCCTCGTAGCGCCTTGTCCCGACAAACCGACAACAACACCAAGCTTTGCGACCCGGCCCCTTCTCTCCGACTATCTTGCGTCCTTCCGGCTCAGGAACATTCCACACCGCATCGAATGTGACCCCAATCGCATATACACTCGGCCTCTTACTCTGGTCTCTCCCTACTCCCTGCATTGGTCGCTCGACCATTCGAAAAACACACAAATACTCGCTGCTAGACAACGAGACCCGGTCCCCACGAGACGCCCCCGTTGAACGATTCACTCCCTCACGTATACGCAACGAACCGAACCGAACCACCATTGTCGGTCGATCCATTGGTGATGCCACAACATCTGGCCCCGCAATCTGGACGAGTCGGTTATAATCTGCTATAGAGCTTGCTTGCTTGCTTGCTTGCTTGCTTGCTTGCTGGCTTGCTTGCTGCTTGAGCAAAGCGGCTGCATGATCAGCCTAGCGACAACAGACAAAGCGGTTCTGGGAGCCCGGTAATGCTTTCAAGGCGAGCTTCTGCCCTGTCATCATAGCCATGCCTGTCGATCGCCAGGCCCAATTTGCCCAAGGCCGCCCCGGTCTCGTAGCCACACGGGAAAAGAGCTCTACACCGGCTACCCCGTCCCGGAGGGACAAGATCCGCGAGAGCTCCGCCCATCAAGACCCCATGCTCAAGGATTATGTATGTTGCCACCTTCTCGCTCACGTCTATCGCCTCCTGCCCGTCACCGAATTTCAGTCGCCTTCTTTGCTACATTGTGTCTGAACCCATCTTTACTAATTCGACCCCCGTCTCTAGCGACTTGGAGAGTGCCTAGGCAAAGGCGCATTCGGCTCCGTCTACAAAGCCTTCAATTGGAACACGGGTGAGGCCGTCGCCGTTAAGCAAATCAAGCTTGGCGACTTGCCAAAGAGTGAACTGCGCATGATCGAGGTGTGCTACATTACAATCTCCGTGTCACTGTCGTGTTGTCCCGGGCTAACCACCTCCTTCACTGGTAGAGCGAGATTGACCTCCTCAAGAATCTCCACGTAGGTTGCACACTACGTTCCTATTCTACGCTGCTCCGTCACTGACCAATATCCAGCATGACAATATCGTCAAGTACATTGGCTTTGTCAAGTCTACCGACTGTCTCAATATCATTCTTGAGTAAGCCTATACATACGTCGCCCCTTCGTCGGCGCTTTTACTGATTTGCCGGCCCTAGATACTGTGAAAATGGTTCCCTTCACTCAATATGCAAAGCCTACGGCAAGTTTCCGGAAAACCTCGTCGGCGTGTATATGACGCAAGTACTTCAAGGCCTCCAGTACCTACACGACCAGGGTGTCATCCATCGTGATATCAAAGGTGCCAACATCCTCACCACCAAAGATGGCACTGTCAAACTGGCCGATTTTGGTGTTTCCACCAGCACCTTGGCCGGTGGCCAAGACAAGGAGGCCCAGGTCGTCGGCACTCCTTACTGGATGGCGCCTGAAATCATCCAGCTTTCCGGTGCCAGCTCCGCTTCCGACATCTGGAGCGTTGGCTGCACCGTCATCGAACTGCTCCAAGGAAAGCCACCCTACCATAACCTAGCAGCCATGCCTGCGCTCTTTGCCATTGTCAACGACGACCATCCTCCTCTGCCGGAAGGCATTTCCGCGGCTGCGCGGGATTTTCTCATGCAATGCTTCCAAAAAGATCCCAATTTGCGAGTTACAGCAAGGAAGTTGCTAAAGCATGCTTGGATCATCGGGTGCCGCCGAGCCGACGCACCAGTCGCCAAGGCACCTGCAAACTTCAACGAAGCTGTCGAGGAAGTCAAACAATGGAACAAGGCTCTCAACTCCTCGGATGCCCATCTACGGACTTCTACCGGCTCAGACGCTCCCCCGGCGGCCCGCTTCCCGGGCGGGACACCCGCCAAAGGACCGCTGTCAATGCAAAAGTCCAAATTTGGCGTCCAAGCATTCAAGACACCCGAGCTTGCCGACAGTGACAACTGGGACAATGATTTTGACACTACACTCTCACCTAGTGCCCTTCATCTGCCAAACCTTCGAACCCAGGACAACTTTGGCGGTATGCTTTCTAGCGATCGTCTCAAGGCGTTCGCTTCTGCAAACGATTTACGAAATGATAATAGTTATGATGACGATTTTGAGGGCGAGCTACTAACGATCAAGGGCCCCTCACAACACGACCTAGACCTGCAACAGCAGACTATCCGACCAATCTCCAAGGTTACGGCGCCAGTCGCCGAGGCCAGGAGGCACGCCCGGCAAAAGTCTATTCCAAAGAACACCTTAGGCTCCCCCTTGCAGCCTACACGATCTCCCCCCAAGGCTCATTTCAATAACAAGTTTGAGCTACCCACCCGACATGACATTGCCTTTCGTGAACAGAGCGCCGAGGACTATTCCGATCTATTTATAGAAAACGACAATGTCTTCAACCAAAGAGTAAACCAAGTGCAAAAGGTTGGTGTGCCAAGCCTAGACAGTCCCTGCAGTTCTTACTAACATGATCAGGGTATTCGCGGTCCAGACTCGCCTCAGCTGTTCCATCCTTCAGATCTGACAAGTCTTCCACGCTCTATGCTCGCTCCCGATGGTGGCAGCATCAAGAAAAAGACCGCTTCCCGCCCCTCGGTCCTGCCCGACCGGCCAATGCGGCGTACGCGGTCTTCTGTGGAAATCCAAAAATTTGCAGAAGACGACGATGAGGACTTTTCGGACGTTTTTGGCCCAGAAAGTTCCAATGCTACCAAACCAGTAAGCGAACGTGGCTCAGAGGATGGCGGCTTGATGCTGCTATCCAAGGTATCAAGCAACTCTTGGCTCGGCGATGACGAGGATGAGGACGATCCATTTGCGCTCATGGATCCTGGCTGGGACGAGATGGATCTGGAAGCAAATATTGCACGTGACAGACACGCTCGCTTAGCAGAGAAGATCGAGGACTTGGTCCGGTCCCTTACAATTGAGCAAGGCGAGGCAACTCTGATTGAGATTGCTGAAGACTTGCTTGCTCTGTTGTGGGAGAATACCGAAGCCAAGAATCTCATCATCAGTGCCCATGGTCTTCTGCCCATCCTCGAGATTTTGGAGCCTTGCACTGTCAAAAGCAAGCAGTATATGATCCTGCAGCTTCTGAAAGTGGTCAATGCCATTATTCTCGACGATGTCGAGATCCAAGAAAATCTCTGCTTCGTTGGCGGCATGCCTATCATTACCAAGTTTGCCGCTCGGCAGTACTCAGATGAGATTCGCCTAGAGGCTGCGGCTTTTGTGCGTCAAATGTATCAGACGTCGACTCTAACGCTTCAAATGTTTGTGTCGGCCGGTGGTCTTAATGTCCTCGTCGAGTTTCTTGATGAGGATTACGACAATGCCCGAGACTTGGTCCTTATTGGTGTAAATGGTATCTGGAACGTCTTTGAACTCCAGGGCCCTACGCCAAAGAATGACTTTTGCCGAATCTTTTCGCGAAGCAAGATTTTGTATCCCCTTGCCCTCGTCCTACACCGCGTACTCGACGAAGAAGGCGAGGACGAGCTTGAAGAGCTTATCGAGGGCCGCATTGTTAACATTTTCTACCTCTTCAGCCAGGCAGAAAACTACGTCAAAGAAGTGGTGGCAGACCGACAGGTGCTAAAAAGCGTCCTGAAGGATTTGCGCCGCATGAGTCCTGTGCATCAGATTACGATGCTCAAATTCATCAAGAACCTTTCCATGCTGTCGACGACAATTGAAACGTTGCACTCTGCCGACGCTATCGAGTTTCTCATTGACCTGCTTGGCTATGGCATGAAGAAGGGACAAATTCATTTCCGCGAAATGTCGAACCAGGTCCTCAACACACTGTTCAACCTCTGCCGTTTGAGCAAAGAACGCCAGGAAGACGCTGCTGTCGGCGGCATCATCCCTTTGCTCCTACGCATCATGCGCACGGATCGACCGCCCAAGGAGTTTGTGCTGCCGATACTCTGCGACATGGCACATTCTGGATCCAAGGGGCGTCGATACCTATGGCAAAACAAGGGCCTCGAATTTTATGTGTCACTGTTGACAGATCAATATTGGCAGGTAACAGCTCTCGATGCCATTCTCGTGTGGCTGCAAGAGGAGACGGCCAACGTCGAGAGCTACCTGATTGATGGCAGCTTCACAAGGGCCATCATTAGTGGCTTCAACACCAATCGCCTCAACTCCTTCGACTCCAACCTGCTGGAGCCCCTACTTAAGCTCTTACGTCTGAGTCCCGGTGTGGCCGCCTCGCTTGCCAAGCCAGAAATGTTTGCCGGGATCGCGCAGCGGCTTGGACACAAAAAGGCCGTCGTTCGTTTGAATTTGCTGCGTCTGGTGCGGACCATCATCGATGCCTGTGACACTGCTCTGGGCAATGGCGATGGAACGACATCTCTCAACAGCGCCCAGGTGCGGTCACTCATGGAAGTGATCCAAACGCTAGCTGAGATCGACTCTGCGGTGCTGGTACGAAACCTGGCGGCGGAGCTGGTGCGATCTCACCTTGAAGGTCGTCCCTCGCCAAGCGCAGTAATGCGCCATGACAGCATCGCTTCTTCACAGACCAACTCCTCATCCTCCTCGCGACGCTCCGCTACGCGACGCAATACCAGCTACACGCCGCCTAGCCTGCAGTCGTCCATCTCCTTCCCACAGACCCCGACGCATCGAAGTCGCGCCAGCCTCGCCGGCAACGCCCTTATCGAAGTCGCTGCCAGTCCACGGCGCGGCGTTGTCGGTGCGGCCGCCGGCATCCCTAGCGCGCTAGACCGCGATAACCTGCTCTTCCAGCAGTACCGCCCACGCAGCCGTGACGGCGGGACCAACCTGCCAAGACGCGTCAGCGGCGACGCCAGCTCCACCACGAGCAGCCACAGCAGCAGTGGCTTCATGGTGCCCCCGTCCTCGTCTTCTTCGTCCTCGGCGGCTAAGAGCCGATTGCCGCGAACGTCGCTGGCCAGCATGACATCTAGAGGTGGCGTCCTCGGCAGCAGCGCAGCGGCAGGCATCCGCGGCGAGCCGGCGCCGCCCATGGTCGTCCGCAGCGAGAGCAGCGCCAGCAATAAGGAGAATGGCGGCGTCGTCGGCGGCGTGGCCCGCATGATGATGGGCCCTTGGGGAGCCGCGGCCGCTGTTGCGGGCGCGGGAGGGGCAGCGGGCAGCGGCCGGCGAGAGAGTATGGCGAGAGACCCGACGACGGGGAAGAGACGGGTGCGCGCGCCGAGCGACGCCAAGTGGTCATGAAGTACTGTTTCGATGAACTGTCATTAATGAATTATTTATACAAGGCCTATCTCCTTGATTTGTACCTTGCCATTATTGTCTTGTACATGGGAAGGGGGAGTTGACGCGACCAATGAATGGATAGATGGAGTGGGCGTCCAAGTTACAAACGACGTTGTTTGAAACATTTTTTGCATCATTGCTTTGTTCCTCTTTTCTATATATACATCGCCTTGACGGCGGACAAGTACAGGATGTCACTTACTGTTACCGCCGACAAGGTCTACCTACCTATTGTTAGATCCCATGTTACCGTTAGAAAAAAGAGCCGATGGCGGTTGAACAGCACAGCAAGGCAGGCATACAACGGAATTCAGAATCAAATTACGCCAAGACATCATTCTTTGAATTGAACAGACATAAAGTCACAAACATATTTCCCATTCATGTCACGCGAGAAAAGTGGCAAGACTTGCATTGTGTGTACCAGTTTTATTGATCTAAACTACAGTTTTCCCTCCCTCCACATGTGCAGCTCCCGGGTAACGAAGAGAAAAAGAAGTCCTTCCCGTTTCGAGGAAGTGACGGACTTACCAGCGTTAGACCAAAAATACAATGAGTCATAAGACAGGGAGAGGGCAAGAAGACAAATTCTTTCCTTCTTGGAAAAAAAGAGAGAGAAGAAAGAAGAAAAAGAGTGTTACAAAGACAAGGTCCTCCAAAACAACCATCGATTTTCAGTTTTCCTCACCGCGCGGTCCAGGTCCGTTCAACGGATGCCCTGGACGGCAGGCAACCAGGCCGTCTTTTTCCAGAGACGGGCAAAGTGAGGTAGAAGTAGACGCTAGGTCTCGTCAATGTTGCAGAGAAATCTCGAATCCGTAAAAGAGAGAAAAATAGAGAGAAACCCCCAAAAAGCTGCCATGGCTATCGTTCGTCCACTGATCCTCCTCTGTAATGTTCCAAGGGAAACCTTTCCCAGTGTGCAAGGCCGTAAATAATAAGTATAATAATCCATGAGAGACGAACCAAGAAGTGAATTATAGTTTGTTGGGTAGTTATGTAGTCGTCGTCGACAAGTTCGCCCAGTCGTTCAACGGAACCTGAAGTGAAAGATAAAGAAAGTGAAAAAAGAGGCGAAAATTCAAATGCAATCGGGTAATCCGAGCAATCATATCACCAGTGTCCGGGCGTCAATCGTAAAATTAAAACAAGAATAAACAGGAAAGGAACAAGTCAGCAGTAGACTCAGGCGACAGGAGCAGTCTTGCGCTTCTCCACGCTGGTGAGCACCATCCTCGGGGCTTTGCGCTGCAGGTCGACAGAGTCGTTCTCCTTCTTGAAAACATAGGCAAAGCTGCCAGTGGCGTCGGAGGCATCGCTCTTGCGAGTCATCTGGCGAGAGCCAGGGCGATCGGAGCCAATAGCTCCCCAACCGCCGCTAGCCGAGGTCCTAGAACTGGTGCACTCTTCCTCGCCAACCAGACTGCCAGAGCCGCTACGGCCAGAGTCCGAGTCATTGTCAGTGATGGGAGAGCCAGAATCCTCAGCCGTCTCGGAAACGGGACTCATGCTGCCGGATGCACTACTAGTGCCCTTGCGGCGAGACATGCCAGCGCGCACTAGATTGTGAACAGCAGAGCGTCGGGTGCGAGTAGCAAAGTTCTTGGAACCCTCGTGCTTGGCGGTAGGTTTCGCCTTGAGCTCGTCAAGAGAAGGAGGGCCGCGGGGTTGACGAACAGGATGTTCACCAGCGCGACCCTGGCCAGGGCCATATCCACCAGTCATGGGAGTGATGGGGAAAGAGGCAGTCTTGGGGCCAGCAGACTTGGGGCCGTCTGAAGAACTCAGGGCAGAGGCGAGAACGCTGTTGACCGGGGCCAGTGACGAGGCCTTCTTATGGCCGCGACGGAACGCCATGGCGGAGGGGGGCGGCAGAGGGGTCGGCTCCGCGGGAGAGTCAAATCGCTTGGGAGGAGATACGCTGCGGAGTGAGCTGCGCTGAGGCTCCGGGGGAGGCGAAACCTGAACGCGAGGAAGACCCTGCTGCTGTTGATGCTGTTGGAGCTGGAGTTGGAGCTGCTGAAGGCTGTTAAAGGATGAGGCACTGCTATCACGGTAGTGCATGGGGGAGGGAGCAGAAGCGGTGGTGTCCACAAAGTACTGGCCAGTAGCTTGGTTGAAGTAGAGCTGCTGGCCCTGGCTCATGGCAGCCTGGAGCTGCTGCTGCTGCTGCTGCTCGAAAGACGACATATGGTGCAGCTGAGGGCTGCTGATGTTGAGGTTCTGGAACTGCTGCTGGGCGGCGTGCTGGGCGGCAGCGGCCTGCACGTTTCTAAGCTGCTGCTGCAGGAGCTGCTGACGCTGGGCAAGGTACATGTTTGTGGCGACGAGTTGGGCGTACAGGTTGGGATCCTGGGCCTGCTCTTCCATCGAGAGCTCAGGAGGGGCCAAAACCTGCTCGACGTGGTACTGCTGATTCAGAGCAGCGTGGTAGGCAGGTTGCTGCTGCTGCTGCTGAGAGGCGTACTGAGGATAAGCCGTCTTGGGAGCATTGTAGTAGCTGTCCTGAGCGTAACCGTGCAGGTTCGCAGCCCTACTGTTTCTAGCAAACTGTTGGGCTGTGGGGGAAGCGGGAGCAAAGGAAGTGGCAGTGGCAGACTTGGGAGCAGTGCGAAGGCCAGCTAGAAGATGAGACCGGCTGGTGCGCGGGGTAGGGGCACCGTTGTCGTGGACTGGCTGGTGATTGGGAGCATCGAAGGAGAGCGGCTTGATGTTTTGGCTACCGCGGCGCGAGGAAAGACCTGCAGGGGCCATCGGGAGACCACTGCCGGGCTGGGAAGAGAAGTTGGAAGACATCTGAGCGTGACCACCAGTGTACATGGCTCAGGGGCGTATGTATGAAGAAAACAAGAGAAAGAGAAGAGAGAAGGGCGAGGTTCTCAACGTCGCGATGGGTTGCTGCTTGAATTAAGAGCGTTGAAGATGCAGTTGATAAGTAGTGCTGAGATGTCGAATTATATCTCAAGGCAAGCAATGACGGAATGCAATTTTGTAACAAACTCGGACGAAAACAATGACAGGGTCACGAGGTCGGAATAATCGTCGAGACCGCGGTGTAAAATCCAAAAAAGAAAAAAAGTAGAAATAGAGACGCTATGGTGGAGCGGCAGAACGATGCGAGGTTTCGAGCCGAACTCGAGAAAGGGTGAGGGTAAATTATAGAACCGAAGAATGGTAGCTGGACCAAAAAGTTGGTACAGCGAGTTGTGGTTCACGGCGAGGGCGATTCGGGTATTAAGTGTGAAGGGTCTGTCTGCGTGGAAACTCGTTGGCGATCGTGTTTGTTGACGTCGGCGTGACGGGTACTTGCAAGTGCAAGAGCAGGTAATGGAACAGCTGTAAGTTTTGGTTCGAGCAGGTCCAATCCAGGCGGCGGTCGGTGATGCGAAGGCGCAAACGTGTCGAGGCGGGATGTGGTGGCCGAAGCAGAAGCAGAGACGGGCGAACGGGTGGGTGGCGATCGATGGTGAAGAAATCGACCAGGAACGGGTGGAGGGGAGCAAATATTGCGGACGGCGATATAAAATACAGATGAAGGCAAATCCTTTTCTCGTGTTGTTTTGAGAAACTCGAGAAGTCAAGAGATGAGTGAGGGTCTGTTGAATTTCTCGCAGCGAGCAGGGTAGAGTGATTGATGATGGCGAACGGACGAGGTGCGGCGCGTGAAGCGGTGCGGCGGGAGCGCGCAGGAGCGTAAAGTAACTAGACTTTTTGGTTTGTTGATTTGCGAGGAAAGGACGAAAGACTATGTAGTCGGAAAGGAAGCTCGAACGAACAAGATAGGACGGAGGGGTATAAATCGGATAAGGGTAGGGGGGAGAGAAAGAGGTGGAGAGGAGAAGGGGGAAGGTCGGATGGTGATGATGGAGGAAGAGGATAGATGGGAGGAAGCAGGAAAGCAGGAGAGAAAGGGAAGAGGAGAGGCGAATAATGAGTTAAAAAAGGATGGGATGGGATGGGATGGGATGGGATGGGGGGAGGGAAGGAAGGAAAAGGATGGGGACCCAGTGGCCAATATGGGCGGGGGGGCACCTAAAGTTGCAGTGAGTTACAGTGGGTGATACAGTGTGCGACAGTGGTGGCAGGCGCTGAAGGACGTGGCTTGCGGGTGCTACATGCACTGTAATTGTGGTTGGTGGGTGGGTGCTTTGCGGTAAAGAAGCCAGAAGCTGGGCCAGGCAAGAAGAAAAAAAGAGAGTGCAAAAAATAGCGCCCAGGGCGAATAATAAATCAGGAACCCACCGGGTCACTGGCCGGGCCAGCGCGCACAAACAAAGGGGGAAAAGTCAGGTCCCAACGCGCAACGGAGGGTGGAGAGGAGAGGCCAACTTGATAGTCAGGGCATAGCGGGCATAGCCTAATACTGGGTAGTTATAGCAGCAGCATGGGCAGAACGGGATAATTCCTGTTCATTATTACTATCAATGTGATGCTTGTTGAGTTTATCTAAGTTGTTATTCAAGCACCACTTTATTCAGCACGCCTGACAATGTCTCTTACCCAGCCCTGCCCTGCCCTTGCCTTGCTCTCTGCTGTCAGTACGGAGAACGGAGTACTGAGGTACTGTACCTTTCGACCCTGGCTGCCACCGCACCGCTGGTCCACTGAGCACTAAATAAAACCGCCAGGGCAAAAGTGCGGGGATGCTGACAGCCAATGACAGCGTAGGCCCAGCTTGCAGCGGCCAGAAAACCTCGTCCTCGACTGCTGACTGGCTCGCTGCCCAATGAATGGCAGCAACTGACGTGCAGCCAGGCCGACCCAAGTGCAATCCTACCTACATACATGTGCCCTCACCCCTCACCGCTACAAGGGTCCCTTTTTTTTTTCTGCAGTCAGGTTCAAGGTACACCCGTACCCCAATGTTTTTAGTGTGCTGCTTTGCGGCTTTGGCTGCTCTTGGTGATGCTTGCTTGTCCTCGGCTGTCCCATTGTCTTGATTTGGTTCAGGGGGGCAGTGGGGCGCGCTACCTCCAAGCACCCTCGCTCACTGTCTACCTGTAAGTACTGCGCATGTCCACAGTCGCCTTCAGTCAGTCATTGAGAGTGTATCGGATAGATACATGTGAGAATTATCAAGTTGGCTCTTTTACCTTTAATACTCTAATCCTTATTGTCTTTATGTTTATCGAATTCTTCACCAGCCACAGACTACAAATACAGAGATTACAAAATACTGGTACGTTCCTCATGGTCCTCGCCTGTCAGGGTCCTACGCACCTCAGTGGATCACCTCTTTACCCACCTCGTGACTTTTTTTTCCAATTCTTCTTCACTTTTCGCCTCACTGTACTGGTATCGTCCATCAAGCCACTCAACTAAGAAGAACTCCTTCCACTTCCTGGCAGTCACTCACTCCTTCTCTCGGATTTGCCGCTCTCATCCATGCACATGTCCTTGACCCCATTGAATGCATCCATCGTTTCTTCCGCATTGCATAATCGCCAACTCACCACCGAATCGTGCGCATGAACCTCATTCTTCTCTTGGCCTTCTTCTTTCCTTCTAGTTACTTGCCTTTCGCTTTCCGCATTGTCGCCCCATCCGTCCCTAACTAACAACCTTCGCCCACCCGTTCATGCCTGGTCGTACGTCGCACACTGCACTCTATTCATACACGCTACATTGCTTCAGCTTCTTTTGTCCCATGTGGCACGCAACACAGCATGGATTTGGGTAAAGCCTTAGCAGTCATGCCAAATGGCTAACTGCTCTACTTTCTCTTTCTTGTCAACGGCCCGACTAAAACTCTATTGTAACACGCCGTCTCATGTTTCGCGCCACGCTATTGCACCCAGTCAGCCGGCCGCCGTTGAGAGCATCCGCACCATTGCATCCTACGCTCGCAAGCGGCAGCTACCCTATACATGGCCATCACATTTATCTTGCCACCTGGCGGTTCACTCTGACAGCTGGCAGCTACAGTAATTGTGCAAACGGCGAATATCACGTTGTTTGCTGTCTAGTTGTCGTTCGCCTGTTCTCTTCCCTCTCCCCGCCATCATCACCATCAGGTCTCGGCTGTCACTGATTCCTGGCATCGTGTATCAGCAATACGACTAGCCATCATCTCGCTCCAATCCATACTCGAATCAACCCGACGGCCTAATTCACCCCCGACACGAGCGCAACACCATTTCCGAATCTCCTCATACAGACCCCTTCGATCCCAACTCTGTCAAGGAGCCAGAATCTCGCACAATGCCGCAACCTGTATCGTCTTCATCCAAAACAAGATGCAGCTCAGGGATCGTTGTGTCCCCACGCAGCCCTGTTTCACGCTCGCCACACCCTCTCACTCCAGTCTCCAGTCTCCAGTCTCCTGGCACTGCTCCGGCTGCCACCCGCCCCTGCCGCACCACCGTTGCCCACCTCCTCTCCTCGATGAGGCTGCGCCCCCAAAAACCACCTGCGAGCACCCTCGCTCCAAGCAACGAAGCAACGGCTCAAGCCGACGGCCAACCCTCATCAGCCCGACCTGCTTCGCCTCCCCACCCGTGTCAGGTGGTCCGATGCTGCCCGTGTCGCAGACGGTGCCGACACAATAAACCACGCACCAGTACTCCGTACCTGTACCGTGGACAAACGCTTCTCACCTCTAGATCACTCCAGGCCCGGGCCGCCGCGATGCCGCCGCCCAAGACCGGCGCAAGAAATAAAAAAACTCCCGGCATCCGTCTACGACGAATGCAAGTCTCGGCACAACATCCAAGCCCATCCAAGCACAAGACAAAAGACCCCCGTCCTACTATGCTCTGTCAGTAACCATTCGTCTAGACCACCGGTACGATGGTTGTACAGATCAGATTACTGTAAACAGCCCTCCCCTCCCTGCCAGGTGGTTCATATCGGTTCGCCCATATGCCAGCCTTGCGACCAATAAATCAGCAACCGATGCAGACTATGGATGCAAGCTCTGAAACTTATACAACAGCCCCAACATCCGCAACTCTCATCACCAATCCAACCCACGGCCTTGCATTTTGCTTGCTCGACGCGCCCTTTCATTTCCCACCTGCGCTAGGCCTTGCTAAATATATCTGCCCCCCCCTGCTATACCCACTGGTTTAATTTGGCAACACGCGAGTCGCCCATAAACTTTGTTTTTTCTTTTTTTCACCCTCTTCTGCTGTCCACCCTAATCCACCACCACACTCATACAAGATTTATCCAAGTCCCCAGCATGATGCGCAAACAACAAGCAAGGGTCTCGCATTAGATGCGCGCGCGCAGTGACTTGCGCCTCCCCCCGCCAGGGCCAGGCCCCGCGCCATAACATCATTGTTCTGTTTCAACCTTGCTATGTACTGGTTACAAACTTTCCAGCAAGACAATGCACAGAATCATCATAGGCACACACAGCGATGCTTTTGCTTTCATGGCTTTACGACAAGCCGTACGGCGAATCGCTAACTAAGCATTCTTTGTTTTCCCAGCCTGTGCGGATCCTCAATTGCCGCGTTATGCAATCTCCAGTCTTATTACAGGTATGTGCGCACGATTCACGTTCACAACTGTGCTATGCACGTGGTGGTACATTTCCGGTCTATTAACCACATCGTATTATCAACCGACGGTACTCTGCCATAACTCCGCCATGCTCTCCATAACTACTGACCTGATGGAACGAGCCTTCCACGGCCACGGCCACGGCCACGACCACGACCACGACCACGACCATGGCCCTAGGTGACTTGTTGGGGTACTCGGACAACTCGTGCCATTGCGATAACCTGTCCTTCACCCCGCCAAACCGCCCGCGTTCCCGCCCTCCCGTTGGCCTGTAATAACGGGAGGGTTGCAGCCTGTGCCACCCATCCCGTGCGGGTTCACGTCGGGCGCTTACAGGCTGCCACGCCGCGGCCAATCACGATCGAGATGCCGGGATGGGCTGCCACACCAACCTCAGCCGGACACCATTTAGATGCAGCCTTTTTGCTACACATCACACCTGCACCTGCTCCTCATCCCTGGCATTGGTTAATTCTGGGTATTGTTGCCTGCTGGGTCTGCTGGTGGATGCCAAGATGCACGTCATGGTTCTCGGCTGTGCAATGACTCCCCCGCATCTTGCCGAGTCGACAGGTCCTGTGACGCTGCCGCGCACTGGCAGAATGCATTAACATTACACTATGCTGGGTCGTAGCTAGCTGTAAAACTTCCTATTGTATCCGTAGCTGGCATTAATATAGAAGCTCTGAGGCAAGAGTCGGCTCGCGCACCCGTCCTGTCCAATGTCCCGATGACCACTTCCCCAGTGGCAGGGTACAGAGGGTGTTTAATATATCTTGCATGTATACAAAGTACATGGCGAGGCTGAACCCGGATGATATGCCCAATATTCATGGCTGATATGCTCCGTAATGAGGGACATGTCTCGGAACGGAAATATACGCACCAACTATACAGCGTCCGTTTGCAAATAATAGAACCAAAGAAATAAGATACGAGACGAACGACGGGCACTGCAGACCCCAGACAAGACAGCTATTACCATTTATGATTATGCACGTAACAAAGCGGGCTCTTGTGGCCACGTTGGATCGAGTTTGCCAACCAAAGCATCCAGACCGGCGGTGTATGAGGTGGAAGTGAGAGAAAGAGGGAGAGGGAGAGAGACGGCAAGGAAGAGGCGAGCCACAAGACGTAGGTCGTTCTAGGAGGGTTAGTAGGTCTTTGCTTGTTGGTTTCAGGCTGCAAGGTGGAGAGAAGTCCACGCGGGCCAGCCTGTGAGTATTGTCGGTTGTTTCGTTGGGTCCCACGCCTCACTATAAGGAGCTCTCTTCTACAGAAACCAAGGCAGAGTAGAAAGAGATGAAGAGAGGCGAGACGAGCAGTTGAGCCGTCACGATACCTGCACCATCGCACAGTTCACATCAACCCCCCCAGACTCTTGACTGGCGTAGCAGAACTTGTATATACCGTCAACCTGGGGGCTCGGAACAGGAATCCGGCAGGAGGCCTGGGCTTTCCGTATCATCATCCTGCCCCCATCTTATCAAAAACGCCGTATTGTGCGTTTCTCAGTCGGTGGCACAAGCGCGTCGCGGGGGAGGGAGACACAGGGACTTCGACTGGATGGCATGCGTTCGTTTTGTCGTTTGCTGTGCGATGCCGTCTGGGTAACCTGGTTGGCGGGGGCGTATTTCTCCGACATGACAGGACTGAGCGCGGGAAAAGAATTAATAAACAAATGATAAAAAAAAGGGGCACAACGGTGCGTCCTCACTTGTTGGGCTACACGCGCACGCGCAACCCCCCGTCCATGGGGGCCAACGTTTGGTGGCAAAGTTCTTTGCAAGTATCAGTATCAGTAGCCAGGGGTCGGGGGAACCAGCGACAGACAGGAGGAGACCTGAACCATGGGGAAGATTGATGTTTGCCGCCGATCCCCGGCGCCTAACTTGTTGACGAGCTTGGACGGGGCGGCTAACTGGGAAGTCGGGTCGTGCCGGCGAGGCGGAAAGCCGCGCACGGTTCGATCTCGCTGCGTGCCAAACCGCATATCTTGAACTCTTTGGTTGTGCTGTCGGGAACGGTTGGCCACGTCCCCGTTTGGAAGCGGCGTTCGCAAGGGATGTATATGCGTGTGTGCGGTCGTTGAACGAGCACGATACGCTCACGTCATCAGCCGACTGAGCTGTGTGAGTTCAAGTGCGCAGGGTTGGGACAAAAGAAGAGTAGGTTTACAAAAAGAAGAGTATGTTTACAAAAAGGAGAGTAGATTTATAAAGGAGAGTATGTTTATAAAAAGACGAGTAGGTATATAACAAGCAGAACAGGTTTATAAAAAGAAGAGTAGGTTTTAAAAAGAAGAGTAAAGTATTTATCATTCTAAAGGGAATATAGTAAAGAGTGAAGGCTAAGGTGACAGTGTAAGTGTAGAGGGAAGATGGACAAGACTTCAACGGGCAGTGAACAGCAATCCCTCGGCGTTTTCTAGCCTCCACTCGAACCGTCGGCCTGACGGGACGCGGCGATGTATTCGTGTGAGAGTACAGCTGCTGGATTCTCGTATCTACTGATCCATATACTTGCGAGTGTTCAAGGGGAACACTCAGGACCTTGCGGATACACCATCTGGCGAACACGGTCCAAGATTGGTCTTACGCGGAGGCCGAGACCCGGCTTTTTGTTTGCAAAGAAGCACGGCATTAAAGTCCATTCTATACTTTCAATAGCTAATAAAGAAGATGACAACAGCTATGGACAAAAAGTCAACGACTTGCTGGCCAGAGAAGCTCCCGCTCGCCGACGTGCCCTGTCCTCTCACGACACCGAACATCCAACAAAGGACCGCGGCATTCCTCCCATGGTACACCCCATACCACGCTTCATGTCATGCGGTGATTCCATTTGTTCGCCCGACTTTGCCCATCCCGCAGGGCTGACTCCCGAACCCACCACCACCACCACTACCGCCCCGGATATATTCCTCTTTCGGCCTTCATCGCGCACAGGCTGCCTTTTCCTCAGCCACCCCTCCCTCCCTCCCTCCCTCCTTCGCGCACCGATCCCGACTACGCCTGTCCATGTCATGGAATTTCTCGGTACATTTCGAGAGAGATGACGCGTTGGGCTGACTTGCGTGCGCGCGCCACCATCGTCGTCACTCTGGGCGTGGGGGCGAGCGAGTCCACCAACCAACCAACCACCCGCTTGACTTGCTTGCCTTGGCAGTTTTTCTAGTTTTTGATTCTTCTAAATATATCCTAAACGAGCCTTTGCCCGACTTCTTAGTCCAAATTGTCGCCCCATCCCTCTCGCCGCTCGCGTCCGTGAAGATGGACGGGGCGAACTGCAACAGGCCAGCTTTGGTATCGAGTTGCCTCCCCTCCTTGATGATAATAGCCCTAGGGAGGAGGGATTGGGCGTTTCTGACAGCTCAGATACCATTTGCTGTCCACTTGTCGTACTTCATGCATGCAGACGTAGGTGGTAACTACGTACATAGCTAGTGTATCCATGCTCAGCTATCTTTGCCACACTGCATCGCCGGCTGCTTCGCCTCGACGACCGTTTTACGTCCCCTCACAAATGCGGCAAGAACGGTTATCGCAGGAACACGCAACTTCCCTCGAAACAAGTATCCTGGAAGAAACTCAGCCTCACATTTATTAGTGTGGCCGACTTTGAATAGGCAGCAGCCTCCCGTCATCCGCCACACTTCCAAATCGGGTCCCCAAAGGCGTCGCTGCATCCACTCGATCGGCACGCACTTCAATAGTTGAAAGATGCTCAATCAAGATGAAATTGGGATAATTCTTTTTTTTTAAATATGTAATTCTGCGCCTTGCAGATAAAGTATATACCAAAATGGGGTGTATCGTTAGTAAAAGCGCTGGAAAAAGAGGCCCGTCGCTGAGCCCTGGATGCATGGTACTTGTAACCAAATGCTGCCGTCTCTTGCCATGTATCAATCTTGTTTGAAATTCCAAATTTCCGTCATCATCATAAATAGTTTGTCAGCCGAATGAACGCCGTAATTTGCCTCGATGCTCCCTGCCCCAGCCATCCAATGTCTTCCGTTGACGCCTTGCTGAGATTGCAGGGGTTCACCCCAAAATAGAATAATAGTTGTCGGGGAATTTAACCTCCAAAATCACTGATCAATCAGTACCGCATCTCCTCAGGTGTCACTGTGGCGCCGTAAAATCCACCTTCGTGTCCGCCCGATGCTGCGCACGCTAGACATGCTCCGCCACCATACACGCGCGTATGACGACTCCAGCCTCGACCGTCTTGGTTGACGACAGAAATGATTTCCCCCTGAACGTTGACGTTGCGGCGGGGCGTGTCATCCTCATAGACCCGTACTTGGTTTTGTGACCCGGGCGGTGGTGGTGGGAGCATCGCGCTCCCAGGATAGGAGCCGGGGCTGAAAGTCGGGGCCGACGATGCACTGCCCTCGTTGTTAGGCATGTGCCCCTCAACGGTAACCATCTTCGCGTAAGAGTGAGTTTGCGGAATAGGTTGCGAATTTTGCAAGGGAATCGACGAGGTATCCGACATGTAGTCCGGGTTCGGTTGGCTGATGAATCCATCCACATCCTCGTTGCACGCAAAGATGGAGGTGCTGAGTTCCGGTGGTGTCAACGGAGGTGCAGGCGGCAGCCTCGTGAAAAAGTGTCTTTGATGTCTCTCTGACGTTGAGCGCAGCGCAGAACATGAAATCGTGGCAGAGCTGCGCTCCTCCGCTAAATCGGACTCGGGCCGCATCTTCTCGTCAAGTATAGGCACCGTTGGTTGTGTTTGTTCTGGTTCTTGTGTAGATGACTGACGGCGAGCTCTGGACATGTGTCGCCAAGCAACGCAACGCTGTAGGCAGAACCGAACAACTAATAAGAAGCACAAGACGGCAAGGCCAGTTTGGATGGCGGTCTTGGTGGGCTGCTCCGAGTTAAAAAACAACGGCCGGCTGCCTGACGGCGGGCCGTGTAAGTCGTCGCGAACGGCATCGACCATTGTCAGCTACGCCAAGCTATTTTTGGACACCAACGCTGGGCTGGGGTATGCACAAATGCCTAGCAGAAGCCAGCTGCAAGGAACTGCAGGGGTGATGTCACAGCGCTGGCCTCTGAGCCTGACGCTATTGCCAGGGCCGCGAAGAAGTTTCGACGGTGGGGTTGTCGTTGCTGCTGATATGCGGATCCGCCGGTTGTACTGAGAACTGACCAAGAGCGTTGTTGACTCTAAGTTGTGGTCGGTTGACTGAGATCTGGTTGCAAAGATGCGAAGCCAGCTCAGCCCAAAGTCGTAGAGCGAAAATGTTCCGTTTTCTTAGCGAGTTTCGAGCCCGTCAGGGTATGCTGTCAAATTGTCGTACTTGTCGCCTTCGCTGAGCCGGGTCGTTGTGTATAAACCGGGTTGATGATGCTATCTCAGTTCCATCAAGAGGCCGCCGTTCGTAAAGGACAGAGTCGATATTCGAGACAAGGCTCCACGCATGGGGTGCTACAGGAATATATATCTTGCATGGGCGGCCAGCTCCAAGGGCAGCATGCTTTGGGCGATTTGACAGAAATGGAGCTACATGAATCTTGCAACCAAACCATTCCGCACTTGAGGGATGGCGCGGGGCGCTAACACTGAATCCAGAGCCAAAGGCAAAGGGGTTCAGCTGAGCCAGCAACACAAGGTTGGCAAACGGTCACCTAGGTGGGGTGGCAGTAACAACTTTCCGGCCGGTTCTGGAGCCACCGCCGTTCAGCAGCACAGAGACCGGAGGCTAGTAATGTCAAAGGCAGCCAGACTGAGCAGTGAGTTCAACTAGTCGGGGACCAGCAGCACCCATCTGTCCAGACCGGTGGCGGGTCAGGTCAGAGGTGTGAGACTGTTAGTGACAGGCGGCCACAGCACCGCTGCCTCAATTCCAGCAATAAGAGCGCCGGTTATGGTTTTGAGTCGGGCCTGAGCTGTTGCTTGCAACACAACTCGTTCCGCTAGCAGGGTGAATATTGGGACACTGTGCAGGAGACATCCCTGTTTTCAGCGTCGGATGTCGTCAAGTGGTGCAGACGTGGCTCTCGCAACAAATGGGCAGCTGAGTCACTCGGAAGTTTGTTAGCTGGCAATGAGTTTCTTGGGAATTGTTCCGGTTAGTGACCTTCATGAAACTCGTATCTCGCTGGCTGTTCGTGGGGGTCAGGTTCCAACCTTGCTTCTGCTTCCTTCCTGAACTCCGGTTTCCAGGCCCATCCATGCCAAACATGGACATCCCTGGCTGGAGGTGGTGGTTGGTAAGCTGGTGGTGACTAGGAAGGCACGAAAAGAAACAACGGCGTCAGAGTTGCCAAATGGTATTCGCACCAGACCGTTGAAAATTTCCCATGGGTGGCAGGTTCAGCTGAAGTGAACAAGCGGTAGAGCCACTGACCCTGTACAGGCGTCGACGGACCACGGCCTAGGGCCCGTCGACCAATCGCTTCGGAGCAAGTCGCGCAGCCTTGTGGAGCGAGGGGCAGACGAGTTTCGCCATGTGTTGTTTTTGCGGGCACAGGCAAGGCACTAATACGATGGGTAATCGGGTGCCGACAAGTTCGAGTTGTGACAATGGTGATGGTGGCAAGGCATGCATGCCGCAAAATCGGAATAATGCTGGTACGTTGATATTGGCTTGCATTGTTTGCCGTACGTGGTATATGCATGTCTGGAGATTCAGCCGTCGGATGGCTGCGATATGACTCTCTCATCATCAGCGCATGCAGAGACCCAAGACTCTAGTTAGTTCGACTTGCATGCACCCTGTGGCCCGCCCGATGTACGGCCGCACCACGCGAGAGCGGATCGGGCGCAATGCCCGCCCTTTGTCTTCTCGCAGCTCCGGCCACTTTTAGATGTGACTCGGGCTCTTTGCTCAAACGCCGGGTCCCGTTTTTTAAAGACTCGACTGATCCGCTGTCTGGTCGTGGCTGGCAATGGCAAATGAATGATGAATGTGTGATGTCGCGATGAGCCCTCATTGTCTGTCATGCGCGTTTCTGTTTGCGAGGAATAGGCTATTCAGTAGCCTGGTTGCAGCTGACTGAGCTTGGCGTCATGGATGAACCATGCAATGTATTATGTGCAGAGGTGACGAGACGTTTGAAAATGACACCACAATGTCTCCCGGAAGCCTCGCAATTGCAGCCACAACACAATGGATAGCGATATTGGGGTCAATCATGCAGATTCGATCTCCGGGGCCGGGGCCAGAGGGCGGAAGCAGCACCAGAGTATTGAGCAAGCTTTCCATCACGCGAGAGCCTGCATCATGGTGCAGTACTTTGCATTGCAGTGGCTTGATTGGCGAGGCAAGCTGCAAACCCGCCGATGATCAAGCTGCGAGCCAAAACTTTGCCCAGTTTGCCCAGTCAGTTTCGGGTCGTGTGTACGTGGCGCGACCTGCAGCGAAGACCGTAGCTGAAAATGACGCCGAGTGGGGTGACTATGCTGGAATATGTCGCTGCGACTGGTCGCTGGGCACGAGTGCCAAAGTCACGAGTGAGCCGCAAGAATGCAGGCCAACATTCCCGGCTCCTTGTTATCAGCTAGGTTTGCCCCTGCTGTGTGCGAAGTCTGCGTGCTGTTCTGTTGGCCTGTACACACGGATACGCTGGCGTGCACTATTGAGCTCCCGTCTGTGCTTGCATGCTGCTACGTTCGTATCGGACACGTCCGGCTCAGCAGGGCAGCGGTGTGCTGACTCTGATCAAGGGAGCACGACCGAAATGCCTCGGGGGCGCGGTGGTCGAGAGCTGGTCGAAATGAAGGCTTTGTCAAGATACTTGGCCTGGCCGGGTGTTAGCGCATGCTGAGGCTAATAGAAAAGCAGGCAAAGCTCAGGAAGAACAAAGAGTTTCCGTATGCACACGCCCCGATAGTCGAGCTACGAGACTTGCCATGCGCTTCGGGACAGCGTCCCGCTGTTGGTGGCCATCAAGCCCAGTCAGTTAGCACTGAAATCGGTGACATGCCGCTGAAACTCACTAAAACAAATTATAGTTACCCATGTGCATATATGGTTTTGTCGGCAGGAGCCAGTCCCGCAGATCGCCGACGCCACGCAACCCTGACCAGCTGAGGTCGACAGCTGCGGCGGGGGAGACGAAAATTTAAAGTGAACTGAGTGCCCTTGTTGTCGCTGGTTAGCGCCACCGAGTAGAGCAACTGTTCCCGATGACAAAAGTTGAATAAAATCGGGAAATCTAGAAATCGCCATGGCATGACTAATGGAATCCGAGTGCATATTTTTCCCGACGATTTTTCTCGCCAATCATGGTGGTGAACATGGCCGAATTTTCTCGCCTCACCCCCGGTACAGTGAGCATGAGCGCCTGGGCTCGAGCGCCTTCTAGAAAAGTAATTGGGAGGAACAACCGACTCTTGGCAGTGAAGCGACAAAGTTTAATTCCGCCATGGCAATGTGGCAAGGTTGGACTCTAGGATGATAAATGATGGAAATAAGCGCCCGTCGCAATCGGAAATGAAAGGGTCAAGTAGAGGTTTTGGTTTGTTCCTGGGCAGTTGGTCTTGCCTCGTTGGGCCTTGTTTGTGTGAGTTTGTTTGCCAGCTGGCAGGAGGCTGCCAACTGCCGACTGCCGGCCGCCGACAACTCGGAAGTAGTGCCCAATACCCTTAGTCGTTTAGAGATGGCCTCACAAACAAACAAAGCACTCGCAAATCATGCCAATTCATACGACACGTGAACTGGATGCTACATCATCTTCGCATCTTCTCCCCTATCGCTTGACTCGTACTTTCTGACAGGGTTGCGTTCGTTCATCACACCGCTGGATACCGCGGTTAAGATTGATTGCAGATGGACAGTTTGCCAATATACAATATAGATGAGACAACCCCGCGCGCGACGAACCATGCAAACCTCGACACGAAGCGGCATTGCCCGAACGCATCTGCAAATCCCAGCACAAGGGCTCAACTCCGCCAACACCCCCGTCAGTAGCTGCTGGCCCTGGAGCACCATGTTCGCGGCAATTGAAACCCGGAAAACTGCGGTGATGGACTTCCGAACGCATACCCTGGTCGGCCTCTTCGTCAAGGAAGCTCGTCGCAATGCCATATCAGCTCTACGTACCTGTGAATCGCATGAAAACTCATGAATAACGTCTTGAACGTGGTTGTATTGCGCCAATTGCTTCAAACCGGAGCTCCACGCCAGGTTCATCGCGGCTCGGCCCTGCGGATCGCGATGCCCTGCCGCTCGCTAGCCCGCGCTGCCTACGCAGCCTGCTGCGATGTATCGCAGGCAATGCCTTGGGATTAGAATGCGCTAGCACAAGATTCCACCTATGGACGGTGGACATGTACATACATTTCCTGTGCTACTGTCCGAATGCATGATGGAGAACGGACGCCGTCCTGGCACCGCTGGCTGGTGAACAGCAACAAGCTACAGCTCGAGCTTGTGAGGCAGAAATGGGAAAGAGTTGCCCGCCCTTTGCCGCTTGTTTCAGTAAGCTCATTCCGTTATGCAACTCGGTAACCAGAAAGCTGCAATGAACAGATGGAGGAAAGCTAGCGACGTGGGAGTTGGCAGTCTTACGCGAAAGAGATCATCTGCCGAGTCTTGGTCGCTGTATAAATGACCTTACTTGCCAGCTCATCACTGACAACTGCCGTGCCTTTTTTCCGGAGGCTCCCGCAGCATACGTTTTCGTTCCCGCCTGATGCTCGCAGACGCCATTCTAACAACGTGAGAATTGCGTGCCGTTGGGTATTGAACAGTTGCCGCCGCTACAGAAGACGAGGCTTACTACGACGAGCGATGTCCTATTTCCGTTTCCGCACATACATTTCCGCGTACAACCAGCAGTGGTGTAGGAAACGGTCATCGCGGTGTCGGCTACCCCGTCATACGCCGTCGGTTACCGTTAACGTCGATCTCTGCTGCGGTCGCCAACTCCCATCGCCAGCTCCCATCACCAGCTTCCATCGCCAACCTCATCGTTAAATATTACCGTCAAATATCCTCCTAGCGAGCCTAGCCATCAGCAGATCGGTAGGGTGTGTGTACATGAACCGTTCTCTAGCACCCGCTCGATGGGTTGGGTACCATCGTACCATCGCTGATTCCACTTGCCACGCCTCTCGCGCCTCGCAGATGGCGCGCCAGCTATGGTTCCGGCCCTTTGTTCGGACTTGACCGTAAATGGGTCCCATTGCGCATATCGTGCGTGGCTTGCCCTTCCTTGGCCTCTGCAATCTATGCAAGGCTGATGTAGAACGGCGTTCCCGTGCGCGTGCCGCCCAGCGATTAGCGGAGGGAGAGCTGGAGGGAGGGGGTCGTCAAAGTCGTTCGATCATCGAACCCTCTCATTTCGCCGTCGGCTTTGGACGCTCCCCCAGCGCCGCTACTGTTTCGTTGGTAGAAGCGGGAAAAAAGAGACGAAAGCACGACGATAGTACGAGTCAGGACATGGAAAAATATGAGCAGTCATTTTCGCTCTCTGATTCTCGCTGATTCATCTACGGTCCATGACTTAAATAAGCGCATCGCATTCGGCAACATATAGATGACGGCTATTGATGAAGAAAAAGGAACAAGGTAATAATTTGAAAGATCCCATTCCACTGCGCCATGGGGTCAAGCCTCCCAATCACAAAGTTGCCTTCAAACGCCGCCGCCAAAAAAGGAAAGATCCAACTGGAAACGAGAACACGGTGCTGGCGGAATTGCATCTGCCGGTATGTAAGAATGTGCGACATCAAAATAATTACCACAAAAGACCTGAAAACAAAGAGACTGTCGTTGCCGCCTTCATATGCCGACAGGAATGTCCATGGGGTCCGGCTCCTCCGCTGGGCCGTGTCTGTTCTGCAGGTCGCGGTCCTCCTCCATTAACCCGATGACGCTGTCAATGTTGTTATCGAGGCTCTCGCTGTCCTTGGGGTCCAGGCAGCGCTTGAGCAACCGGCGGTACTTGTCAATCTTGTCGCCGACGCCGACCATGCTGAGGGCGTCGACGTACTCCGTCTCGGCTATGCGCTGCTCAGCGATCATGTGGCTAAGCTGACGCGCGAGGTTGAGACGCTCCTCGTACGACTCGTCCTGGCCGCCGTCGCCATTAATGCGGCTCAGTTCACCATCGGCGGTCTGTGAGATGTGTAGCCGGTTCTGGTGGGTGATGAGTGATAGGACATGGTGCTTGGCGAGGTTGGCTTCGTTAGTAACCTGTGTGGCGACTTCGTCAGGCTCCAGTTGTGTTTCCAACTTGGCGATCTGCTCATGGGCAGCCTGCAGTTCCGCCTGTGTGTTGGTGAGAATGCGCCGCGCTTCCGATTCAGCCCGGTCCTTGACATTCCATTCCTCGTCATAGCTCTTGGCCAAGTCGGCAAACTTTTCTTCTAGTAGAGGCGCGATGCGAGATTGCACAGTTGTTGCGGCAGCAGATCCGAAAATCTTGCGAGTTTTTTTGGGAGGTTTGTCCTTCAACGCGTCTCTGAAAGACGCGTGTCTTTGTGAATCAGGAGCAAATGGCGATGAAGAGCGCTGCGGTCCAGGGTCCTTCTTTGCAGCGTTAAGTTCTGCAATAAGATCCTCGGCTCGGATGCCTTCGTTGTTAGGAATATCGGTAGATGCATTGCGACCTAATAAGGATCGAACACACTTCCGGGCGTTCCTTTGGGCGGCCAGATGCAGAGCAGTGTTGCCGTCGCTGTCTTGGATGTCGAGCATCTGCTGGAGAGCGCTAGGGCTTAGATGCGAGTCTAGACGCGTGAGAATACTGTCCAGGTAGAAACGTGAACATGTCGGACTGTATAGACGACAGTTCTTCATGATTGCAGCGTGGTGGATAACGGTGCACCCAGAAACATCTTGCGCGGTCACCGTATCCCAGAGCTCTTTCATGACGTCAGAGAATGTCTGCCTTTCGTAGCAGTTAGTGAAGTTGACGGATCGCATAAATGGAGTTTCTCCGCGCGCGTTCTTGGCCGAAATACTGGCATTGAACCTTTTGAGCTGCCTGACAACACTGATGTCGCCCATGGCACATGCCCAATGGAGAGCGGTATGATTCTCAGCGTCGATGGGCCAGTCCGACTGAAAGTTGGGCGGGGGGTCAGGCTTCACAATGGCCTGCCCACCGTTTCTTGAAAGTAAGAAGTAGTCCAAAAGCTCGTCGCCATACATGGCATGCTGCTGTTCCGCGAGATCGTGGAGGTGCTCCTCCCTCTTGCGCCTTCTATGGCCGGTAGACACATGCGCCATGTCGTAGCGATCCTCGTCGGCCATGTATGATGCCGATGCTATGGTAATATTATCGGGCGTGTCGTCGTCCACTATCATGGAGTCGGTGTTCTCAAAGTCGTCGCGCATAGGTACAGTGCCTGGAACGAGAGTGTGAGTCTCTGTCGCCACAGCGGGCGACTTCTTGGGCTTACTGGCACCCCATTTTGGCAGAGGGGGTTTCACTTTGGGCGCCTTTGGTTTGCTGGCATGTCGAGGAGCGGGAGGAGGGCTCTGGTCACCGGGGACATATTCGAACATGGGTCGTAATCGGTCGTATACGCTGTGTCGATGGGCAAGGGCCTCGCCACTTTCGAGGGGAATCCAGGTTCCTAATTCGTGTGAGCTATGTTCTAACTGAATCGCAGGCGGATGGTACTGACCTTGGTATTTGCCATAACCACCCTGAATCTTTTCGTGCACGTCTTTTTGTACGTCGCGCTCCAGGATTCTTGTTCGAGCAGGCTTGTCAAAGCCAGCAGCTTTGAGGATATGCGTGGCATTAATCCAGTCATCATGTCTCCTTCGCATAACATGTTCTTTGAGTTCATGACCAAATTGGTATTCATAGACGGGGATCTAGATTCGTGGTTAGCGATATTCGCGGCAGGCGTTGCTCGGCCAATGGAAAGGTGGTAGGCATCCGGTGCGAGGTAACGACAACGACAGCGCCGACGGCCAAATAAGAGAAGTACTCACACCACTGTACGTGGCACTGTATATGCCCGGACCTGTTGGAGGAGGCGGCGGAGCAGCCTTGACCATTTTGTCGGCGCAACAAGGTCCTAGCAGGACGATATGTGGATGCTGGCAAGGCGTGGTAGTTGATGAAACGGCGCAACTGGCTCAGCCAGGGACTGACTGCAGGCGGGTTACCGGCGGAGCGATGGAGAAAATGTCTTTTCTGGAGCGAAGGTGTTAAATGTAAAGAGATGAGGCTACCCGGCGTCAAATTGCCCTTTCGGTAGTGTTGCAGGGTTTTGCGATGGAAGCTGCACAAATGGCTGGCGACACGTCGTAGACGCGGTTGAGCGAGGGAGAGACGCGCGCCGACGCGAGGCAAGTTTAAGTGGTTCCTGCCTGAGGCGGAAGGATCTGGGGAGAGCTGCACGTGATATGACATGCAAGACCTCCTGAAGGGGGTGGATGGTAGTGGCCAATGGGCCTAACGCCAACGCGATTGGCTTTTGGGGCGGGAAGCTCCCCTGGCATACAATAGGCCACCATTGATCGCGAGACAAGACAATTCTCGGACAAGCAGACGGGTTCCAGCACCGCGGCCTCTCAAATCTGCTGGAACGAACTTGCGACGAATTGCATCCACGACAACAGCCGGGCAACGTAATACCCATACTGCGGGTTGTTTGCTGTAAGTGGGCAATACAGCTTCCGAAAAGGCGGGATACGCTGTTAGCTCCAGCTCTACGGTGACACTCAGCGAAGCGGCCGAGGAATCTGGGTCTGTCACAGGACAGAAACAACGGCAAGATGACGGAAATTTTACACAACGCGCCTATTGTGCTGGACAATGGCTCGGGTACGATACGGGCGGGCTTTGCGGGCGAAGACCTGCCAAAGTGCGTGTTCCCCTCCTGGGTTGGACGGCCCAAACACCTGCGCGTGCTGGCGGGCGCGCTGGAGGGCGACGTGTTCATCGGGCAAAAGGCGGCGACGGACCTGCGCGGGCTGCTCAAGATCCGCTACCCGCTGGAGCACGGCATTGTAACTGACTGGGACGACATGGAGCGGATATGGGAGTACGTGTACGGCGAGGGGCTCAAGACGCTGAGCGAAGAGGTGCGTGGAGCAAACGACGACTGCAGGGGTTGAGACTGCGGACTCGAACGACGAGGACGGCTAACAGGCAGCAGCACCCGGTCCTTCTCACGGAACCGCCCCTGAACCCGCGCAGCAACCGCGACACGGCGGCGCAGATCCTCTTCGAGACATTCAACGTGCCGGCACTGCATACGTCGATCCAGGCGGTCCTGTCGCTGTATGCGAGCGGGCGTACGACGGGCATTGTGCTGGACGCGGGCGACGGCGTGTCGCACGCGGTGCCAGTCTACGAGGGGTTTGCGATGCCGAGTAGCATTCGCCGTATCGACGTGGCGGGCCGCGACGTTACGGAGTACCTGCAGACGCTTCTGCGCAAGAGCGGCTACGTGTTCCACACAAGCGCAGAGAAGGAGGTGGTGCGGTTGATCAAGGAGACGGTGTCGTACATTGCGCCGGATCCGAGGAAGGAGGAGCGCGAGTGGCTGGGGGTTAAGGCCAACGACTCCAAGTACGCGGAATATACACTGCCCGACGGGCACAAGCTCAAGGTAGGCGATGCGAGATGGTGCGGGTCGAAGAGGGGGCACGGGCGGGAATGAGGACCAAGTACTGACAGAAGGATAGATTGGAGCGGAGCGGTTCCGAGCACCAGAGATTCTATTCGACCCAGAGATTATCGGGCTGGAGTACCCGGGCGTGCACCAGATCGTGGTGGACGCCATCAACCGGACGGACCTGGACCTGCGCAAGTCGCTGTACAGCAATATTGTGCTGTCCGGGGGCAGCACGCTGACCAAGGGCTTCGGCGACCGGCTGCTGACGGAGCTGCAGAAGCTGGCGGTCAAGGACATGCGGATCAAGATCTTTGCGCCGCCGGAGCGCAAGTACTCGACGTGGATCGGCGGCAGCATCCTGGCCGGGCTGAGCACGTTCCGCAAGGTATGCGAAGATGGACTCTTTGTATCTGAGGACTATACTGACTGGAAGCAGATGTGGGTGAGCATCGACGATTGGCACGAGAACCCGGATATTATCCACACCAAGTTTACGTGAAGAGGGCGAAGTACACGGTGACGGCGGGTGCGAGAGCGGGTACGGGTAAAGCAGTGCATGAAGTAGCATGTATTGGACAATGGGACATAAATGTACATTTAGAGCTTGTGGCCGGAGGCAAAGGAGGGTTTCTTTTTTGGGCGAAGGAAGAGTAATACGATACCCTGAGTTGACAGTGGTGAGGCAGTGATCTGAGAATGTGACTGTAAATGACGAAGTTTACGGTGGGATTAACTAGCATGCGATGCAAAGATTCACATAAAAGGATTATAGTCAATTTTAGAATGACGCCACTAATAATTTTAATATTAACATTATAGAGAAGCGTTGGACTGGCAAGCTGATGGAGATGACAACAGCGTGTGTGCGGTTTGCGTGCTGGAGTTGGGCTCCACCAAACGTCCAAGTGTGTTTGTGTGTAAATGCAACAAGTAAACTTTTTTTCCCGAGCTTCCCAACGCCGTGTGCTGAGTATATACGAAGGACCGAAACAATAAAAACATCAAAAAAAATAGTGGGAGAGTTTTGCTGGCATAGCCAGTTGTCATCCAATCGTACATGATGGTCGTAAACGTAGGTGTAAGTTTTTCCAAGGACGCCAATGTCGCCTCTAGCCGTTCCGTTGTCAATAACAGGTTTGGCCGCCAATACGAGGCAGAAAAAAGACGACCTTCTCCTCGTCGTCGTCCCTTCACGACCGTGAGAAGCTCCCGCTGACGCGCGCCGCCCAGCCGCGCGCCTTGCCCGCCACGCTGCTCCCCGCCGAGCTCGTCGCGCTCAGCAGGCTCGCGCCGTCCTCCTCCTGGTCGCTGCCGCTGCCGGCGTAGGCGTAGGCGTTGCCGGCCATGTTGCCGGCGCCGCCGACGCCGGAGGAGACGATCCGCGGGGTGCTGCTGGCGGCGGAGGGAGTTGTGGTGGTTGTGGTGGTTGTGGGCGGGGTGAGGGTGGCGGTGGAGGAGGAAGAGGAGGAGGCGAGGCGGCGGACGTTGCCCGCGCCGCCGCGGCCGGTGAGGACGTATGAGGGCATCGTGGGTGTGTGTAAGTGGTGGTGGTGGTGGAGGTTGAGGTCTGCGGTGTTGTTGCGGATGTATGCCAATGATATGACCCGAATCCGTTCAAGGTAGAAACGTGTTTGAAGATTTGTGTAAAGAGCTTGTATATATGTAGAGCAGCTTTGTAGAGGAAGAGAACAAGTTCGTGAAGAGGAAATCGTCGACGTTATGAAGCGTACTTGGTCAGGGCCGTGGGGTCGTGGGCGGCCCGCAGGTAGCTGTTTTTGGCGTTCCAGTGGCGGAGCCTGCCGAGAGGAAAAAAAGGTCTGGTGACTTGCTGAAAAAAAAAAAAAAAAACCTTCTGTCGGCGCTAAAAGCAAGTACCTCTTGGCCACTGCATGCACCATTTCGCCACTGTAGCTTGAACCCACAGGTACATCGCCCCTTTGCTCATCGTCGCATCTTGTCTTGGCTTTATTACGTTTTTTAAGCCGTCCCACGTTGCTTGTTTGCAGGTCAGCCGCTGGTTTTCTCTTACATGGCGCTGTGGGGAGGAAGGGGCGGCTTCTGTCCAAGCGGAATTGCTGGGCGCGGCACCACAGGTCACGCTGCTCGCTCACACGTTGCGTGTGGACGTTGGCGGAATTCTAGAACTTGGGTCTTTTCCGTCGGCATTTCTCCTAGACCATTATGCATTCCTCGGTGACAAGAGACGACCAGAAATTGGATCAGCCAAGATTACGAAATGCCAACGACTCTTGGCTTGGGTCACGCGCGGGGGGAGGGGAAGTGGAAGAGGGGCATCGAGGTCATTCACCAGGCTGCATTATTATGCCCCCTGCTTCTTGGTAGGTCCTCTGCTGTGCCAATTGCTCAATTACACCCGCTGTTGAAAATCAAGGGACAAGGAAAAGAAATCTAGGGAAAAATACCGACTTGACACCGAACATCTTAGATCTCGAATCCAATTCAATTCCATTGTCCTCTCATATGTAATAGCCCCCCTCCCTTCCTGCCATCTCACCTCGCTGGATGCCAGACCTTGGCAGCCCACATACACCTGCAGACAAAATTTTCAGCGCCATAATATGAAAAACGCGGGGAAGCGAGCCACCAAACCCACTGTTTACTCTTTTGGCGCTTCCCCCCGCACACCCTCATGGCCAGATGACCTCCTCCATCTGCACCACAAAGCCAACCAAGAACGTTGTCGAGGCGAGAATCTATTATTCATTTGCAGTAATAATACAAGCTCGTTTACCGGTAGGTGGTAATGTGGGACCAAACGACCAACGGCTTGTTATTGGTCACGAGTTAGTCATTGGTGATGCTGCGAGTAGTTGCTTGATGTTAATGATTATCAACTCGTCTTGTAAATCATAACCAAAACAGAACTCCCAAACTCGTCACATGCGTTGAAAAACTTAGCAATTCGACCAAATAGGCTGCAATTTCATCATCTAGATAAACTGCTACTGTATGCTTTCCAACCTGATCCTGCAACGCCAAGTATAATGACAAATAGAAGAAGAAGAAAAAGAGAAGAGAAAACAACAACGAAGAAATAAAAGAGCGATCAAATAAAATACTAGAAATCCGAACGACCATATCTGCCCACTACCAACCCCCGACTTACAGGCCCACGCTCATCCACCCAAACATGCCCAGTGACGCGCTCAGCAGCAAAAACGTGATGATGCCCGCCCCTGCCCGGTCCGCCGTCGTGATCGGCTTCGGTTCCTTGCGGTACGCGTTGGCCTGGCCCACGCCCGCGGTAGGGTCGCTCTTGGACGTGCCGCCCGTGTCGGCCGTCACCGCCGCCTTCGCGCTCGGGTACAGCAGCGACACCATGGCCGCCACCGCGTCCATCTGCTGGCTCGCGCCCGAGTTGGGCGGGTCCGGCGCCTGCCACGTCCCCGACTGCCAGTAGAATCCGCACTGCCGCCCGCCGTCACCACCCGTGCACTGCTTGATGCACGCCGCCGCCGACTTGCGCAGCACCGGCATCACCTGGTCCGCAATGTACGGCGCCATCTGCGCCGACGCCGCCCACCACCGGTGCATATAGCCCTTGAACGACAGCATGTCCGTCGTGCACGTCTTGACGCCCTCGCACGCCGGTTCGTACGCAATGTCGTTTTCCGGGAAGAAGTGCTCCAGACCGTGTTTCACCAGACCGTCCACGCAGTTCTTCCACTTTTGCGCTCCCTGCGTGTGGTTGTACATGACCGCACAACCCTGCAAGAATACGGCATTGTTATACGAGAATTCAACCTTGTTGATGTCGGTACAGTTGTGCTCGACGTGGCCGCCGTCGTAGATGGCGTGCGTCTCGGCGTCAATATAGCCCACTGCCGAAACCCAGTCGAAAGTCTTTTCCGCCCAGTCTAGGTACGTCTGGTTTCCAGTATAACGGCCCAAGCGGGCGCCCATATTGAAGAAGATGCCGTTGGCAATTGCGTTCTTGTAGTCATAACCGTTGTTGGCAAAGGGAATCTGCCAACGGAGGCCGCCGTTGCATTCCTGGTCGTGTCGGTCCGGACTGGCCTGCGTGTTCCAGACAGCCTGGGCCAGGCCAAGCCATGATGGCTTGTCCGAGGCCGGATCGGGGAACTTGACCTCAGCAGCCAGCATGGCCGACATGCCCCAGAATCCCTGGTCGTCGTTGCCTAGCGAGGCTGTGTAGTTGTTGGGCATGTAGGCCTTGTTCTCGCCAACCTGGAACTGCATCGCCTGCATGATTCGGTCGTTGTACGTCGTATCGCCCGTTACGTGCCAGTAATCGATGAGCGTCCCCCACATGGCACCGCCAATCCACCAGTAGTAAGGTCCAGCCGGGGGCGGACCGGGAAGGATGCCGGGGACCTGGCCAGGTTCGTCGCCGTGATAGTGCTTGAGGAGGTCCTCGGCCATCTGCGAAGCCGACTTCTTGATGGCATCTGGGTGTGTTAGAGGGAAGCACGGCACGTGGATTGAGGAGGAAATTATGTACCGTCGCTGTCTATAGAATATGTGTTTTGAGCGGTAGCGAGGGACAGCAGCGCCGTAGCCGCCGCCACGCTGGCGAATGTTTTCATCTTCGTGTAGAGGGGTATTGAGTGTAAATGGTCATGAAGCGCAGCCTCAGCCAAGAAAAGTTGGAGAGTGGCACGAGTGCCGTAATGCGATAGTGAGCGGTGCGACAAGCGGCTGTTGGATCGATCAAAGAGCGTAAAGGAATTAATTAGTCGCGTTTGCGCGAGAGTGAGGCGGTAATTCGACAAAGGGGCCCTCGGTACTTTGGGTCGTGCCGACAAAGAAAGGTCAAAGGGGGGTGCGGTAGAAGGCTCGTCAAGGTGAGAAACAGTAATCAGCGACGCCGGGCCGTGATACTGGATCGGAGAGAGCGAGGGAGAGCGGCCGTAGAACGGGTTGGTGTTTGAGATGAAGACTGGACGAGATGGGTTGATTGTGCGAGGTGCAGACGTGGGATCATGGTTGGACGGCCGGGGGGGTGGCGGTTGGAGACTGCTAACACCTGGTACCTGAAGCTGAACCAAGAATTCAGATGGTGATTGGTACCTGAAGATGGACGAGAGCCAATGGAGGGACGGGAGTGGCTAGTCTAGTGATAGTCAGGGCATCCAGGGGCAGCACATCAGCGGCTGGGAGGGGCGCCGAGACAGGGGTTTGTGCCAGGAGTTCTGTGGTAGGTAGTGTACAAAGTTGGTGCGCAGGAACAATGGAATTATGGAAATAGCCCGTGTTGGAATCAAGCTAAAAAGTCTATTTACGAGGAGAATCAAGGTTGAAGACACTACTACCAACGATAGACTGTCGGAAGAAACGGTTGGCTGCAGTTGGCTTTTCGCATTCCAGTACAGTGCCCCACTGCAGTCTGCATGCTGCCGTCAGCATAATTCAAGCACCGCCTCATTCATTACTTCCCTGCCTGCATTGTTGATTGCTCGCTACCAAGGACGTCGCTTGCTTCACCACAGCGGCTTGACTCGCCTCCGCTGCGAACAACTTCATGCATCGTCGTCCATATCCTTGCCGCCAAGTAAAATTCATCGTTCCTCCAGATCGTCCTCTGGGCATCTTGCCAAGTTGCTTGGCCCCTTTTCCTGCGCTCGCTCCGATCGTGGCTTGGCAGCGTGGCACCCGGCCAACAAATGCGACGGTCATTGAGGCTGTGCACAAGCGAAACCAAGCTCCGACATACCAACGTTACCTACCATTTTTTGCTCACTACAAGCCTTTGTAACGCCTGTGTTTTGTCTTTTTGTCAATTAAATGAGCTGTTCCATCGGTCCGATTATTAGCTATTTCCAGTGCAGCCACTGGATTGGAATTGATGAACTCAAGAATGAGAAAAGAGAAGATTTCGATCAAAAGATATTATAAACTGAAGCTTGTGAGTCCATTCAAATATTGAATAAAATGATTAATAAATGCGCAGCTAGCACACAATGTCCCGGATCGAAAACAATCGCCGTGTCTTCTCACACGACAGCCACACACGCCTCGTCCTTGTCATCTCTGCCCTGCCTGACGAGGCGATCTCGTCCGTTCAAATAAAAGTACCTCCCTAAAATAAGGGAAAGTACACCGGCCTCGTCCAATCCACGTTGTGAGACTCCTCGCGTGGGTACACTGTGCCAAACACGTGGTCCCAGACGAGCGTCTGCTTGCCGTAGTTGAAGCTCTTCCTGCTCCCTCGCCGATGATGCAAATCATGATCCTCAATCGCCAGCGACACGCCCAGCCGATCCCACAACCATCCCCACGTCGACGGCGCCGACGCCAGCATCCGCACGCCGCAGTGCCCAACCGACTCCGTAAACATGACGTACGTCTGACACACCCACCAGTGGTAAAAGTCGAACCGCTCCGGCCCAAACACCGCGCGCAGCGTGAAAAACGCCAGCAGCGGCATCACGACAATGTCGCCCATCTCCTGCGCGTCGTCCGCGTAGCCCGTCAGCAGCGCGCTCGGGTGCTTGGTCAGGTGGTGCCGGCGGTGGAAGCGCCACAGCGCCGGCACGTCGTGCATCGCGCGGTGGTACCAGTAGAAGAAGAAGTCGAGCGCCAGCGTGTACGCGCCGACGTGCACCAGCATCCACGCCCACCACTCCGGCCGCGCCAACGCCTCCAGCGGCGACCCCGTGGCGGCGCCCTGGTAGGCGAGCAGCACGGTGAGGCCGGGCCGGCCGAGCATCAGCTTGCCGAGGGAGACGGCGACGCGGTCGACGCCGACGTCCGGCACGCTGTCGCGCGCGTGCGCGCCGTCCAGGAAGCCGTGCGCCTTGCCGAGGCGCCGCAGCGCCGTGGTCAGCCTCCCGAGCATGTTGAGCGCCGACGCCGTGTACAGGCCGAACACGAGCCAGGCAGACAGCGCGCGCTGCCCGGTGGCGAAGAGCACCGCCTGGTGCAAGGCCATGGTGCTGAGCGCGGTGAGGAGCACGAACGCGTGCGGCGTCCAGCCGGCGAGGTACGGCATCGGCGACGTCTTGGCGTGGACCGGTATGTCCTTCTCGAGCTCCGGGTAGCTGGAGAGCTGCGTAGCGAGGATGCGGTGCGACCACCGCCACTGGCCCCGGTCGCCTCGGAGCCAGGTTGACTTCATCGAGTCCTGCGGGTTGGGATGCGTCGACATGGCGACTGCGGGTGGAAGAGGTGAATGGTGAAGGGGTGTTCGCCGCGTAGGGCTCCTCTGGTGTCCGTCGATCTGATAAGCCAATGTCACTCCTGATTTAGAAGTCTTTAATCGCAGTAGATAAGGAGAGTTCTTCAAACAATGCTTCGTAGCCGCCCTTGCGTCCTATTTAACGACGGCTCATCGTACTCTTATTCCCATTCCACAGCCGTAAAGCAGACCTCGGCTACGGCTCTTCTGGTCAAGTCGCGACATCAGCTCTTACACAACACTAGCCCCAACTTCTAGTGCCATCCTTGCCTTGATTAGCAACAGTAAAGAAATCGTCGACTCAGATTCGTTGGTGGGTAAGGTGATGAGCGGGGCGCACGGGCGGGAAACGGAGCATCGGACGACCTCCGGTCCGGGGACACGGGGTGGATCAAACCGTGATGCTAGGGTTATCATCCGCACCGGGAGAACAATGCAACGCTGACTTTAATAATGAGTTTCTAGTAAATAAGAGACCTTTATTACTGCGTTTTCTAAGCTTCCCCGTCATTCATTATTTTCATTATGGTCTTCTAACACTCTGTCCGTGGCGTTGCCCTGTTCCCCGTCTCGCCTTAGGTCATCCACTTAGGCGTCGATTGACTGCTCCGCAAGGCACAGGGCTGCTATCCCGGCTGGGGGCTGGGTGGATCGGGAATCCGGAGAAAACATCGACGCTCACGCCCCGAAGCGAGGCGACCGACAGATTCGATACCATCTCCAGCCTCATGCCAAGCTGGCTCATCGGAGGAAGGCCTTGCATACTTTGCACAATTTGCCTCTTCCCACATGTTTCTAGTGTGACGAGTCGTCCCTTTGACTGTGCCATTGCCCCTTCTCTATTATCTCGATTGCATAGTTGAGTAGAGAAGGTTATTCAACTGCATTGACGATTCAGTCACGTCATTGCAGCCGAATGCGCACCGCCTGAGAAATGGGCTCGACATATCCTCGGTTGTGAGAGGAGAAGGTAGCACATGCAAGATAACACTGCGAGCTGCAGATGACACAGCGAGCTCCTCGGCGCCCGAGGACTGCGATCCCGTCGTCGTGAGCAACCCCCTCTTCAGGGACGCAGCACCGGGACAGCGTTTCCAAAAGGGTCCGCTCAGATAATTGCCAGAAAATATCACCGATATAAAACAAGTGTGAGTGCCGCCGCTACGATGCCTGCATGTTCAAGTAGCGCTTAGAAATCGTCATAAAGTGGTGGTGATGTATTATGATACATAGTGGGAGGAGAATGCCTCTACAACTCCGCTGAAACGCCATAGAAATCCAAAAATTCAATGTAACCAACCGTCTCATCCCTTCTCGTCAGAATGTCTGAGGACCGACCCTGTCCTCGCTTGGAAAGTGCAATGTGGAGGAGGATGTTGTCCAACGCCAATGTCTTCCTCTCCCCACCGGGGAAGAACATCCCACACAAGTTGTATATATAACCTTTTTATACCCGATGGAAAGAGATTTCAAAATGCCCCCCCAAAAGAAATTCCACCTACATACGCCTCATGTTGTTGATATTATTCAAATTCAAATTTCCAATACCGTAGTTGCCATACATGGCGGCCGGAATCTGGTCTGACGTGCCCGGAATCATTTCGCCAAACATGTCCCAGCTCATGGGCGGCATGTCTAGGAAGCTGCCAGCAAACGGGTCCGGCTCCGTCTGCATCGGCTGCTGGCTCATCTGCAGGCCCATCATGGGCATGGCTGGCGTCGCCGTCGTCGAGTTCGCCGTCGAGGACCGGCAGTCACTGGACGGGAGCAGCTCGCGGAGGCGCTGGATGAAGCATGGCGTCTCGAGCGGCCATCCAGCCTGCAGGAATGACGCCTCGCGGGCTTTCCAGGCCTTGAGGGCTAGCTGCGCCTGCGCAATACGCGTCTTTTGCGATAGGTCAAACAGCTCGGGGTGGTAACCGTATGTCCTTTCGACCGAAGTCCAGCCTCGATCAGCGAGAGTGCCGCGTGTATGTGTACAGAGTTGCGAGGTCAAAAATGAGAAGAAATCGATGGAAAAGGTGATTCTCATGAACCACATGAAGCCCGCCTCGCTCATGCCTTGGTAGAGGGAGAGACGATGCTCAGAGCCCAACACCATAATTTTGAACAAGTTGTCTTTGGGACCAAAGATTTCGGTACCCCATTCCGGCTGATCCTTCATGGGGACCAGCATCTCCTCCATGTTTTTAAACATGAGCGGTCGGAAGGCTTTGGCAGCAATATGCGCGTTGCCAGCTGAGGGGTCGCAATACTTTTCTTCCGTCTCGATAAGCTTGTCCTCAATGATTCGCGACTGCGCGCGATACTTGTTGAACATGGCCTGGTGTCTGGCGACATCGTACTCGCTTTCATCACTTTGGCCGAGGATAGCTGCTTCAAGCTCCGCTTCTTCGTCTGCTGTCGCGCTCATTCGCTTGAAGTCGAAGACTTGGCACATGATCATGACAAAGATCATCTCGGTAGGGCCCTCTCTGGGGCGAACGGGCTCGGTGGAGCCGGGAAACAGGTCGGCATCGTTGAGGTTGCTGGGGATTTTGGTGTCCCATTTTTGATTGAAGCTGGATTGCTGACTGAGACCAGAGAACATGCCAAGCTTGAAATCGTGCATATACAGCTGCCACCAAATTCGGCGTCGCATTTCGGTTTCGTAGGGAGTCATGCCGAGTTTCTCGCCGTCGTGGTGGTAGCCCATCTTTTGGGCAAGGCGAACTGCAGTCGCGCTCATGACCCAGGCCGAGTGGGTATCGATTCGACTTTCGAGGGAGAAGAGGTAGATCATGAGAGCCTGTAGACAGGTCATGTTGTAATTTTTCAGGTAGTTGAAGCGGGTGAGAGCGGCCTTGGCACCGGCGTTGAACGTGTGCAAAGCCTTTTCTCTGCTCATGCCGAGCATCTGGAGAGCCTCGGTCTCTTCCAGTGATAGGGTGGCCATGGACATGATGCTGAAGAGCAAAGCCTGGTAGTCGAGGGGGACGTTGGAAATATTCGTAGTAATCTCGAGGACGTATGGTTGAACTGTTGGAACGTGAATGAGTTTATTCAGTGGGTTGACCTTGTCGAGATATGTCTGCCAGAGTCGGAAGACGTGGACGGGGTCTGGGAGGAGATCCTCGGTGGTGGTATTTGTGAAATCGATGGAGAGGATCAAATCGGTGTTATTGTCAGGTGTGAGCTCCTCGGGGCTTAAGATGCTGGCATCCTCTGGATCCTCGGCCTCGACGAGACTGCGCATGGCTTGCAGCTGGGAGGTGTTAGTATAGAAGACGAGGTACAGGTCCGGATCTCAGCTCACCTCTTCGACGACGGTCCCCCATATCCGGCTGTCCATGAATCTTGATACGCCATCTTCTTGAATGATTTTATATCGAGGTTGGACGGTCGTCTGCGCTTCGGTACTGACGCTGCTGGGGGTATCTATTACCTCCTTCTTGGCAGTGGTAGCCGCGGCAGAGGCAGAGGCGGACGTTGACGGGGTTGAGAGGGACGGGGGATTGGAGGAAGTGCTGGGAGGAGACCCGCCGGTCGCGTACTGCTTTAAAAGTTCTTCACATCTAGCCAGACGCTCCTGGAGGTCCTGGTTTGGGCGGCGACGTTTGCGCGCCGGAGCAGGTGTACTGGGCGTGCATGTGACACCGGCCTGAGGTGGCAAGGGTTAGCGGACGAACGGAGGCCAGGCATCAAGACGTTGGCATCAAGATGTGGGCGGAGCAAGGCTATTCTAACCTTGATACAATTGGAACACGGGGTATTGCGATCGCACTTGATCTTGCGGTGCTGGCAGAGGACGCAGGCGAGTACTCGGGGACTCTTGTGAGGGTGTGGCGGCGGGGGGACGGCGGACATGATGGTTGACGGAGATATCGGCGCCGGGGCGATGGGAGAGACGCGCGTGAAAAGGGCCTTAGGCGACGTCAAGACAGAGGCAATAACAAACGAGACGGCCAAGGTAGTGGTATTAAAAGCCGATGCGCGCAATGGAGGGGTGCGTGGGGGAGGATGACAGGCGAAGCTGGTGAGGGTCGTTTTGGGAAAATGCAGGTGCCTAGGGCCGCATTCCCACCAGATCGGACAGAATCAGGAGGCGCGGAGATTGAGGGACGAGGGCTAGCGGGGCGGAGCAAAGAGAGCAATTTTGAAGCCTTGTAGGCAGCAAGAATTTCACGGTGGTGATGGCCGCTCAGGAAATGTGGGAGAACTGAGAGCTGGACGGCGGATGAGCCACCCGCGCGAAAGTGGCTTGGCGGGGTTTCGCCGTTGGGGCTGGTTGGCGTGAAAGGCCGCCAAGACGATGCAACGGTGTAGCTGAGAATGCGAGAACAAGGCAGCGAGAGAACGGTTTCAAGAAAGGCTGCCTATTTGAAGTTGTATCTGAGCTGGCAGAATTGTCCGAGGTTTGTTGGGGATGATGGATGCGATAAGAGTGGCTGGTGGTGGAGGGGGGAATTTGCATGTATATCCAGGAATACCGTCTGGTCTAGGAGTCTCTATCTATCGGTCTGCAGAAGCCAAGCAGGCAGAGAAAAAAAAAACAAACTTCAAGCGGGTCTAGATGGAGGCTGCAAGAATGATTCAATGACCCAAAATAGAATAGTAGCCACGATGCGCACTTTTGCTGGGTGACGAGAAAGCTTATTATTGAGGCCGGCCAGCGGTTCCGGTTGATCCCCAGGCGGGCTAGCGGACTTGCGGTGGCTGCGGAGCCGCCAAAAACCGCCGCAAAAGGCTGCTGACAGGTGATGAATAAGGGGGCGAAAGGGAGCCGGCGGGGGACTTATAGTGGACGTTTCCTCCCACAAGGCCATTTCCTTGGAGCGGTTAGCGGGGAGGCCGCTACCTGGGATAACGGTGCACAGCGACACATCACGGAACAGCTGCCACTGACTCTTACTTCAAGCCAAGCCCAACCGAACCAGAGAGAACCACGCAGATCAACTATTCCCATCTTCGTCAGCCATCACTTCCACCTCCGCGGCCCAACTCGATCGCATGTCCTCAGCCGCTAGCCCAGAAACCCACCACACCGGCCTTGTTCTGCCCTATCGGTAGTACTACTTCCCAGCAAACAGCATGCAGACAACACGGCCACAGGCACTGTCGCCATCATCCAACGACGACAAGACAATCAATCCTATAGACAAATCTTCCATGGCACACCCCCAGCAATTTCTCAAGCAACTCAGACCTTTCGCCTGACACCTCCCAAATGCGTATATCGTTGTATGGATACACTTAGCCCTTCAGCTTCAGCAGATACCGTACCCGTACGGAGCTGCACACCACACCATGCATAACTCGAACGGGTAGCCGTGCACAAGGATGCCCAAGTGTACATAGTAACTAGCGCCTCGCAGCTGGGTTGAAGATATCAAGCACAAACCGCGCCGGTTTCGCCCGTTTAGCCGCCCCTGCAAACTGTTGTACGTCTGATACGAAGAAACCGCGCGAACAGGAGAAATGGTCAGTTGACCAGTTTCCCATTGCGATTTTTCTCGACCCCAAGAAAATAATTCGTTTCAGCCTTCCTTGAATCGTCTTAGAACCGGCTCTTTCCATCACTGACTTGCCGGTTGTGGATCAGAAACTAAGCGGCCACCAATACGCGTAACCCAGCCAGAATAATATCCGGAGTTCCACGGATAACGGACGTAGTAACGTCCGTCCACCGACCACAAAAAATAGCCCACAGACTACCGTTGGGTGACTCAACGCCGTACTTGGGCCTTGGAAATGTCCCACAAAGAAGACCCCCAGATCCTCCATGTTGATGCCCCCAAGCACAAGCTGTACGCGCTCGTCACATTCAAATACAATTTCAAGCACCTCGTAGTCTCCATCGTTTGCCGCGCCCGAGCCCGCCTCTGACGCGGACGCCCCGACGCGCGCCTTAGTGCCCCTTACCACCGGAATCATCCAATATCTGCGCGCAGCCGTTGAAATTGAAGAGCAAGAGGAGAACAATGTATCTGATGATGATGTTTTGGCTGAACACACCATCTTGATGGAGAAGGCAGAAGGGGCCATACTTTGTCGAGCCCGCCGCCTATTTGACCGCATGGCGCCACCAGTAAACGCCTCCTCAAAGGCTTGTGCCTGCAGGATCTGGTTTGGTGCCAAAATATCCATTTTCGTCTTGAGACTTTTCGTGGAAAGCCCAGAATAGTTGAGACTAGCCCTGACCAGGCAGTATGTGCCTCAAAGCCGGAGACGCAGCCACTCCCTTACTCAACCTTTACACCGGATCCCCGCTTCCCTATCTACTCGGCAGCCGATATCCAGGTCCTTTACGACTTTGACATGACCGGTGGGGGACCCGTGTGCAAAGTCCTCATCGATGGACAAGTTATGGTGTCCAAAACGCCGCAGCGAGGCCTCCAGCACGACGAGCTCAGGAGGGAGATGGCAGCCCTAGTCATCACCTACGACGCTGAGGGGAGGTTGGGCATCGATATTGCCACACCGGATCTCGTCGGCTACGTGAAGCACGCCGAGACGGGCGTCATTATCGGTTTCGTGCGCGAATGGATCCAGTCGTCCCGTCGCGGCGCGACCCTCGCCAAGGTCAACATGGCCAGGGTACCTCTCGACACGAGGCAGAAGTGGGCAGACCAGATTGAAGACACATTGGATAACTTGCACAGCATCGATCTCCTCTGGGGTGACTGCAAGCCCGACAACGTTATTGTTGATAAAGCGGAAGACATTTGGCTCATTGACTTGGGTGGTGACTACGCCTTTGACTGACTGGGTGGACAAGAAGCTTGCGGGCACTGTGGCGGGAGACGAACAGGGACTGCATAACATCCAGAAGTTTCTTGGCGTGGTTCCTGGCATGTTAGACTTCCTCTTTTAAAATGATTTATTATTTGTTGTGTTATTTTCTCTCAGACCACTATGTAAGGCCGACCAAGTATCGCCGCAGAGCGACGTTGTCCAGGGCCGAGAAGCAAACTAGCGAGTTAATACTTTCGTGATCTGCGGTGACTTTCAGCCACCACTATTGGTAGGTTGAGACAAAAGGACAAATATGGAAATTCGCATGCAAGTCACAGGTGACTCAGCCCGGTGATGAGTCAAAGCCGACCGGTCGTCATGATGCAGCACAACCTCGCGGAGCCGCAACGTGGCTAGGTTCGGCACTAGAAAAAGGAAAGGAAAACAATTGCCAGAAAAAGAAAAGGAAAAGGGGAAGGGAAGGGAATAAAACTAGCGTCGGTTTAGCACACTGCCGTTTTATCGATTTCTGTCCTTTTAGTAGAAGACAAGGGTTGTCCGCACTCTGATGAGTGAAGGATAGCCCGCGTAGCGCTGACCATTGAGGACTCAGGGCTTTTCATCGACCTCGATGCTGGTGGGAGAAGAGCAAATGGAATGCAAAGAACCGGCTTCGTGTTGCAACTTGAAATTGTACTGTCATATATTCAATTGAATGGAAGTTTTGGTATCATGTACATGTATGAGTCGTGAATACTTCCGCTCCACCGTTCTTCTCGGGGCATATAATCACCCCACGCCTTCTAGCTACTGCTCCCCGAGCAGCGACGATATCCCCGGATCTGAATCACCATCTCCATTCTCAGACGCCTCGACCGGCTCCGGCCCCTGTTCCACCGGCACCAGCGCCAGCCTCTTCTTCTTCCTCAGCACCCGCCGGTGGCCCGCGCTCTTGACGTGCCTATCCCACGCCTCCCGCGTCACCACGGTCGTGCCGCACTCCTCGCACGTCTGCCGCAGCGGCGTCTGCGGCGTTGCCGACGCCGTCTCCGTCGCCGCCTCAAGCACTTGCCGCGCCAGCTCCGACACATCCCGCGGGTGCGGGCGTGCCTCGCCGCCCAGGAACCGCGCGACAAGGTCCGCGCCCGGCGCGACCACCGTCTCCGCGTACCGCGCGGCGTCGGTACTGTCCAGCACGTAGAGGCTGCCAAGCGCACGGGCGCCGCGTTGCCGCAGCCGCGGGATCTGCTTCCCGCGGATCCACTTGTTCTGGTAGTTTGCGTAGCGCCGCGTGGCCGTCTTCATGTCCTCGAGGCCGGCGGCCTGCAGGCGCGCGACCTCGGCGGGGGGCGCGCCGCGCGAGGCGGCGGCGACGGAGGGCGCGAGCTGCTTGTAGCCGATGGACTGCCAGATGCCCTTGGTCGTGTCGAGAGCGGTGCCGGCGGCGGCGCTCGCGGCGTGGAAGCGCTGCAGCTCCTGCACCTCCGAGGTCAGGCCGCCGGCGAGCATCTTGTCCACCCGCCTGTCCAGGCGCTCGCACAGGACGTCACGCTCCGAGTACACCCAGAGCAAGAGGTTCTCCCACGAAGACTCCTCCTCCTTATCCCCGGCGGCGGCGGTGGCGGCGGCTTTGCGCTCCTGCTGCTCTGCGTACAGGGCCGACGCGGTCTTGCCCGTGTGGAGGTAGATTTCCAGGGAGCGCTGGATCTTGCGGCGGTCGTTTGGGTGCCACTTGTCCGCCATCTCCGGGTCAACGCGGCGCAGCTCGGCGAGCATGTCCGCGGTCGAGGCCTCCAGGATGGGGAACGACCTGGCCTCGTCCTGCTGGACGTCGTCCAGGATGGCGTCGGCGAAGAGCAGCGGCTCGACGTAGTAGTGCGTGCCGCCGACGAGGATGGGCAGGTTGCCGCGGGCGCGGATCTCGCGGATGGTCTCGAGGGCATGCCTCTTGAACTCGGTGACGTCCCAGGGCACGGCGCTGAGGGGGATGCGGTCCAGCAGGTGGTGGGGGACGCCGCGCTGCTCCGCGGGCGTGATCTTGTTGGTGATGATGGGTAGGCCGCGGTAGAGCTGCATGGCGTCTGCGTTGATGACTTCTCCACGGAAGCGAGTTGCGATTTCCACGGCCAGCTGATAGTCAATGTGAGTTATGACTTTCTTTCTTAGCGATTCCCTGGTGGTGACATACCTCAGATTTTCCAGTCCCCGTCGACCCCAATATCACGACGAGCGGCTCTTCTGGAGCCGGGAAAATTGGCGAGGTCATTATAGAGACATTTCGACGAAGGATAAATTTTGTACGAGCTAGCATCCGGCTTACGATGCTATTTGCTGGGATGACAGACGTTGCGTCGACTTGTTGGTGATGTCAAAGTTGTCACCCCACAAGGTCTTCTCCACAGTAGAAGGTGCCAGTAATGACTCTGTAATGGGAGCTTGTCCTGTTTGTACGACGCGGTCAATTGCCTATCGCGGATCTCGTGAGAGACCAGTAAATAAATTGGTATGATGGGTACTAATTTACCTGCCTTGCATGAACCTTTTAACTGTCCGTGTCATCCCAAGCGCAGCTGCTGGTGCCCTGTAACCATCGCCGGGCTACAGTCACTAGACCATGTTATTATTAGTGCATCCAGCAGCTTCTAAGTTAGCATCCAGCAATTCTGGCCCAACAGGTCACGTGTACCGCCCCCATTCTTTTTCTGGCCACATCTGCATTTTGGGAGCTTGAAGCCAGATTGCTAGGCCCCGACTCAGGCACGCCTCCTCCTTATCCTGCCACCACCGTCCTTTTCTCGAGCTCGTACCAGCTCTTTCTTTTCCTTCATTTCTTTCCTTTGGATGAATTGAGTCTCTTGTTTTATTGTTTCCATCCTTGACAGCCGCCACCATGAGTTCCCGTACGTTGATCGCCTCCCCCTCGCCGCCCCTCCACTCGTCTGGTGTCGCAACGTCGCCGTTTTGTCGCGCGACTGCCCAGCGAGCTGTCGAGTCGCATCGCCAGACGCCGCTGCCCATCAATTGGCCTCTCCCCAGCTCATGCTAACTCCCGTGTCTTGTATCTAGTCCGCTTTCTTGACTTGGTCAAGCCGTTCGTGCCGTTCCTCCCCGAGGTTCAGCAGCCCGAGACCAAGATCCCCTTCAACCAGAAGATCATGTGGACCGCCCTGACGCTCCTCATCTTCCTGGTCATGAGCCAGATGCCCCTTTACGGCATTGTCTCTTCCGATAACTCTGATCCCCTCTACTGGCTGCGTATGGTCATGGCCAGTAACCGAGGAACCCTGATGGAGCTGGGTATCACTCCCATCATCTCCTCTGGCATGGTCTTCCAGCTCCTCGCCGGCACCCACATGATCGACGTCAACCTCGACCTCAAGTCCGACCGCGAACTCTACCAGACTGCCCAGAAGCTCCTGGCTTTCATCCTTTCCGCTGGTACTGCCACTGTCTACGTCTTCTCCGGTCTCTACGGCCCTCCTGGTGATCTTGGTGCTGGTATTGTCTTCCTCCTGATTCTCCAGCTCATCGTCGCCGGCATGATTGTCATTCTCCTCGACGAGCTTCTCCAGAAGGGATACGGCCTGGGCAGTGGTATTTCTCTGTTCATCGCCACCAACATTTGCGAGTCCATCATGTGGAAGGCCTTCTCCCCCACCACCATCAACACTGGCCGTGGCCCTGAGTTCGAGGGTGCCGTCATCGCTCTCTTCCACCTTCTCTTCACCTGGCCCAACAAGCAGCGCGCTCTCCAGGAGGCTTTCTACCGCCAGAACCTCCCCAACATCATGAACCTACTCGCTACCATTATCGTCTTTGTCGCCGTCATCTACCTCCAGGGCTTCCGTGTCGAGATCCCGGTCAAGTCTTCACGCCAGCGTGGTGCTCGTGGTTCTTACCCCGTCCGTCTCTTCTACACCTCCAACATGCCCATCATGCTGCAGTCGGCGCTGTCCTCCAACGTCTTCCTGATCAGCCAGATGCTCTACTCTCGCTTCTCTGACAACCTCCTCGTCCGCCTCTTCGGTGTTTGGGACGCCAAGGACGGCTCCGCTCAGCTCCACGCCGTCTCTGGTCTTGTCTACTACATGTCGCCCCCTCTTAACTTCAAGGACGCTCTCCTCGACCCTATCCACACGGTTACCTACATTGTCTACATGCTCGGTGCCTGCGCTCTCTTCTCCAAGACCTGGATTGAGGTTTCCGGCTCCAGCCCCCGTGATGTCGCCAAGCAGCTCAAGGACCAGGGTCTCGTCATGGCTGGTCACCGCGACCAGAGCATGTACAAGGAGCTCAAGCGCATTATTCCCACTGCCGCTGCCTTTGGTGGTGCCTGCATTGGTGCTCTCTCTGTTGCCTCTGACCTCATGGGCGCTCTCGGCTCTGGTACCGGCACTCTTCTCGCTGTCACGTAAGTTCATCGGCCATAATGAAATCTTTTAGATACTAACATGTATGCAGCATCATCTACGGCTACTTCGAAATCGCTGCCAAGGAGGGTGATCTGTCTGGCATGAAGGGCATGATCATGGGCTAAGGGCCACTGACGAGCTATTTGTTTGGTTACCATTTAATCATGGGGTACCGAAGGACGGGAATCTGACGGGCCCAATCCATTTACGAAACTTGTAACACTATGGTGTGATGGGGACTCAAAATAAAATTGGCGCAATACAATGGAAAAGAGATGTTATTTCCTGCAGATGCAATGGATCTTGGATTGAGACTCTCCCTGGTCGGAGTCAAGCCAGCGTAATGAGGCGACATGTTGCTTGGACAGACAGGGGTGGTGGCAGACCGTGGTAGGGCTCTATTCAACAGGCGAAGAGCGTCCCATTTGTATGCAAACAATGCAATAAAATAGAGAAAATATATTCTGTAAAAAGGGCCCTCTTTGACTTGATCGGCGTCACTTTCGACGGAGGATAGCGATGAGGTGGTCGGCGCAGCCAAGAAACTCTTCCTTGGTCGAGTACTCTTGGTACATGAGGTCGGCCCAGGCCTGGACAACCTCGGGCCCGGCCTCCTCGAGCTTGGCATCGAGGCCGCCTCCCAGGATGCCTTCAGTGGACCGCATCTCGACCAGCTCCGCCTCGCCGGCAAAGTGACTCTGCAGAAACGCGCGGGCGTCGGCCGCACACGTGTGGTAGCCCTGCGCGGTGACGCCGAGCGCCTCCTTGAAGGACTCATACCTGCCCGTGCGGAGCTGTCCCCGCCGTCAACAAAAGGCTGCTTAGTAGAGCTTAGAGGTCTTATGTGTTGCTTACGTATTTATGGTAAAAGTCGCCCCCGCGGAGGAGCTTCCCCGGGTCCCGCACGGCGACGTCGCGCAGGTGCGCGGCGACGCTGACGAACGCGCAAAAGACGAGGCCGGAGCGCGGGCGGACGCGCCGCAGCGCGTGGGAGACGGCATCGCGGCGCTCGGACTCCTCAAGGAGGTGGTATAGCGGGCCGAGGAGCAGCACGGCGTCGTACGCGCCCTCCGCCTCCGGCGAGGGTGGATGGAGGGCGTTGCCGACGGCGATGCTGCGCAGGAGGGGGGCGGCGGGGGAGGTGCCGCGGCGGTGATCTTGCTCGCGCTGGGCCATGGAGATGAGGGTGGGGGTGAGGTCGACGAGGTCGACGAGGTGGCCGGCGTCGGCGAGGGCGAAGGCGATGCGGCCGGGGCCGCCGCCAATGTCGGCGATGACGGCGCCGGAGGGAGAGGGGAGGCGGGCAAGGATGGTGCGGAGGGTGAGCTCGCGCTCCATGGGGTGGACGGCCAGGCGGGTGCCTTCGGAGTCGGCAATCTTGGCGTAGAGCGTCGCGACGTCGTCCGTGACTGTGGACATGGTGGTGTAAGTGGTAAGAAGAGTGGTGTTTAGGTAGGTCTCTGTGTGTCGGTCGGGAGTGGTATTGCGGGTTCCTTGGGCGACGAGCACTGTCGGGGAGAGGCTCAAATACATGAAAGACTAGGCGGCTAATTATTGCATTCACAGTATTCAGTCATATCAAGGTAAAAACCAGGCTGCTCGGGTTCGCGCAGCTTGCCTACACCTGGACGGGGGATAATGGCGCATATACGCCGGGCGCATCGTTGCCGTCAAGGGACCGGGATCCGGATGCATGGCTTTCCCCACGGGCAAGCCTTGTTTTAAAGCAAGGCAATCAAAAGTGCTTTGCGGCTGAAGAGAGGTGATCGCCTGCCATTTATTTACACTTGCCTTGTTAGGCAAGCCTCAACGTCGCCCGGCTCCGGACGCCCCGGTATGCGAAAGCCGAGCGATGCAGCCGGGTGACCTGCAGCCGTGAAGCCACAATTATTAATCCCCTCAGTACAGAAAAGCGAGACATTTGATACACCACAAGTATATTCTAGTCAACGCTGAGTCCTGTCTATAATGCTAAAATACCCTATGGGAGGAAGAGGCCCAGGATATATACGAGCAATAAGTCCCCGAAAGGTACAGGATTCGAAATAAACAAGCCAGCCAAGGGGCAAGCCTTTTAACGATCAAAAACTGAAATACCCCCTCCACAGCCGCTGCAAGTCCCTCCTCGGATCGTACCGCAGCGACGTCCCCAGCAGCTGCGCATAGCTCTCCGGCCCGTACCGCCGCACGACATCCTGCCACTCGCCGGCGTAGTTCATGTACACGAACTCCCGGTGCGCCCCCCGCCGCCGCGCCGCCTCCTCCGCCGCGCGCACCAGCTCCCGCGTCGACCGCATCACCACCCCGTCCAGCGCGGCGTCCCCCCAGCCCGTCAGGAAGTGCATCACCACCATCGGCCCGTCCTCCGGCGCCAGGCCCATCGCGTTGGGCCCGCGCCGCCGAGACGCGCGTAGCTGACCGCGCGAGACCGCCTGGTAGATGACGAACGGCGCGTAGGCGGCGTCGGCGCGCGGGAGGAGGGCGAGCACGGAGGCGTCCCACAGCGCGAGCAGCTCGGAGATGAGGGCGGGCGAGCCGGCGGCGAAGGAGAGGTTGGACCACGCGCGGCGCAGCCCGTACGGCGTCGAGATGGAGGAGGTCACGGCAGTAACGTTGGCGACCGCGGTGACGTTGGAGAGCGCGCCGGAGATCTCGTCGAACGGCGAGAAGACGGCCGGCGTCGTCGTCGAGGCGTCTTCCCCTTGCGTCACCGGCCCGGCATGGAAGAAGCTTGCAAGGTTGACGAAGCCGCCAAGGTCGGGCTGGTAGGTGCGCACAAAGTACGCGTGCGCGTCCGGATCCGCCTCCATGCCCTCCGTCACCAGCCCCATCGCCTTCTCCGCGATCGCCGCCCGCGCGTCGCCCGGCCACACGACGGTCCGCGTCCACACGTCGCCCTGCGGGAACGCCGCGAGGTCGAAGCGCGTGACCACGCCAAAGTTGGCGCCCCCGCCGCCCTTGAGCGCGCGGAACAGCTCCCGGTGTTCATTCCCCGCGGTCGCTTGGACCACCTCCCCCGAGGCCAGCACCACCTCCATCGCCAGCACGCCGTCGCAGGCCCACCCGCGGCGGCCGGAGAAGAAGGAGAAGCCGCCGCCGAGGAGCAAGCCCGCGACGCCGACGTCGGCGTCGCGTCCGCCGAGCACGGCGAGCCCGAGCGGGTCCAGCGCGGCGGAGACGTCGCCCCAGCGGAGGCCCGCGCCGACGGAGACGGAGCCGCGGTCGGGGGCGACGCGCAGGGTGCGCAGGCGCGCGAGGTCGACGTTTACGCCGTAGGAGTTGATGTTGGAGCCGTTGGCGTGCGCGGTGTGGCCACCAGCGCGAAAGGTAAAGGGCGTGTTGGTGTGGATGAGGGTGGTGAGGACGAGGGAGACGTCGGTGGATGTGGAGGGCGTGACGAGGCAGGAGGGGCGCTGGGTGGCGGGGAGGGCGGACCAGTAGGACATGCCGGCGGCGTAGGCGGGCGAGGAGGGGTAGGCGACGGTGCCGGGGAGGACGGAGGAGAGAGCGGCGCACTACATGGTGTTAGATGGTGTTGAGGGATGTAGTGGTGGTGGTGCGTACGGCATGGAGGGCGTTGTTGGTGTTGTTGGTCGCGAGGGCGACGGAGGCCAGGAGGCCGGCGACGAGGCCGAACGTTGGTAACCACATGGTCAGTTACCAGTCTGGGTGATGAAGAGCGGAAACATGGAAAGTAAGAAAAGAAATCGAAGACCTCAGGGAACGCTGGTTATAAAGTCTGACGGAGCAGTCGCAAGCCGTAGGAAGAAGACTGGTCTTGATTCGACCAATTGACGACCCCGGGAAACAATGGCTTACACTCGGATCTCAATGACGAAAGAGGTAATCGAGGCCATGGCGCCAAGCGAGCCGAGCCCGGGATCTGGCAAGTCCGCAGCCCATGTCAAGCCGAGCAGATGGCGTAATCGCTATTCCTAAAGAAGTTGCGCAACCTGTTGAAAAGGGTTAAAAGAGCATTATGAAGAGTCTTCGAGGTGTTGCGACACGCAGCTTTCCTTGATGTGGGTAAAGACATTTTGAAACCTACTTTCCATTATTGAATTTATTCAGGACTTCTTCTACCAAGCTCTCCCAGATCTATTCACGCTAAGCTACTGTCCAGCGGCCAGGTCAGGTCTCCGCAGCGCCCCGAACCCCCTGCCGGCCCCGGATCGGGCATTTTATTAGCGCACAGCCCGCTCCGATACCCTGGACGCCGGGATCGATGCGACGGCCCTTATAGTCAAGTTGATTATAATATTTGACCGCAGTACTAGATTTGTATAAAAACAATTAAAAAAAAAATCCCCGTGTTGTGCCGTGTCCATGAAACCCCCCTTGGCTTGCACTTGTGGGTTAACAACCTTGAAGGTCCCCTGAAGAGGACTGCTGGAATTAGTTCTGGTGCTATGGGAGATTCTTCAATAGGAAACGCGATCTGGAATCTTAGTTCTTAGTTCTTACGATGAGGTTTGTAGTCTTTTCCTCTAGATTACATGGAACTGCATCACTAGCGGTGTTAATCAGGTTTGATGCCAAGTTCCTTGACGTGTCGCAGTCCCCACGAACTGACCAACACAGCGACAACTCCTAGCGATGTACCACCACTCGGCCCTAAATCCAGCGATGGGAGAACTTTTGGTCTCCTCGCCGCCGGTGACCCGTCTAGCTATGACAGCAATGGTAGCGATGCCCACACTCTTCCTGATCTGCGACAGCATGTGGAAGACGCTGCCCGCTATGGCCTGTGTCCTGGACCGGGAACGCAGCCCGTGGTGAACAGAATTGCCATCGTGTAGATCAGGTCCGCACCCAAAGGATTGAGAGCCACCACCGGGCATACGGCCCGCCAATAGCCCGGGCCCGCCACGCGGCACGGCACAGCCGGGAGCAGCGACGCGACATCGCTCGCCGCGCACGCCAGCCGGCACGGACAAGGAAGGGCGCAGGTACGGAAGGCCGAAGCCAACAAACATGTTGACGAGCACGCCCGACGAAGGGAGCGCGGAGGAAGGACGGCGACGACGTGAGCCGCGGAGTCGCCGCGGACGTCCTGCAGGCACAGCGCGATGAGCTGCTCGCCGGCGTTGAGCCCGCCCCAGATGAGGAAGACGGCGACGCAGACGGCGACAAAGGGCACGTTGCTCCAGAGCGAGTTGGGGATCAGGGCCGGTCGTTTGTCTACTGATAAGGCTGGACTTGTAGCTCCACCTGTTCGTGAACGGAAGTTTGGGTCGTGTGTGCCATGCTGTCGTCGTAGTTCATCAGCACCTCCGACAAGCAGATGCAAATATGAAGGGGACCGTCACGAATTGAAGAAACGCTGCATCTATGTCACTGCTTTGGCTTCAGGACACGTGTCTGCCGGCCGGTGACGTTGTTGCACAGTGGAGATTTGGTCTCTTGGCCTGTTGGCTCATTGTGGCTACAGGTAGACTCATTGCCCGGTAAGGACCCTTGGAATAGTACATAGCCTACTCTAGTACATTGGACGCCTAGGATCGATACAACAGTAGGGGTTTGATTTTTAGGGTTAAATTTGTCAAAAAGTGTTTGACCATTGCGGCTTCCATCTGCCGCTCTGACGCAAGTTATCACAGTGCTGACCATCGCCGACGCGAGGAGCACGACGGGCCTTGTTGGAGGCGAAGTCGACGGGTCGAACCCCGTCACCGACTCTTTCTCTGAAATGAATAGCTGATCCCATCCTCCCGCCCCCCTCCCCCCTCAAGCTTGCGCCCACCTAGTCATCCAGACCAGGACAGGCCTCCGAGTAGGTCGTCACCTCGTCGTACGGGTAGGGCTGGTCGTAGATCAAATCATACCTACTATCCGGGTACTTTGGCGCGTCCGCCCCCAGCGCCTCCGAGACCTTGCGCAGTTTGACGTGCTCCCACGCGATCAGGATGTTGCCGGGCCCGTCGTACGCGCGCGCCTCCTTGGCCGCGCAGTCCGTCTCGTCGTAGTCGCACTGGTGCTCAATAGTGAGGCCAAGCGACTTGGCCAGCGGAAGGGTGGTGTTGTACGGGCGCTGGCTGAGGTTGTCTTAATCCCATGGGTTAGCTCGGTGGCCTTGAGGGAAAGGGGGGGAGGGGGGGCTGACTTACCACCGGCGTAGGGGTTCTGGACAATAATCTTTTGAATGTTGAACTTGCTGTCGCGGCCAAAGACGTCAATCAGGCACTGCTCGCGCTTCTTGCCCTGCGCGGAGATGGTGCCGTCGCGGTTCTTCTCGGCGTGCCGGATCAGGTAGATGTGAGGCTCGGCGGCGGCGCCGGCAACCAAGGCGGCGCCGATGAGAGTAGAGACCTTCATGTTGGTTTAAGAAGGATCTTGGACAGTGTCTGTATAGTCAGAGGTATCAGTGTGTTGCTGACTCTGTTCTAAGCCTGGGCGCACGCAGCGCATTTATACTCCTCTTCCTGTTTTCCTGGGATGCTGGAGATCCCTTCTGTAGATGGCTTCGGTTACCACCTTCTCCAATAAGCTCAGAAAGCAGTGTTTTTAGCGTCTAGTTCTGCACTGCGCCACTGGTCATCCTCACCCGGCATTGTCTTCGCAGCGTCGCATGCCCCCTCTCTCGACGACGATCTCCCGAAGCGGCAGGTGAAAAGGTTTCACTGGACGTAATAGGCTTAAGCGAGTAAGATGAGGGAAAAAGTTTCAATTTTGTTGGGGTCTGAACCTGACAGTAGCGGCAGTGGCATTTCGCTGACCGGGAGATCTGGACTTGGCATTACGACAGATGATCTGATTAGATCGATGGCCTTGGCATCGTCCGACGCCTCCTCACGGCGCCTTCCAGATAGTGGGATTGGTTTCATGGAACTCAAAGAGATTCAATTGACAACTTCAATTGGCTTATTTACACTTCTTCCAGAAATTGTCCCTGGGACTGGGTGCATTAGGCTAACCTCAAGAGTTGACCGAATCACTCTACTACGGATCTCTGCTGAATGCAAGGATTCGAGCATCGCAACACGTGGGCAGGCCGTAGCTGTACAAAATTCGCTCACACATTAGATGCTTGCAAGTTGTTACAAAATGACGGTATCCATTATTTCGTAGGATCAAGGACCATATTCCTATCATTGTAGCTCTCAACCTGCATTCGATAGAGCAGTGCACAATGACATCTCGTGACGAGCCATCAACAATTGATGAATTGACTACCCACTAACTGATGAGCTACCTAACTGATCCCGGTTCTTTTTCTTCTTTTTCCGTGCTGTGCTTTTCTTTATTCTTATTTCATATCCCTCAATTTTTTTTCTCTCGCTTTATTGCCGTCTTCTTTTTGTCTCTAAGTTCCTCGCCCTCGGCGTTGTCCTCGCTGTCATGGTTGCCGTAGAACCATTCTTTAGCGAAGAATCTCGACTGCGTCGGTCAGATCTTGGATTCTCTTGATCAAGGCTTCGCGCTGCTGTCGGGCATGATGTGATTCCCCAGCGATTGCTTCGAGCTTCTCAGTCTTCAAATCCAGCACCCACTTCTCCGAGAACAGCCTGAGAGGACTGTCCTCCCCAGAGACGAGGAAGTGAGTGACGACTTGGCGATAGACGTTGTCAATGAAGCGATCACGCGCCACTTGATAGTATGCCTTGATCAAATCATGAAGGTCCTCGGCAATGTACTTGCCACCATCCTTGTCTCTCAGTGTCAATTTAACATCGGCCATAGGAATGACCGACGTTGTGGTATGGCCACGGTGGGTGTTGAATTGTACGTTCTTCCTGTCCAACACCCTCTCCATTCGCTCACTCTGAAGATCGGAAAGCTTGCTTCGAAAGAAGTTGTTCAAAGTGTACGGGTGGCTGTCCCTCTCGACGCTGACGAGGAATTTGGTCTGCTGCAAGCTCGCTTCGTACTTCGACACAAGATCCTCCGAAATCTGAGACAAGACCTCCTCTCTGACTCTCTTATCAGGACAGATAACTTCCAAAGTGCTGACAAGAAACTCGTGGATCTTGTAGATGACTCTGCTCACATAGTAGTGCGCGTGTGCCAGCCATTTCGACGTCTGCTGCCGCAAGGCGGTTGAGAAGAGAACAGTATTGAACGAAACCAACTCGTTTCCTCTGGACTGACGACGAACCTCGCCAATCCATTCCATGATCCCACCTTTTGGAGGGTGGTCACTCTTCTCACGCACGATGACGTCGTCCAGGTCGGGAAACAAATCGAACTCCAGGTCCTCATGAGCAGAACTGGGTTCGGTGGCGGGACCATCATCCTCGGAGTCGAGAAACTCGTAGGTGTGGGCAGATGATATGAAATCGGTTTTGAATTCATCAGTCACATTCAGCACATTGGTGATGAGACGAAACTTGCTGTCATCAAACACTGCAGTGGAGGTATAATCCGCGTTCAAGGCCGAGCGGATCAGGGTTTGAAAGTCGCTAGCAGCAGCGACCAAGAATTGCTGCTGCTCTTGCACGGTTCCTCGAGATCGCCCGAGCTTGGCCAAGTCCTCATGGGCTTTGTGAAGAATGCGGCGGGTCTCCGAACGCAGCTTCGGGAATGCCCTGTCGGTGATGTCACCCAAAAGATGCTGCAGGCGCTGGCGCAGAGCAACGACACCAAATCTGTCTGAGGGCAGACTGCACCAAGGTTCGTCCTTGAACAGCTTGTCCCGGTCATCGTCGCCGAAAGCGCTTCCGTCCTCGTCTCCACCTCGGCTTCGAACGAGATGGTAACCGAGGTTCAGAGGCCTCTTTTCGCCTCTCACCAGACCGCATACAACACTCTTGCCGCTCGATTCGCGAACCAGATCGGGCTTCGTAAGGATACCGAGTGTGCGCTGGCCAGTAGGGTCGTACTGCTCTGCCATGGCTAAAATCTCCTGCGTGGCAATGTCGACAACACAAGGAAGTACAGCGAGAATAATGGTCTGGTTGTTTCGAATGTACTTCTGGACCATGTTTCGCACCATGATTTTGTCAGACTCGGTTGTGACGTTGTTAGTGGTGATGCGAAAGATGCCAGGGACATCAATAACTGTGAGGTAGTCCTCATCTGGACCGCACTTCTCAATCTTCAAGACATCTTCGGTAAAGGTCTTGGAGCCGAGGGGATTCTGACGAGTTCGAACACCCATGAGGACGTTTACCTCCTCCAGTATGCCGGGGAGATGATGGTGGAGCTCGGAGGCTGTCAAGACAGACCGCTGGAACTTCTCCAGCTCTTGCCTGTCCCTTTCCGACGCACTCGGGCCTGGAATAATGCTGACAGTAATGGAAGTCTCAGCCTCGCGGCGGTGGGTGATCTGCGTGGCATATCGAGTGCACAATTCCTGGCCGCGTGGAAATGGGATGCCAGTCAAACTCTCGAGGAGAGAAGACTTTCCAGAGCTCTGGTCGCCAACAGCAACAAGCTGGGGAAGTGGCAAGTATTTTCCTATGTTCTTGTCGCGAAGGAGGTCGATCTTTCGCAGACGAGAAGGGGAGGTCAGAAGCTCTCCCCGCCCCTCTCCCGCTGAACCCTCAATTTTAGCCAGCGAAGCGCTCGCTGAGGGGGGCTTGAGGTCCTTTGGCGCCATGATCCTGGGAAAACAAGCCGTGCGAATATGAGTGGCCGAAGATGAGCTTAGAGGTTCATTAGTTGCCAGTCCTTGAGAAGCAGTGAGTATAGATTGGGAGGAGGAGGAGGAGGAGGAAGAGGGCGTTTTAGCAGCTCACAATGATTACTAAAGTGACTCAAGACTTCTGTGAGCAGAAGAGCAAGCAATCATTCAAGGCAAAAAGAGAGCAAGCAACCCTTCAATAGATCAGGAGCGCAAGCACCTCTTCGATGGAGCACGAGAAAAAACAACCTCTCAGAGCGGCCTCTGGGGGCTGGGGGTTGAGAGGGCGAGTTCTGCGTTTCTGGCTTGAAAGAGAAAAAGAATGGGGGAGAAGAGAAAGAAGACAGGAAAAGAAAGCGAAGAGGGGTAGGGGCCAGAGTTGCTTTATCTGCCCTTTTGGTGTGAAGCGAGCGGCATCCAAGTTAAGTCGCCGTAAGCGAAGAGTCACTCTCTTTCTGGAGGTGAAAGCGGCCCAGTACGAAGTAACCAGACGGCACCTCTGAGAGAAAACTATGAACATTCACTCTCCAAGCCGTGTTTGGAGACTTGGAGAGTGAATGAAGCTCCGCGCCCCAAACATCCCGCGCTCGAAAGAGGTGAGTTTTCTCACAGGTCGGTGAACAGGTGATGGTGCGCCGCGTTTGCTGTGGGCAAACGACCAACCCTGTGAATTGACCCTGCAAAGAGGAAGGAAAGTTGGGTGAAGAGAGACATTTGAAAGAAGATTGTATGAGAAAAAATATATGGAAACCTTGACTTTAAACCTACTTGTTAGTATTGGGCATGGTGCTATCAGCAAGTCGCAGCAGCGAACCTCTTACCAAACCACAGCTGTCTTTCTATAACATGGTCTCGCCTCCTACTCAGGGTGAGCGCGAAGCTATGGCTTGTACTTCTAAATCAAGCTCGGCTGTGACTTTACCAATCGTATTAAATCCATCAATCAGACACGTTGACGTGGACAACTGTCAAGGCCAAAATCAAGGAAGAGGTATCACTAGCCATTTCATTTTTCTCTCTTCTCTAGTTCCCATTCTCTTTTAAGCTCTTACATAGCAAAGTTTATGCAAACAAATGAGAGAATATGTACTATGAGGTCCAAATACCGGGTATCACAAATAAGTAACTAATAAGCAACTAAATAGCTAAGTAATGATACTCGGTAAAATATGAATAAGAACTTGCAATAATTAACAACTACCCAGTTAACAATCAGAAACCTCTCCCAATCGCTCCCCCAGCCTTCCCTCATCAAAATTCTTCTGACCCTTTGGCTGTCCATGTCCTACCATTGAGACCACGTCGTTCTCATTGAAGGCCTTCAGAATTGTCGTCGTCGCTGTCGGACTCATCATCAGCACCTTCACGTCCGTTTTCACCTTGTCATCACTCGTCAATGACAGGATATCAAACAACGCTCTCTCCAAGGCCATCCCCTGCAGGAATTTGGGCTCTTCATACACCTCGACGCTATCTAGGACGCAGAAAATGGTAATGTTGCGGACGCAGCGGATCAAGGAAGTGAAGAGGCGGCATATGGGTAAGATTTGGCCGTCCTCGAGGGCGTCGAGATCCATGTCCTGCGTTGCAAAGGAAAGATCTTCCGCCGTGAACCGGTACTGCGCAAGGAGCTGCAGGGTAAGGGCCTTGATAAGGCCTACGCCGCCCGTAAGCTGATCCGAAGCGTCTTTATGCTGTCCGCAGAAGAAAGCAAGGGTGCAGAACCGCACATCCCGACGGAGGCATTGCACAATGGCAGCACTAAAGAGCGAGAGGGCAGTGATGCTCGAACGACTGCGCCTCATGTGGCCGTGCACAAGAAGCTCCGTTGAGCATAGCTGGACCATCCACTGACGGAACTGAGGGTTGTTGACGAGTTGCTCCGCGCGGCCTTGGTCACGGCGGTCGACGAGGACGGCGGAGTCGGAAATGGTGGCCATGTCGGCTTCTTCGCCGCTGGAGGACAGGTTCAAGATTCCAAGGAGCTCATCCGATGATATGCCTCTCGCTGGCAGGGAGTATCGGCCGCGACTAACCGAGCGCGAGCGTGCTTCCGAGGCGCGGAGCTCAACGATCAGCCTGGCGTTCCGACGTTTCTCCCTCTCCAGGGCTGCGGTTGAGCGCACGGCAATTATTAGCTGCTTTCTCCAGGTATGGTGATGGCCAAGAATACTCACCTCTTTCGAACTTGTGACGATCCTGTATGAGCAGATAAATGCCAGTTACAGCCACGGCCGAGGTAGCGGCGTTTCGACTGTTCGCCCTGGCGTTCAACTCGTTGGCGGCTACCTCTCGACTCAGTTCAGCGGCGAGCTTTCCCTGCCTCCTCGCAATCTTGCGGCCTGAACTGGCTAGCTCTGACTGCCTGTCTGCGAGTCTCTTTTGCTGCTGAGCCATGTCGAGGTGGTGTCGTTGCAGTTGCCCCAGCTTCTCCAATCCTGCATACATGTTAGTTGAACTGTAAAGATCAGGGGTTGGTTGCTGCTTACCTTCCGATGTCTTGATATTTATTGACTGGGTTGCCTGGATGTGAGCCAGGTGGGTTACCTCGATTAGCCGCCTACTGCTTGAGTCGATCCCGGCAAGGCACGTCGAAAAGTCATCCTTGTATCGGCCCCCCTGCCACATAGCAGAAGCCGCTACCTTCAGTCCTGTACAGATCCGGTTCGCAACGTTATTTACAGATCACTTTGAGGGCGAGTGGGTGCCGTACCTCTCTTCTCAGAGTAGTAGAGAACAATCCCCTCCAACGCCTGCAGCGATGACACGAGCACGTCCATGGCTGCCGAGACAATATCTTCGTCTTCGCCTGCATAAACCGCAACGACGCGCTCGACATCCGAAAGTTTCTGTCTCATCTGCCGCAGTGTATCTTCAACTTCCTTTCGAAGCTGCGATGCCCTTTTGGCTGCCTGAGTTTTGTAAGCCGGGCCTGACGAGACGGCCATGGGAAGGAGCGGGGAGGGATACTAACATCGGCGATAATATCAAACACGCAGTGTATGACTGAGGTGTAATCTGAATCCGGGAGTAGAGAAAACAATCTTTTTGCGTCGGTCGCATCATCAGTGAGTCCGTGGCGCGTCTTCTTCCAGAAGCCGATGAACCCTTTGTAGTTGTAATACTTGGCCCTAGCCAGCTCTACCGTCGTGACAATCTCTGGCCATCCTGACGCCACTCGGATACTTGAATCGGTGTCAACCAGCTTGGGAGGCTCCTCACAGCTGTCTCGAAGCTGAGACATGGCCTCGGGAAACATTTCGTCCCAGAACGGACGACGCGACGGGTTGGATTCATCGCTCGTCGAGTCTTTGGGCAGCAAGTCAAGTCGCTGGTGCTGATTACTGTTTTCTTCATTTTGGCTTGTGCCGTCGCCTTTGACAAATGGGACGTATTGTTGAACAGTGGTATCGAACTCGACGTGTGAATTTGAAAAGGCTTCATGGTTCTTGGGGAGGTGGGTTCTGATGAACTCCCGGCACGGCCCTCTTGCGCTGGACCTTTGTGCGGCGACTTTCTTGTCCGACATGAGTTTGGTGCTGATTTCGGCTAAAGAGTTGGAGAGGTGACGAGCTGCGACTGTGATCGCGATTGTCACTGCGACTGGGGTTTCCTTGGGGTTGCAGATATCGGGGCAAGGCTCTGGGACTGGAATCCTGAGACTCTTGCGCAAGCCCAACCACAGCCTGATCGAGGAAACAGGGTAAATGGAGACAGGTCACTGCGACTGAATTGCCAAATGGGTGGGTATTCGTCTGGATCTGCACGCAGCTGCAACCCCGTCCGGGTGGCTGCTTCCCGGGGGCGAAGCACATCAACGCAGAGATACAGTAGGAAGAACGCTTTCTCAATGCATGTCCACTAGCACCGGTCAAAGATCCCGAGGAAACAAGATAGAACAAAAGTTCCCGACAGTGTTGCCTACTCATGACCGCTGTAGGTGCGGCAGCTTTGTTCAGCTTCGAACACACGTGGGTCAACTCACAGCTCCTGCGGCCTTTGCTGAATCTGCAGCTGCAGCTGCTGCTGCAGCTGCTGTTGCAGCTGCTGCAGATATTGGACAGCTGCTGCCCAACTTAAACAGCCGCTGCCCAACTTAAACAGCCGCTGCCCAACTTAACCCGTCACTAATCCCGCTGCTTCATCTCCGACAGTTGCCTTTTCTCCATTCAAAACAGAGTTCTGGCAAGCTTATACAATCTATATTATTTTGACATTTTCATCTGCAATAAAAATCTTCAAACTTCGTATTTATTCTGCTCCGTCGCCCAGTATGGTGAATGAGGGTGGAATCCCACCACCACAGCTCCCAAGTCCCCCTTCTTCGGTGAAGAAAGAGTCTGTAGCGGTGATACCCCCAGAAGCGCGCACCACGCAAATGGTCGGGTCGAGCCCACTCGCAAGACCTGCGAAAATGCCTGATATTGACCAAACATCATCACCTGCATCACATTCATCTGTCGAGGCGCAGAGAGAGAGGATACCGAAAGCCGAGGAAACTGTCGAATTGAAAGCTCCAAGTAACCAGCTCAACGAACATCAATGCGAGCTGACCAAACTGAAGCAACATGTCGACGTTTCAAGTGGCCATTCAAGTCAGCCGCGGAGTTGCCAGCCGCTCCAGCAAGACCGTAAGGTCAGCCATGATTTGACGGCCGAGGCTCTGGTGAAAGAACTGGAACACGGTGCCTACATGGAAGCGGGACAAGACGGGCGGCATTTTCGACGTCCTACTTCTGTTTCTTATCTTGCACGCGATGATGACCACCGTCCTCTCGGCAAGCTGGTTGGAGTAGAGGATGCGGCCTCTGGTACTGGACAGGAAGGAGAACCGTTGGACGACGCTCCAGAAAACTCATCGCAGCTCAATTACGTTCCGTGGAACACGTTTTACTCGCTCCGCGGTGGTGTAAGCCAGTTCGCCATTGATGTCTTGGTTGGAGAGCCCGAGCCCAATGTCACGATGGTAATCCCTGGCGTGGTGCTGCCGAGTGTTCCGGGACGCCTTATGCGAGCAGCAGTGCCGGTCTTTCCCACTATCGACGGCGACTGTGTGCCTGAAATGACCGACAATCCGATATTTCCCGCTGTGACATTATCCCCTCGAGCCACACACGCTGCAAAGACACCTGGAAGACCTGCCGCTCCGCGTCAAGCGCCGCTACCTGATCGTATCCGCATCAATTCTCCTGCCGTTATGATGACTATGGATATTATTATGGATCGGGTTGAGCAAGGTGACGGCGAGGTCTGCCTCACAAATTACCTCAAGCCTATACTGATGATGCAGCCGTTTCGCGCTTTGGTCTATCACAAGGATAAGATCCGTGAACAGAAGGCGAAGCTCGAGGCTGCGGTCAACGAGAAACTTCGTGCGAGTATCACAGGGTCAAAAGAAGAACTGAGCTCTGTTAAGGGCAAGTCTGACACTATAAATCAAAATGGAGACGCGTCCAAGCCAGATGCTGGCAAGCCAATGAGTACCGAGGGCATGGAGTCAGAGGAGGAGCCAGGCAAGAAACAGCATGGGATCCATGCCGAGCTAATAACCCAAACGGCCGTCGACGATATGGCCTGCCTTGTCGCGTTCCTCGACAACGAAATAGAGGTGCGGATGGCCTACCTCGCAAGCAATGACTGCCAGAGGATTACCTTTAGCGACATCTGGTTCCTCTTCAAGCCGGGCGAGGTTGTGTGTGGCAAGGACGGGAAGCAGGCGTATCGGGTAATTACAAATAAGTACCCCGCGCACTGCATGAAAATGCCATCACCTCGGGACTGCTTCAGGTACGGCGCCAAGGCCAGGCGGGAAGACTCCCCCATCAACATCGAGTGCGTATACATTGATTATGACGGCAAGCAAATCGGGCCCGTCGTGAAGAGCTTTTACTTCTACCATTTTGAGGGCGAAAAGAACATTAGATCTCTCGACATTATTCCTCTCCGCCTCGCCAAGAGCTCGGAGGACCTGGCGAAGACGCTGATCGAACGCGGCGGATTCTTCATCGAGGCTTGCACTGCCGGTAGACAGGGGATTCCCATGCACTACTCGGGACTCACGATGGACACCAAGGAACAAGCCGACAGCCAGGTCGTAATTGACTTTGAGGAGGCGATCAAGTCTGTGACTAGCTGGAAACCGGACATCAAAGAGATCGACGTCGAGGACAACGATGACAACGATGACACGTCGAATCCAAGTTATTTCACGGACTCGGATTCTGACGTTGGACTTCGGCGCCATCTGGACAGAGGTCGGGTTTACACGAGCAGGCGCAAGGGTCTAAACGGGTGCATTGACGAGTGTTGCGCCCAAGAGAGGATCTTTGCCGACGAGTACGTCGAGAACCGTCGCAGCAACGAGTTTATTCAGCTGCAGTTTCGACATCAGGTGGCCGGGTCCTTGGCGGTTGCTCCACGGCCGCTAAAGGAGGTTTCTGAAGCCAGGCGCGGCGACGGGGCGCGAGAGAGCGACCAGCTGATCGTGACATACCGCGTATTTGGCTTCGTTATGCGGAGCAGGAAATGGAGTAAGTGTGCTGCCACGCTCGTCATGTCATCCAAAAGCACTGACAAATCCATCAGCACAACTGGACTTGACGCATCTCGAGCGTGCCAGGGGAGAGAACACGTTTGATCGTTTGGTGCTGCCGCCCGGCCACAGGACAATGGTGGAGAGCCTTGTCACCCAACATTACCTTGACAAAGAGTGGGCGGTGGACGAGAGCGACGAGATGGATATTGTTCGTGGCAAAGGTATACTCAGCGACAATCCTACAGCAACGAATCGGGTTGACACAGTATCAGGCAAAGGGTTGATCATTCTTCTTCACGGCGCTCCCGGAGTAGGCAAAACGACCACTGCAGGTTGGTATCTTTCGAACGAGCCTCAACTCAACACTTTTACTTGAGGTGACTGACTTGCCGGGAAAAACAGAATGCGTCGCCGAATACTTTCAAAAGCCTCTCTTCCAACTAACCTGCGGTGCGTATCTCTCCTCTGTCCTATGGTTACCAGACATGATGTTGATCATGGCGCCAGGCGACCTCGGTTCCGCGGCCGACGTTGTCGAACACCGGCTCAAAACAAACTTTGCTCTCGCCAGTCGCTGGGGCTGCATCCTCCTCATCGACGAGGCCGACGTCTTCCTCGAAGCCCGCCAGACCGAAAACTTTGATCGGAATGCCTTGGTCGCCGTCTTCCTGCGCACATTGGAGTACTATACGGGTATCCTGTTCCTCACTACCAACCGCGTCGGCACCTTTGACGAGGCCTTTACCTCGCGCATCCACGTCTCGCTCTACTATCCGCCTCTTGACGCGCGTTCTACGCTTGCCGTCTTCAAGGTCAACCTTGACCGCATTGAGGAACGCTTCAAGAAAAAGAAGCAACGCAGCGTCGCAGAACTAGACCTCGACCATAGATCCATCAAACAGTTCGCTCTCCGTTACTTCCGCAGTCACGATGACGCGCGGTGGAACGGCCGACAGATTCGGAACGCGTGCCAGACCGCGTTGGCGCTGGCCCAGTTTGAAGCCCAAAAGAAGACCAACCCTGGAGTCACGGGTGCGGGGAACGTCAAAGACATGATAGCGGCGGCGTCAAGCAAGATGATCAAGGTAAAGATGACGGCGAAGCATTTTCACCCCGTGTCCAAGGCATATCTAGCCTTCATAGAGTATTTGAAGGATGTGCATGGGATGGGTGCCGCGCAACAGGCCAAGAACTTTCGGTTGAGGCATGATCTATGGGAGCCGCAAGGATTAGGAGGACAGCGATCGGGCTTGGGCTCGGGCTCGGGTTTACTGGCTTCAAGGCAGAGAGGGCCGCAGCGGAGTGTTCCGGCGCAGAGGCAATACCCGGAACCTGTGAGGAGGGGGATGCAAGAGTCGAGCTTTGGATTGGAGGATGAGTACCGGCATAGCGACGAGGGCTTTGGAAAGTATGGGTACAGCGAGGAGCACGGCTTCGGCGACGGGTACGGCTACGGCGAGGAGTATGGCTACTGGGGGGATGATGCCTACGAGGATGGCCTGTGTGAGTATGAGATGCTATATGAAGGTCAGGATCATACGGATGAGTTGGGTCACGAGAGTGAGGATGATGGAGGTGCCGAACATGATGGTGACGCGCCTCCTCTCAGTCAGGAGGAAGTTGACCAAGCGACCAAAAACGAGCAGGAAGAGTACTGGAATGAAGAGTTCAAAGAGAACCAGCCCAGCCTCTACGAGAGAACACCAAAGAATAGGCTTGAACATGACCGCGGTGGAGGTCGCGGCCCCCTGCCAGGATCTAGCAGGGGGGAGCAGCAGGTGAACTTTAGATCATCGGCAACGGGCGCTGGGCGCGGGCGAGGCGGTGGCCGTGGTCGTGGGCAAGGCGGTGGTCGCGGTCAAGGTAACAGTCGCGGGGATAGGCTTGCTACTGCGTCGGGGGGGGTTCCTGGTCCGTCGGTGACGGCGGGACGGGGAGATGCCTCGCGCCTAGGACCGCGACCCTTGAGGGGAGCAGCAATCAGACGCGGGGCTGGGAGAGGTCAGGGGATTCAAGGTCGGGATAAGAACTGAGCGGTTGACGGGGGCGATGTTGAATGAAATGTGGAATTGGAGAACGTTGTAGTAAGTATGATGCTTTTGCCATGTAATACCTCGAAAAGCTTTGATGTGTCGACGCATCTGCCGCCGCGTAACCGCGCAGTCTATATAAGCAATACCATGACGCACGCACGCACACACACACACACACACACACACACGCACAGATCCCTAAGCTTTTACTGATTTTGTCATGACTAGCAACTCGAGGCCTAGTCTAGTTGTTTCAAGATGTCTCTATTAATCAGCTTAAACACTAGGTCAACTATGGCAAACAGTACCCTTATATCACTTACACGCCTCCGATGCCCTGCTTAACGTGCTCCCCTGTAGCTTTGAATCTGCCATAACGTAGAGAGTAAGCCATCGTTGCACCAACTTGGATATTTCTACCTAGTGAAGCGTAACTTACCCGCCGAGCGGTACATCTTGAATGTGTGGCGTGGGATGGTAGTGTATTGTTACCTTCACCCGACACTTCAATAGCCCTCTTGCTGTCAGACTGCTTTCCCTTGACTCCCTTGGCCCAGTTCGCAGAAAAGGTCTGGATTCACGCTCATTTACCATCCTCGCGGATCAGACAATCCACAAAGTCATTTGGCGCCATCTGTATTCGTGGCAGAGGTTGGAGGAGGCTGAAGTAGGCCTCGAGCTAGCCACAACCACACAGTTGATAAAGACTTTGTTTACGCGCTGAATGAAGGAGGGAGGTGAAGTGTCCGGGCTAATATGAGAGGGGTCCGGCGCTTACAGCCGACGCCGGCACCGGTATCGTTGGTGATTTGACGCTTAAAATGGTTAAAGTCTAGGTACGTAACTAAAATCCACGACGGGGGTTGTTCAATCAAGTATTCAGCAAATCCAATGATGCTATTGCTTATTGTTCTGCTCTTGTTCCTTCTGCGTCGGGCAAGGAGTTAGGCAGATAGCCCAGCCCGATGCTACCCGACTCGTCAAAGCCAAAAGTGACCAAGTCGCCGGTTCAACAAGACAACGAGGTCGGAGGGAAGCTGCGTCTGCTTTGAAAATAGTGATTACTTGATTCTGTGCTAGGTAATCCGCAGCGACTTGGCATAATTCATTTTGGCACCATGTCAACTTTATGCTCGTAATACATACATCATATTCCTTAGTTGGACTCCGCATTAGGCTTCTAGAGCCAGCATTAGGTGATTGGTAGTTGAGGTTGACAGGAGCAGGCTTCAAACATGTCCACCAATTCAGTAGCAAGCCGTGTCCCCCTAACCCCCTAATTCCTAAGAGCACATGCCCCTACTCGCGTGCCCCTACCCGTCCACTCCCCCGCGCAGCCCGGCTCGGCCCAGTAGCTCAGCTGCACCTCGCCGTCCGGGCAGTGCCCCGCCGCACAGCCCGTCTCGACACACACCCTGTCCGACCCGGACTTCATCAACACGCAAGTTGCGCACCTCGCCGGTGCGGTCCGCGTGGTAGTCGCTGCCGATGCTAAACGCCGCCTTCGAGCGGATCTTCACCTCGGGCTCCGGGTCCGGCGCGCAGGTCTCCTTGGTGACGCAGTCCTCGCTCCGTACCACTCGCCGGGGCAGTCGCGCTTGCCAGTTAGCTGATCCGCACCTGGCCGTCGGGGCAGCTGCCCGCCGGCGTGGATGTCGAGGGCCTTGAAAGTGAAGACCATGGCCTTTACCTGACCCTGAGCTGATTTAGGGCGGACTCGTTATCGCAATTCAAATACACGGATCCAATCCGGTCGGAAAAGCTGGGGTTCGGAAGAGCAAGAAGCTGGGATTCGGAAATGGTTCCGAGCCCACCCGGAACAATGGCCCCACACCGCCGAGATGGCGCTCCCCCGGCCTTCCCGATTAGGAGCTGCCCCGTTTCTGATCAGCCTTTTCTGCATCGCGGCAGGTGTCTCGGGAAGGAAAGGGCCTTGTTAACGCCGAAAGTTCTGGCCCGGTCGTAACGTATGTGCTGTCAAGCAGGCCAGAGGATGAATAGACTGCCCTCAAGTACTCAATAAAAGGAGTTGCACCGTGCGAATCGCAGCGTCGGGACTGCGAGACAAGCTTACGAAACGATGCACCAGCTCCCAGATGTTGATCCCCGTATCAATAAGGTTTTAGCCCCGGTCGTACTGTGCGTAAACCCTTGTCCCCATGCGCATCGTCTTGGCAATGCATCATTGGTCTAAACTCCGCCGTCGCCGTTTCAAGCCCGGTACCGCTCATTATCTTCCGGATAAATAGGTGGGCGCTGCCTCCTCTCATCGCGCGGAACAGCTTTGCCGCTTCAACCTGAAAAGACCAGAGTGCTGTTATTGTAAGCAGACAGAAATTACCCAGTCAAGAAGCCACGATTACATATTTCACAAATATTCACTCCGCGCCATGAGTGAGATTGAGTTGACTGGCTTCGGCGGGCGGCCAATCCGCGGTATGTACAAAACGATCCTAGACCCCGCAAACTAGAACGAGCCCGCGCGACGAGGGCATGATTGCGAACATTCACTGAGACGTCCCAACAGTCAACACCGGCCTCTTCATCAACAACGACTTCCACCCCGCAGCAGGCGGCGCGACGCTGCAGGTCGAGAACCCGAGCACCGGCGACAACCTCGCGACCGTCTCGGCGGCGCAAAAGGAAGATGTAGACAAGGCCGTTGACGCGGCGCAGGCGGCGTTCAAGACCGGTCCCTGGCGGGCCGCGAGCCCCGCGGACCGCGGGGGCTCGCGGACCTCGTCGAGCGCGACGCCGACGACCTCGCCAGCCTCGAGGCCCTCGAGGCCGGCGTCCTCTTCAAGGAGTCCAAGGCGCTGCACGTCACGCAGGCCGCCGAGACCCTCCGCTACTTCGCCGGCTGGGCCGACAAGATCACGGGCCAGCTGCTGAGCACGCCCCAGGGCCCCGCGTACACGAGGCGGGAGCCGCTGGGCGTGTGCGCCGCCGTCGTCCCGTGGAACGCGCCGCTGTGAGTTTCGCCCTCATTTCGCGAACCATCATGTCCCCCAGTGAAGGTTTTCGCACTTGGAAGCCGCTGACACTTTTGAAAACAGGATGATTACGATTTGGAAGCTCGGCCCCGCCATCGCCGCTGGCAACGTCCTCATCATCAAGACGCCCGAGCTCACCCCCCTCTACGCCCAGAAGCTCGCCTCCCTCATCAGAGAAGCCGGCTTCCCTCCCGGCGTGCTCTCCGTGCTCTGCGGCTACGGCGCCGTCGCCGGACAAGCCCTCGCCGAGCACCCGCTCGTCAAGAAGATCGCCTTCACCGGCAGCGGCCCCGTCGGCCGGCGGATCCTCGCCGCCGCCGCCGCGACCAACCTCAAGAAGGTGACGCTCGAGCTCGGCGGCAAGGGGCCGTCCATCGTCTTCGCCGACGCCGACCTCGACAACGCGCTGTTCTGGACCGCGCTCGGCTTCACGGCCAACAACGGTCAGGTGTGCGCGGCCGGCTCGCGCATCTACGTGCACGCGCGCATCTACGACAAGTTCCTGGCGGCGATGGCGGAGCGGCTGGCCGGCGCGGCGCAGGGCGACCCGCTGGACGAGAAGACCACCAAGGGCCCGGTGGTGAGCAGGCAGCAGCGCGACAAGATCGCGGCGTACATTCGGCACGCCAAGGACAGCGGCGTCCGGGTGCTGACGGAGACCGGCGGCGAGTCGGACAAGGGGCACTTTGTGGCGACGACGGCGTTTGCGGAGGTCCCCGACGACGCCCGCATCATGCGGGAGGAAATCTTTGGTCCCGTCGCTGTGAGTTTCATCGGCTTCCATCTGTGTGAGTTTGTTGTCGGCTAACTTGGAACAAAAGTCGATCGCGAGCTTCAAGACCGAGGCAGAGGTCATCGAAAAGGCCAACGCGACCGAGTACGGCCTCGCGGCGGCCGTCTTCACAAACGACGTGAGCCGCGCGGCGCGCGTCTCGGAGGCGATCGAGGCCGGGCAGGTCACGGTCAACTGCTGGGGCACGCTCCACGCCAACGCGCCGTTTGGCGGCGTCAAGGAGTCCGGCTTCGGCCGGGACATGGGCGAGGAGGCGCTCGACTCGTGGCTGACGACCAAGACGGTCAAGTACTTTACGCTGCCGGCCGCGGACGAGGACAAGTAGCGCTTACCGAGCGATGAGAGTTGCTGTATGCCGTGGCTGCGGTGGTCTGCTATCAACCTTGTTTGTCCTGGCGACTCGATTAGTTCTGTACAAAGTAAAAGAAAAAAACCCATATGCTTTCTCATTGAAACAGAGTGTCGGACAAGGCAATAGGCAGCTCAAACTCATGTGAATCCGACGTGGAGCTGCGCGATGAAGAGTCTGCTCCCACAAAGGACAATTCAAGACAACCATAATAAATAGTGTCAAGGAAGTTGTTACCATTACTTCTCGCGTCAACTCTTGGCAGCGCATATCCGACTGGAAGTAGGTGTGTTTACGTGGCACCTTGGCGCTGAGTGCAACGCTGTATTTAGAAATCTCCTTGTCCTAGCCGTCGGCGCAACTTCCGACATGCTGTCCCGCTGTATCAACACTGTTAGAACAACCAGCAACTTACAATGGCGCCGTTCATCGCCCAAGTCTTCAGGTTTGACTTGCACTTAATGCCACTATCATGATGTATGGCTGCTCCTTTACCACCATCGGGCTGATGCTCCTGGGCACAAGAAATAGACGCATTGTAGCAGCCACGGCGTAGGGACATGCCGAAATTGCTGTATTGTAAGAAGCCCTTCATCGGCCCGGTGTGGACAATGTTTGTATACAATGAATGTACAATGGCGGGCAGCTGGACGCTTGTCATCCCCCGAACGGCATCGAGTGCAGAGCTTCACGTGTTTTACCGTGTTACGCAAACCCATCATGACAACAACTATAAAATCCTCGATAGAATCTCGAGGCATTTTTCATTCCTTCGCGTGTCGGCGCTCAACCAGAAACACACAACACACAAGCGAAAATGCCGACTTCGTATCCTCCGTACCCTCCCGGCTTTGGGCAGCGAGATGTCATATCGCGCGGAACGACCGGCCTCATCGTGCTCGACGCACAAACGCAGACCATCATCAGGTGGCCGGAAAACGACCGCGACTGGCAGGGCATCCAGCACGAGCGGCAAGTCTACGAGCAGCTCGACGCGCTGGGCGGCCACGAGGGGCTCTTGGGGTGCTACGGCTGCGAGGACACGTACGGGCTGCGCCTCGAATACACCGCATACCGCGACCTGCAGTCGCACATCCGCTACAAGGGCATCAACCAGCCGCTCGAGCTGCAGTGGATGATCCAGGTGGCGCGGGTGCTCGAGTTCATCCACCGGCACGGCGTCATCCACGGCAGCGTCGCGCTGCGACACGTCATGCTCGACGCGGAGGGCAACGCCGCGCTCGGCGACTTTGCCTGGTGCTCGATGCGCGGCTCGGGTCACCTCGCCGCCAAGTCGGCCGCGAGCCACGAGTACCCAGGCGACCGGCTCACCGTGCAGGGCGACCTGTTCGCCTTTGGCTCGGCCATGTACGAGCTCGTCACGGGCATGGAGCCCTTCGTCACCCTGCGCGACGAGGACATCAGGGCGCGCTTCAGGAGAGGCGTGTTTCCCGACGTCGCGGCGCTGGGTGCCTTGGGTGCCATCATCTCCAAATGCTGGACTACTGCCTACGAAAACACCAAGGACGTGGTGGACGCTCTCGAAGGTAAGGATGGACTGGTAACGCGCCCCCAACGCGCGCACACTTGTTAACTTGGGCAGCTTTGTTGGGCCCACGGAGGCAAGGCCCCGTTAGGCCGTGAATTTGCTCGGTAAGTGCTGTAGAATCAGTATGCCAGCGCCCTAAAATCTGATGTCTTGGATATGGAATATGGAACGGCCATCGCTGCCTAGCTCGCCTCGCCTTCGCAGGCAGATCTGTGACTCGTTTATGCGGCACATGTGAGTCTTACTTCGACCACACTTGTGGTAGTTTGTGGAAGAGAACAATAAATGCCACGTATTTCTGCAATATATCTGGTCAGTGCCTGCGCTGGTCGTACCGTAACACGGCGGCATGTGACCAGACAGGGTGTCAAAGTGGCGCTGTCATGTCAACGTCAACGTCAACCTTGTAGAATCTAACGTGGCGAAAAGTGAAGCTGAAGGATGTTGATGGGGAGGAGTTTTCAAAACGCTTGGTCAGCCCCAAGTCGTGCAACCTCTCGTGGTTGCCTTTCGCTGCGCTGCCTGGGTATGGAAGCTGATGATTCACGGTGGCCAGCACAGAGCAGCTCGGTATTCAGGCACCGTTGGCTGTCACGGATCCTTGGCGTCCTTCGCATGACGAATACCAACGCACGACGATGCGCCCATGGCCCACGCCCTGCCTGGAGGCTATTAGGACAGGGAATCCTACCCAAAGTTGTCCCACGCGTCAAGCCATGCACCCGACGCGAGGCTGAGAGACAGAATGTGCAAGGCTACAGCCGCTCGCAAAGTCTTAGCAAATGAGAATTCAGCTGAGGTTCTGCCTTGACATACCCCAGCCAACGAGGGGCCAGGTTAGGTAGACGCGGGATACCATCGCGAAAAGTCGTGGACATAATTGGCGGCGTGAACTTTACAGCCTTGTGCCCCCACACAATTCGCCGCACAGCTTGCACGAGACCAGAGCCAATGAGTCACCAAGCATCCCGGGCTCGTTTGGGCCAAAATCCGTCGGAAATATAGTCATGCACCGGTGGATGCCTAGCTGTGTCGTCATGGTAAGAGAGGAATAAAGGCGCCAAATTTCCTCGTTTTGGCAAAGTCAGAGCAAGCAAAGCAAACATCGTTTTTAAGCCTCACCACTGCCTGTTTGTCTTATTTCCTCTTTCGGCCACCTTCCACCATCCTGACTAATCAAGTCACGTGCATATAGCCTGACTAATCGCCACCTTTGGGCTGATTTCCCTGCGTGTTTGCCTTGGGATCATCCTTTTAACCAGAATTTTCAGGCCACGCCCTTGTCGCGATCCAAATCCACCATACCTTTCTGTACCTTCGACCGCCGCTTACACCAAAAAAGCCCAGCCGTCTATCAAGGCGACTCGCCTTCGCCTCTTGTACTATACGATACCCGCCTTTGTGCACCTCTCTTTCCTCTGTTGTTCCGAGCGAGATTTCTTCCCGGCCTGGTTGCCTCTCCTACCCCGACGCGAACTCTTGCCGCCCAAGAGAAAAAGTTTAGCTCGCAAGCTCGTCATACCACCAGCTTATAATAAGCGCCGCCCGGCGCCTTGTTAAACCCAACAACTTACACACATCATACATCTTTCTATTTTTTATTATTATTACTGGGTTGGCCCATCATGAGCGTCGTCTATGAGCCTAGGCCGTTCCTCCACGGGGAGTACCCCCCGATCGGCGACGAGCACGATCACGACAGCGCCGACCAACGATTTACAGACTCCGATGTTGCCCAACTCAGTCACTTCACGGCCGACGCGGCCGGTATGCTCCAGGATGACCGCGATATCATGGACGAGCGGAGCATGCTGCACGACCCTTCCGCCGGACCCGACGGCACCCGGATAGACCTATCCGCTGCAGACTTCCCATCTCCCCTCGATGCGCCCATGTCGGCCGCCGAGTTGTCGCCAGCGCTCCCGGATAGCGAGGGCCTGTCGCCTGGCGTCGACTCGCCGCCGTCTGGGCGAACAAAGACGATCACAAAGCCTACCCGCGTCGTCGCCAAGCAAGCCGACGGCAGATTCCACTGCCCGCTGGACGACTGCAAGGAGGAGGTCCAGTCCTTTCTGCGCAGGTGCGAGTGGAAGTAAGCCAAAAATCCCCAACCGCCTCTTAAAGTTTTGTTTGTTTATGTGTTTGTTTTGTTCTGTTTCGCGATCACTTGGGCTAACCATCTAAACAACAACAGTAAACACATGGACAAGCATGAGCGTCCCTACCGTTGCCAAACCGAGGGCTGCGAGAACCTGCCCGGCTTCACCTACTCAGGCGGCCTCCTCCGACACGAGCGCGAAGTGCACAAAAAGCACGGTGGTCCGAAGAACACGGTCAACTGTCCCCACCCAAACTGCAAGCGTCACACCGGCAAAGGCTTCTCCCGCCAAGAGAACCTCAACGAGCATCTCCGACGCGTGCACACGAGCCCCGAGAGCACCTCACCACTGGCCGCTACCGCCGCTACCGCCACCAACGTCATCGATTCCGCCGCCGGCTCGCCCGACGCCGCGGCCGAGGAGACCGAGCGCGCCGGCGTGAAACGCAAGCGCCGATCTAGCGAGGACGTGATGATGCCGGGCGGTGCCGCAACCAACGGCGCGTCGGACGAGGTCGCGCAACTCCGCGACGAGATCAAGCGCGTGCGCATGGAAAACGACAAGCTCAAGGCCGACATGAAGCAGCAGGCGCAACAGATGGAGCACCAGATTGCCCAGCAGGCGCAGCAGATTGAGCAGCAGGCGCGGCACTCCCTCGACATGATGGCGCAACTACACAGCCTTGAGGAGGCCCTGCGCCACAACCTCGGCGCTCCGACCGCAGCAATGATGTAACGCGAGAGTCCCGAGCCGGACGATGTTTGAGCAGGAAAATCGGGTTCTCTGCCGCCAAATCTACACAAAAAAAAACGTCTACGACTTTTTAATCACGAATCTCACGCAACCATACCCCCCTCTTTTTTTATGAAGAATCGACAGCATTTCAGCGGCTTTATAGACTTGGTTACACTCTCCCCTTTTCTGGCCCTTTCTTGTTTTTTTGTTTTCGGTCTGACAACCAAAACCTGTAACGATATTTCTCCGGCGTCGGATATGAGGGTCTGCTTTGTTTTCCAAGCAAACCTTATTCTTTCTTCTTTGGCTTCGCCGCTTCCTCGACGGACTTTCAGTCACCTGGTTGTAGTCTGTTTTCTTCTTCTCCGGTGTTTTTATTTCACTATTTTGCGCAACAAGGTTCGGGCAGCCGGCGCTACGGAAATCACTTCTTTCGTTGGGCGAGACACGAGCCCCAAGACTAGGACTTGTGTCTTTTTTGTTTTTTTCACGGCCGAGGCAACTTTTGTTTTCTTTTCCCGTATAATTGGAAATGTACTTTTACTATCCTCTCCTCTTCCCCTTTTTCACTTGATAGGTGCAGCCAAAATTCCATGGCCATCCATCCTCCCCTCCTCCTCCTCCTCCTCCCGTCACCATTCGACCGATGAACCTAGGTATCTTTTTACTGACTACTTCTCCACCACTTTGTTGCTTCTTAGGGGAGTTCTTTTTTTGGCAACAAACGTTGTACAACTCTTTTTAATAATAGATTGTTTTGAAACGCAAGGGTGCGTGAGGTGGACTTGGCGGCCTCTGGCTTGGGCAAAGGATCAATCGGTTTTGTTTTTGTTTTTGTTGTTGTTTTTAGCTTTTTCTTTGAATAGAGCGACACGAGCCTACGAAAGCAGAAGAAGATACCCTTGGGGCTCTTGCTAGAGACGCGGGTGAGATCCATTGGAATTGGCAACGAAAATTTAGACTTTGTCGCGTTTACACCTCAGCACTAGTTAGAATCGTGTCACGCACATCGCGAACAGAACAGACTCCTCTTATTGTTTTGGCATCTTTTTCTCTTCTCCTGATCACGTCAATGCAATGCGCAGTGACTGTACTACCTATCTAATAGTACTCGTGAAAGGAAATTCAGTATAAAGATGCACGCTATTGATTTTGTCCGAGTAACGTCGTGATCCAATAGGCAGACGAACAAAAAAATGTATATGCAATGCTTCCCGTCTCTATCCATAGTATGCTGGGCTTTGCCCCATCCCCCTGTAAAACAAGAGAGAGAAAAACGATGATGCGCTGGCTTTTCAGTCCTCCCCCATGTTGCGCCTCTCCGTATGTACATTCATTCACTCACCAACGCCACCCAAACCCCCTATGATGGCACACTCTGACAGGCTCGTCGTCGCTGCGGATCCACGACAGCATGCCGCGTCATCTAGACAGCTTGGACATAGCTTCCCGGCACACTAGCCGTCACGCCCGCCTTCTCTACCTCCACCCACCCGTCGCCCGGGTCCTCCTTGACGAGCACGAATCGCTCGCCCTCCTTCATAGAATGTTCCGTCTCCGTCTGCGCCGTGTAGTCGTAGAGCGCCTCTACGTATTTGAGCTTCTTGGCGCCTCGCTTGGGTGCGACTGCGGGGCCTTTCTTCTTGCCCATGATGCCCATGGAGGGAGTGACAGAAGACGTTGTCGAGGTTGAGTAGGTGGACGACGGGCGTGCCGGCGCTGTGGGAGAGGCACTGCTGAAATCGACGTACGTTGCGGGAACGATGCCTTCCTTGTACCCGGCCCTGACCTTGACCCAGCCAGATCCATCTGATAGTACTTAGCTTACCATATAAATTTAGATATTAAGATAATCCACTTACCATCCGGATCCAGAAGCACAACCTCTCTTCCTTCTTGTACAGTGAGCTCTTCATCACCGCTGGCTTCAAATGGATAGATCATTTTGCCCTTCTTTTCTGCACTTCCACCATTCGCATGGCCGGTCGAGTCGGTGATGTATGCCGCAGGTGGAGGCGCCACTACCCGGTTCCTACGCCCCCCGGTTGGATTTGGAGACGGACTTGGCTTCCTAGGCTTCTCGTCCTCAGCGGGAGCTTCGAGTGCCGATCCTGAAAACGACCGGCGTGCGGAGCGGGAGCTCAGTGAATTCATGGTGTTGGATCTGCTGAGATCTGGCAGTTCCGCTACGTGTGTAGGGGCTGCTGCAGACGCCGGTGTAAGAAGTTTATTCGCCGCTTCTTGACGCTCGACTTTGAGCTTCTTCTTATCCTCCTTACTCTGCTCTCCAGGACAGTCAGCAGACACCTTCATTTCACATTTGCTGTGACATGTGTAGCCACAGTCTCTGCAGTCGAACCCCTTGGCACTCAGCCCCCATATGCGTTCGCCGCAAAGGTCGCAGTTGGTGGGGATCTTGAACGTTTGGCTCTTGAAGTTGTGGTTATTAGCGCCGAGCGTTACATCTCCAACAGCGGCTGTAATGGTTGTGGTCTCGACTTCTGCTGTCATGCGCTTGCGGTCGACGCCATGTAGCTCTTGCTGTAATGCGAATAGTTGCGTGACGACTTCGACCTCGTCTTTCTTCTCTGTGCCGTTGCGTACTTTTTGCTTGATGTTCTTGAAGGATTCGACATCTCGTCGTTTTCGGTCAACTTCGCGTCGTAGTTCTCCAAGCTGAGATTTAGATTTGCTTAGCACATTGCGTAGGTACACCTTTGCTGGCTCGTCCACAATCATTAGATTATCATCGTGCCATAGAGGACTAGCTTCGAATGTGTTGTTGACCGGTTCCTGAAACCCACCGAGGTTGTGGCGCATGTACATCATGGAGTCGAGATGGGGCTGGTTTCTGGCAATTTGCTGAGTGAGGCCTTGCATCAACTGAGCGCCTTGCTTCATGAGACCCTCTTCGAGCTGACTGGCAGCTGACCACAAACCATTGAGCTTGATGATGCGAAACTCGTTGAGATCTTGGATGCTATCCATGACTTCGGGGACATACTCATGGTAGTACACTTCTTTCTGCTTGTTTGTGACATTGATGGTAATGAGGTATGTATTCTTGGCGTTGTTCATTTCGATCATCTGCTGCTGGTAGGCGCTCTGGGCTTTGGCTTTGTCGTAGCTGGACTCGGATTTTTTGCGCCGGGCCTCGAGCTCTTGGCAGGTCGTGTCATACTTGCCCTTGATTTTGCGCAGGTGCTCGTAGGACGCATCACGCTCGGAGGTAAGATGGTCGGCATAATCAGCATGGCGTTTTCGCAACTCTTCGAAGCGCAAGCCATAGAATCTGAGGGGCTCGGCGACTTGGGAAATGAGGCTGTTGGCATAGGTGTCGTGCTCGGCAGCGCGGGATTCAAGCGTCGTCAGCTGGGTCGCCCAGGTCGTGATAGATGCGCTGGGTAAGAAGTATCGGTTAGTATCTGGGCCTGTTTGGGATATATGCAGGCGCGACGGGGTTAGGCGGCACCTTTCGAGAGACCCGGGCGTCAAGCTTGGCGTGTCACCAACGCTCAGCTGAGATGATTTCTTGTTCTTCTTTTCGAAGTATTTTTTGGCAAGCGTGGCTAGCTTGGCACTATATTCTTTCTCGATGGCGGCTCGCTCGCGGTAGAACTGCTGCATGTCTTCGAGCCAAGCGATGCCGTGGCCGACCCAGGCGTTTGCGCCTTTGAATCCGTCCTGGTGGGGGGTTAATATGGACAGGCTGCGACATCGGTGACGTCAAGAAGTATTGCGAAGAAGTTGCCGCGGCTTTACTTGGTAAGGGAGAATCTCACTTTGAGCTCGGCGCCGAAGGTCGGCATGGCCTCTACTTCGGCCATGATGCAATGTGACGGAGGGAGAGTGGCTCGCGACGTGCGAATGAATTAGGTTGGTGGGCACATGCAGATGTCGCGAGAAGCAACGTCGACGCAACGAGTGCTGTTTAAGAGCAGTAAAGTAAGCTGGAGAGGCATGTGTCGGCAACAGCAAGCGGGAAGGCGGGCAATGGCAATGTTGCTCGCCACGAGAAGTGGTTGGGAGAGAAGATGCGTACGTAAAGTTGGCGCTGGAGGGGGTGAGTGGGATGCGGCGCCTGTGTAAAGTGAGGCTTGCCTGAGGCGCAGTCAGGGTACCTTTGGCAGGCGCTGACAACAGAGGGGCACCCAAGGCTTGGCTTTGGCTTGTGGCGCGCCAGGTAACTATGTACAGTGGTTACCTAACTAGAGCTTTATTACTGCCAAGCCCGCGATTTTGGAAGGTAGGTAGCCCTAAAATCTATGAGAGATTATACACTCTGATGATATATTTAACATGTTGTTCGAAACCCGTCGTAATTTTACTCCCAAAGTGGTTGCTGTCCGAACGGCTTACTTTCTGCCTGTATCACATGGTGCTATGAGTGGCTAGCCTGTGTTGCGTCTGGCAGTGCTTTTTTCGTTTGCATCATTTTCGAGAAAAGAGTCGGAATGAAAATTATTAATAATAACGTGAACCATACAAAATACTGAGATAATTTTCCCAGTGACCGTTTAGTCCCTACTCTCCTTTCTGAGAAATTGCGTCAAAAAAATCCGTCTCCAAATGCATATGCTCACAAACGCCGAGACACAGACATATTCCAAGCGAACAAGACCAATAAATAGAGCCAGAATTCACTAGTTCCCCTGTGATGCACCTTATAAAATGGCAATCATATTCAAAGACTTTGATTTTTTATGCTATTGACTTTTCATTCACCTCCTTTCGTTAAAATTCCCCACAATCACGCAGAAATATGAGCTTTACTGTCTACTGTCGGGTAGGTATAGGTAGGACCTCATAAGTTGCGAAGTTCATCACCGTGATCTGCCTGCATGGGGCTGCCTCATCCCTTTCGCGTTTGATTCCAACTGCAAGATTTTCAGATGAAGCCAAAAAAAATTTATAGTAAAAGTTCCCACTCTCTTCATCAGTATGCGGAGATCTGGGGCACATTGCACTAGCAGTGGGCTATGTCGGATGCGTGGTTCGGCAAGCGACACAAGGCCAAGCCGGCTGGAGTGAAACCGACAACGTACCAAAGATAGTAAATGCATCGCCAGCGTGTTGATTAGCGAGAAGTTCGCCAAGGCAGAGTGGTCATGTTTCCGGGGCCTGGCTAGGTATGTTTCAGCTTCCGTTATTCTGCAGAAGCACGCCGTACAGTGGTGTCCCTATGCTACTATTGGAGTAATCTGCCGCGCGCAAACGGCGGGAAAGAGGGTTGACAGGCACCTACAATAATGGCGTTTATATTCTTGATTTCAGCGCGGGTGCAATGCTTTGTCATGAGTGAGGTGTTGAGCAATGAGCAGTTAGTTGTTGTCTCAGCCTGTGAGGTAAATGTTTTGTTAGCGTTGCAAGAGGTATTTTACGCGTCAGCCGGCTATTGCCAGTGTAAAATAAAAACCGGGCTGGGCAGCTGTGGTGGCGCGGAATTGCCTGCCGCACCCAACGTCAGCCGCGCAGGACAGTCAGTTCAATCAGAAAGACATCCAGCGGAAAAGATTCGAAGAGCTTGCTGGGTGATTAAACATTAAACGCCCTCGTATTTGACAGGATTGCCCGCAACTCGGTTGACCTGTTGACCCTGTGAGCGTGCCCCATCCGGAAGAGGCCATGCCGATGTGGGCTAGCGTGGGGACGGCGAGTGGGCCCTTGGGCCTTAAAATAGGACACTATACGTAACTTGACTGAGATGGCATGCTGGAAACAAGGCGGCAGTGCACAATGCAAGGGAAGGAGTGGCAGGAAAATCGAGAGCAAAGGCAGGGGCGCGATTTGCATACTCTAGCGAGAAAATGGAGGGAGAAATGCGGAGAGCTGGCGCGTCTTCTGCGTTTTGCGTTCCAGGGCAGCTGTCTGCGAAATATGCTCTCCTGCATTTTGAGACGACTTGTGCTGCTCGTGCGCTGTGGAACTTGCTTCCAGCGCTGTATTCACTACAGCATGCGCTGCAGGGATGTACGACCGACTTTCGGCCCGGCGACCAGGCCACACATGATTCATCACAGGGGCCGTATTCTAACTTTTTAGTGGGCGGCTGACGCTTGTAGCCACTGTAACGATGCTGAAAGCAGCCAGCCAGGCCACGCCGTCACGGCCTGCACCAACTAGCCTGCTCCTCCTCCCATCCACTCGTCTGGTAAAAGTCTATGTCGCCTCTCCCACATACCTCGCTCTTGTCCCCCTTCCATCTCCTCCTATCGTTTGATTATAGTCTTTTCTTCGTTAAACCTCCCGTTTCCTTCGCTTCAACTCTATCCATTCGCTTTCCATTATCGCCTTCTCTTCTTCGCCCCCTCCGCTTCCTTATTCTAACCCTGTCGACTACCCCTGTGCCGTCACCCGACCGCCCATCACAAGCGTTGTCACATCCATCGTCAATACCGCACCCTGGACCCGCTCTCGATACTTGTACGGAAACTTGTCTGGCTCGGCGACGCCTCGTGTTTTTGCCTCGTCCATCATCGCTGCCGCGGCATCCCTTCGTCTATCCATCGCCGTGCGACCGTCTTGCGATGCGCCGTTCGCGATTCGAACCCCCGTCCTAATTTTCTCATATAATCAATAATACCCGACAACCGACCGTTGGTCGCCGCTGCTCACCATGGTCTCCTTTCGCCGCTCCGCCCTTGCGGCCCTGGGCTACGCTGCTACGTTGCTGCCCGCCGTTGATGCATCCCGCATTCTCGTCTCCAACTCGCTCAACACCTGCTCCGCCGCGTCTGGCTTCACTGCCAGTCTCTTCAATGTCAAGTACGATGCCGACACCGGTTTCGCCGAGATTAGTATGACCGCCACCTCCACCATCTCTGGCAAGGTCATCTTCTACGTCACCGTCTCGGCCTATGGCTATCCCATCATCGACAACAAAGCTGTCGATCCTTGTACCGTTGAGGAACTCAAGGGCATGTGCCCCATGCAGGTTGGAAAGCCGCCTCAGGACTTCCGTCTCGACATTGGCAAGAATGCCCCCATCCCTGGCATCGCCTTCTCCATCCCCGATCTCGACGCCACTGCCAAGGTCCGCGTAATGCTTGGCGACGACGAGGTTGCTTGCCTTGAGGCCAACATCTCTAACCAAAAGACTGTCGACACCGTCGGTGTCAAGTGGGCTACGGCTGTCATCGCCTTCCTCGCCCTCATCTCATCCGCCGTGCTCAACAGCCTGGGTCACACCAACGCCGCTTCTCACGTCGCCGCCAACTCCCTTTCTCTCTTCAGTTACTTCCAGAGCCAGGCTATGATCGGCCTGACTGCCGTCAAGCTCCCTCCCATTGTTCGCGCCTGGACTCAGGACTTCCAGTGGACCATGGGCATCATCAGACTCGGCTTCATGCAGGACATTTTCACTTGGTATCAGCGCGCTACTGGTGGTACTCCCTCCACCATCCTTGATTCCATCCGTACCTACTCAGTCCAGGTGCAGAAGCGTGGTCTCGATCTCGCAAGCCGCGGCCTAGACATGCTTCCTGAAAAGGTGGCTACCCTCGCCCGTCGTGGCAACATCAAGACCGGCTCCGGAACCTACCTCGTCTACGGTATCCAGCGTGTCGCCTTTCGCTCCAAGATTGAGTCCACCAACCTTTTCATGACCACCATTACATGGTTCTGTATCCTCGTAATCTTTACTTCTCTTGCTGTTGCCGCTTACAAGGGCATTCTCGAGCTGCTTGCTAAGAAGGGTACCGTCAAGGGCGATCGCTTCCAAGAGTTCCGCAACGGCTGGGTCACCGTCCTCAAGGGCATCATCTTCCGCCTTACCCTTCTTGGCTTTCCTCTCGTTACCGTCTTCTGCCTCTGGGAGTTTACCCAGGCCGACTCTGCTGCTGAGGTTGTTCTTGCTGTCTTCTTCCTTCTTGCCACCATCACCACCCTGGCTTTTGGCACCTGGAAGGTCATCACCATCGCTCGCCGTTCCGTCAGTGTCCACAGCAACCCTGCCTACATCTTGTTTGCTGACCCCAATGTTATCAACAAATGGGGCTTCCTCTACATCCAGTTCCGCGCCTCGTCGCATTACTTCATCGCGCCCCTGCTCGCCTACATGTTCCTCAAGTCCTTATTCGTCGCCGTCGCCCAGAAGAGCGGCATCACCCAGGCTATTGCGTTTATCCTGCTCGAGGCCGGCGCTCTTATTGGCGCGAGCGTTATTCGCCCCTGGATGGACAAGCCCACCAACACCTTCAACATAATGATTTGTGTTGTCAACTTTATCAATGCCATCTGCCTGCTCATCTACACCAACGTCTTTGATGCGCCTGCCCTTGTCGTTGGTGTCTTCGGTGTCATCCTCTTTATCCTCAATGCCGCCTTCTCCCTGGTACTCTTGCTCATGGTGATCGTCTCGACCGCATTTGCCGTCTTCCGCAAGAACCCCGATTCGCGCTATCAGTACATGGGTGACGATCGTGCCTCATTCATGAAGTCCAACACTCAGCTCGACAAGTCCAATCAGCTTGATGACCTTGCAGCTGTCGCTCGTGGTGACAACAAGTCGCGCATGTTTGACGAGGAGGAGTTTGAGCCCAAGCCTCACAGCCACGTCCTGGGTTCCCTCAACAACCAATCGCAGCGCTCCTTCGGCCGCGCTTCGCCCTCGCCTGCGCCCTCTGGTCGCCCAAGCCCGAGCCTGGATCCCAATGCCCCTACTCGCAGCGCGCGACAGCAGAACTCGGGCAGCCCGTGGCAGCGCGGAGCTGGTTACGACAACTAGGCATGTCAAGAACCGAAAAAAGAAAAGAAAAAGATGACAAAACTTATTAAAAAAAGGCCACACTCTCTTTTACCAACCAGTAAATAGGCTCGTGAATTGCGTTTTGGAATGCTTCTGATTTTTGTACCGGGGTTGGAGGTCTTTTTTTGTCGGCGAGGTCACCAAGCTCGCATAGGAATAACAAGAAGAGCATTTGGGAAAGCATACAATCCAGTGTTATCGTTTAGTGCCCGGTGGTCAGCAGATATCTGACCAAATTGACGTATTTCTTCCATGCTCTGCGTGTAACGACTGCTCGTGTATCTTGTCGTGATGTCCGCTGTGGCACAAACACATACCAGGCGATGATCTCCATGAGGTTAGAGATCGTGTCGCGGGAGGCACGATAGCCAAGCCCTCTCCTGGTACATTCTACAGCCGTCCCTGCCGAGAGTCTTGGGCACACAAGCCACCCGCCGCCGTAGATGTTGGCGGCTGGCAGATGAGCGGCGCCGCCATGTCTTGGCTGGGGCTTGCATGTGCACCGATGTATCGAACTTGGCTCCTTGTCCTCTGTCCCTCTGTTTTTGAAGCTTGGCAAGTAGTCATTCAAAGAAAGTTGTAAAATAAAAGATCCTGTCAGTCCATAATTTTCATCCGAGGAGTTGCGATGCGATATTCCAACACACCACACCACGGGTCTGTACGGCTCTGAAAACGGCCGAGGAGGCCAAGCACACGTCTTGGTTCACGCAACTCATGCTTGGCATTTGTACGGGAGAGGCGGCGTTTTTTCTCTTTATCGCAATCATTCTTTTCTTGGGCGAAATACTGTAATGGTGATGACAAGGTACGTACGGACCGTCATTTGTACCGAAAGGCGCAAGACTATAGACCAGTTTTCACCTGGGAGAGCGATCTTGATGGGAACATGTCACTCCCTCGTCACGGGAATTGAGATGCTGTGATTTTTACGGAGCAGGAAGGACGGGCATCAGAAGATCCGTGCACAGGTGATTTTAGAGTTTCCTGGAGTTTTTTCTTTTTCATTGACGCTCAGGTGCAAGGCCCATACTCTTTGTTGTTCGTTGTCTCGTACAAAACTAGGACTGCAGCCATCCGCAACAACGTCCAGAGCGACCGCTACCCACCATATTATTTGTCAATGTACGAACATGATCATATTTACGGTTCAAGGTGTCAACGACTGTGGCGGGGATTTGCCGCGCGAACGAGGCTTGCAGCTGAGGTTGGCGCCCGTCCCGGCGCGCCTGTGAGACGGAGGGCGAGGCTGGGCTGGCGGTGCGGTCGAGCCTCCCCCGCGTCCCCCGCATGACGACGATGTTGGCTGGGGAAGAGTTTGTACAGGTTTACTCCTTCCGTTAGTGTAAGGGGGGCAACTGACAAGAGAAGGTTGAGGAACGACGAAAATGAACACGCCTGTTCTTTACCGAGATGACATCTCAGCTTCCCCTCGAAGCCTACGTAATGCCAAGTACCGTTTTGACTCTAATTGCGAATACGCGCAGCTACAGCTAATTTAACTGGGACTCAGCCTCGTCATATGTATCCCTTGAAGAGCCCCATGCCACTCACGGGCAGGCCATTTGGGGAAGTGGTAGGCCAATGAATGGGGGGGGGGGGGTTGTTACCATGGTACGATTTCCGAGGGATCTTCAGACACTTGCGGGCTTGGGAAAGTTAGTTTCTGGGGTTGGATGCTGTTCGTTTATGCAGCAAGGGCTCTCGCCGCTGGCTCAGACAAAGAGGCACAGGGCAAACCCTGCGTCTCGAGGCAACCACAGGGCAAACCCTGCGTCTCGAGGCAACGTCAATGCATCCACCCGCGATGCTCCGAGACGCAGACGCGCCCCAACAATAAGGAGGATAAATTTGCGGAATCCGTCCGTGCTACACAGAGAAACATTCGATAGCTGCGACTAGCTGAGGCTTGCTTGCGGGTAGCTCGTTGTTCCGTTTCAAAGAAATCCCTTTCCACTTTGGGTGTTTGGTAGAGAGGCTTTTACAGTGGTGATGCTGAAATTGCCCAATGGTTAGAAATATCATCGTTAAATCACGCAGTTCTTGGTTTCTTAAATTTCGTGCTTGACGCGACACCCCGCGTGATCGAGCATGTCTCCCTTCTCTTCATAGATGCGTCTTATTGAAGTTATTTGCCCCGTGGGGTATGTTCTCCAGCTGACCCGGCAGCTGGGACTAGTTGCGACATGCATGGATGGTTACAGAATCCTTCTTTGGGGATTCTAGAAGCAATGATTAGCTGAATGGGGGGCTATGAATGGGAAGGTTTTCGAGCTGGAACCACATCTTCCACCACTGCGGTAACAAACCGGGAGCTATGAGGCAACTATGGTGTGACTGGCATCACGAGGTCAATGTGGTACATGCAAGATGGCATCTCAAATCTTGTAATTCCCGCACTGGGGACGGTCCGCGAGTCATACAAGGATGACCAGTCAGTGCCCAGCCAGCTGGGTTTTCTTGGAGGCGAAAGCATAGGCCGTTCGCAAGGTAGCATAATTATACAGCGAGGTGCGACGATGGTTGGTGAGAGGCGACCAATGCGACACCCCAGAGTGCGGGGTGGAGCGAGAGCGGGCATTGTTCTGGAAGCGTGGAATTTTGGAATCCACGGAATCCACTGATAAACCTGCCAATGAAGCTCAATTTTTTTTCTTCATTTTGCTAGCGTTGGGTTTGGAGCGAGTGGTTTGGAGAATCCATGTACCCGGTCGACGTAACCGCAAGCGTACAGTACCTACCTACATACATACATACAAACCTAACCCATACAATGGCTGACTGCGAACGAGAAATTCATGGCGCTCAAGCGCCGAGACTGGGCGTCTCGACAAGACGGGGGGCTTTTTTTTCCCTCGTCTCTTGGCGGATTGGCAGGCACCTACCCAATCAACCAAGCCGAAAACCTCGCCAAGGCCGTTGGTTAAAAGAGACTTTGGGTCAGGGCAGCGACCAGTCAGCTAATAAGCCTAATTTACAGCTTCAACTAACTCGAGAGAGCTAGGCGTTTGCCGGTCGAAATTCTGGAATGCGGACATCAACGGGTCCTGCACCCTCCCAAGCTGCGCCTCGCCCTGGTCCGCGCGCGAATGTGGCTTGCATTTTGCCTGCGTCTGACAAGTAGCAACCGGGCGCAGAGGAGAAGAAGGTCTTGCTCACTTGACCCCAAGTTTTTTTTTAGCGCGAAAATCCTGTTGTGAGGCTGTCGCATCGCCTGTTTCTGTTTTGGCGTCTTGTTTTCTGTCTTCTATGCCGCTATTCTTTTCAGCTGCCACCCTGGCAAGGCAGCCTTATGCTTTGACCGGAGGATTCCCGTGACTCTCGATAGGATGCAACAATGCAACCCCGTACGGATAACTACTGACTGGGGTGCAATGATAACGTGTGGCATGCTATGGTTTATCGCATGTACCCCATGCTGCCCCCCAATCAAAGAAAAAGAAAAGCACTCAATTCTGGGCCCAGACTCGTGGCCAGTTGCCAGTTACCCCGTCGGTAGGCGAGTGAAAATCCTTGCATGTCGGTTTACCCCATTCTTTAGCCCTGGAGAATGGAGTGCTTGGCGAAAAAAGCGGCTTCTGGGGACGGTTTGGTGCAGTGGACCGAACCAAGAACGCTGCTCTGCTTGACGGCAATCAGGCTGGCTGGATGCACCATTGTGTGCCAGGCCGGATAGAATGTTCCCTAGAAGCCCCCTCCGCAGAGGCGCAACGCCTCTCTCCTAGAACCAGGACTAGCACAGCCGCTTCAATCTCTTGTCCTTTTCTGGCTGCAGAGATTGAGTGTGGCACCAGCGCCTGGTGCCCCGCGGCGGCGCCGCCACCACAACTAACTTTGAGAACTAAGCATCACTTTTAGCACCTGCTGTCGTCGTATCAAGGAAAACAGGCGGCGGTTCCGCCAACGCTTCCGTCGGCATTCGACTGCCTCACTACTCGCACCTACCTATCTGACCTGACTCCTCATCGCCTCCGCCATCGCCATCATCCAAAGCTATCATTTGCTCCGTGGTGGGCTCACCATGGCCCATGAGTCGGGGTTCCCGTCCAAACGCAGACTAGTTAGCCTCTGTCTCTCCGTATCCCTGCTGCGGGCACGACCACGACTATGCATGCACCACCGACCTGGGGTTGGCCCTGCTCGCGGCAGAAACAACCACCAACGGATATGGACCCGTCCGCCGTCCAATGATAACCACCCCAAATTGAACCGCTTGGAGAGGGGGGGTGTTCCTTCAACCTCTCAGCTCTCCGTCATGCGAGGAGGGGCGTGAGCCTGGGTGAGTGAGGCGACACAACAACGCCAACGCTCACCTCCAGTCCAGGCTGTCTGTCCAGGCTGCTCAGCTGGAAGGAACCCTTGCCCTCGGGGACAACCCCTACAAAAGGTCTCCTCCCCCTCCTTCTCCTCACGGAGCTTTCCCTTTCGAACCGCCGTTGTTCTTTTTTCATCCTGCTTCTCGTCTTCTCTTCGGGGTTTCTGTGTGGGCATTCCTGAACATTGAGACAGTCTTCATTCATCCTACCTAGCCAACCCGTCGCCCTACATACACAGCTAACTCACACACACACATTCACACTGAAGCTGTCTCAATTCAAATCCTTCACCATGAATGACAAGGAATACGTCTACGGCGGCGATGGCGGCCACGACGAAAAGACCATGGGCCCCAACGACTCCCCTCACGAGCACATCCGCGGCCTCGAGACCGACCCCAACTCGAAGCTGCACCGCGGCCTCAAGGCCCGCCATATTAGCATGATCGCCATTGGCGGTGCCCTCGGAACTGGTCTCATAGTCGGCACCGGTAAGGCCCTCGCCCAAGCCGGGCCGGGGTCCCTCTTCATCTCCTACCTCTTTGTCGGCTTTCTTGTCTTCATGGTCATGGCCTCGCTAGGCGAGATGGCCGCCTGGCTCCCCCTCCACTCTGGCTTTACTGGTTATGCTACCCGTTACTGCCACCCGTCTCTTGGATTTGCTCTCGGTTGGTGGTATGTCAATTCTTTTACGACCCTTCGTCGTTGCATCAATCGCCCGCTAACTTCCCCCCAGCTATCTTATGAAGTATCTCGTCATCACCCCCAACCAATTGACCGCCGCCGCCCTCGTCATCCAATACTGGGTCAAGCCTGAAAAGGTAAACCCTGGCGTCTTTGTTGCCATCTTCTTGGTTGCTATTATCTGCATCAACTACTTTGGCGGCATCAAGTTCTTTGGCGAGTTTGAGTTTTGGCTCTCCTCCTTCAAGGTCATCGTAATCATCGCCATCATCCTCTTTGCCCTGATCATTGCTTGCGGCGGCGGCCCCAACCACGACGCCTCCGGCTTCCGCTACTGGTCTAACCCGGGTGCCTTTGCCGAGCTTAAGGGCTACTCGACCGGCTCCCTCGGCCGCTTCCTCGGCTTCTGGTCCGTTATGGTTAACGCTACTTTCGCCTACCTCGGAACCGAGCTGGTTGGTGTCACGGCCGGTGAGGCCCAGAACCCGCGCCGCACTATCCCCAAGGCTATTCGACTCACCTTCTACCGAATCCTCGTCTTCTACTGCCTCAGCGTTCTCCTCGTTGGCATGATTGTCCCCTACAACTCGCCCGAGCTCGCTTTCGCCAACTCCCAGGGCTCCACCAAGGGTGCCTCTGCTGCTTCTTCTCCCTTTGTCGTTGCTGCTCAGATCGCTGGTGTTAAGGTCCTGCCTCACATCATCAACGCCTGTATTCTGGTCTTCGTCTTCTCCGCATCCAACTCCGACCTCTACATTGCAAGCCGTACCCTCTACGGTCTCGCTTCCGACGAGTCCGCGCCCGCCATCTTCAAGCGCACCGACAACCGTGGTGTTCCCTACGTCGCCCTGGCCACTGCTGCCCTCTTTGCGTGCCTGGCATTCATGAACGTCAGCAGCGATAGTAAGACTGTCTTTGGCTACTTTGTCAACCTGACAACCGTGTTTGGCCTCCTCGCTTGGATTTCCATCCTCGTCACTCACCTGTACTTTGTCAAGGCTCGTGAGGCCCAAAACATCCCCAAGACCGCCATGCCCTACATCGCGCCGCAGGGCTACTGGGGCAGCGTCATCGCCTTGTTCTTCTGCTGCCTCATCTGTGTCACCAAGAACTTTACCGTCTTCATCCACACCAAGAACACAAAGTTTGCCTATAAAGATTTTATTACTGGCTATATTGGCATTCCCCTGTACCTCATCTTCCTGTTCGGCCACATGTGGATCACGAAATCGAAGCCTGTAAAGCCTACCGAGGCCGACTTTTACACGGGCAAGAACATCATCGACAACGAAGAGCAAGAGTACCTCGAGAACTTGAAGCTCGACCGCTCCCAGAGCCGTGGAGCCCGCAAGTTCTACCATCGCTACATCGCATGGCTGTTCTAAGTCTGAACATAGTATTGATACACATGATTTTCAAGATAGAGTTATTCTGATTAGCATTCATGAACACTGATTCCCACGTATAAGTCTCGTGTATTTCTAAATTATAAGAAACTGCATTTTTGAGTTGTCGATATGCTGTGGGACCGCTCCACGTGATGATGTCAAACAATTTTTAAGCCATGCGGGACAACTGCGCAAACTTGGATTGGGAATATCCTTGCAAATCCTGAATCAATAGCACACGGAATTAATTTCGATATCGATATAATGGATCTACGAAACGTGCAGAGCATCGAGCTGCCCGCGACAGCGGACATGCACGTGCACCTGCGCCAGGGTGACATGATGGAGCTTGTAACGCCAACTCTGACCGCAGGCGGCGTTGACACGGCCTTTGTGTAGGATTCTTCCTTCTTTTTTCAGCTCTTTTTCTACAATTATAAAAGACCTATAGTTGCTGATTATGGAAACTATACAGCATGCCCAACTTGGTATGTCTCGTCCTGCATCATGCTTAGATGGATCTTTATGTTGGCGAAGCAAGGCGCGGGGCTTGCTAATCCGCGCAAAAAAGGTTCCTCCCGTGACCACCGTCGAGATGGCGCTCGAGTACAAGCAGAAGCTCCTCGCCACCAACCCCGACGTGCACTACCTCATGTCGCTCTTCCTGCACGCCAGCGTCACGCCGGAGGTGATTGACCGGGCGGCCGCGGCCGGCGTCACCGGCGTCAAGCTGTACCCGCAGGGCGCGACGACCAACTCGGACAACGGCGTGGCGGACCTCAAGGCCTTTTACGACACGTTTGAGGCGATGGAGAGGAACGACATGGTGCTGAACCTGCACGGCGAAGCGCTCGAGGCGCTGGCGCCGGCCGGCTTGACCCTCGAGGAGGCCTTCCTGCCCACGCTCATGAGCTTGCACGAGCGCTTTCCCAAGCTCCGCATCATTGTGAGGGAATCATCTGAAAAAATTTGAGGGCAAGAGGGAACACGAGGAAGCTAACTCGGATGATAGCTTGAGCACTGCACTACGTCTGCGGCTGTCGAGGCTGTTAAGGCGTGCGGCCCCAACGTCGGCGCTACCATCACCGCGCATCACCTGTACCTCACCGAGGCCGACGCCTGCTGCGACCCGTTCGCCTTTTGCAAGCCCATCCCCAAGAAGCCTCTCGACCGTGACGCCCTCCTTCAAGCCGCCATGAGCGGCAATCCCAAGTTCTTCTTGTACATACCCTCCCTTTCCCCTCCCTCTTATTGCTTCAAGACTAACCAAGACCGTAGTGGAAGCGATAGCGCACCTCACCCCATCCAGAACAAGACATCGGCCGAGCAGGGCAAAGCCCCCGCGGGCGTCTTCACCCAGCCGTTCGTCACGCAGCTCGTCGTGCTGGCGCTGCAGGAGGGCATCGCGCGGGGAGTGCTCGCCGACGCGGACGTTACGCGGGAGCGGCTGGAGGGCTTCCTGAGCCACAACGGGCGCGCGTTCTACAAGCTGCCGCGGGCGACTCGCCGCGTGGTGCTGGAGAGGAAGGGGGAGAGGATACCAACGAGCGTGAAGAGCGAGACGGTGGAGGTGGGCAACTCGCGACATGGTGATGAGGTGTTCAGCCTGCGGTGGCTGTAAAATGAATTGCATGGGGGCGGCTATGAAAAGTTATTGCAAATATGATTGAAATGAACAATGAATGAAAGTTGATGTTATTGAAGTAGCTTCCTTCTTTGATTGTTTTGGTCACGAGCTCTGTGTTCGTTTGCTGGCTCTGCCGGCTGGCACCTGCCAACCACCTCAGCCGATTATTTCAAATCAAACGCTGACCTCTCCCTCTCTCACACAACATGACAACAACAAAAACAGCGGGAGCGAGCCCCAAGTTAATACCTCACAAGCGAAAACGGGCAGAAAGCTTCATCAGCGGCGACAGCAGACGCACAGAGCGGCGGCGTATCATAATTACCACCTTCCAACAGCGCTGGCGTCATGGCCGTGTCTGCACACCTACGAGCCGCAATAGAGGTAAAAACATTCTCTGTCTCAGCTTTTCCTCCATGAACCCCGTGGCTGACCCAGTGCGAGAAAGGCCGATTTAGGCAGGGGCCGCCAGGAAGAGCTGCCGCTCAGCCACGTGGACGAGCGAGGCCGTTCGTACAATCCACGGGGGCAAGACGAGTCACGGTTCTACAATCATAGAATCAAACAGGAGCTGGAAAACAATTGGTCAAGTATGGAGGCACAAAAGTCTTCTTGCAAAGATGATGAAGGACTAAACAGCCTTGATTCAGATGCTATTGTCGACGCAGAGTCGGAGCAGATGCAGGGTTTGACGAACCTGAACGCCCGACCCTGGGCATCGATGGGGTAAGTGGCGACCGGACAGTGACAAAGACAAATGGCTGAGCAGATGTAGACCGCCGCAGGCCACACGCTTTGAAATTCCAAGGGTTAACCCGCCCGTTGCTCCCCAGCAAGTTTCGACTCCCCCGCTTACGCAGCCCGCGTCGGCCCCTCCGAGTTCCCAGCCCGCTCCCCAAATCCAACAACCTCAAATCCAAGTTGTATATGGCGGAAAATGCGAGGTCTCCATGCGTGAGGGACACACGATTGTCCGCGACGCAGCATTCTCCATCCAAGTCGCTGCTGATAGAGAGACCGCAGCCTTTATCTTAACAGCGTCCGGGAAGCCAACTGTGACACTCACCGTCTTGGACTTCGAAGTGCCAGTCATCTCTGGCATGTCTTGCGTTATCAAAACAATACCAGTTGCTGGAGCGGGAGCCACGATTTACACGGTAAAGCCTTTCGAACCGGCAACAGCAGAAAAGCTGGCCAAATGTCTGGACAGTCTCCAAGTCGTTGTTCGCAAGAGACTGGGGCTCCCTCTTGCTCCGACGCCGCAGCCGCCGTTGACCCCTCAAGTCAAGGTTGCACCACCCCGGTCACTCATATGCGCTCACTCGCCTGAATCGTCGACTGAGCAATCGCCTCGTCTTAGATCGAGGGAGCTAGTTGAGCTGTCTCCACGGACGCCAGTGCAGCTCGACGAGGTTATCGGAAACATCAGAGTCCTGGTGCGTAACGCGTACTGCCAGGCCACGGGCTGCTCTGTCCCTATGCTGCCTGCTGCCTCGCCTGGCGAGCAGCAGCAGCAGGCCGATGCCAAGCTGTCCGCATGGCTGAAAAAGGGCAAGCTTGACTCGGACGCGGACGAGACGAAGCTCGTCCTGGAGAAGATCTTATGCTTCCTTGGTGACCTGCAGTTCAGCATGGCGGCCGCGCGCGAGCCGCTTATGTCGAGCAAAACCATGGAGGAGATGAGGACAATTAGCCCCAGTGCCAAGAGCCAAAGGTATAGCGCCCCTGAGATTCTGGAGCTCAATAAGGTCGCGGTGGTACCGGCCGGGCTGGAAAGCGCCGCCGAGATAATCGAGGTCAAGGAGGAGGCGGCGATGTTGGCGGGAATGGATAACGCCTCTGATGCTATGAAGCCCGAGGAGACAGCGGTTGTGACGCTGGCGGCGAAGCCCAAAATGGGGTTGCGGAGCTCTCTCTGGGCGCACAAGTGAGGTGGCTATTCTTCCCGTATTAGGATTTGCAGCCTGAACGATTTGTATTTGCATTCATTGTTGTCATCTTCTTTGCTCTCTCCTTTCCTTCAGTCCCCTCGTTGCTTGCAAAAAACATCAAGGCGTATCATGATGTCGGCTTCTGCTCTGCGCTTTGCACCCCGAGCGTCTCGTGCTTGGCCCGGCACTTGGTCTCATACTTTTCCAGCAGCCGCAGCGCGTCAGCGTCCAGCGCCGGTCGCGACTCTTCCTGCAGGGCCTGCGCAGCAAGCTCCGCGGCCTCGCGGTAGTGTCGGAAGAAGTAGAGCTCCTCGACGGCGTGTAGCAGCTCCTGGATGTCCATTTTGCTAGCACCGACGGAGAGCGGCAGCTTGACGTGCTTGTAGATCTGCCGTGAACGTTTTCTTAGCTTACTAGCACTCTCATTTGGTCGAGGGGGGAGAATTTCTGGGGAATGAAAAGAAACACATCCTCTCGGGATACATACGTCGCCGTTTTCAACCTTGACCACATAAGTCCTCCGGACGGCCTCAAACTCGGCCTCGGACTGCCCGGTGCGCTTAGCCTTCTTCTCGGCGGGCGTGTCTTCGGTGTCGGAGACTTGGATGTTGAGGATGCCGTCGTCTTCTGCGTCGCTCATCTTGGCCTGCGGTAAATGGGCTATGGCTTCGTTGAGGGTAAGAGCAAAAGTTTCTTGTTCAGGATGGGAAGTTTTTCACGCTTGACTGGTGTGGTGGTGGTGAGGAATGCCCCACTGTGGACTTATACCAATTTATCTCTCCATTGACGTCGCTGATTTATTACTCTTTCTTTTATCGAACTTTATTTTGTCTCTTACGATTAATTCTCCATAGTAAGTTTTCTTTAATTTGAGAAAAAAAAAGATGACAACAACTAATGCTGCACGCACTCTTTTGTCAGACAGTTATCGGAGTGACCAAGACGAAGGCTCTCTGAGCTCCCAGGCTAGCTTAGCTATAAGGCGATGCTCTTATCAACCTTCAGGAAATAATGAGAGAGGGAAAAAAATGGACATCAATCTCTGGAGAACACTGCCTGGATGTTTTTAAATGGTTGCGTATCGATCCGTGAACCTGTTGGCCCAGTTAAGCTTGCTCAGGTGCGCTGCTGACTTCATCTTCAGCGTGGTAGAGCGCACAGGCATCAGTTTCCACTAATTCCTGCGGCGACTTAATCCAACACAGCAGTTCTGCTTCCAGCATCTCCAGATCCGAGCGCAACCTCTGTTTGCTCATTGCCCAACACGGGAAAAACTGGCAGCCCGACATGCCTCTGTAAGCCATCTCGATGCACGAACCGACCCTCTCTCCGATTTTCGACGGAAAGTGCCTTGCTAACGCAAAAACAAACCACAGTCACCTTCTACCCAAGAAGTCATGGCACGTCTACAACAAGGCCAACGTCGAGCGCGTGCGCCGCGACGAGGCCCTCGCCAAGGCGGCCGAGGAGGCCGAGGAGCAGCGCATGCAGGAAGTCGACGCCGCGCGACGGCTGGCGATTCTGCGCGGCGAGGCGCCGCCTCCGATCGAGGAGGAGCGACGGTGCTCTTCGCCCGACGACCCCGAGGCGACGACGACGACGAGTGGCGGGATGCCGCGCGGCGCGGGCGACGGGCGGCGACCGCGCAAACGACACGGCGAGGACGACACCGACTTTGAGATGCGCGTGGCCAAGGAGCGCGAGGCCGTCGCCAGAGAGGCGAGGCGCGCGACGAGCTTGTCGTCGTCCTCGGCGCCGATCGTCGACGGCCGCGGCCACATTGACCTGTTTGGCGCGCGCGGGGAGAAGAATGAGGAGGCTGAGCGTGACAAGGCTAGGCAGCGGCGCGAGTACGAGGACCAGTACACGATGCGCTTCTCCAACGCCGCGGGCGGCGGCGGTCGCTCGTCGGGAGCCCCGTGGTACTCGTCGTCGGCAGCGGCGGCAGCCGATGAGGGCAAGGAGCTGGTGAGGAAGAACGTGTGGGGACGAGAGGACCCGCGAAGGCAGGAGCGCGACGAGAAGCGGCGGGACGCAAGCGACCCGCTGGCAGCAATGAGGAGGGGTGCGGCGCAGGTGCGTGCATTGAAGAAGGAGCGTGACAGGGATAGAGAGGAGCGTGAAGGGGAGCTCCGGAAGATGCGGGGGGACGAGGAGGAACGGCGGAAGAGGAGGCGAAGGTCCCGGTCCCCGGTGTCGGGTGAGCGAAGGAGGAGGAGGGAGGCGGATGAAGGCCGCGGTGGCGCGCGGCGGAGGGAAGATGGGGAGCCTGCGCGACGGGGACACCGTGATCGGGAGCGTAGTAGAGAGAGAAGCCGTGATGAGAGACGGCGGCGGCGGCGTTCACATTCGCGGGAACGGGAGGGACATGGGCGGCATGATGAGAAACGACAACACAAATGATACCCAACATCGTAAACATGTATTATGTATTATTATTCATTACTGTATTATGACCATGCAAATGTTCAATCCTCTTTTATGCAGCGCCCTCTTACTTTTCCGTCCACGGCAGCTTGATCTCCACCGGCCGCATCTCCTCCTCGACCATGCTCACCAGCGGCCTTGCCTCCAACCCGCGCAGCGCCCTATCAATCTCCCCGTACACGGCCTCCGAGATGCCCTCTCGGCGGCTCGAGTACACGTCGATGCCCTCCTTGGTGAACAGTGTCGGCGCGAACCACGTCACCGCCCAGCGCTCCCCGGTGGTGGTCGACTCGCCCCAGCCGAGCACCTCCCAGTGGCTGGAGACGAAGAAGAGCCAGCCCTTGCCGCGCCAGTCCCAGCCGCTGCCGTCGGGGCTGCGCGTGTCAACGCCGGTGACGGTCTTGAGGGTGGCGGTGCTGGAGGCGGGCTCGTAGGCGACGAGGTCGTCGATGCGGGCGCGGCCATCGGCGCGGGCGGCGAGGGGCGCGTAGGTGATGCGCACGTTGCGCGCGGAGCGCCACATGGACAGCGTGGAGTGCGTCACGGTCCAGGTGCCGGTGAGCCAGTCGATGGGTGGTGCTGGCTGCGAGGTTGTCGCCGCCTTGGAGCTGCTTTTGGCGTACTTGGAGGGGAGGGAGAGGGTGATGGGGCCGACGTCTGCTGCCATGGTTGTAGGCTGCGAAGCTTTTGAATAGGTAGAAAAGATGTTGGGATTGTGTGCTATGTTTTGTTTTTTTGTGTTTTGAGATGACTTGAAATAAGAAAGAAAGGTTGAGGTTGGCGGATGAAACATTCGCTGGCGCCGGATGGAGCCGTCATCGCTCGGAAGCTGTTGGTGCCGAGATGAAGCGGCTTAAGCGCCAGAACCATGGCTGGCACTTTTTGTGCTAGTAATTCATTACTGCGAAGTATACGTGATGATGGACAATTCAGTACTGCGTTTGGCAAGTAGCAGCGCAAGTGATTCGCTACCTCATTTATTATGAGCTGAAAGCGCAAGGCTTAAATACTTCTGATATGCCGGCAAATGTTCCACATATACGCTCACCTTTACTGGAACCATCTCGAAGATGTCTATTCCCTGAGCCTTGAAAAGGCTTTGAATAGCTGTTTCGGCCTATTTTTGATGATGACGGTAACACACGACATGCTACAGGGCGCTGATATTCAGCCAATGCGCGACCTGACTAGCTTGTCGGATTCAAGCCATACGGACTTACTGATTTAGACCGTGGCAAATATTTTTCTGGCCAAACAATTCCACGTTAAAATAGAAATGCGCTGGCCTTTGCTGAGCATGTAAATATGTTCAGTATTGACCAAGTGTCGCAAGTTAGTAGTCGCGATGTCGTACACGGAGCAAAATAGTCAATGTCATTTGGTCCCGTTTATAACGATGCTCAAAACGGAAAGCATCGTGGTTGCATACGAAATAAGCAGTCCCAGATCCACACAGTTTTTCATCTGTACCTTATTATTACTTAACATGAGATCGGCCCGTCAAAAGCTGGCTGGCGGTGGCTTAAAGTTGGTGGACCAGCTGCAGGCTTTTAGCTCCTGCGGCAAACAAGCCAAATCCGACCTCCGACATCGTCCCGTCCGAAGGCTGCAAACCTTTCTTTTCAGCCAAGTCCATCTCAGCCTAATTCACGGCTGCGCTGCTTCATCTCATTTGCATCTGTTAATCGAGCTTAAGGTCTGGTTAACCGTCCAGATCTTCTCATAGCAGTCCTGCGCGGCGACTCGCCTCGTCTACACACCCATTTGCGATGGAGCACTCAGCGCAGCCTCTGACGCCGGAGCTCGGCCACGATGGCGCCAGCGTATCTCTATCGGGATCTGCTACTAAGAAGCTGGTACCTGGAATTGAGTCTCCCAGTGAGCCTGCCGACTACGATGTCGTGACTGTTGAGCGAGTTTATCGGTAAGCCAGCCCCCGCATCATGCCGTGGATGTGTATGGACGACATTACTAACGCAACCTGATAGCAAGATCGACCGGCGAATCATTCCTGGTAAAATTCCAACTTGGGATAGTCCTGAATTTGTTCCATTTAACTGACATTTGCAGCTTTTTGGATCCTATACTTTCTCTGCTCCGCCATTCGCTCCAACATTGGAATCGCCCAGACCATGAACATCGACGTGCACCATGATCTTGTCACGGTCCTCAAACTGACCCCGAAAGATATCTCCACCGCCCTTGCCCTATTTTACGTCTCCTACGTCATCTTTGACTTTCCGTCGAACCTCATCATGAGCAAGCTTGGCCCTCGCGTGTGGATGGCCCGCATCGTCTTCGCCACTAGTGTCGTCGGCGCGTGCTTTGCCGCCGTCAACGATGCCTGGAGCCTCAAGCTGCTGCGGTTCCTCCTAGGACTGGTCATTGCCGGCATGTGGCCCGGGATGGCATTCTACCTCACGCTGTTCTACCCGCCGTCTAGGACGGGAAAGCGGATCGGCATGTACTTTACCGCGTCCCAGGTTTCCGCTGCCGTCGTCGGCCTTGTCTCGGCGGGGTTTCAACTCATGGACAATGTTGCAGGACTCGAAGGCTTCCGCTGGATGTTTCTAATCTACGGGTTGGTTGGTGTGGTTCTTAGTGTGATCCTCATTTGGTGGCTGCCTGACAGGCCGCTCGCCCCTGGTCAAGTCAGGGAGAAGACTGGCTTGTTCAAGTTCCTTCCCTCGACACCGGAAGCGCTCACTGGCGAGGATGCAGTTATTCACTACCATGATCTCAAGCGTGTATATCACGCTCGACCCTGGGGCTTCAAAGACCTTGGTCTTGTTCTTTTGGACTGGCGACTGTGGCCGCTGACACTCATGTACTTTGGCGTAGTCGGTGTTGGTATCGGCACACAGCTCTACGGCTCAGTCATTATTCGCGCCATCCGGCCCCAAGCTGGAGGTATCGAGATTAGCTTGCTCTTTGCCCCTATCTGGATTGTAAGCAAGACTCTCTTACCTGCCTTTGACTACTAGTTGCTCACCTGTTCTTAGATGGACCTCATCGCTATTCTGCTCGTTACCCCGGTTTCCGACCGCTTCCACCAGTACAGAGCGTACTTCTTTTCTGCCGCTGTCTGCGTTCAGATTGCCGGCCTGTTAATGACTACCTTTGCCCACGGCTGGGCTCGCTATGGCGGTCTCCTCATGGTCGGATTCGGTCTCGGACCGACCGTGCCAATATGCATGGCTTGGAGTTCCGAGATCTTTCAGCGCCGCCACGGCGAGGTTGGCGTCGCCGCGGCCACTGCGTTGGTGTCTGGTCTGGGCAACCTGGGCAGCGTGACTACAACCTATGCCTTGTACACTGGCTGGCCAGAAGATGCCAAGGCTGGACCTCGCCAGTACCGCTACAGCAATCTCACTATGATTGGAATTCTGTGCATGAGCATACTCAGCGCCTTCACCATGGTGTTTTTGCTCAAGGTCTTGGGAAATCCGCCAAGCAAGAAACTTTACGAAGGTGACTCTGCCAGCGATTTCGAAGATGGTGCTGCTCGACGAGAGCGACAACAGCGCGGTTTTGGTAGATTCGGCCGTGCCAGTACGTCGCAGGCATAATCGCCTCGTCTTGGACGTTGCATGTGCAACCTGCAACAGCGCACCCCTACTGTCTGGACTTCAACAAATCACCTTGACGGGGTCGCCACTCATGTTTTCTTCTTCTTACAACGGGTATCGCAACATACCATTCCACTCTGATTTTATTTTGCGGACTTGCGGCGCAAATGTGTAACCTTGAATACTGCGACAATGCTTCTACGCTATCGTAGAAATCACCTCGTCACATTGCCCTACCCGTTCTGCAACTTGTTTTTTTACCTGCTTTGATCTTTATGATACCCATTCGCGTTTATACCCGCTGTCTTACGAGATACTTTTTCGACTCCTGGATATTTTTCTCGCCGGCGACAGTGCTGTTACGCCATCGCTGGGACGGTGTGTTTGGACCGAAGCCAAGGGCCGACGACAATGCCGGTGCGCTATCGTCCGGGTGGCTTCGTGGGCGTTTTGTCTTTCTTGCATCTCTCTTTGCATCAAACACTAGTATAAAATACTTATTAGCATATGATTACAAGGAATTGAGTAATTTTCAACTGTCTGAGCTTCCGGGCACTGTGCTGAGCTGATGTGGTCCTCAGTCCAATCCAAAGTGCCTGGGTAACGGAGACGCGTCCCACCAGCGCTACTGTCCTCGTAAAAGGTAAACCTTTTCAAAATCGTATCCCAAGATACCCCAATGGCATGTTGCTCGTCGTTTTATCTTTCCATTTTCATCGCTCAGTCAGCATTGTCACGGATCATGCTCACGTGGGGTATCCGCGCCATGCGGAGATGAGGGGCCGCAGCACATTCAGGCATAAACATCCTCCCTACAAACGCCCTCCACCTCGCTCTTTCCTGTGGAACGGAGTGAGCACACCGCAAAACACGATGAAATTCGGCCTGAATTACGAAAAGCGCATGCTGCCCAAGTGGTCGCAGCACTACGTCGACTACAATGGGTTGAGGACGCAGCTGCGCGCCAAGACGGAGATGGGGGAGAGCATCGAAGGTATGCCGACCGGCCGGGCGCGCACCGCTTTTCTAACGCCAGGACAGAGCTGGCCGGGGAGTTTGTCGCCGAGGTTGCGCGCTTCAGGGAATTTTTCACGGAGCAGTATGGGCCAATGGAGGGATCCGGCGATGGCGCGGCGCTGGAGCTCCAGACGTTTGGGAGGCTCAACGTGATGGCGATCCGCCGCCTCTTCGGCAAGTTTGCGCGCTACCGCGCAGCCACGCCCGAATGCCTTCGCCACGCCGAATCTGCATTTGACGCGTGGACTGAGGCAAGGCAGGATGCCAAACCATCGTTCGATGGCGGACCGGCGGTATCTTGTCCCGCTAAAGACGAGTTTTCTCGGTTTCTTGAGCCCCAATCCTTGGAGGCATTCAATGCCGCCTTGCGAGATTGCATTGGCGGACACGCAAATTCCGGCATCGACCCCGGTTACAGGCAATTCCTTGGCAGACTGCTCTGCTTGGCGGCCACCTATCTCCCAAGTGACTTTATCGACGCCATCCTGAAGCACAAACCCGACCTTGGTGTCAACTCAGCTAGAGGTGAATCGGCCCTTTATCTTGCTGCCCAATCTGGTTCTCTATCAGCCACGCAGTCCGTCGCGGGGTACTTCCACCGGTCTGGTGCGAGCTTAGACCCCGTTGTGGCGAGAACGGGCTGGACACCGTTGATGGTGGCATGCGCACAAGGCTACACGGACATCGTCGAGTACTTGCTGTCATCCGGGGCCGACGCTCGCAAGGTGGATGTCCTCGGCTGGACGGCCCGGGAGCACGCTGCTTATCGCGGCCATCTCACCACTGCGTCGCTTGGCGATTTCGCGACAGCCGGAAGCCCTGATGGCGAGCTGGCGGGACGGATTGACTCCACCGCATCGAAAATCTCTACTCCCTTGCGAGCCGGTCAAAAAGCTGTTATCGTTACTCTGGGTAGTGTCCAAGGAGGCCACGACCGGAAGACCCTCGAGCTTAGGCGTCACAGCGGCGACGACGCCGGGCTCACGTCCAAGTCCCTGGAAATCGTCATCCATCGCGCCGACAGCGGCTCTAAGATTGTACCACTGCCGCTCTGGGAAGACTACAGCACCGCGCCCATCGTCGGCCGGCTTGATGTGGACGCGCAGGCGCAGGTTACGGTGCGGCTCTGGGACGATGGGGGCACACCGTCCACTGGCAACAGGGTGTTGGAAAGCAGCGGGACAGTTTTGCTGCGTCAAGACTATGCAAAGTTTGGCGCTTTCCGAGAGAGCATGCTTCGGGAAACGACGGTGGTGATGCTGGACAGGGAGACGATGGAGTTTTCAGGTACCGTTCTGCTCAGTTACGTGGTGGCGACGCCGTTTGCGGGGCTGGATGGGGGTGAGATGGCGTCTTATAGACGACAACCTGGTGATCCCATACGATTGGTTGGTCACAGAGGTCTTGGCCAAAATACTGCAGGAAAGTCGAATCTACAAATCGGTGAAAACACAGTTACGTCGTTTCTGTCCGCCTACAGACTTGGCGCCCCGTTCGTGGAGTTTGGTATGAAGCCCGACTATGAAAGAGGGATGGATGCTAATTCAACCTAGACGTGCAGCTCACCCGCGATCTCGAAGCTGTCATATACCACGACTTCTCCTTCAGCGGCTCCGGCTCGGACGTGCCGATCCACGACATCTCGCTTGCCCAGTACAAGTACGCCGGCGACATCCAGAACCCCAGTGGCAGTGCCCTGCTTCTCGAGGCTGGTGTTCAGCGGCCGCGCGCGTCCTCTAGTGGCGAGGACTCGGTGCTCAAAGCCATGCAGGCGCAGGAACGCCTGCGCTACACGGTCGACTTTGACGGCAAGGGCTTCAAGGCCAACATCCGGGGCCACTCCATCCAGGACGCGTACGCCACGTTGGAGGAGCTCCTGGCGAGGCTGCCCGAGGAGATTGGCTTCAACATTGAGATGAGTATGCTGCTGCGCCGCTCTCAAGAACCCCCTTTTTTTTTCCTGTGAGCCGCGAGCGCTGACAAATGAGGACGCAGAGTATCAGCGGCTCCACGAGTCGGTCGACGCGGGCGTGGCCTCCGTCACCATCGACATCAACACTTTTGTCGACGCGGCGCTCGACAAGATCCGACGCCTCGCCGGCCGCCGCCCCATCATCCTGTCGTCGTTCACGCCGGAGGTCTGCGTCCTGCTCCGGCTCAAGCAGGCCGCGTACCCGGTCCTGTTCATCACCAACGCGGGCAAGCCGCCGACGGCGGACAGGGAGCTGCGGGCGGCAAGCCTGCAGGCGGCGCTGCGGTTCGCGCGGCGCTGGCGGCTGTCGGGCCTGGTGCTCGCATGCGACGCGTTCCTGCTGTGCCCTCGATTGGTTTCCCTGGTGAGGAGCGAGGGCTTGGTGTGCGCGTCGTACGGGGTGGGGAACAACGAGCCGGCGAACGCAAAGGTGCGTGGGACTCGCTGGATCTTGCGTGCAAATCTTGCTAATGAAGAACGATGAGACAGATGCAGGCCGATGCTGGGATCGATATCCTGATCGTGGACAAGGTGAAGCTGATTGCGGATGCGTTGAGCAGGCTGCCGCCACCAGAGAAGTCGAGCTAGATTGCTTGGACGAGAAGAGGTTCTCGTTGACATGGGTTATCCGACCGGGCAAGGCTCTGCATTCTCAGAGTATCACAACCCCCCCCTAAAACTATGTGCGTTAACGACATGGTTTGGTTTGCTGCGTAGGTTACCCCGCCCGGGGATATATATACAGGGCTGATGCGCCCAACCCAGCCAACCGCCAGCAGCAAGGTACCATCACGCATCGTCTTGCCCCCCCACGTCTTGTCTATCGTCGGAGTCCAGCGAAAACTACAATTCATCGGTCTATAACCGCTACTACGTGCAAAATGGCACCACAAATGGCTCCCACGGTGGACCGCGCCTTGTTTTTCACGCTTCCCTACATCTGATGTGTCCCCTAGGCCCCGGAGGGCACTCTGCCGCCGATCCAGCCCACGGCGCATTTCGTGCCCGTCCCAGACGACGTGGCCGAAGACCAGGACAAACTTTTTGAGCTGGTTAGAAGAGAGGTAACGAACACATCATAACGATCCATCCATGCTCTCATACCCATTGCACAGTGCTGACGAATCTACTCTCTCTAGTTTGGCGAGAGATTTTCTGCTTCGAACTGCAATATTTCGCGGCACTATACCTACAGGGATGGTTTAAAGCTGATCAGGGGGCGCAAAGACGACTGCATCATTATTTTCCGAAACAGGCCCGACAAGCCGACGTTCTTCGTCCTGCGCGTCTACAAATTAGACCCAGTCATTAATGGCAAGAAGTACAAGATCCCCGGTCGCACGGATGGGGAGTACAACTACATCGATCACATTTAGCATAAGACTGTGAGCAAGGGCACCTTGGTAGGCATCGTTCCAGCCGAATGCGAGCATGAGACCTCCTATGTCGAAGTCAGGTCTTCAAGAGCTCCGTCCAGTTGTTCTTCATCAAGTCGCGGAGGCAAAGCTTGATTGAGAGTATCGCGCCAATGCGCGGATCAATTCTCAGTTCTCCTGACCGCCCCTTCTTCCGAAACTGGGCTCAAGGTAGACACATATGATCGGGTACTTCATACATGTCGACTGTAGGGTATGCTGGCGAGTCAGATAGTGTTAGTTTGCAAGAAGCCCCAAAAATTTCACGCGGTTGGTTGGATTGAATGCTCACCGTTGAAAAGCCCGGGCAGGTGACCACGTGCCCTGGTCCGGGAAACAACAGTTGCTGGATCGGATCATCGAACGCTGTTTGCTGGACGCTCTCTTGCATGTAACCATAGCTGTCGTTGGTTTTATGCTTTGTCGACTGTGACGGCCCCTCGTCTTCGTTTGGAAGCCCCCATACAGACAGCGCTACCTTGTCTTCGTTCGAAAGCCACAATCCATTTGCCATTATTTGCGGATTTGGCGAGTGAAATGCCGTTTGTTGGGCGATATCTTGCGCGTCAACATAGCCGTCGCTGGTTTTGCGCTTTTTTGACTGTGGTGGCCTCTCGCCTTCGTTTGAAGTCTCCCAAGCAGGCACCATCATTTGCAGATTTGGAGCGTGAGATGTCGTTTGCTCCACGCTCTCTTGTAAGTCAACAAAGTCGTCGCCGATTTTGCGCTTCTTCGATTGTGATAGTGAACGGCCCTCGCCTGTCGTGCAAGCCCCGTATGGCGCTTGTCCACTCTCTGGTGGACCAGAAGGAACCAACGTCTGCGCCCCTGATAATGGTTAGCCCTGATTAGAACTTTATTCGACTCTGATTTCGGAAGTAGTGTACTCACAAGCGACAAAGGGAAGGTATGCCGCGTTTCTACATAACAGCGCCTCCTGTCCCAGCCCGGTGAGCAGCCACATGAGCGTCGCCGGCACCTCGTCGACCAGCACTTCCTTCTTCATTTGATCAAGGAGGCCGTGGAATGTGGTCTGTGACATCTCGGTCCACGTGCTTTGCAGAATCGAAATCACCCACTGCAAGACCATGACCTTGGGGGCAGCGCGGAGCGCTGACAGAGGCCACCGAGGCTCCTAGCCTCCAAACCTCGACGAGACAGCAGGCTAACAATACGGTTGTTGCTGTTCAAACAAGGGCTCCGGATACGTGGGAAGACTTCAGGTACGAAAACCTTAGACGCATGTATCAAAAAGAGCTCGATTCTTCCTACGAAGGCGCATTGGCCCAAAAGGCAAGACCAATCGACCTAGCAGTCAACGACTGCGACGAATTGCAACACTTTATCACTCAATTCATCTTGCCCACTTGCCCACAATCAACAACGCTCTGAACAAAAAAGCCCGTTAGGGTCGAGCAGGCTGCACGCGTTTTGAGGAGGATTCGCGACCTGACTAGTCGGTGGTCTCATACCATGAAGTCAGAAAAAAGGCCGACAGTATCCACGATGCTTATAACAACATGGTTCCCGGCGTGACAACGATCGGCAGCTGAAAAGAAGCAGTTCCTCAAGCGGTCAGGTGCATGTCTGACGCTCGCAGAAGAAACGGGTTCATCGCAACTCAGTGTGAGGTGATTAGCCTCCGAATGTATAATCCGCAAGCATCGGAGGGCTCAGCAGGTCAGTCGGAGTCCTCCGAGGCCGGCGGATTAAACACTTTCAAAGTGGAGGCTGCGGTGGTCCCGTGGAGGGACAAAAGCAGCAGGCTCACGCCCCAACAGGCTCTATGGGCATTAGCACTCATGTCCGTTCGCGAGAACAAAATTCACAGCGAGCCATATCCAAAACTGAGTGCTTACAGTCTTAAGGATGGTAAAGTAGTCAACGCTATCTCCGGCGCAAGCGCGGAGAAGAAGGAGGACAAAGTGTCAACGAGCGAGAAAATTGCGGCTTATACAGTCAATCAAAAGCGCCTGGGCAGATGATGGCTACAGATATACGAGGAAGAGCCACATCTATATCGCACAGAAGTTGCTCAAGCAATATCCAGAGGGCGACTATCTCTAGGGCCCTACATTCTGGAGGGTCATAGGCTGCTTTGACTGCGGCTGACCTTTCTGCTTCTCTTCCTCTTATTCCCTAAGCTTCCATCCTTGGGCTTTTTTTTCGGCGCCTGCTTTTCTTCATTGTTCTCAGCTCACTGTTACTGCTTGTGTGGAAACACCATAAAATCCTCAAAAGAAAAAGAAAGAAAGGAAAAGCAAATACAAAAAGAAAATGTCCAGAATAGTTAGTTTTTGTTAGCATAATGTCTGTTGCGCCACAATAACCTCGTCCATGAATACCTGAAACTGTGATCACTGCCATTTCGAACATTACACCCACCAGGAAATATAAGCCCCCCCCCCCAAAAAAAAACTACAAGCAATATTACGCTCTTGGTGATATAACCCCTATCTTGAGGGTCCTTGTATAACGCTTAGATCACCGGCTCTTGCCGCGGAGTAGCGGGAAACTACAATGGTAGCGTCGAGCCGCGAGCCGCCGAGCCGCCGAGCCGCCACTCCTGGCACGCAGCGGCAGCATGCAATTGGCACTGTGCTGGCTGCTTTGGGCCCGAATTGATAATGCTTAGTGTGTAAATTTTCCATCCGCCTGGTTCGCAAAGACGATACCATAGCGTACAGAGCAAAAGAACTGGCGCGGTTCTGGGGGGCAATTCTCGTAGCCTTTGTGCTGCACCAGTTCATCAGATCGGTGATGAGGAGAGGCAAAAAGTGATATTTTCCTCGTTGAGCAGCATGCAGGTATATTGGATAATCTTTCCAAAGCTAGCTTGTTGCGTAGGCAGGTTCAAGTTTGTCTACAAAGCCAGAACTCGTCCACCTGAGCGGGGTCGTAGTGCGGCTCGGGCTCCGATGCTGCGCCGGCTACCAAACTTTGCTATGGAGGAAAAGCAACCCTGAGGCAACCGCCGTATAATACGTCACTACAGTTTGATAAAGTAGTAAATAATCTTTAAGAATATAGTGAATTCAAAACCAACTCTTTTATATGCAATCTTCTCCATCTGCATGGTGTTCCCAAAGTGGTCCCAGAGGGTACCCTGGCCACAGGCAGAGTCGGGGTCCGAGTCGCCTCGGGTAGGCAAATTCGGCTTTGGCCACCGGAGAACGTCCAGCATAGTGCGCGCTGTAACCATATCTGCATATCAATTTACCGATGTATGTATGTACCTGGCCAGTCTCAGGCTCTTCAAGGGTGGTGAAGATTTTCTCATGCAAGGTAACCGATTGAAAATATGTAGTAGTAGACGACAACGTGTTATTTTAGTGCAAATTACGCCTTCAGCGTTTCGAAGCTACCAGCCACTCCACCAGCCGCATTTCGGTTGAACATTCATTTCAAAACTGAACTGTTGAGATTGAATAATTAGCGCTGGCCTGTCTTCAAGCTGTCTTTCTTTGTCCACTAACATTAGTTACTGGTACCTCCCCGTGGCAGAGTTTTCGAGCTCAAGTTAGTTAGTACTTTTAGCACAAACAGCTCAGCTCCACAACCCACTCACTCCTTTCCTGACTGGGCCGATATAGGCGGCTTTTTTTCCCTTCTCCTCCTGTTCTGCTCACCCCCTCCGCCTTCAGTTGCTGTATTTAAGCCCGCCCCCGCCTTTGCCCCTCGCGGGAAATTTTCCCCTCCTCTCATCCAATTCTCTCCCTCTTGTATCAAGTCTTCGTGCTTTTGAGGGATCTTTCATCTTGTCATTTTTGTCCCTCGAGACAGCGGTACGATCTTTACATAGTATGTGCCACCAATTCATCCCCACTCCCCGAATCGCCCGACCGCCCGCCCTTCCGTTTCCCATCCCCTCACGTGGAACAAGCTCTCTAACTCATTGATTGCGTCTAGAAATCAAATTACAAAGGTCGTTCAGAAATATCACAAAATCCAAAATGGTCCAGTCCGCTATTCTCGGTTTCCCCCGCATGGGTGTCAACCGTGACCTGAAGAAGGCCACCGAAGCTTGTTAGTTGCTCACCCCGCTACCCCGCCATCTTCGTGTTGGGTCAGAATATTCCCCATGCTAACAATTCATCCTCAGACTGGGGTGGAAAGCTCTCTCAGGCTGACCTCCTTGCCGAGGCCAAGCGTCTGCGTCTTGCGCACTGGAAGATTCAGAAGGATGCCGGCGTCAGCTCCATCCCCAGCAACGACTTCGCCCTCTACGACCAGGTCCTCCACCAGATCCAGGACTTTGGTGCTGTTCCTGAGCGCTACACCAAGGATGGCCTTGACCCCATTGACCAGTACTTCGCCATGGGCCGTGGTCACCAGAAGGGCGGCGTTGACGTCCCCTCCCTGGAGATGGTCAAGTGGTTCGACTCCAACTACCACTACGTGAAGCCTACCCTGCAGGACAACCAGACCTTCAAGCTTGTTGACAGCCCCAAGGCTGTTGTCGAGTTCAAGGAGGCCAAGGAGGCTGGCATTGAGACCCGCCCTGTTCTCGTCGGCCCTGTCACCTTCCTCCACCTCGGCAAGGCTGACCGTAACCAGTCGGTCGACCCCATTGACCTGCTTGACAAGCTTCTGCCTGTTTACGAGGAGTACCTCACTCAGCTCAAGGCCGCCGGTGCCGAGGTCGTCCAGATCGACGAGCCCGTCCTCGTCTTTGACCTGCCCGCCAAGACCAAGGCTGCTTTCAAGCCCACCTACGAAAAGTTCGCCAGCCTTGGCGACAAGATCCCCAAGCTCGTCTTCACCACCTACTTCGGTGACATTGTCCACAACCTCGACCTCGTCCCCAAGGACATCTATGCTGTCCATGTTGACCTTGTCCGCAACCCTGAGCAGCTCGAGACCGTTATCGGTGCTCTCGGCCCCAAGACTATCCTCTCTGCCGGTGTCGTCGACGGCCGTAACATCTGGAAGACCAACCTTAAGCGTGCCATCGAGATTGTTGAGTCTGCTATCCAGAAGCTTGGCAAGGACCGTGTCATTGCCGCCACCTCCTCTTCCCTCCTCCACACCCCCCACACACTCGCTTCCGAGAAGAAGCTCGACGCCGAGGTCGCTGACTGGTTCTCGTTCGCCTCTGAGAAGGCCGTTGAGATTGCCCTGATCGCCAAGGCCGTCACCGAGGGCCCCGCCTCCGTCAAGGAGCAGCTCGAGGCCAACGCCAAGTCCATGCAGGCTCGTGCTTCTTCGGCCCGCACCAACAACCCTCAGGTCAAGGAGCGCCAGTCCAAGATCACTCCCCAGGACTACAGCCGCAAGGCTGAGTTCCCCGTCCGTATTGGCGAGCAGGAGAAGAAGCTCAACCTTCCTCTCTTCCCCACCACTACCATCGGTTCTTTCCCCCAGACCAAGGAGATTCGCCAGCAGCGCCAGCGTCTCACCAAGGGCGAGATTACTGAGGCTGAGTACGACAAGTTCATCGAGAAGGAGATTGATGACAACGTCCGCATTCAGAAGGAGCTTGGCCTTGATGTCTACGTTCACGGCGAGCCTGAGCGTAACGACATGGTCCAGTACTTCGGTGAGCGCCTCGACGGCTATGCTTTCACCACCCACGCCTGGGTTCAGTCCTACGGTTCTCGCTGCGTCCGTCCCCCCATCATTGTCGGTGACATCTCTCGCCCTGCCCCCATGACTGTCAAGGAGTCCAAGTACGCCGTCTCCGTCTCTGACAAGCCCATGAAGGGTATGCTTACTGGCCCCGTCACCTGCCTCCGATGGTCGTTCCCCCGTGACGATGTCCATCAGTCCGTCCAGGCTGAGCAGCTCGCTCTTGCCCTCCGTGATGAAGTCGTCGACCTCGAGAAGGCCGGCGTCGACGTCATCCAGGTCGACGAGCCCGCTCTCCGTGAGGGTCTCCCCCTCCGCTCTGGCAAGGAGCGTGACGCTTACCTCGCCTGGGCTGTCAACGCCTTCAAGCTGTCCACTGCCGGTGTCGAGAACGCCACCCAGATCCACTCCCACTTCTGCTACTCGGAGTTCCAGGACTTCTTCCACGCCATTGCTGCCCTCGATGCCGATGTCCTCTCCATCGAGAACAGCAAGTCCGATGCCAAGCTCCTCCGCGTCTTCGTCGACTCTGCCTACCCTCGCCACATCGGACCTGGTGTCTATGACATCCACTCTCCCCGTGTTCCCAGTGAGCAGGAGATCAAGGACCGTATCCAGGAGATGCTCCAGTTCCTCAAGCCCGAGCAGCTGTGGATCGACCCTGACTGCGGTCTCAAGACCCGTCAGTGGAAGGAGACCAAGGAGGCCCTGGCCAACATGGTTAGCGCCGCCAAGGCTTTCCGTGCCCAGCACGCCAAATAAGCGGCTACAACATGCCAGCTTAGTTGGAGTACGGGGTTGTGATGTGAGAATGCGTTATGAAGGGGGTCGGGCATTCTAAAAGCGTTGTATTTTCTTTGTTTTGATTTGGAGGCTGCGCGAAATTATGCCGGCTACGATTTCAACATCGGCGTTTTGGGCTGTTGGTGACAGATGCGCTTGCTAGTGCTCCCCAACAAAATTTTATTCAACCTACGGGTTTTAGGGTTTGCATTGGCGAGGCGCACATTCAACATAGATACATAAGTTCCCGATTTGGGACGAGATGACCCTGCTGGGATCTCAATCAATAATAATACAGACACATATTGCATGTCAAAATACAGTTGCCACACGCATCTCGCCGTAACGTGATCTGTAGTTAGTAGATGCTCAATCTTAGTGCACCAAGAGGAATCCATATTTACCACCATCACCATCACTGCTATTACCTTAGTAGTATGAACAGACTCGGATAGTTCTCCGAATGCAGTGCGACTGGAAAGGCTGTCCTGCCCCGTTTGTAGCCTCTCTCGGCAGTTGGCGAACTGCCTGGCGGGCAGCTGGCAGGTGACGATCGTGCGTTTGGTGTCACTCACGTACGCCACCCTAAACTTGACTTTCCTCACCACCAGAGCCCGCCTTTTGAGTCATGCGCACCTTTGAATTGCGATATTCTCTGTCATCACACCGCCCTCCCAAATCAAGAAGAAGATCATTCACGGACATGCAACCAGGCCTGTGTCACCCCACTGATGCAGAGAGGGTTCGCGGCATCGGCGGGGCTGCCCTGACCAAGATTTGTCTGGACTTCCTTTTTCCCCTGGAGCACTTTTGTTAACTAGTTAAGCAGACCGCCGGTGTTCGCTACGGTCTTGCCATGAGCTCTCGACGCCAAGGCTGCGATGGCTCGTGATGGCCTTTTCGCGATCGATGCGACGATGTGGTGGCGTTGGCGGACGAGGTGCAGCCGCTTCGTCCCAGAACAGACCCCGCGATCCCTCTTAACTGCCGATAAACCGAACCGCCCGTCTGCTCAAAATTTTCGTACTATTTTCTGTCGCCATCGATCTTGACCCCTCCAGATCGGCAACGTGCCAACTCGGCCCTTGCGCCTCTTCCGAGCTGGCGGCGGCCGTGGTGCGCTGGCGGCGGGTTCCCAGCCCCCTCCACCACGTCCGTTTGGCATTTGTGCCCAGTAGCACGACCGCCATGGGGAATTTACAATAGACTTGCCATCTGCAGGCGACCCACCACATGAGATCTTTTGGCCGCTATGTACCACCAAACTCTCGGACATCACGCGGTGCTATTACAAGATGATGGGGGAAAGCCGACCCTCGTCTGCCTTTCCCAATTAGGCTGCTGGGGAGGAATTGGCTTGCGATGATCTCCGCTGCCACTGCAACCCCACCATGCCGTCTACCCCGGCCGGCGCGGAGCTCTACCTCTTCGGCTCTACCTTTTCGGCCAATACGCACTTACACCACATGCAGAGGCACTCTCTTTGCTTTGTCTAAGCTGCACGCTGACTAGCGTGTGCTGAACTACTAAATTTGGTCTGGCAGATGGGCTATCCTAGACTCATCGCACCTCTGTGTAAGTGAGGGCTCCCCGGACACGGCTCCACATGCCGGCCTCTGAGAAGTGACTAATCCCTGGATAAACCAAGTAGGCCCGACTGTGCTCCAGGAGTGCATCCAGTCGTTCGTTTGTTTGTACATGCTGAAGCTTTGGTCCTGTCCTCATGACCATCAGCTTTATAGCTCACCGGACGTCATGAGTATGGGTCTGTGAGACGCTCACCAATCCCGTGCTAACGACGGTGTGAGACGAGGGGTCTCCGATTCACAGATGTATGTCGCAGCCCCACGCCGCATTCTTTATATAATTTGGCGCGTACCGCTAAGGGCTTCTTTCATCCTCTCTCTCTGGGCAAGTCTCTTCACTTCGCAAGCGGCTGACTGTATCATGAAGTTTTGGCAAGTTGCAACCGCGGCCTTGCTGGCTGGCTTTGGCCAAGTCGACGCCAAATCAACCTTCTCGCCCGCCCGCCCTCCTGCGGCCCCTCTTGCTGTCCGGTCTCCTTATCTCAATGTCTGGCTTAACGGACGGACAGATGGTGGTGAAAGTGGCATCCTACCTAACCAGTGGCCGCGCTTCTGGACGTGAGTGCTGCTAGACAACACCACATTTCGCTACCCTGTGTCAACAAAATATTAACATAGAGCGCAGGGAGGGTGTCCAGGGCTGGCAAGGCTTCATCAAGGTCGACGGCAAGACGTACAACTGGATGGGGAACCACCCCAGCCCCGACTTCGCCGACCAAACGGCCCAAAGCTACACCTCGACCAAGACCGAGTTTGTCATGAACGTCGGTAGCAAGGTCGAGCTCACGGTCAGCTTCCTCTCGCCAGTGTTTCCCACCGACCATATGCGCCAGTCGATTCCTTTTGCATACATGAACTTGGAGGTCAAGTCCATCGACGGACGCCCCCACTCTGTGCAGGTTTACAGCGATGTCTCTGGAGGCAAGTATTGGCATGCGTTGACATTTATCGCAACTTTGAACTAACTTTAGGCGTTGCATAGAGTTTGCATCTGGCGATAGTAGTGCTGTTATTCAGTGGGAACACCAAAACACCAACGGCCTACATTCACACCACTTCTGGCGAGTGAACCAGGATGTCTTTAACGAGGCCAATGATCAAGCTTCATGGGGCCACTGGTACTGGACGACAAAGGATCAACGCGGTGTCAGCTACCAGATCGGTCAGGACACCGCTGTTCGTAGCCAGTTTATGAACAATGGCTATCTGGATGGTAGCATTGACACACAGTTTCGTGCTGTCCACGACAGATGGTAAGAGCCTAGTTCGAGTGCCCAGAAAGCATCTTTTTGGCTGACTGTACTTTGAGGCCCGTCTTTGCTCTTTCTCGCGACCTCGGAAAAGTCAGCGGATCGGTCACGACGCTCTTTACGATCGGCATTGCCCAGGACGAGGGTATCCAATACCATGGTGTCGGCGACCAGAAGGGGCTGCCGTCTCTATGGAAGGACTATTTCAACAACGATACCGATCTTGTCAAATTCTTCTACGACGACTATGGCTACTCCCTCGAGCAGTGCTTACAACTCGATCACCGTATCGCTGCTGACTCCAAGTCTGCTGCCGGCCAAGACTATGCCACCATCACCAGCCTGGCTCTGCGGCAGTTTTATGGCGCTATCCAGCTGGTAGGTACGAAAAATAACATCAAGGTCTTTATGAAGGAGATTAGCTCGGACAGTGATATCCAGACCGTGGACGTGCTCTTCCCAGCCTTCCCAGCCATGGTTTATCTCAACCCCAATCTCATCAAATGGAGCCTCGAGCCACTGCTGGAGTACCAGAAGAGCGGTCGCTATCCCAATAAATGGGCAGTTCACGATCTCGGCCGATATCCGCGCGCTCTCGGCTACGACTCTGGCAACGACGAGCCGATGCCACTGGAAGAGTGTGGCAACATGATTATCATGATGCTGTCCTATGCCCAAAAGTCCGGAGACAACAAGTGGCTGGCTGACAACTGGGATCTGCTAACACGATGGGCCGAGTATCTCATCCAGGACGCCAGGATTCCCGCACACCAGCTCTCGACGGATGACTTTGCGGGCCAGCTCGCCAACCAGACCAACCTCGCCATCAAGGGCATCATCGCCCTGGAGGCCATGTCGGAGATCGCCACGCGCGCCGGGCAGGGCGACCAGAAGCAGCGCTACAGCGACGTCGCGCACGAGTACTACGACTTCTGGTCGGCGCACGGCATCAACCGCAACGCGTCGCGGCCGCACTCGACGCTGGCCTACGACGACATGGACAGCTACGGGCTGCTGTACAACCTGTGGGGCGACAAGGTGCTGAGGCTCGGGTTCGTGCCGGAGGAGGTGTACGCGATGCAGAGTGCGTGGTACCCGCGCGTGGCCAACGAGTACGGGATGGTGCTGGACACGCGCGGGACGCTGACCAAGACGGACTGGGAGATCTTCGCGGCGTCGACGGCGGAGGAGGCGACCAAGATGGAGTTCGTCCGGCTCATCGCCAAGTGGATCAACGAGACCAAGACGTGGAGGGCGCTGACGGACCTGTACGACACCAAGGACGGCGGGTATCCGCGCGGGATCGAGTTTACGGCGCGACCGGTGGTGGGTGGTTTGTTTGCGATCCTGGCTCTGCAGTGAGAGAATGCGAGAAGGGGAGGAACAACGGCATTGGGGGAATCAGGGGGCGTTCAGGGATGACACTACGGATTTTTGATGTTTCTTTTTCGGCCTGTCTGGGAAGTACTTGGGTCGGCGAAACAGGCATTGATGCGAGAGTAGCATACGGCACTCGTGGAAGGGAGAGGTTGCTTTGCTTTACTGCTTTGCTGGTATGGGAAATGAGCCTATTGCTTTCATGTCGCATGCATATGAATTGAACACGTTTGGTCATGATTCGTCAATTGCCACTGCCGGATGGAGAAGCGTGCTCGGGGCTGCTGTTTTGATGCCCAAAGGGCAGGCAGGCAGTGCTGGCATGGCTTCGCAGCCGCCAGAGGCGGCGATGCTAGGACTTGACGATTGTGTAGCATATATCAAGGATGGCGCGGCGGCAGTACCTGGAGGCCAAGTATATCGCGCAGTGGTGAAGCTGATGTATAGTTCGCATGCTGCAGAACAGATACAGGCAATGGTAGATCTCATTGGGCGAGAGCCTAATCGAGGGCGATGTTGGGGATCAGCGGCGACGGGTGTGTACGATAAGTGGCATGTCACCGGGTAAGACAAAAGCGGGAGGATGGCGAGGGCTTGGTGGTGGAAGGAGCTGCAGTGGGCTGGGCATGGGCCTGAGATGGAAAAAGTACCTAGGCCACCTGAGATGGGCCATGGTACCTACATAGTTAACTTGGTAGGAGAGCCTGGGTAGTTTCTAATGTACTTTTCTGCTGTAATGAAAGCCGGCCGAGACGCCCGAGACAGTTTGTACAAGCGTTTTTCTGTTGTACATAGGTGAAAGCAAGGCCACTCATTGCAGTGTCATCTTGCCAGTGACAATGACAGTAGAATCCCAGTGTGTAATTTGCTCCGAATTCCCTCACTTTAGTTATAGAAAGATCAATTGAGTTAGGTATCCAGGGAGCAAGCTAACTAACGTTGATACCCCAAACTAAAAGAGGGTCGAGGCTTGCATCACCAGGTCATGCGCTGGTAGGATTTTATCCTTAGCGTCTTGCCCCATGATCACGATCCCAAACCACTAACTTATCTAGTGAGGTAGTTGAGCGTTCCGTGTAAGAGATGGGAGCAATTGACCGTTGCAGTCGTTCTCCTCTTCTTCTTATAATCTGCTCAAGTATTTAGTCGTAAGTTTGTATACAAGAATCCCGTTGCAAAGCTCGGATTCTGATGATACCGCGCACAACCATGGCGTGCGAGGGACAACATAGCCATCCTCTATAGGTACATACATACATACGTACTTGAATCCATTTATTACTCCTGCATCGCAAACGCCATTTTACTTACCCCAACAAGAATTGGAGTCGTTTACGTAGCATTTATGCATTGACTCGTTTTGTTCCGAGACCTACGACCTACCTGACCTGACCTGCCCAATCCAATCCAATCCAATCCAATCCGCGGGGCACCGAGTTGCTTTCCCCTTTCTCTCACACCATCGACTCGACAACACTAACTCACAAACATCGTTGTCCCTCTTAAATCGCCCTCCCCCAACCACATTCCTCCCGCCCCTCCCTTCCCTTCGTCTCTGCAAACAACAACCCACGACAACGTTGTCGTTTGTATACTTGCATCAAGCAAAAAACACCTGCAATGGCATCTTCAATCATGATCTCCAGTTGTTAATCATCGTCATCATCTACGATTTCCTTTTTTCTTGTTCATCTCCCCATCACTATTCTCCCCCTTTTCCTTATCGCGCCGGGAACCTGATACGCTGGCCAACGCTGATCCACGTCACGAGGGCATCATCCATATTCGGTCATCGCCCTTTGCCTCCGTTCTGTTCTGTTCTTCGTCCTCCAAGCTTTGCCATACACGGAGAAAATCCAAAAGACACAGAAACGCGCAATGGCTCGGTTCGTCGATTTGGAAGTGGAAGAAGGCGGTGACGACGCCCAGGATCCCAGTAGTCGCTTCGTCGCTGTGCCGCCGCCACCCGGCGCCGGCGTCGATGACTCCGCTGTCACTACTACGCCGACCGTCTGCAACGCCGTGACCCGCGCCTTTCAGTGCTACCCGTACGTTCTTTCCTAACCATTTCCCTTCATCCCTTTTTTGAAAAAAAAAAAAAAAAATATGCCAACTCTCTAATTTTTAAAGCATCGTCGTCGGAGTCGTCTCCCACATCGACCTGACCACGCTCGACGCCCTCGCCCGCGCAAGCCGCCTGATCCACATCGGCCTCGTGCAGTACCGCGCCGCCCTCGTCGCCGCCACCCTGCGCTGCGCCAACGAGCACCTCGCCGTGGACCCGGACGCCACGCTGCGCTTCCGCGTCGCCCGCGCCGAGGTCGCCGGGTCGTCGTCCAAGACGAGCCGAGGGCTGGGTGTGTAGAACTGCACGATCAAGCCCCCAGCGGCGAGCACACTCCGCGAGCGCCACCGCCGTCTCTGCGCGCCGTGCGCCAAGGCGCCCCTCGAGCGCGTCGCCTGTCCTGGCCTCGACATGGGCTTGCCGGGCAGCGCTGACGCTATGCGTCGCTCGCTGTGTGACTGCGAGTCTGGCGGCGTCTGGCTGTGCCAGCCCTGCGGTCGCGACATCCGCAACGCGGACCACGACTACCTCCGGTGCGGCTCCTAGATTCCCTCTCTCCCTCCCTCCTCCTCACGGAAACTAACACTTATGCAAAATACAGCATCTGGCGCTGGAGGAACCACTACGGCGAGGTCCTCGGGTGTCTCGGCACCGGCATCGGTGACGCCGACCGCGGCGTCATATGCGGCCGCGAGGAGCGCTGCCTCGCCGCGCGCGAGCGCGAGCAGGAAGTCGACTGCGACGCCGAAGACGCCCGCAGCAGCAGCTCCAGCAGCCGCACGCCCTCGACTGCCTCGGAACACCAGCCCGCCACCCCTCCCGGCGGCACCACCACCGGCGGCTCCTACTTTCCTACCGTGTTCAGCGGCACACCGCCGGACCCAAACTCCATCGAGGCGCTCGTCGCCGAGTACGCGCGCACCCCGTCGCCGCCGCTGTCGCTCGGCCCCGGGTACGCGCGCCACGAGATCGAGGGCATCGGCGGCGTGGTCAAGCGCAAGCTGGTGCGCATGGTGCGCGTCGGCCGGTGCGTGCCGGAGTGGGAGGAGGAGCGCGCGTCGGTGGCGCGCGTGCTGGGTCGCGAGGCGCGCGGCGAGGCGCGCTCCTGGTGCGGATGGTGCTGGCGCGTGGTGCCCGGTCGGCGCGACCTGCTGCCCGGCGGGGACGGTGCCGGTGACGGCGGAAGCAGCTTGCCGGTGCGACCGACACAGACGCAGAGTCGGCCCCCGCTCATGCCGGTGCGCGCGCGTGCCTAAGCAAGTCATCTTGTCTCATGAGAATATGTGTTCATGTCGTCTTTTTCGTCCTCCCTTGACTGTCTAGACGTTAGACATTTCATGACTGTTTCCCTATTCATACACTTTTGGTTTGTTTTTTTTTTTTGGGTCTGCGAGCTGCAGAATAAGGTCAGTCCTTTCGGTATCATCAGTTTTCCTTGTCTAATACACGATACACGCCTGCATGGCTATTGCACTTGCATACATGTACATCTTGCTCATTAGTCATACAGCACCATTATATATGTGAGAAGTTTATTTAAACTGCAACCATCTGTTGCCGCTTTCCGTCTCTTTGCTCTAATATGACAATGCCATGACGCTGTAAATCACCCTCTGGTTCACAATATATAATACACCTCAGCATGAGATACCCCGACACCTCTCTTCCCTTCTCTCCATAATACACGCAAGAAAGCTTTTTTGTCCGGTTGGCCGCCCTAGCCTCTCTCCTCGAGGCCACGAGCATGGTATAGTACATGTGCGCGTTGTCTTCGGTCCGCTCCTACCCGCCGCCCACCTCACAGCTCGCCGCGGTACATGAGCTCCGCGCGCCGCTTACGGTCCTCCCGCGCCGCCGTCTTCTTGTTGCCCCAGCGCGCCTCGCGCTTCTCCTGCTGCTCCGCGAGCCACGCCTTGTGCTCCGCCGGCGCGGGCGCCGCGATCTGCACGAACACCTGCGAGCAGTCGAACCGCCGCGCCAGCGCCGCCACGCTCCACGTCAGCGGGTCCTCGGCGCGCAGACTGCGCATCTCCTGCACCTGCTCCGCCGACAGGTGGTACCGGGGATCGTCCGCGCGGCGCGGGTACCGCATCGCCGTGCCGCCGCTGCGGGTCGGGCCGGTCGTCGTCGTCGTCGTCGTCGTCTTGCGCATGCGGGCGGCGGCGGCGCGGCGCGGGTCCGACGAGGGCAGGAAGAGGAAGGGCGTGTGCTCGGGCGACGCCTCGGAGGCGGGCGGGTTGCAGATGATGCTGTCGGCGGCGGGGAAGGTGGCGGAGCGGTCGGGCAGGAAGGAGTCGTGGGGGGCGATCTTGAGGGCGCGCTTGGTGCGGGCGGTTGTCTTGTGGCCGCGCGTCGTCGTCAACGGGGTGAGGCGCGGCTGCTGGCCATGGCGCGCCGCGGCGGCCAGGAGAGAGCTCGCGGGGCGAGCTGCTGAGCGGAACTCCATGGCGTGGTATGTGTGAAGATGCGGGATTATCGGGGTTTGTGTTTTTGCAGTTGTATGAGAAAGTAGATTAGAAATCGGATGTCAAGAAGTGTCAAGAAGGTATGGCGTTTGTTGGTGGTGGTGAGGCCAGAACTCTTCCACTTGTCCTCGAGCTCCAAACAAATGGGTCAATTCGACACGCAGGAGTCAAGCTTCGTTAAAATCGATGAGTTTCAAATGGCCAGCATAAATTGACCCTGGCGAGCGTGACTAATGCTGTGGCAGACGTCGTTGTGGTGGCTGGCGATGCTGTGCTCGTCGAGTCGTGAACCAGGAACACGGGGGTGAAGTTTTCTGTGCAAGCATGCCACTACCTAGACTGGAAAGTACTGGCTCACGTGCATAGTCACGTGGCAACAGCTGGGTTGTTCCGGGCCGCTCGGCCGGCACGGGAGACGGTGGGTAGGGACGCGTGCACAGTTGTAGATCAAATGATTTCTATTGGCGGTAGTCTGATTCTTCACTCAATTTATCAGTTTCATGTTTTCTCCGGTCCGTGGCGATGATCCTCGTCTGCTGGCGGCCGTCTCGAGTCGTCATCGTAGCTACGTTAACTAACCGGTGGAGGGAGATCGGCAGTAGCGCTAGGGGTCCAAGAGAGAATATCTGGCGTGTCGATTTGATTGCAAGGGGGAGCGCGGTGTCAGGTTGCTTCGGTGCCTTGGCAACTTGCTTGATTTGAATAATATTACGGGTATTATCTCTGCTATGCTTGGGATGATGGGTCGTCACATGGCCAACATCAATCGGGAGAGTCCCGCGAGGCAAGGAGTTGACGGAATATGCCCCTTTGTCGCTATATTACATCGATTAGACTAAAGGTTATGAGAAAGTCGACCTCGTTGTCGTATGCATCCGACGTCATGGCGAGTTCTCACCGCTCCCTGAGAATCGACAGCAGGTGCATGAATGGCATGCATTAAATCACAGCAGCCACAAAGAAATGCAGAGAAATGCTCAGCCAACTTCCCAGCATAAACGTGACACAAAGGGAGACCCTGTCGAAAGCTGACCTGTAGGGGTCTGGTCATGCTGATTGCATTGGATGAAAAACAAGGTGTATCCGCAGGTACTTGGTTGGGCCTGATATGTGGTACGGTACCTACCTATGTATGTATGTATGTATGTATGTATGTACAAATACGCGGGAGACTGTGCGAGGGAGGCCACTTTGACTGTAACTTGGACTTCTGCTAAAAACGAAACTTGCTTCGGGTTATATTGGTGAATGATAATTCATCAAGTAATGAAAAGGAGAGACAAAGTAATTGTGGTTGTCTGTTGATAGTCATGGGCAAGTTAGGTACCTACATACCTCTCTACAGTACCTACCCAAGCAGTTAGGTACTTCACCCCAGAGCAGGCAGTGCCCGCGCCGGGGCTTCCCTCGTCGCCCTCCCTCCCTCGCCCTCGCCTGTCCTGCCTACCTGCCTGCTCCTTCACGTCATCAATTTAATTCTTCCTGCATCCTTCACGTCACACCCACTTTCCCTTTTACTTCATCGTGAGCCTCTTCTTTTACCCAGCTTCAACCATCAGCTTCATCAACCAGACTTCCCTTCTCCTTCAAGACCCTTTCTCTCTCATACCACCCGATCCGCCACAGCGCCCGCTCCGTCATCCTGGCGATCTGACGGGTGTGGCTCCACCTGGTACAGGAAACCAGACCTTGTGATCCCGACATCCTGCTCCCCCGACTTCGTCCAACCATCTCTCCTGAAAAAAAAACCCGACCCTCACCCCCTCTGCTCTGCAACACATCGAAAATTTCCTTCTTCTTTTCGCATAGGCCAAAGCTCCCGCCATCATGAGCCTCGCCGACGCCGCGCCCATCACTGCCGGCGACAGGCTGGCACAGCTTGATATTACAGACGACAGCAGTCGTGGCACCTCGACGCCGCGTGCTGCTCTTATCAACCCCCCCTCCAACCCAACTCCTGCCGCGCCAGCCGACGACGACAAGCCGAGCTCCAAAGGCAAGAAGCGTGCTCTCTTTGGGTTCGGCAAGAAGAAGCCGTCCTCGTCCCCTACGGGCTCGCCGGCTGACGCCAAGCCTCCGTTGCTAACAAAGAGTTCATCCAAAATGCCGGGCATCACGCACTCGACGCACAGCTCCCGCGACTACCCACTGCCCTCACCAGCCTCACCTAGTCGAGCTCTGTCCGCCTCGCCTCGTCTCTCATCTCCTGCTGGCTCTCAAATCTTTGAGCGGGACGTCCAAGATAGCACCGTCCTCAAACCCAACTCGCCCGCTATACCCACCCACATCCAGACGGAAAACTATATTCCCCCGGTGCTCGACGATGCCTCCGAGGCCATTACCAACAATAAGCTTGATCCTGATGCTGTCGAGATTGTCACGCACTCGTCGCATCTGCCCGCCTCAGTGACTGTGACAGGCGCCCCCAACAGTCCCAATGACCACCAGTCCTCTACCGAGTGGGCAGCCGAGCTGGCTTCCTTCGCCGACCGTATTGGTGTTTCTGGTGATACTGCTTCCAACTACGGATCCCTAGACTCGGCAGATGTTCGACGATTGTCTTTCATCTCCTTTGCCGATGTGGTGCAGTCTGAGCACAGCGCCTCGCTGCGCAGCCCCGCGTCTCGGGAAAATATACACTTGGCAGGCTTGACGTCTTTGCCGTCGTCCGCATTAAACCGATCACCTTCGCCCATTCGCTCGCCTGTCTCGAGCCAAGGTCTTGGAACGTCCCCGCCAACGAGCAATCCCGGCAGCATGAAGGGTGTTGAGATGAGCCCGCCGCGCAAGCTCATGGGCAGCCCCAAGAGCACCCAGCATTCGCTTGCCGCGCCTAGCGAGCTCAATATCGAAACCATGCGACAGGCCCTTCGGCGAACAGGTAGCACAGATCTGGCTGGCGCGCGCAGCATGCCTGTGAGCCCCATCGACGGACCTGGCTCTCGCTGAAGACGACTTGATCTATTCTTACTTGACTACGAAGCCTTCTCTGCCTAAGCGCTTGGTTTTCAACAGCTTGGAGTTTCAAGGAGAAATTTTTTATGGCGGAAATTTGCTGGCACGCGCCATCACGGAATATTTGAGCCTTCTCGTTTTGACCTGCGACATTCTTTGCACACTTTTATTATATTTCCAAAACCAATCCATGTGGTATTCCTTTCAAAGGTCAATCATGCGAAAATCAGTACCAAACATGCCAGACGGATTACAATCTGCTTAGCTTTTCGATGTCGAATCCACTAGTGGCTACCTGCCACGCTTTGTCTTTTACAGCTACCGTCACGGGAGGAACTTGACGCAATGCAGGACATGCTGGGTTCCTTCTGTCCATTTGGCTTAGCCTTTCTTGTTTTACATTTTTGATATTGTCAAGGGTTCACCCAGATTTTTTCAGCATAGGGGAGGGTTCAGGGTCAAATCTGGCATAGCAACAAGCACATAATAATGATATCCCTGAAGCACCTACTTGGATTTTCCCGAGCTATGAATAGAAATTGCAAGTGTTCGATGTGTACCCAGCCGGTTCAAAACCGTAGAAAGGAGATGACAGTGGCTATGCAATTTTGGGGGCCTACAGCTCTGTGAGGCATTCCAAGATTCCTAGTGCTCTGTAAATTAATACTGCGGTTAACCCCGGGGAAACCGGGGAGGTCTCTTGCTGCTGCTATTATTAGACCAGAACGCTGTCGGAAATTATCCAGATATGGAGAATACGACTTTGGAAAAACTGGTGTTCAACGGTTTTAGGGGGTGGCCGTGTAGGCGGTCGGTCTCAGGTGCATCGCCACGAACCGCGACATGGGTAATGAGATCAGTTCTGAGCCTGGATTTAGTTGGAGAAATTTAAACTGAAAAACGCTCTCCATGCGCTTCTCCCTCGCGCCCTGTTGTACACTTGACATTGCCGACGAGCCGGCCTCGATATCCCCCACATCGTTTATTAGTGGTTGGCCGGTTCCTAAATCGTAAACAGTAAATTAAAAAGTCATTTACGAGCAATGGTTCAAGCATCGTTCTGTTTCAATCGCTGATTATCCTACTTTCGTTCGTTTGCTTGGTCTAAAAAAAAAAGTAGTACAAAGATGCTGAGCAAGCCGATGAGACCAATCAGACGGTTCGAATTCCTGCGAATGGCCGAGGCCGTCTCAGGCTTGCACAAACACCCTGTAGCTATGGGAAGCCCCCTTTATTCAATCGCAAACTATCCAATTGCAAACTGAGCAACCGCGCAGTGTACCCTGCAATAGAGTTTTGCAATGACGCAGCTGGTAAAGGTGTTTCAGTCTCTTCCGAAGGAGCTTTTTCGAGTGAACAACGGATGGGCAGTCAAGCTGCGGCCATGGTCACCGCAACGGCATTTATTTGACATACACATCAGCAACGGCCTCGCTCAAGCGAAGGCGCTGTGCCCGGAGACATATAAAGGTAAGGCGAGAACTTCAATGCATGCTCGGAAGGGAATGAGCAATTGACCGCGATGCCGCAGCCCCGAATGGAGCCTCCCTGAGGCCCAACTCTCCATACCAGCAACTTCTTGTCAAGAAGCTCTTCAAAGGTGACGATGTTCAGGTGTACGCCTTGCCAAAAGGTATTTGTTTTTCAATCCCGGAATATGGCACGGGTGAACAATAGCTAACCAAGTTTTACTAGGAATCCCTCTCCCTAGCAGCCTCCTGCTCGTCCATGAACGTTCTGACCACTGGTCCCTGCAACCGGCCCGTGACATGTCGCTGGATGGTGATTTTCTTATCCGAGAATGCCACCTCGAGGCGTCGAAGACTAACAGATGGTGCCAGACTTGAACCGAGAAATCACCGACTTTCTTCTAAGTGAGGCCCTCATATACACCAAGGCCCAGTGGATGCGGGCATACCCCGCGGCGACAGACTTTGACGGCACACCAAGGTAGCCAGCCGGCTTCCCTTACAAAGCTGAGAGAGATTGGGGTGCATGTCGCGCGATCACAGGGTTCAGTCAGTGGGTATTATAGTACAGGTTCGGTTCTTATTAATATCTATACCCCTTTCCAAGCATCTTCCGCGTTGTCACTTGCAGCTTCGAACGGATGCGAGGCCAGCCACGATTCAACAGGCTCTTTCCTCGCGACACTGTCAAAGAATTCATCCAACGAGCGGTTCAGATCTGGTCAAATTAGGATTCTGGTACAGGAAGCCAGGAGAGCGAGGAGAGCGCAAACCTGGTAATGACATTCCGCGAGATGGCTGCAGACTAAACCAAGCAAGGTGCTCGTATATGAGAATCAGACTCTCCGGGATTGGCGTTCCTTTTAAGGGAGTTGAAGTCAGCACAGGGCGCACAGAAGAAAACTGCAAGGTAAATAAACGGCTTACCTTTCTGGACTGTGAAAATTCGCGGGGCGTCCACCTTTTCCCCCGCGTCCCTTCGGTCCAGAAAGTCATCGTAGTGATTCCTGGTAAACTCCTGCATCGAGAAGGTGTTGGGAAACATTGTCACGCCATTCGATTCTAGCACAGCGGCGGAGTCAGTTTGCATTCTTCTTTACACAAGATCAAGGGGGGGGCTTGCCGTCTCGGTCCGCCTTGGGATACACGAGCCCGTCGGCGGAGACCTCGACACCGTCGTCGTGGAGGTCGTGCGGCCGGCGGTCGATCTCCCGGCGGTCAAAGAGGCTCGGCCGGTCGGCGCGGCGGTAGTAGTGCAGGGTCGCGGGGAATCGCGAATGGATCGCCAGCGGGGAGAAGAACCGCCGCTGGCAGCCGCGGGACGCCGAGGAAAATAGGTTGCGTGTTCCTTTTACGAAGAGAGACATGTTTCCTCTTCTTTGATTTGACACCTTTTCTTTTCGCGGCTCCCTCACAATTGACGTGAATTGGGATTGCAGATGGGAAATAACGGTAAACAACAACACCCCGTTGATGCTCTCAGGGTCTTGCCGGATCATTATTGTCCCGCAAAGGGTAAACAAACGTGCATTTCCCGGTGCAAGTCGGGACCAGAAATGGCAAAAATGTCAAGGGAGAATGGGTAGAGGAAAAGGCTCTTCATTACAACAGCTGTGGTTGTTCAGATTGCTTTTCTTAAAAACGCTTTACATGGAGTACGTTGGGAGGTGAGAGAGTCACGAATGAGATACCCACCCAACATAAGTCTTAGATACCCGGAAGAAGACAAACGAATAAGATAAACAATACAATCTATGGCAAGATCGTTTTCTAGTACATCATCACCTTTCCGCCACATACAGTATGTGGTTTCGGGTTGCAATCATCAGGCCCCCATTAGCCGTTACCAGTATGCGGCAGCTTACCCGGTACTACCGATAGGCAGGTGGTCACCAGGCTGTGTGCTCCTCCAACCTTACATCACCATATCTAATTATTGCCTTGTCAATTATTGACAGGGCATACACCGGTATGACACGTCTTGTTTGAACACGTTCGTGGAGCGCAATTAGAGGCAACACCGTAACCGGACCTCACCGTAGGAACAAAACTCTCCATGTATGACCGTCCTACACACGTCTTCCACTACCGGAGTTTGCTTATGGGGCTATCTTTTGCCGACATGTCCGTTTCGGATTCCTTGCTTTCCTGTTTCTGTTTTTAGAATTCCCGGCGTTGGTGAAGGATACATGGCGCTGCGCTCGCTCCAGGGTGGAAGCTGGGCGAGCACGTGTGATGCTTGGCCATTGCCGGGGGCTGTCTTTTCTGTACGAGACAGCCGTGTACGGAGTAGATAAAACCGGGCTTGGCGGAGAGCGGAAAGGAAAGCTTGCTTTTTCGTCTTCCAGAACGCCAGAGCGAAGAAACGCCTCGTGTTTCGCATAATTGCTTTTTACTTCATGCCATCGTTTCCTCACCCACCTGCATCAAGTCTCAGGTCGGGACTCGCTTGCTGCATCTCCCTCTCTCTCGTCTGAGTCAGGATGGGGTTGTGGCGTTTTTCTTTCTTTTCTTTTGTTTCCACAACTGCCGGATCTGCGACGCAGGATGATGTACGCAGGTCACCCATCATGTGTGTGTGGTGGATTGGGAATCTTCTCTCAGCCGCTTGCTCCGCCTGCTCCAAAAAGGAAGTGCTGGGGAGGGGATCGTCTTGTCTGTCCGGAGGAGCCGGACGGAGAGGGCGGGCTGCGGCGCAGGGGCGCGGACATTGTTTGCGGGTGAAGTGGGAGGGTTGCGACGGCCTCGGGTAGACGAATTGGGATGAGATAGGCCGAAAGGGGGACGCGGGCTGGGGTCAGTTGACATGGCGATGCAACGCTGCAAGGACATGGCTGGGAAAGGGACAAGAGGGACAAGAGGGACAAGAATCTAGGTCGGCGCTAGAGGCTGGTGCGCTGGGGGGGGCTTAATCTCGCAAGTCGTTGGTGATGGGCGCGAAAAGCGTCAAGTACGTAGTAGTGAATGTAGTGAATGGGGCAAAAGGTGGACGACGAGATTGGGTTGTTGGTCCGTGAGGAAATGTGGTCTAAAGTAAGGAATTCACATACGTAAATGGTGATGCTAATCTGGACACAGTAGTACCAATGGAGGAGGGTCATGAGTAGGGCAGCTGATTAGGTTGGCGGATTTAATATATGGTGGGTTCACGATGATGGGTCCGTTGGTCGGGGCAGGGCCTGGAGAAGAAGACGGTGAAGGAATGGATGTGCCATGAGATGGATAAAGATGTGAGGAGTGATAGAGATGGTGCGATGCGCGGAGCCTTGTAGTTATTGGCGACTTCTGGCTTCTGGATGAGGTAGGTGAATGAGACGGCATGGGCCAGTAAATATAGTGAGTATAATAGTGCTCGGTATATGCAAGACATGGGCAGGGACCAGGCAGCGCCGGGGTGATGATGTAGAAATTGGGTAACGACGGTAAGCGGAGGGTAAAGCTGGTATGGGAAGGGAAGAGGGGTGGGTTGGGTGGGAATAGCATGTATGTACATTCAAGGTTGATGATGTGATGATGTGATGATGTGATGATGTGATGATGCTGATGATGTTGAGATGATGGCAAGCTTAGGTACATAGTTTGTTAGTGTTGGTTAGACGGCATTTCCCGCGGGCAAGTCGGTCGGTGTAAAGGTTAAAAGAAGAGTGAGGTGTGGGTAGATGCCTACCAAGTTAATGCAAGCACTGTACATCAGTACTTTGCTTGTATCCATCACCAGGTGAGATAGTTGTCAATATTTGTGGGATATTCCCCGAGTCAATTAATTGGTTGCTGTCGCACGTGTCGGCTGTTTGACAGTGCTAATGCTAAGGCCTTATTATATTGAGTGAGTACCTTGTATAACTATTGGTTCAATTACCTGCCTCACTCGGCACTGTATGGCCGTTGTCTTATTGCCATATGAGTATAGTATAGTATGTTATATAGTGAATAGACTAGGTCATCTCATCCGAACCAGTCTCTTGTCTGGCTCCCTCTCATCAGCCATTTCTCAGCCAGTTTTATAGTTGCCATCAGCCTGTCCAGCCAGGCCACAGAAACTCCGCCACCAAAAGCGCCATTGCCGCATTCGTCCATCCGTGGCTCAATAGCGCACAGGCTGAGGAGTAGCGTCAGTGGAACTTGACAGCTTCATCATCATTCTAAAAAAGTATGTAAGCTAGCAGTCACCAGCTATTCGTACCACTCAGTCCTAACTCGGAGGCAATAACAGACTTCTGTACTTGTTCTGTCACTTGTTCTTTGTCGGTCCAGCCTCGGCCAGCTCCCCCCCGCCACAAGCCACTTCTCGTTCATGAAGAAGCCAACGGCTTGCCCTAGTATCTGTGTAGACTGCTGCTGCTGCTGGTGCCTGCCCTGGATTCATCCCATTTCAGTCGTTGTTCATTTCCATCATCATTGACGGGGTTCCTCGTTTCATCAGTCAGCAGCACGGCCTGCACAACCTTGCATCATTGCTCATCCCGAAACGGCCAACAGTGCACGCCTGTCTATCCCCCCCCACGTTATGCTGTGCGGCCGTTATCAAACAACACCAGGGTGCCCACGAAACCTTGGAACAGGGAGCTGAGCTGAGCTTCACTGCCTCGAACGACGACAAGGAATCGTGCCTCGCAACTGGCACAGCTTCTCGTCGGCAAAGCTGGCCCCTGGCCGTCAGCTATACCTGTTTACGAGTAGTATCCAGCTCGCCTGCTACCTTGCCTCAACTCCAGGTAGCCTAGCCACGAACCACGAACCACTGACTGACTGCATGCCCGCCGGTTCTGGTTCCCCCGCTGCCCGCCTTCCCTGTCGCTTGCTTCCTAGCTTCCACTTGCACGCCAGCAGCTAGCAGCTGGCAGCCACTACAACTCCCGCTGTCCATCCATTTTCTACTGGGCCTGCCCACCACAATCGCTGCTAACCATCACCACCACCAAAACCACCAGCGACTCGCCCGACCCTTCTTCTCTTCTCGCCTCTTCCTCCCGTCCTGCCTGCTTGCCATCTCACCACCAATACTGGTGATGCACTGACGGCCGCTCGCAATTTACAACCCATCATCCCCATTTCTTGATCTGCCTTAATTATTCCACTACCACTTCCGTCTACTTCTGCCTCTCCTTCTTCTCATCCTCCTCCCACCACCTCCGCCGAAAACCCCACGCCGCCGCCGCCATCGCCGTTTTTGTTCGCAGGCCGCCCTAATCTTAATCTTTACGCCGCGCGAACCCCAGCTCCTCTTGGACCTTCTTGGACTCGCGAAACAACTACCTCTCTTTCTCTCTCCCACCCCATTTCAACATTTCCATCTATCCTGCCTATTCTTCTTCACAGCCATCTCCCGCTCACGCGAATCGACCTTTGTCGCCATTCTCCCACCACAACTGGCTCCCTCCCGCCTTCTCACTCGCAATTCTCAACGCCAGCAACTGATGCTCCACCGCCTGCTTCTCTCGACCCTCGACAAACCGTCCCGCCTCTCCAAGCCACCCGCTACCCCGGCATCCCAGACCGACGCATACGGCCACCATCTCGCTCTATACCTGGGCAGCCTTGCCTGCTGATAGCCTCAACCTCTTTCGTCACTGCGTCACCTTGATATTCCGAAGCTGCCTCTTCAATTTTCGCATCTGGTCGCCATCGTCGCCTCCATTTCTTTTACCTCGTTTGCATTGGCGAACGCCTCGACACATTGACACTCACTCGACAATCCCGACTCCGACCCCGCCTCCGCCACCATACCCCTCCCACAGCTCAATCCGCCATTCCCTCAATCTTGATGGCTTGACCTTTGTCATGGCATGACCTCTCTGAACTCTATTATGGAAGGACAGACAGCTCAGCCAGCTGCCGTCGGTGCTGACGCGCAGCAAGGCCAGGCCCAGCAACAACCAGACCCGCCTGCCACCACAGACGCATATTTTACTCGCGATGCCATCGATGCCGCTCCCGCCGCCGTTCTAAGGTCTCCCTTTAGATCCAATGCCACTCTGGCCTCCGGCCCCAGAGCATCCACGCCAGAGCTCGCAGAAACCCTCATATCCGCTACCGGCTCCATGCATCTTGACGCTGCACCTGTCTCTCGGGACTCGGCTGTCCCCGGCTCCCCCCGCGACATTCCCGGCGGCGTCGGAAGACGGAGAGGCATCGTCTTTGACGATTCCTTTTCTGATCCCTCCGAATTGGACTCAACCTCGCCCGTCGCCCCAAAGGCCTCGCCCGTCGCCGCCCGCCCTCGCACACGCACCCTCGACGGTGCACTCATGACCCAGCGAGCCACACTCAACTCTCCCGATCAAAGACACCGCGTCGGCAGCATGAGCTCCTCCATGCCCCCCGTCCAAATATCTCCAGACGACCATAAGCAGTCCTCGCTTAATGAATCCCTCTCATACACCACATCCTACACCACATCATACACCACACCCGCTCTCCCCCAACGGCATGTAGATGCCCCGTCAACACCGTCCTCCAACAGAGACAAAAGGACCGGCAAGCGTCTGCTAAAACACCGACAGACCTCTCGTCCCAGTTCCCCTGTCATATCATCGGCCCCATCCATCGACTCCATGTGTGTTCCCGTTGCAGCAGAGGACCCCAACAACCTCGTCTCTCTCATGAAGACGCTCTGTGGTCGCATGCGCGGACAAGTGGAATACCAATCTGAACCCGGCGGCACGTGGTATTCTGGCATCGCCTACATTGATGACGAGGTTGGAAGCCTCATGTTCGACACTAACCAGAGCGGCTCCTTTCATATCCCCCTTGTCGACGATTTGAGAGGCTGCACCGTTGTACCTGCCGAATATACACAAGGCGACAGACAGTGCATCGAACTAACCTCTTCCACCCCAACGCATCTACTATTGCTCCCAGTGGTTCACGAGGACCTTGAGCTCTGGCTGGCCGCTTTGCTCAGCTGGCAGCAACTCCAACCCACCCCAATCAAGTTTGCCAACGGCAAGCCCGCCAGTCCCACAGCACCCTTCCGACCAGACTTGCGTCCATTCGGCAAGGCACCTGACGAGAGCAAGCCCAGGAATATTATCAAGATTGACAAGTTGATGCTCTGGGATAAAGGAGCAGCCCTCAGCCCGAGAGCTGCCTTTCAACGCTCCTCAACACGAGATATCTGGTCCCCTTCAGCAGCTTGGCGCCGAGTTTCATGCATCTTGCATGACACTGGTGAGCTGACGCTTATGCTCGAAACCGATTCCATCGTCTTGTGCCACATTGATTTGACACATTTCTCGAGGCACGCCATCCAGCAGCTCGACCGAACTGTCCTCGACGAGGAGTGGTGCATAGCCATCTTCCCCACTTACACCCCCAAGGCCTCCCGTGTATCCGTCTTCCGCCCTGTGTATCTGGCCCTGGATAGCCGCATACATTTTGAGGTTTGGTTTGTATTGCTACGCGCATATGCCATCCCGGACCTGTTCCACCTTGGAGAAACGGAAGACGACGTCCTCATTAACATTCCCGACACGGAAACGGCGACAGAGGGCGAGGTCTTCCGCATGGAGAAGATTGTCACTGTCCGAATAACCGAGGCCAAAATAAAAGCCCGACCAGCAGGACTCGAATATATTTTGCCTGAAAAGTCGCACAAGGTCGAACACGACCCGTTGATAGGCAATTACCTGGCAGAGGTAATCCTGGACGGTGAAGTTCGAGCTCGGACAACCACGAAATGCAAGACCAAGAATCCTTTTTGGCGCGAGGATTGTGAATTTAAGGACCTGGCACCTTCAATTCAGGAGCTCTCCGTTGTTCTAAAGCGTATCGACGGCATGGATGGAAGCCGAGGTGCCTTTCCTCAGGAGCTGGTATGCGGTACCGTCCGCATCGCTCTTGATCAGCTAGAGCGCGGCCAGTCTCATGAAGACTGGCTACAGATCAGAGACGAGAAGCAACAAGTCATTGGTTCCATGCTCATAAGGCTTTCTCATGACGAGCACGTTGCCTTGTTGGCCAAGGAGTATGAAGCATTGTCTGAGACCCTTCACCGGTTTCCAACCGGGTTGACTGCTCTCATTTCTGCTGCGCTGCCTGGACAGCTCAAACAACTGTCTGAACTATATCTCAATATTTTCCAAGCGTCAGGGGCCGCATCCGAATGGCTGTTGGCGCTTGTGGAGGATGAAATTGATGGCCCCGGAACTCAAACATCCTTGAAAAAGTATAGATTCAGCAGCAGGCTCAAGTCGAACGATTCGGTCGAATCTCCCAGTGACCGCGAATTGATTGTTCGTGATATGAGCAAGTCGCTCGCCGGAGAGGCGAACCTCTTGTTCCGTGGAAACACACTTCTCACACAGTCTCTCGAGTTTCACATGCGACGCTTGGGCAAAGAGTACCTCGAAGAGGCATTACGTGACAAGGTCTTTGAGATTAACGAGGCGAATCCCGACTGTGAAGTCGATCCGAGTAAGCTATATGGGGCCGACCTCGACCAACGCTGGTCTCTGCTCATTCGCATCACCTCCGAAATTTGGCAGTGCATTGCTCAAACCGCGAAGCGCATACCACCTGAACTGCGACATATTCTCAAGTACATTCGCGGAGTTGCTGAAGACCGGTTCGGGGAGTTTAAACGCTCTGCCACTTACACTGCGGTGTCCGGTTTCTTGTTCTTGCGCTTCATCTGTCCTGCTATTCTCGCGCCAAAACTCTGCGGCCTACTCCGCGACTTTCCTCGCACCAAAGCACAGCGCACCTTCACGCTGGTGGCGAAGACATTGCAGAAACTGTCAAACTTGGGAACCTTTGGGAAGCGCGAGGAGTACATGGAGCCGATGAACCGATTCCTTACATCGCATCGAGCGGTGTTCCGCGAGTACATTGACCAAGTTTGCAGCATTCCATCAGATCGCAGCGTCGTGGCGCCTCCTGCTAGCTATAGCACACCCAATACCATCTCCGGGCGGCTTAGCCCTACGTCAAGAGAGGGCCTTGGCAGTCTCCCTTATCTGATCGACGCGCCGAAGAGTTTTGCTGGCCTCGTCAAGGTGTGGACAAGCGCGCGCCCGCACGATCTCAGGACAGATCACGCCGATGGCGAGCTTCTCATATTTGACGATCTGTGCCTAACCCTCCAGAAGCGGGTCGATGCGTGCATGGCCAAGGTCGGCCGCCTGCGCGCTGCCGAGGCTGCGGGCCGTGGAAACCCCTCGCGTCTTGCTGAGACGCTAGAGCAGGCCGCCTTGGCGGAGCCGCTGCGCTCGCCGTACAGCGCCGCGTACACAGCCATGTGCCACGATGTCGACCATATGCTTAGCGGATCCGGTAGTGACGGACCCGACGAAGGCAGCAGCCGCCGCCGCAGCAAAGACATGCGCCGCGGGCGGGATGGACACGACGGGCGCAAGGTCGTCGGCCTCTCCTCGCGTGGAACACCCAAGAGCCGCAACGGCAAAGTCGGCCGCACGCTATTGAGCGGCATCATGAAGATTGGCGGCCGCGCGGAGAGCCCCGACTTCAAGAGCCGACAATGATGACTGGTCTGACACAGGCCTATTCTCTGATTCTCGTTTCTGTCCCACTATACACGTATCATTGTGAGGCTTTCTTCCTCTGGTTTTATTCTCTATGCTGGATGGGGTGGAGAACTATCTGTAGCGGCCCAATTGTCTTTTACGCACATACAAGCATTTATATAAATATCCCATGCGAAGGAAAAGTCAAAAGGATGGTATTTGATGTAGCTCTCTTTCATTTTGGATGTGGGCGAACTGGATATTCCGTATATAATATGCAACTCTCAACATTGAAACATGCGCGGCCGGGTCCCTCGACCATCTCTTGTGAATGCAACAAGGTCGGTTCCATGTCGGTTGATTTACGTGACGGACCGAATACTGTACAACTGCCACCGTTTCTTCTGTCCACACGGCGGAAGCCATTCCGCTCGAACGATGAGACCCTACATGTGGTCGATAAAACCTGGACCCCCCGGCATTTGTCGTCTGACACAAGTCTGAGAACGGCCGACCGCGGATCATCCTGGTATCAGTTCATCCCTACAGGGCGCGCCGAGTCCAGGCCGCACAAGCACCCCTGCCATCGGCGAGGCTGGTTCCGGGTCAATGACAAATGCGAAACAAAGAAAAAAAAATTACCGGGTTTTAGTGGTGGAGTGGGAAGAAGAAATGTTGCGGAATCAATGTTTGTGTCGCTAGTCTAGAAATGCTAGGCTGTCTGTCTATCTGTGAAGAAGATTATGTATTTACATGTCGTCGTGGTATAATTAATTTTTGTACATTTTCGCACCCACCGCCGTTTGTTAGCGGTGCGCCGCCGGGTCGCTGCTGTTGCTCAGGTACCCGGGCAGGCCGGGGTGCTGTAGACCCCCGGCGGCGCCCTCCTCGTACCGGACGGACCAGTCGACCGTCTTCTGTATGACCATCGGCTCCTGCTGCTGCTGGCCGTCGACCGAGCTGCCGGATTGGCCGTCGTCGGAGCGGTTCGCGGAGCGCGTCACCTCCGTCTCGGACAGGGGCACGACGCCGCGCGGCATGTCATCCTTACTGCTGCCGGTGTCCTTGTTGCTGCTGGTGCTCGTGTCCCCTCCACTAAGGGTAACGCCAGTGCCGGTGCCGGTGCCGGCGTTCTTCGACAGGTTCCGTAGCCGGTAGACGTTGTCGCGGGAGCGCGCTGAGCTGCCCCACGCGCCACCACCGCCACCGCCGCCGCCAGCGGCAGAGTTGTTGTGACTGCCGCTGCCGCTCATGTTTTGCACATTCATGACCATGCCGGTGTGGAAGCTCCGCAGGAAGGGGACGAGGGCGATGAGAAGCGCGGCGATGAGGGAGTAGCCGAGGGCGACCTGCTGCCAGACGAGCGGCGAGGTCACGCCGACCTGGGGGTCGGTGCTGGAGGCGTAGGCCTTGATGGAAATGGTGTAGATGCTCGTGAATACAGGGCAGCTGGAAGAAAAGGTCCTTGTTAACAAGAAAAACAGTCTGGGGCAACCTTGAGTTCGTTTTCTTGGTACGTACAGAATTCTCAACCCTAGTAGCACAGTCAGCACCCACTTGCGGGTCGTGCGCATCTGGAGAGACCAGACGAGCCCGTAAAAGACGCAGAGGACGGCGAGCTCGGTGATTCCGTCAAGAATTGCTATGATAAGCCAGCGCTGGCCGAGACCGGCGCACCGTCGAGGGTGGTGGCGATGGGGAGCTGTGGTGTTGGCAGAGGAGGAGGGTAGCAGGCCGCGGGTCGGGCAGCTGACGATGATGAGGAGGATGGAGGCGAAGGCGGCAGCGATGATGGCGGCGCGGATGACCACGCATATGCGGCGGACGGTGCGCATGGTGGCGGCGAGGAGGCGCTCGGTGGCAAGGAGGACGGCGAGCTTGGCCATGAAGAGGCCACATATGAAGATGGCCTGCGAGGCGAGGAGGAGCTATTGTTGTCGGCCATGTTAGCTTTTATATCTTCTCTCCTTCTCCTTGTCATTGACAGGGAGGGGGGAACAAACGCACCGATCCATTCTTGTGCTCGTTGCCTGCCGTGACGGAGCGCTTCGAGGTGCCCAGGCCCGAGGGCATGCCAGCGAAGAGGGCGGCGTACTGGGCGACGGCGAGGACGACGGCGGCGAGGACGGCGAAGTCGTCGCGGCCGAGCATGTGCTTGCGGACGTAGAGGCGGGCGCCGAGCGTCATGGCGACGAAGATGAGGCTGAGCAGCACGGCGATCCAGAGGGCGCCGCGCTTGTCGTCGGGCGCGATGACGGCGAACGCCGGGAGCTGCTCGACGGACTGGCGGCGGAAGGAGGAGGCCATGGTGGAAGAGGTGGAGGAGGCAATGGTGAGAGAGGCGGAGGAGGCCATGGTGAGAGAGGCGGAGGAGGCCCGTAGGCCGCGAGAGGGGAGAAGAGGCTCGATGATGACGGGCGGTTGTTTGGTGAGAAGAGGAGAGAAGGGAAGTATATTCAGGGGAGGAGGAGGCGGAGGAGATTGGGCGACGAGGCCATGAGAAGAGAAAAGAGGCGGGGCAGCCCTGCCAGGAGAGGCAGTGAGGGACCCGATCTTGTGGTTGTGGGCTTGTGGGCTTGTGGCTTGTGTTTTGTCGTGACTCGCGAAGAGGAGGAGTCGAAAAAAGAAGAAGAGATCGTTGGCTAAAAACTAGACAATTTCGCTAAAAGCTAGCGAAGAAAGTCGGTAGATGGAAGGGACGGTAGATGAAAGAAGTTGGAACGAGGCGTTGTGGCTAGAGGCCAAGACGGGAAGGTCGATGAAGCGAGGCGAACGACGCTTGGCCGAATCAAGGATGGAACAAAACGAACGGCGGCAGCACCATTCTATCCGATGTTTTGTTACTTTGGTTAGGTTACGCTGCTAATTTAACCCAGCTCTAATTTTTCCGCGGAAGAGTAAGAAAAAAAAAGAGGACGAACGAGGACGAACGGGGGGGGGGGGGCCAAAAATAGCAACAAAACCAGGCTCTCAATGCAAGTTTCGGGGCCCAACCCACATATAAGGGGAGCCCGCGTCAAGCCGCAAATGAGACAACTTGCAAGGGTCACTAAATCTCTTGACTCACCATCTCCACTCGCATCATCGAGCTGAGTTTGATGGAAGGGGAAAAAGGAGGGGAGGCAAAGGGGCGCCGCAGTGGAGGGGGAGGGAAGGGATGTGGGTGGTGGTCTGGTGGTGTAGATGAAGTTGCCGTTCATTGGCCAGGTTTCAAGAGTTTGTTGCATGGCGTGGTTATCAGTTGATGGCTCTCCCAATAGCGCGCGCCAAGCTGGCTCTTCTTTTCCCTTCTCACTGCTATAATACAAGGGGACTATAGCTTTCCGGTTTCCGGTTCGTTGCGGGGACAGTCGAGAGAAACAACACACACACACACACCCTGCTCTTTCAATTCTTCAACATCCAATCCAGTCCATCCATCCCGTTTGCTGGTGAATGTTGCCGCACAGACAATGGGAACGACGACGCTGTCGGAAAGCCGCAGCAGGATGGGAACCGCCGTCGCCGAGAGGCGCACGGAGCTGCGCCGTCGCACGTTTGAGATGATTGACGATGAGGAGGAGGACGAAGAGTTGACGGCGCGCGAGGAGCTCGCCAAGTTCGGCAACGAGAACGATAGGCGCGACATGGCCCGCATGGGCAAGATCCAAGAGATGAGGGTGAGTTTGCGCGGGTGGATGCGGGTTGAACGATGTGCTGGCTTGGTCAGTTTTCAGCTTGTTGGGGGCTGTTTTTTGCTAATGCCAAGATTTCTTGGCCTTGTTTGCTGTAGAGAAACTTCAAGTCCCTAACCGTGCTGGGGTTCTGCGCCATTCTCATGTGCTCATGGGAGTCGCTTTTGAGGTGAGTGGCAAGACCCCATCTACAACGTTAGCGTCGCGTCTGCGCGTGTGTTGTCATCGGAATACAAGCATGGCCTAACTTTCATCGCCCCAGCACCGCCTCACTCGCACTCACAAATGGCGGCTCGGCCGGGCTGATCTACACGTGGCTCATCGCCTGGGCCGGCTTCAACGCCGTGTACGCGTCCATGGCCGAGATGGCCTCGGTGGCGCCCACCACCGGCGGGCAGTACCACTGGGTGTCTGAGTTTGCGCCGCCGGGCTACCAGGCCTTTCTCAGCTACGTTGTTGGTAAGCCCATCGTCGAACTGTCGATTCAAGTTGCAAACTTGTGCTAATCGCGCCAAAACAGGCTGGCTCGGCGTCCTCGGATGGCAGACGCTCGTCACGTCCATCGCCTTCCAGGCCGGCACCGAGATCCAGGGTCTTCTCGCCCTCAATTACGACGAGTACGTGCCCTTGCGCTGGCACGGCACGCTGCTCGTCATCGCCGTCGTCGCCTTCGCGCTCGTCTTCAACACGCTGCTCGCGTCGCGCCTCAACCTCGTCGAGGGCGCCATCCTCGTGGTGCACGTCTTCGGCTTCTTCTGCGTGCTGGTACCGCTGTGGGTGCTCGCGCCGCGCACGCCTGGGAGGGTCGTCTGGACGCAGTTTCACGACGGCGGCGGCTGGGGCAACGTGGGGCTGTCGACGCTCATCGGCCTCATCACCAGCGTGCTGCCGCTACTGGGCGCGGACGCGTCGGTGCACATGGCGGAGGAGGTGCAGGACGCGGCGCGGACGCTGCCGCGGAGCATGATGTGGTCGATCAACCTCAATGGGTTGATGGGGTGGCTGACGGCGATTACCTTTTGCTACTGCATTGGTGACCTCGACCAAGGTAAGCGCATCATTAATTTGCTTGTCGGGCACCTTTTCCCGCACTCTGCTAACAACACACCCTTCAGTGTTGCAAACACGAACCGGATATCCCTTTATCCAGGTCATTTTCAACGTCACGCAGTCGTATCCGGCGACCAACTTCCTCACTTCAATCGTGCTGCTCATGGCCACTTTTTCGTGCGTCACCATCATGGCGTCGGCCTCGCGGCAGCTCTTCGCCTTTGCACGCGACCGAGGGCTGCCGTGCTCCGCGTGGCTCGCGCGCGTGCACCCCAAGCTCGGCGTGCCCGTCAACGCCGTGGTACTATCCGCGGCCATCTCGGTTCTACTATCGCTTATCAACATTGGCAGCACCGTCGCCTTCAGCAGCTTGGTGTCGCTGGGCTCCGGCACGCTCATGATCTCATACATCGTCTGCATCGGGTGCTTCGCGTGGCGGCGGTGGTGTGGCGGCCACGTCAAGGGCGCGCCCGCGATACCGGCGGCGCCGTTTTCGCTCGGCGCGTGGGGCTTGCCAGTCAACGCGGTGGCCGTGTCCTTCCTGCTGCTCGTCTTCGTAGTCGCCTTTTTCCCAGCGTCGCCACTACCGAACCTCAACGCCGCGTCGATGAACTGGTCGTCGGTCATCCTGACGGTCGTGGTGGTCTGGGCGATGGCATACTACTTCATCTGGAGCCGGCACGTGTACGAGGGCCCGGTCAAGTTCGTCAAGAGAGCCGCGGAGGACGAGCTGGACTGGGGAGCCAGTCAACAGTCGAGAACTCTATAGTAACACCGCGCGATAAGCAGCGCAACTCATAACATGATGGATGATTTCACCGTTCGATATGATGCATCTTTGCGTGACCTGAAAGCCAAGCCAAGCCAATACCGCGGCCCCTCACGGCTGGCTATCCATCGATAGAATCACGGCTATCCATCGATTGAGAAAAAAAGCGGCAATGGCCCGCGGGTGGCGTTGTTTCGGGCCGCCGCCACCCACGATCCCTAGGGCTTGGTTGGTTGGACGGACGGAGGTGTCGGTTCTTTTCCCAGACCAAGACGGGCCGGTATCCAGCTTCTATGTCGCTTCTAGCGGGCCATGTCGAAGCGCTCATCCACAATGGCGTGTCATGGCCTCATGACATGATTCGCAGGCTGTGCATAATCAAGGAGTGGGAGTGGTGAGGGAAGAGTGGTGAGGGAGGGACTGGTTTTGCGAGATGCAGGTTGCAGGTCTCCCGCGGGTCATCAATGCATGGCTGAAGAAGAAAACCCCACATGCCACGCACCACCTAACTACAGATAGTTTATGCAGAGAGATAAAGAGGAACTCGTACAGCCTCTTGTGTCACAGAAGTAACTGAAACTCGTACCACTCAGTATGAATCGCTGTTTTGGCCGTTTTGCTCAACGGGTAGTGGTGACTCTATTTAGTTGGCGCAACGCATAAAACGACTAGGAAACCCGCGCAAACGGAAGGAAAAAAAAAAAACTCTTCATCCCACCATGCAGCTGCAGCCCACCCTTGACCAAGCGTGGCATGGCGGAGGCGTCGCCAAGCACTATCGATGCAGCTAAATTAACCATCATGGGTTTTCTTTGGCTGTTTTCTCCATCTCTTGTTCCACGGCAGCCCTTCCAGGGCATGGAAGACTTCCCATGTACAGTACACCCATCACAGCGAAGCGCAATATAGATAAATCCGCGCTAGAGGCGGGACGAAGACCAGGTCTAGGCTGCGAGGCCTCGGAGGTTCTTGCCCATTCGATGAAGAGAAGCCGCAGTGGAGAGGGACAAGGTTTACGTTAGCTGTATTATAACGTTAGTAGTAGAAAAAGGCCCCCGTCGTATCCAGACCCCTCCCCCGAAAGAGACCCCATCGCCAATCTTGCCCGCTCAAGGAACCATAGAGGAGACGATGGCAGGCGAGGAGACGAGGCGATTTGTCGGAGAATGGTTACATTACATTGGGGCCCCTTCATCAACGTGGCCGCACGGGTTACATGCTGGCAATGGGCAAATGTGGTAAACAAATTTCTGTCTCCATGGCAGTTTTAATAGTCTTGCGCCAAGCATAGCCAGCATCTCTTTCTCTTCATCTTGCCGTCGGTTGTTGTCTGTTGTCTGTTGTCGTCCGTTGTTGAGCAAAACCACCCCAGCCAATCCGTTCTTTTTTTTAATCTCGCCTCCGCACTTGGTCTGGTCTTTTTTCTTCAGCACTAGATTGGCTTTGAGACATTTGACGACATTTGGCGTAGCTTATTTACTTCTAGAAGCCAACCCCAACCCAACACCACCAATCCATTCCAATCCCGTTCCCCCCCCTCCTCCTCCCTCGCATCTTGGAATTGCTGCTTGGCTCAAGCAGCTCACCTACTGCCACCATGACGGTTTCCGAGAAACATTCACAAACCGGGCACAATGCCACCCTCTACGATGACACCCGCAGCAGCAGCGGCAGCGACAGCACTCCCCACGATGTCTTCGGCGCCGAGGAGCACCACGACATCAAGTACAAGCGCCTCTCCTGGCAGCTCGTCGCCGTCCTCATGATTGCCGAGATCGTTTCCAACGGCATGCTCTCCCTGCCCTCGGCCTTTGCCGTCGTCGGCATGGTTCCCGGCATCATCATCATTGCCTTCCTCGGCATCTTCGCCACCTACACCTCGTGGCTGCTCGTCCAGTTCAAGTTGCGCCATCCCGAGGTGCACACCATGGCCGACGCCGGCTTCATCATGTTCGGCCCGATCGGCCGTGAGATCATGGCCTTTGGCACTTTCGCCTTTGCCATCTTCGCCACCGGTAGCCAGCTGCTCGCCGGCCAGATCGCCCTCGCTTCTCTAAGCGACAGCAAGCTCTGCAACGTCGTCTACACGGCCATCTTCACCGTCGCCTCGCTCGCCGTGTCTCTGCCGCGCACCTTTCACGGTCTGGGATACGTCTCCATCCTGAGCGTCCTCAGCATCTTGATTGCTGGCTTGGTCGCAATGGCCGCCGCTGGAAAGGAGCCCGTCATTGGCCGCTCCGTCGAGGTCGCCGTCACCTCGGACTTTTACTCTGCCTTTGCCTCCATCACGAACCCCGTCTTCTCCTTCGCCGGCCACTTCATGTACGTAACCGGTTACTTGCTTGTCCCTCCAAGCCCGCATCATTCACGCTGACATGCGCTCTCTCCCAGGTTCTTTGTCCTCATCTCCGAGATGAAGGAACCCAAGCACGCCATGCGATCAGCCTACTGCCTGCAGACCTTTACCACCATCTACTACATCATCTTTGCCGCCGTCACCTACGGCTATCTGGGAAGCAAGGTCTTGTCCCCGTCCTTTTCTTCGCTGTCGCCGTATTGGGCCAAGGTTTCGTATGGTATCGCCCTCCCGAATTTGCTGCTCGCAGGCGCCCTGTACGCCCACACGGCCGCGAAGGTCATCTTTGTCCGCCTCTTCCGCAAGTCCAACCATCTGCACAGCCATACCGTCGTCGGATGGAGCGCCTGGGTAATCCTGGTCGTATTCTGCAACGCATTGGCTTTCCTCCTCGCCACGGGCGTGCCCATCTTCAACTATCTTGTTGGTCTCGCTGCCTCACTGTTTGCCGCTTGGTTCACATATGGCGTGTAAGTGCATCCATCCGTTTCGTCATGCTAGTTTGGTCGCAATGTCAGTCACTAATGTTTTTTCTCTCTTAAAATTAGTGCCGGTATGTTTTGGCTTCACGACTCCTACCACGACGGCGCTGGCTTCCTCGAATGGCGTCGCCAATGGGGCCAATTCCTGCTTTGCGCATTCACCGTTCTGACTGGTGCCTTTATTTGCGTCGCTGGTTTGTACGTCACCATTCGCCAGCTTGTCGACGCCTATGCGAATGGCCAGATTCCCTCACCCTTCTCTTGCACTGCTTAGACCAAGTTTTTGATGAAGTGAACGTCGAAAAACAATGGAGAAGCAAGACTTTCCACGGTGCACGTCCACAGTGGAAGCTGTACATATATTAGCGAACTCGTGGACCATGCATGCACTTGCTATTCATGGCCGCCTGTGCCATTGTACATAGATGACATATGAGCGAGATGCATAACGTATGAATAAAAGGTTTGTGTATGATTCTTAAGAGTCGATGAAACAGTATAATTTGCAATATCCTATGCTTTGAATGGAACAGGCTGGCTGGGTCGAGATTTCCTCGGGATTCCACGTCGTTCTTGTGCACGCCCCACCAACACCCGCATGCGATGCTTCACTGCGCTCCTGGAACTCAATCTCTTCCATACTCACAGCTTCACTCTCGATCACATCCGAGTCGCATTTCCAGTGCCTCATTTCTATCCTCTTTTCACCCTGCTGAGGTCTTTTCCAAAATCGGCCGCGCAAACTCCCCAAGGTTAGCTTACTCCTGCTCGTGCAACATCACCCCGCTCGACCCCGCGCGACCTGGCCGTAATAAGCTTGGATAGCTTCCCAGCTTCCTCCCCAAGCTCGCTTTATCTCGACACACCCGCCGCCGACGCACTCGTGCACATTCTGACCCTCGCCAACAAACTCCGTCATGGCTTCCGAGACTGCTGACAAGGCCACCCGGCCTCGCGTCTTCTTCGACATCTCCATTGGCGGCAAGCCCTCCGGCCGCGTTGCCATGGAGCTCTACTCGGACCTCGTGCCCAAGACGGCTGAAAACTTCCGCGCCCTCTGCACTGGCGAGAAGGGCAAAGGCAAATCCGGCAAGCCGTTGCACTACAAGGGCTCCATCTTCCACCGCGTCATCAAGCAGTTCATGATTCAGGTTAGCTTTCATTCCCCCAATCCATTTGGCGCAAACGGCGCGTGCGCCATCTTGACCTCGGCTTCGTTGCTAACAGTCAACGCTCCCGCTCTTTAGGGTGGTGACTTCACCGAAGGCAACGGTACCGGTGGCGAGTCCATCTATGGCGCCAAGTTTGACGACGAGGATTTCCCCAAGAAGCACGACCGTCCTTTCCTCCTATCCATGGCCAACTCTGGTCCTAGTAAGTCCAGCGCCCCAACCCTTCGCGTAACTTCTTCTAACAATCTGAGCTAGACACAAACGGCTCTCAGTTCTTCATCACGACCGTCCAAACCCCCCATCTCGATAACAAGCACGTCGTCTTCGGTGAGGTCCTGAGCGGCAAGTCCATTGTCCGCCAGATCGAGAACCTACACACCTCGTCCGGCGACAAGCCCGAGAAGGAGGTCGTCATCGCCGACTGTGGTGAGCTCCAGGGCGACGAGGCCCTTGCCGCCGACGTCAAGGTGCCCGACGCCACCGGCGACCCCTACGAGGACTTCCCCGACGACTTCCCCGCCGAGCAGCAGCCCCTGCCTGCCGCCAAGATTCTGGAGATCGCTACCGCTTGCAAGGACTTTGGCAACAAGGCCTTCAAGGCCGGCGACCTGCACCTCGGTCTAGAAAAGTACGAAAAGGGCCTGCGGTACCTCAACGAGGACCCGGACCTGGACGGCGAGCCAGACACCACCCAGCCGGCTCTCACGGCCCTCCGCTTCTCCCTCAACAACAACAGCGCCCTGCTGAGCATGAAGCTGAAGAGCTGGGCCGAGTGCGCGCGCAGCGCATCGGCAGCGCTGGCGGCTGCGTCCGCCGCCAAGGACGCAGATCGCGCCAAGGCCCTCTACCGCCGCGGCGTTGCCAACGTCAACCTCAAGGACGAGGAGGCCGCCATCAAGGACCTCGAGGAGGCACACAAGCTGGCCCCCAACGATGCTTTGATTGTGAGCGAGCTGAATGCTGTCAAGACCAAGGCGTCGGCGCGCGCCGCCAAGGAGAAGGCCGCCTATAAGAAGTTCTTCCAGTAGAAGACTTATTTGTGTATTATTTACAGAGACAATCAAATAGGAGCCGACCGAGCTCTTTTTATCTAAGACAGAAATGAAAAATGTACATCTTGATTCTACCTTGTCGCCTTGCGTTTGACGTTGATGTAGTTGAGATAGAGTTTGCACGCCACCGATCACTGTTGACCGGGCTGCGATCTGGGTCCGCGCGGACTACAGGCACGGTCCGGAACTCAATCCCACGCTGATAGAAAGGTCAATTCCAAATCCAGCCTGTGACAAACGACGAGTGATTTCAAGGAATCACCTTGATTCTGGATGTTAGCTCGGCTCAAGCGGGTTCTCCAAATGCGACTGCAATGCCGCGACAGAGGTAGCCGACACCGGCATAGCCTCTTCCCATTCGGCACCGTGCTGGCTATCCGGCAGGCATGAATATCAATGGGTATTTTTGACCCAGTATCCGTACGCGAATCGTGGGTTTGAGCAGTTCACATCATATAGTAGAACGGCGACTGACGGTAACCCCCCCCTGGTCATCGCGTAACCCGCATCTCGCATCTCGACACCGCATCTTTCCAAGATACTCGGCAGAGCCGCAAATCCCTAGCTTCCCTCATGCAGGTTCTACAACATCGCTCGCCAAAAGTTGCGGTCCGTGGCCTCACCGGCGACATACACAGCCAATGGCATCATCCCGCCCGACCATGTGGAGCGTCAGGCGTCTGAATACATCAACCACCTACCCCGGTCCGTCCTGGCCTTGGCCGGGGTTCCAACTACCAGTGAATCTCTCACGGGGAGGCTTCTCCTCGTGTACATACGGAAGCGTTGCGTTGGGGAAGGGCATCGTGACCCCGGGAAATCGCTGTCGAGATGAAGAGTGGCGGAAGGGACCCTTGTCGAGGATGCAAGGCTGGGTGCAATGACTTATATCAACGGTCTTCCCAGGTCGCAAAATCGGCCTCCTTGAACGATGCGACCATGAAGACGGGCAAGTTGATGGGTGGCTCTATCAACACCGCGACCTTCTCAAAGTGCAAGAGATAGTCCACCTCGTGTAAAGTTTCCGAATTGTCTGTCTGACCATTTCTGGTACGCCATGTTTCTTGCGCCTGCGCTCATTCTCGGGGCAGCGCCTATGCCCGCGGCGGCTGGCGACACCTTCTACAAGCTCGACACGCCCGGTAAGTCAAAGAGACTGCCCCTTCAGTTACCCCAGACGCGGCTCACTTACACGCATGGCCTAGACGAGATCCGGCAAAGCGCTAGGACACTCGCCTACGACCTCGTCACCTTTTACAAGGGCAACCAGTCCGGGCAGATCCCCGGCATGCTGCCCGGCCCGCCGGCCACCGGCACCGGCGACTACTACTGGTGGGAGGGCGGCGCCATGATGGGCACCTACGTCGACTACGTCCACCTGACGGGAGACACCAGCTACAACGACGTCGTCGCGCAGGGCCTGCTCTTCCAGTCCGGCCCGGACGCCGACTACCAGCCGCCCAACCAGACCATCGGCCTCGGCAACGACGACCAGGGATTCTGGGGCATGGCTGCTATGCTCGCCGCCGAGACGCGCTTCCCGGACCCGCCGCCCGCGCAGCCGCAGTGGCTGGCGCTGGCGCAGGCCGTGTGGAACACGCAGGCAGAGCCGGCTAGGTGGGACGAGGCGTGCGGCGGCGGGCTGCGCTGGCAGAGGCAGTTCTTCAACAACGGCTACAGCTACAAGAACGGTAAGCCCACCCCTGGAACCTTGCCTGTCGATTTCGTGTTGGATATGGTGGGTTGCTGACGTCGCTGGGTTACGAATATAGCCATTGCAAACTCCGTCTTCTTTAACCTCGGCGCGCGGTTGGCGCGGTACACGACCAACGACACGTACGCGCAACGCGCGGCGCAGACGTGGGACTGGCTCTGGGACGTCGGGTACATTGACAACGAGAATTGGCACGTCTACGACGGCGGCCACGTCGAGCACAACTGCACCGACATCAACCGGCTCGAGGTCTCGTACAACCCGGCGCTGCTGATCCAGGGCTCGGCGTTTCTGTACAACTACGTACGTTGCTGCTGATGACGACCGTCGGAAAACAGCTTCCTCGTGTGTTGCGATCGCAGCGAGCTAACGTGCGGACATCTTCCAGACCAACGGAGCCGAAAAGTGGAAGTACCGCATCACCACCATGCTTGACTCGTTCCTCAAGGAGTTCTTCCGGGACGGCGTCATCTTCGAGACCGATTGCGAGACGCGCGACCCGCCATGTACGACCGACATGCTCTCCTTCAAAGGCTACTGCTTGCGGTGGCTAGCCGTCACCACACAGCTCGCGCCATTCACGCGCGAAGCCATCGTGCCGGTACTGACGGCGTCGGCGCGCGCCGCTGTGCGGCAGTGTACCGGCCCGCCGACCGGTCGCCGCTGCGGCTTCTATTGGACCACGGGCGGCAGCGGCGTGTTTGTCGATCCCAAGGTGGACAACACTACCGGCGTAGGCGAGGCCATGGACGTGCTTGCGGCGGTCATGAGCCTGCTTATCGACGGGGCCGAGGCGCCGGTCACAGCGGCGGACAGGGGAACCTCCAAGGGCGACCCCAACGCGGGCCAGCCTGGCGCCAAAACGAAGGTGAGGCAGTGGCGGAGTATCACGGCGGCGGACAGGTTCGGCGCGAGCGTGGTGACTGTGCTGTATGTGATGGGGCCTGCGCTGTTGCTGGCGTGGATCTGCGTGGATGAGACAAAAGGTGAGGGTAAGGTGAAGGATGCTGAAGTTCCGGAAGCAAGTAGTAGTCAGGCTTCATAGTCGCTCCGATCTACAGTCAGTGTGTATAGGCTCTAATGATATCCCGAATGAAGTCTATATCTAATCGTGTCGCATTCTTTGCGTTTACTCCTTTATGCCATTTTCTCGTGCGGCCTTGCTGCCGACATTGAGTTCCAAGGTTACCTGTAGAATCATTAGCGATGTTTATATGGCCAACGGCTCTTTCAGGATGTAATTGATACGCACTGGCCCGTCATTTACCAGGGCAACCTCCATCATGGCCTGAAATCTGCCGTCCTTGACGCGGTCAGCTTGGTAGCCTGACTGTACTTTCTCGACGAAGTACTGGTAAAGCCGCCGGGCCTCCTCAGGATTGGCGGCGCCATGAAAGTCAGGTTTTGTTCCCTTTGTCGTTTTGGCGAGCAGAGTGAATTGCGATACTGCATCTCCAGCATTAGCAAGCCAGCCCTGTGGCGCAAGAAGTACACGTCATACCACACAGCACTTCACCGCCAATGTCCGTAACATTCTTCTTCCACTACATCGACAGGTTAGTTCTGCAGCCGCAGGTGAAAAGGGCTGCGGGGTACATGCCCTGCCGCCGGCCTCGTCGTCCCAGAGCTTCATGCGTAGCACCTTGTTTGCCATGGACTCTATGTCCTGTTCAGTGTCACCAGGGGCCACGGCCGCGAAGACGAGGACACCGCGGCCAATGGACGAAACGAGCTCCCGGTCGACCGTGACGGAGCCCGAGAGGACTCGTTGCAGTATTGCTGCAGCAACGTCAACGTGATGGCCGGGTCAGACTGCAACTGTGCGCACCTTTCATTCTGCTATCGTGCTACGTGGTGGTGAGGGACAAAGGCCACGAATGGAAACGGCAGGAAATGGAGAAAATGAGTAAGCAGAATTGTGTGTATTTTTGGCAATGAAATAAGATTCGTCAATTGGTGTAACTTTTTCGGATCAACAAAGTCTGCCGGACTGGTGGCAATCCAATCTATGTATGTACCTGTTATCTCGCTTCTGAGGCCTGGCAGATCTGGCCGTGCACTCCTGAACCTTCTCCCCCTAAGAAACGCGTTAGTGCAGCTTAAGTCACGTGAGTCACAAGGTATCGCTCTAACAGGCTGTCTTATAATTCAAGTACCTCTGCCCATGGGCGTGCAGTTGTCGTCTACACGCTGGCGCTCATCTCACAACAACGAAGCAATATTGCCTCACTGCTCAAGGTTTATAAAGACATGAATACTGATTGGAAAAGCAACCGTAATTCTTTTTTCCAAAATAATCATGGCACAACAGTTATTACCTGTCCCGCGCATTGTCACCGCAAGCTCTTGGTTGCAAGGTACAAGACAGGCGCTAGTCCTGTTGCAGATAGGTACCTCACACACCTCCTTCTGCTATCACATCTCCATTTGACTTTCTCTTCATTGCCGTCGACAGTCAGCCCAATCAACCATCTCCAGAGGCATTCATTGGCCGGACCATCACCAGCCGTCACGCTCATCCTGCTGCGCAGACTACTGCGGGCAATTATATTAGCCACTCGAGGTGCAACAACCCCGCGCTTATCCGACCGACGGGTCTTCAGACCAGTCCCTCGCACTCCTGCGTAGAACATCTTCAATCACGCGCCGATCACCCTGCTACGAACCACCTATACCCGCCCGAGATACGACTTTCCCGCGTCGCTGCGCGCCAGTGTATTCATCATGGCGGCCCGAAAACTACAACAAGAGGTCGACAAGTGCTTCAAAAAGGTCGCCGAAGGCGTCGCGGAGTTTGAATCTATCTATGACAAGATTGAACTCTCAAATAACCCGGCACAAAAGGAAAAGCTTGAAGATAACTTGAAGCGTGAAATCAAGAAGCTCCAGCGCCTTCGAGACCAGATCAAGACATGGGCCGCGAGTAATGACATCAAGGACAAGGCTCCATTGCTAGAACATCGCAAACTAATAGAAACCGTGTGGTCCCCCTCCCTCCCCCTTGCCTGATCCTGCCGGCAATACCATGCTGCAGATGAACAAGTATGGATGAAAACAGCATACTGACGCTCTCTGCTCTCTAGCAAATGGAAAGGTTCAAAGCGGTCGAAAAAGCAATGAAGACAAAAGCCTACTCCAAAGAAGGGTTATCAGCGGCAGCGAGACTTGATCCCAAAGAGCAAGCCAAGGTCGAAGCGGGCGAGTTTCTGGGTAACCAGGTTGACGAACTGGAGCAACAGATCGAGTCATTAGAGGCCGAGAGCGAGCAGCTACAGGCGACAATGAAGAAGGGCAAAAGCCATTCTCATAAGGCGGATCGCATTGCCGAGATCGAGCGAATAATGGAACGGCACAAGTGGCATCAAGGCAAGCTGGAGCTTATCCGGCGGTCCCTGGAGAACGGTGGTGTCGAGACGGAGCAGGTAAATGATCTTGAGGAGAGCATCCGCTATTATGTTACGGACGCTACCAACCCTGAATTCATGGAAGACGAGGAAATGTACGACGAGCTCAACCTAGAGGATGATGAGGGTGTCTTTGGCATGGGTGTGGACGGCGAGAGGGGGTCATCACAGGACAACCAATCCATACAAGACGACCCAGAACCGGTTTCCGAGCCTGCGCCCAAGGCTTCTCGAAAATTGGCAAAGGAGAACGAATCGAGGAAGGGGGCTGCTCAAACAAAATCACCGTTACCAGCACTCGCTACGCTGCATACGCCGCTGTCGACAATAAGCAATGGCGCGAGTGCCAGCATGAAGCCTGCGACGATACCAACAAGAGCGCCTGGCGAAATCTTAAAGTACGCCTCCGCGGCGGCTGCTGCTGCGGCAAGCGACAAGAACGTAGGGATATCACCGTTGCCCCCGCCTCCTGGCAGCACGGGCATCTCGTCTCACCCTTCAGGTCCGTCGGCCGCCAACTCGCCCGCCGTGGCAGCTGCCCAGCCTGCACAGCAAACGCCGCTACAAACGCCAGCGGCCATCGCCACCCCGGCCGAAGAGCCCGCCCCGGAGCCGGCTCCGGTGCCGGCCGCGCCTGCGCCGACGACAGGACGCGGGTCCAGGAAGTCCAAAGCTGCGGGCAAGCAACCCGTGCCTGCCGTCGAAGCCAAGGACGGGCCGGCGACGAACGGCACGACGCTGAACGGCGCCAAGTCCAAGATGCAGGCACAAGTCGCCGAAGAGGAGAGCATATACCATCTGCCTTCCTCGCTGCAGGACCTGGTAGAGTCCTACGAGATGGCCCGTAAGAACCCGCCATCGGTGTTGGCCCCGTCGACGCAGCGGCTCCTAGAAGCCAGCCAAGCCAACTGCCCGGACCAACGTGACGCCGACGCGCCGCGGTCCTACAGACCGGAGCAACCCATCCCGCAGGTCGTGTCCAGCTTCCCACGCACGCCACTCCCCATCTTCGACGACCCACGGCTGTACCAGCGCATCGACTCGGACACGTTGTTCTACGTGTTTTACTACAGACAAAACACTCAGCACCAACTTCTCGCCGCTAAGGCGCTCAAGGACAACAGCTGGCGGTTTCATAAGCAATATCAAACGTGGTTCCAGCGACACGAAGAGCCCAAGAGCATCACGGAAGAGCACGAACAAGGAACATATAGGTTCTTTGATTACGAGTCTACTTGGTAAGCGAGCACGTGTGATTCAAATTCAAGAAGGAGAAGGAGAAGGAGGAGAAGAAGAAGAAGAAGAGGAATGAGAACGATGATGCGAGGGGGGCTCCGCTGGAGCTTTCCGCCACGAATTTGGACCGGCTGACTCAAGATGCTACAGGATGAACCGCAGAAAAGCGGACTTCAAGTTTGCCTACAAGTTCCTCGAGGATGAGGTATAATCAGGATCCTGATAATGCCCGCGGCTAGGAGGAAAGGAGAAGAGGAGAAGTACTGTACACATTGTTCAAGGGAATTATACTATGGGCGTTTTTTTCTTTTCGTTTTGCGGGTAATCGGAGTAAGAATGCTCAGTTCCCTGGGTCAAGCTGGACTTTTGAGCGGTGCATTTTTGCTTTTCTCCCCCTTGCACTAACTCAAGAGAAATCAGATATAGGGTTTGTTTATGATATTTCTTTTCTGCATTCTTTCGGACAGGTTCCGTGTCTCTGATACAGATACTCACTGAACGAGGAGACGGAGCGAAACTTGTCGCTGCGGTTGGCACTGTCTTTGTTCTGTTCGTTTATGTATCTGCCTCTGCTTATACGGATACAACGTTGCTGCGCAAAAGGCCTCGTTTCAGAATACTTGACTCAATGAACAGCAGGCATTTGGCAGCGAACAGACCTGTACTTTGTCTTTTCTCTGCGTGCCCAAGGATGTGGTGTTGGCGAATGCCTAACTGAAGGTATGATTAGGAGGTGTGATGAAATGCAGGAGGTGATGGAGCGGAAGACAGAGTAAGAGAGCAAGATTTACTAAAGAGGGACGTAAAATCAATGAAGAAACCCCAAAGTAAAGAGGGGGCAGGGATTGGGGAGGGAGGTTGACAACTACTTTGCGGCTGAAAGAGAGCCGGCTGATGTTGGGGGCAAGTGACCACACGATCAACAAGGTATAGCCTACTAACTTTGCGTATTCCCTGCGCAAGGGATGATCGGGAATTAGAGCGACATTTTATTTGCAGACGGAAAACGACGCAGACGAATAGCCGTAAGAGGAAGTTAACTAGGGGGGGGGGGGCACACATGAATCCAAAAATACCGCGACAGAACGCCTTTTGCAGGGTCCCGCGGTTTAGGAGACAGCTCCCCCGGGTGCCACCTTCAGCTCATCACCGATATTGAAACAATGACCGAGGGGGGATACTTTGGCTTTACGGTTGGGCGTTCTTCGCTTTGCTAACTGACTAGCGGTGATGATGACGATTTAATTCACTCATGTTCTTTTTCTGGAGGAAGTGAGGGGGTGGGTGGTGAACACGTGCGAAGGGGAAAGCAGAGTTGCGCCCCGGTTCGGAGACCAAGAGTTGGGTTGTTCTTTTTGGAAGTTGAAGAACAAGACTAAGAAAAACGCCAAGGCTTCTGGAAGGTGTTGTGGAACGATTGAGCCAACGCAAGCGGCCTGGGGAGGAGGGCTCCAGGCTTTGGATTTTGGTGTTACGCCTGCAACGATGGGTGAGAGCATGCAGGCCCCGATGAGGTTGTGCATGTTCGTAAACTTGGTAAGAAAGCGGCTTGGGAGGAGGAGGGGGGGTGGGCTGTAGGGGGGGGGAGGGTGGTGGTTGATCTTGTCGGTGTGTGTGTGAGAGAAACGCTGACTGAGTCCTTCATTTTGCATCGTCTGATACGCAGTGTCTGGTGCTGTACTTGAGGCTGGGGCCGCTTCTGTGCCTGGAATTGATGCGATATTTTCGGCGCATGCAGGTATCGTGCAGGTTGCTCTCCATCATGGCCCTTTCTTTCGTCTCTTCCCCATCTGGCGGTGCCCATTTCAATGGCCGCCCCATGAATGGGCGATGACCGGTTTCCAGACAGGGTCCCCCCCGGTCATTAGTTGTGGGTGGTGTTTTAGCTTGGGGCGACTTTGTGTTATTGAACTGGGTGGCTGGCGATGAGTGAGGCTCCGTGGTCTAGGTCTAGTTATCTGCATCAAGTTAGGTTTGCTTTGGGGGGAAGGGAGGGGGAGGAAACTGGGAATGTGACGTTCGGCTGCCGGGGAGAAATCGGCGCCAATATTCGAGGGTTCCCTGCAAGGCCCGGACAATGGACAACGGGATATTAGGATGGGAGTATGGCGACTTGCCGAAAGTGATGGCAACATCGCAAGACGAGTGCTGCCGACACAAAACATTGTATCAAGCAATTGGAGACAACAAATTGGTTGAAAAAGGAATTTGGCTACGCACCAATTCTTAGCGTGTTAGGGTGCCTACACCGTTAGAGAAGCTGCCAAAGAATTGTTTGCCAGCTGCCAGCTGCCAGTGCTGGCACCTGCCAAGCAGACTTGAACTTCTTGCAAACACTAGCAGAATGCAAATCATTTCTTCCCCGTAATCAATTGAGCGGCGTTAACCTCGGTGAATCGTGTCTTTTATTCAAAGAACGAGAAATGCGATTGCTAATCGCCCGAGCTAGGTGGGAATGCCCAGAGAAGCAGAAACGGCACCGAGGCATGTGCCCACGCCGCCTACCCTGCAAAGTGCGTCTACTCTACCAGCTACCTACCTACTCGACTCATCGATTCGACGGGTCAGAGACTACGGGGAAACAAGCGCTCTGATGGTTAAAAAAGAGCCCCATCTGCGCGATTTAGAAGTCGACGGTACGTTTGTCTGCTAATCCGCGTCCTTTTGTTGGTTTCTGGTTGCGAGAACCGATCTTGCGGTGAACATGAAGAGGGGACCTTTGCTACTCTGCCGTCACCAGCATAGCAAAGCACGAGCACATACGGGTACAAATATACATACGTGCAGCATCCATCAAGCAAGCGCGGGGAGGAAGAAAGCCCAGGAGCGCCATCGGGACCTCCGAAAGCAACATGGGTAATTATGGAGTGGCGATTCGTCGACCGTCCAATTGTCGCTCGCTGGAGCAGCCCAAGGAAAGATGCCGGGATCCTAGCCCAGAGGGTCCCAAACGGCTCTCTATTCCGGCTCCATATCCCCGTCAGGTGATGGCAAGCCTTGCTACTTGGGAGCTGGGGAGAGGGATGGTGGTGGTGTCGCTGATCACTAGTGGTGGGCGATGGGTGGTGGGAGTGGTAGTGGTGGTGGTGGTGGTGTGCCAATGCCTGTCGCGGCCCGGCTGGGGTTATGGAAGGGTCAATTCGAAGCCTGCATGGAAGCTTTCCATCGTTCGACGCCACCGGCCACTGGAGACGACAAAGGGCCAACGCACACAGGTGGCTTGCGAAAGAGGCCCTCCGACAGCCATGACCACTGGCTCTTCGCTGCCCCCACCTGTGAAGAGAAGGCTTATCGCCAGGCACTTTTCTCTTGCAGGGGTCCCTATGCTGGGCGATTGCTGGCCACATCTCTCGTAACAACCAGGTGTGGGCTTCCTGCAGACAAGTCTTGAGGCGGAGCGCAATAACTAGTGGTCACCATTGTCAGTACTATGCACGTTGGCAGGGCCCTCTCCAGACCAAGCAGTTCATTATGGTCCATATAGGACCAATTGCGGCGGCTGTGGCTATACTATCCTCTCTTATTTTGTTATCGAATGGGCGAGCCCGATTGCCACCACGATATCGGTACCGCAAAGCACACAGGTCCTTGCAGCACTGGGAGTCTGCGTGTTCGAAACTCAAGCCACGCCCTGCACGTCGTCGCTGACGTAGAGCGATTTAGCGCTCGCCCCAAGCCAGCCCAGGTGACCCGACCAGCACTTGCGCCAATAACAGTTGGCACCATCAATCACCTGGCAGAGAGAGGGACGCTCTGGCAGCCAATGCAATCGGTAAAGGAACGGTTTAGCGTATTAAGAGCCCACCAGACTTGGTTCGCATTACACCGTCTGTTTCCGAACTTGCGGCAATGTCTTTTGACTCCGTTATTCCATGCTATGTACATGGAACAGATGCCTCGCTCTTGGGGCGCAGCAGCTACAGTATGTGAGTAAGTGGGCGCGCTAGCTCACAAGTCTACATACTACTGTAAGTACAGTCACCAACACTCCGGTGCAAGTGTCCCACAGCATACCTGCCCGCGCTAGTTGCCTTGCGCCGTCTCTGCTCAGACAACAAGCAAACCAATGTTTCGGCAGGGAGTTAATAGGATGCACACGATAGGTGGCTGAAATTCAGGTTCATAAATGCGATATCGTCTCGTTCACGCCGATAACAAGCAATATTCAGATTGCTAATGCGGCTGGTACGGCGGCAAGTTCCTCTGAGCGGCCCTTGCTTTGCGTTTATTAGCTTGACCGGTGGCAAGCTACAGGAAGCAGGGGGTTCACTTCATCCATCATCCTGGCTCAGAGAATCCAAGAAGAGACCCCTTGTGCGGCATGGGCAGGGACGAAGAGCCGCCCAAGATCTGTATGCACCCCACTGTGGAAAGTGCACAGCTTGCCGCTTTCTCTCCAACCAGTCTGAAGAGCACCTGGCATGATAAGTGCAGCACTACTAGACTCGCGCTCTCGTGTCGACAAGAGCTTCCGCGCCTTGGCTATATTAGGCCTCAGCCTGGGAAAGACTAGAATCGATGACTACGTCAAGAAGGATTCCGGGTCTTGTGGGCGACCTTTTGCTTTAGGATGGAGGTGGCTGAACAAGGCCCATGGTGAGCGAGATCGGATCTCCGCGGCTGATGAGGCCAGTCCAGTGACGACAGAGGGACAATTGGCTGTTTTGGAGCTTGTTGCTTGGCTCGCTGGCGGTGCACCTGCCAAACTGCGATGTGTATTCACATGGTGGTGCTCGCTTACCAGCCACGGTGGGCTCCGTTAATACAGGGCCCTGCATTCGTTCTCTTCTGGCTTGTCCACAGACAGACCCGTCATCGAAAAATGGTGACAAGTCGGGCAAGGCGTCGCAGCAGGGGGGCCGCTGTCCGCCATCCATCCATCACGGAACTGCATCAACAGCAGGACACCCTCCTCCACCTCGCCGCCCCCCCCCCCCC